GTTAGGGCTTAATTTCCCGACTTTGTATTTCTACTAGCCAGGATCGAAATACACTATCAAACGACGAGGACTAGGGCCGTAAGGCGATCGATATGTCAACGATCCCTTGTATGTATGCGTATACGGACCAGTAATAACCGTTTTCAGGGACCGATGCTGTCTTCGTGATTCTATTCTAGAAGCGTTAGAAGCAGTGGAGAGAACTCGCATCGGTTTGGGAGGATTTGGGATCCTTAACTCTGGGAAATTGTAGTATGGCATAGTATAGAATAGTGTATGGCGGTGACCCCGTACTATGGATCGTGGGTTTGATTTCCTGGGTAAGACATCATAACACATACGTTTGCTGCAATCATAATTTAGATATACGAGATCCCTGAACCGTAAGGGCGTTACAGTTACCGAGTGATTGGGGCTGACCATTATGTTGACCGAACCAATCATGTAAACATGATTGCAGTATACAATATCAAATTAGGAAATGGAAAATGAAGTATACTTATGATGCTTTTGTTATGTGTAGTATACCTATTATACTTGTTCGGCGTGTCCTGCTCACGCTCACTTACATATACGCGTCCATATGCTACTGATTTTCACTCCTCAGTGAGGCGTTCTGTGCATAGCCACTCGTCGGGTTTCGTACACCGGAGATTCCGGATAGGTGGGATTTTGATGATATCTTAATTAAGTTGTAAAGCATTGTAACGGCCTTTTTAAAGGATTCCTTTGATTATTTTTTTGGAAATATTAAATCCTATCTTTCGCATGATGGAGGAATTTTCTTTTATTCTTGTTACTCATAGAAGGGGTTTGGAGGCAAATCCCGTAGGTCTTATGGCAGAGTCCTACGCCAATTCCGAGCGTACATGGAAATAAGCCGGGAATAATTAAATGTGAGCATATCAAATTTTTGCGCGATGTTCGGACATAAAGACGTATGGATAGAGATGGTAAACTGTAGCACCTTACTAACTTACTGGGTGTATTACACAACGCGTACGTAGAATATTGAATTTAATTGGTATCGTTGGCTCGAATATCAATCGGGATGCCGCAACGAATGTAAAAGTACCGCTATAGGTACTTGCGTATGCAGTGGCCTATGTAATATGTCGATAGATTAAGTTGCATACACTTGGGTCTTAGAAGAGTCTCCAACTCGCTGACATTACTGTAGTTGTGTAGCCGTGTAGGTTATACAATATCCTGAATCGACCTCGTGCGGCCTTACATCCAGCCATGCAGCGCACTGCCGTGGCCATGCAGCAATATGAACGAGCAGCAAATGGCGCTGTTCCGTTTTGGCACCAGAGTCAATGAACCACATGGCGATCGCACGTGGAACCGGAGCTTATTGGTGCTAGTTTAATGTCTTAACATGCTATGCAGTATCGCACATCGATAGTGGATTTTTTGTGCGAATTGTTACGAATATCCAGCACGGACATCTTGGTGTCATCGATATCGTGGTGCTTCCGTATTAGGTAGGTGTGGGCCTTCGGATCTGGGTTCTATATCTAGTTCATTATACTGTGAGTAAATCTGATACTTGAACTGTCCTAGAGCATTAAATTTCGATGCTTGTGGCGCACCAGGTATGCTAGTACGATCTTATGGAGAAACGAAGTCATGCCATGTTCGTCGAGGTCGGTCTAAGGAGTATAGAATATACTGGGAGTCATCAACTCGGAATCCGTAGGGCGACTCGGAGATCCTGTTAAGTGCCGAGCTCGTCAGCTGCATTTGTACGTTAGTAGTGATATAGGTATATAGATTTATTGTAGCACGAACGCATGGCTCTCTATTACTAGTAAGAGAGCCTGCAGATGAAGCACACAGTGTTCAAGAGATCTACTTTTGAACTGTCTGCATCAAGTCATGCGAAGCCGAAAATGGGTTGGATCGACAATCATACCTGACTCTAGCAGAACTGTAGAACCAGTAAAGTGAAGAGGAGTGTGGCCCTCTTGCAGAAAAGTTCACTATACCAGATCAAGGATAAACGCTTGGTGGTTGGTGAAAGCCATCCCTGACAGCACGTGCAGATCTGTCGGTCTGCCAAATGTGTTGGACAAATCGGGCCACCTGGAGAAAAAACATGCCTGGCATGATTTGAGAGCGGAGTAGAGCTACACTAAAGTGGAGGCGGAAAAGGACCCTGGCCATTGACGAATGTCTGTGGCCGCAAGGGTTTATCTTACTGGGGTGTCATCAAGGAGGGCCGGTGGGCGTCGCTTTTGGCGGAGATGGGGATTTGGGAGAAATGGGGGGTGGTAGCGGGATAGGGAGAAGAAAATAAGGAGAAAAAAATGGGACATATCAACATACATCTCTTCTAACCTACCAGTCTACCTTACCAATACCTACATACATACATATACGTATGTACATCATTCGGGCTCTATTGCCAATTCAGAATTCTTCATACAACTTCCTGCTTTGTCACCGCATACATATGTATCCTACCCTAGTAGCTTAGAAACCCGCTAGGGAAACGAGAGAGCCTATGACGAGGCTGTCTTCCCGCTGTATATGATAAATATCGGGCTCGGCCCTCTCAATTGACTCGATGAGACTAGAAAAGCTCCTTGGATGCGACTAAAGGACGCGAATTATCGGGAATAGAGGATAACCGAAAGTACGTACGCGCAAGTTGGCAAGAACTCATCTTACCCTCGATGTTACCACCGGCATGAGGTAGAAGAATCATTCATTTCCGGACCGCAGCACGTTTTCAGGAGAAAGTATCCGCTTGGTAGTGCGTTACGGCGATGTAGTTTCGCTGCGATACGCATGTTTTACCTGTCTGTGTCTTCTCTGCCAGTTCGTGTAACTCAGATCAGGTGCTTGTTCGTGTTTTGAACGCTGCGGTGTTATGGTTGCTTTCGTTGCTGTTCCTGTTCGACGATCCCCCTTTCAGGTCCTACATTCCATGCAATTTTGGTGGGTGAATGTGTCGTGAGAATATTACATCGAATAGATTGTTGTTGTTGGTTTAGAGAAAGATATTGATGATATATGACAAGTGAGAACTATAATACTCAAATTAAAACCACTATGACTAACTGCCACGTGATAAAATCAATTAAATGACATGTATAGAAGTTACACTATCTATAATAGGGAATAAGGTTTGGAACTTGTACCGAACTAGTGCAAATCCCTACTCTCAATTGAAGGTATTGTAGTACATATGTATGTACTGTATAAAGAGTACTGTACAAAGGTGGCTGGAGAAGAGAGACAATGTATGTGTTCTCGCTAACATTTACAAAATAGGTATGTTAATATATGGATACATTAAATAAAATCATAAACTTGGATTTGTGCGACTCTTTTTTTTTTTTTTCTCTTGTTCTTTTGAGGGGTTTGATGACCCCATTTCCGGTTGAAAACGGTACTTATAGTATCTTGATCAGCTTATGGTATGACTGCAAGTTGTTACCTGCCTAGGCACCCAGGTCATGTACTTGGTGCCCAGCACACGTAAGTTACGGTTATCTACGGAGCCTGAATATACAACCCCTGCTGCATTTACTTAAAAGGGCGGAATTATGAAATCTTCGGACCGGGGGTCTGCTAAGTTGCCTCGTGGCCGCCCCGGCAGTGTAACTAATAACCGTGGTGGTAGTACTAGGTTCAATGCTAGGCCAGGTAGTGTGCTTTAAAATGCATTGGTCGTGTGGATGCAGTGGTACCTACTTCAAATGTTCTTGTGTAGATACATCCATCAGTACTGCTTCATCCCCCCCAATCAGCGTACTGGGTATCGCTAGGTACTGGACCATTTTCAAACGAACGTGCTTCTTCCTTTACGCGCACATGGCAAGCCACGAATTACGGGGGTTCCAACCTCCAACGGCAGGTGGCAGCCCACTTTAGCAGATGCGCTAATATGGAACATCCACTTCAATTGATTCCATCCCAAAATTCTTCACTGGCTTTTTATTACCTACGCTCAGAAACTCAGATCCGAAAGCGGGCATTCCACGTTTGGATTTGTGTTATGTTAGGAAGAGGAGGCATTCCAAATGGGTAGGGCAGACCAAGAATGAGGATATTCTGAGTCACCCGGGGATTTCGAGAAAGGATCGGGGGGTTTTATTTTAGAATATTAATACCTAAACACATATAATCCTTTTTTTTTTTTTTTCACTTATATTAGGTAATTCATAAGGTCTTACACTAGAAGACTTAGAAGACTCTATAGTATTTTCTAGGCCCTAATGGTACGGCAGACTAAATATCACCAATCTAAGAAAATTTCTCTACCTATAACTACGTACATGTATTTCTGTACGTATTCACTCTGTCTACCATATGGCCTCCATATGGTGTCAGGGGTTTTTTAATCTACCTAATCGTGCGCCTAGCCCCTCACAGCGTGGGAACCTAGAATGTACCTGTACCGTCGCGTGTACTGGCCTGTAAGTAAGCCGAACATAGCGGGGCGCGCATGTGGCATCCGCCTACATAGGCAATACCCACTCGTATTATAAGTACTGGAGAAGTATTTATGCAGTTTCGAAATACATGTTCCCACGAGGAAAAGGTACCTCTCCATATTTACGACCCACCTTTTATATACATTTAGGAGTAAGATCTACTAGGCCCTCTAGAACGTTCAACGTTGATGACTGGATTTTTTAGTACAACATGGAATAATCTGTTTTCGTACTCGGTACTTCGTGTTCTAGCGGTAACCCTATACATTTGTAATGTTTTCTCTACTCGTCAGGGATGGGCTGGGTATCTAATGCATGCACCCATCCCGTCAGGCAAATGACTAGAGAGTAAGTACCTGCCCAGGCTGTTCATAGGCGTCGCAGGTACAATAGACTGAATAGGGCATGTACCTTGTTTGACTTTGAGGGCACATCCACGTATGTATATATGTACATATGTACTTTCAAGGGTACATGGTATACATTGGTATTCTTTCTTCGTTCAACCCCCCCGTCCCGCTTCTTAATTGTTTCCATTCTATGCCTTCACATTGGAAACTCCACTCCCTCTCTTCTAGTTCTCTGCATTCTGCACACTCTACTCGACTTTTTTCTTGTCTCCTCTGCCTTATTTCCAAGTTTTTCTTCTAACTAGAAATCGATCAATTATATGATCCCCTAATGTTTTTACTTGGCTTGCCTGTGCCATCCTAGACCAAAACGAAGACTCGTATGTTTCTCACTCTTAAATGGTAGTTTGATGGCTGCAATCTCTCAACCCTCTCAAACAGCATCGCTACCTCACCACGACCACGAGCCTCATAAGCTGTCATCCCACCCAAACCCGAGTAGTAACGCCGAGGTGCATGCAAAATCCCCAAATCAAAATCAAAATCAAACCCCAAACCCAAACCAAAACCCTTCTACCGCCTCTATTAGAAGAGTGACCTATTCCAACAATATTGCTGAATCTACCGCTGCTGATATCTCGATTGTGTCTTCCAACACTTCCCGTCAGCAACCACCAACCTCCTCTACCGGCTCTGCTCCTATCGCTACCACTACTAAGAACCCCAAATCCGGAGGGCTCTTCGCTTTTGCTGCCGCTGCCATTGACAAGATATCTGAGCCTACTATTCGCAGTCGCGCTTCTACGTCTGCTTTAAGTCGCTTGTCGGTTGTGTTAGATTCGCCCACCAGCAGCGAGAATTCCAATTCCGACAGGTCTTCGAAAATTCGTAGCCTCTCAAGCAATTCGTCTTCGCCTTCGACGCCTACCGTTTTGAGTCCTCTGTCTGACGGAAAACGGTCGAGTCAGTTGTCGCTGAAGGACCCCATCTCCAAGCCATACTCTGAGACAGACGCCAGCCGGCCGCCTCCAATTCTGTTGACAGGCTTGGAGAACAAAATGCATCAAACTTCCTCGAGGTTGCTCCGCATGACGGATGACGACCGTCCATTCACTAAGGTGAGTTATAGAAGGTCCCCCTCGTTTCATGCAACGCCGTTTGGTACTTGGGAGCGACTATTCACTTGTATTCATATCTACTCGCAAAAGTTTATAAGTCTATTCTACCACCTAATCGTGTTGCTAATACCATCTCAAAGGACTTTAAGGATTTATTTTCGACTTTGATCGTTAGCTTGCTTCCGCTATCCGCTCACCGAGTGCGATTAACACGAATTGAGCACACATTCTTGTCGGAAGATGCTATTAACAACTTGGGTTCGTTGAAATTCTCCCAGTCGAACCGTATGCCCGACCCAAAGGATCCGTCGCGCATCGTAACGACCACTACAACGACGACATTCTCCATGGCAAAGGATATGGCTAGGTCGATATGTCAACGATTTTTGGATGCTAGGTTCATCGAATCGGCTGATGGTAAAATGCAACAAGTTTACACGATGAAGGGCTCAGTATGGCAATTAACGCCGAAGGGAGTTTGCGTCTTGGACCGCTTCTGCTCAAGAAATGGTATCCAGCAAAGGCAAATCAGTGACCTCATTGCTTTGGGGATGAGTTATCTGTGCATCTTAGAAAGAGACAGTCAAACCGATAAGCTAGTGATGGAGCGAGGGACAATGGAAGTCATTTTTAGGAGAATGATTGGTTCCAATGGTCTTAACATCAAGTCGAGCGTAAGCGCGGCTGACTCGGATTCGTTGAGCGATTATCGTGATGGTCTGACGGGTGTAAAAATGGCCAGCGAGCGCAAGATTGGCGGCAGGACATATAAAGATACGTTCACTGGTAAGGCTTGCTCAGACTGGTTGATGGATTGTTGCACTACCGTGGATCGCCGCGAGACCTACGAGATGGGCACACTATTCGTTCAATACGAGCTCATGGAACCGGTTCAGCACGACCGAATATTTATGGCCAATTCACCCAGCGCCGTCTCATTCCAACCTACCAAAAATGCTATCTACCAATTGACAGCTAAGGGTAGAGATATAATCAGTGGTGGCGCAGGAAGAGGACGCACGTCGGAGAGTGAAGGGATCGTCTCGGCGCGTACTGGAATTGCTAGGGACTCCAATACACAGCGTCTTGATAAGATCCTGAACGACGCCGCGTTACGATTATTATTTCGAGAGAACCTGCGAGAGACGCATTGCGAGGAGAATCTATCCTTTTATTTAGATGTGGATGACTTCGTACACGGTTGCCGCCAAGCGATCAAACAGGCCCAGAAAACTCCTACCTCAACATCGATGGATGGAATCAAGGAGATCATGGCGCAAGCATATGGCATCTACAACGCATTCCTGGCACCGGGCTCGCCTTGCGAGCTGAACATTGACCACCAGCTACGTAACAACCTTGCGACTCGTATGACCAAGGCAGTCGGGCAAGATGTAGCTATGATCGACACGCTGCATGAGGTCACTACTCTTTTCGAAGATGCTCAAAACGCCGTTTTCAAATTAATGGCTAGTGTAAGTTACAGTAGAAGGAAATTAGTTATATTGCGTTGATGGCTGACTTATTCTATAGGACTCCGTCCCGAAATTCTTGCGCAACGCAAAGTATGAACATACTCTGAAGAACTACGACTTCGATGCCATCGTTATAGGTAATCGTGGGCCAGAACGAAGTCAAAGTCAATCCAACCGAAAGTGAAGGAGACGATCGATTGATCGATATTGCTAAACGAGACCTTATGCCTTGACCGAATGCTGTAGTAGACTGCGACCGAGATGGTAGACTCATATTTTTCGGTATCGATTACCGACGATTTATTACCTTTTTTGGCCCCTCGTGACGACGATGCTTCCTAATCGCATCGTTTGTATGCCCAAGCTTAATAACAATCTTTCCGACATATCTTTTTCGACTAAGACTTTCTTTGTTTAACCGGACGGCGTTAAAAGGATAAACCAGCATAGACACCCATCGGCGTTTGAAACCGCACTTCATTGAGTGGCTCATCTGAATTTTTTTACCGTGAACTGCAAATGGATGGAGGCAGCCAGCGTGCATGTTGAGGGTTTCGGCTCAAGATATGGGCCGGTCATACAAGATGATCCCCCCCCCCCCCTTCGATAACGCGAACGTGACGGAAAACTCGGGACGCATCAATAAGCGATCGTTGCCACTAGAGAAACTGGGGTCGGCAATGCTTGGAGGTATTGCGTTGGGAATCTACAGCCTTATAATGATCATGGTGTTTTTCTAGGGAGATAGAGGGCGGGCTCGCGTGGTGACGACCGTGCATCGCCAAAGCATTGCAATCAACAAAGTGTGGATAGGTAGCGATAGAACAGCGGAAGGGTACGTTCGGTCAAACTGTCGGTAACCTGTACATATGATCGGCTGTGTTGAACTAGCCTACTGTCCGCAAAGGTTCTTGAAAATGGAAATCAAAATTTTGAACCAGAGATCCCTTCTGGCCGTAGTACTGATTGGAACGTTGATCTTCTATGTGTTGTGAATCATCCTCGGTTGCAAGCCGCTGTACGAATCTAGAGCCATGGAGTGGAATGAGGAGTCAATGTGGCTTGTAAATGACCTTCTGATGCATTCCAAGACACGAGGGAGGCAATATCAACGGTGTTTTTGTTTTGGATGTCTCTGCATCTGCAACAAACCTATTGGTGGCTGTTGGGTATTGCCTGTCTTATTACAGATTCTCCTGAATTCAGTCAACGCCCTTTGCCCCCTTCTCCCCTTGTGTTCTTTTTAAGACGACTTCATTCCCTCTTTCCGGCCACTTCGTTTTCTTCCTACTGTCTACATACATTCACTTCAATTCCTCGTCGCTCGTTAACCTGTGCCAGTTAATTCCTCGAAAAGATCTTGTCGAGAAACTTTTATCCCCCACATCTTCACTAAAAATTCAAACACCAACACAACATCTACGAAAATGTACACTACATCCGCTGTAGTCGCAACCCTTGCCGCCGTCTCTGGCGTCATGGCTAACAACGTGGCCCCAAGCGCCGGATACCTTGCCTACCCGGCTAAGAACATGACGGCTCCTACTCCCGTCTGGCAATACTACAACATGTCGGTCCCGACGACTGTCGTTGTGCCCGAGTTTACTACCGTCTGCCCTGAGGCCACTACCATGACATGGGGCGGCGTACACTACTCCGCTACTAAGGGACAGACTATCACTGTCACGGACTGCCCTTGCACTATTACCAAGGTAAGCTCTCTTTTGCAGCGATTTATACTGGGGTTTTGGAGAGGAAAACTTATTGACATCCACATAGGCCGTTCAAGTCATGACCTCTTCCCTCTGCGCACCAGGCACCCAACCCACCGGTGCCGCCCCCGCACCTCCGGCCGGCCACCCTAAGGGAGTCCCTGCACCACCCGCGGGTAGCGTCCCAGTCCCTCCGGGTGCAGCTCCCGCCGTTCCTGGCTCGCCTTCTCCCGCAACTCCCAACACGCCCGCGGCTAGCGGTAGCGGTGTTTACCCCGCCCACCCGACAGGTGTCCAAGTCGCAGGCGCTGTCAGGAGTGAATCCGGCATCGCCGCAGCGCTTTTCGCCGCCGTTATGGGTGTTCTAGCTTTGTAAGCAGTCCACCATCAACGTGAGACCTCCATCATCCAGGGAATTTGAACATCCGCTTTTTTGGCACACAAGAAAAATTGAAAAGAAAAGCATAATGTTTATTTAGTTCCATATGTCCAGTTTTCCTTGCGTCATATCATTTTCTGCTGTTCAGTATTTAGAGTTGTTTTGGGAATCGATGTATAACGGGTTGGGTGAGGTTTGGAGGGCATGAGGTTTGGAACGGGCGTTATTGTTGCTATGTTTGAATAAAAAAAATACAATTTTCGGCTGTCCCTGTTTTCTTCGTGCCTGTGCTTGAATCAATGGATTCCTACCTGTGGTTAAGAGGCTCCTTCGTTTGTATCCCTTTTTAAAAGTTTAGCATCTATGTCATATGCTACGCCATGATTTGTTTCGATTGCGACCGTAGAATGCCATTGCCTCGCTTGCTAGGGGTTTTTGCTCCCTGACGAACTCGCTCAGGCCCTGGTTCAGATGCTCTACCCTAATAGTATACATCTGCCTCTCATTCGATGTATTTGCTCATAATTAGCACGCCCATTTTTAACAGCACACTTTATTAGTATGTTCATGGTATCATTTTCGGAGGCTCCATGAGCCCTAGGCTATTAAGACCCTGTTCTATCCAGGGAGACAAGCCTTTTTCGCGCCCTTCCAATAAACGTAAACGCCGTTCGGTGAACCTTTCCTGAGCCAGCTAAATGTGCTAGACGAGCAGACTAAGTAATGCGGACCTTTTGGCCTCTAGTGATACATGTATAGGAATTACAACATCGACACCCAGGTAGGCATATGGAATCATGCTTCATATCGACGAGGGAGCCTGGTCTCGTCTCCAGCCCTTGCTTCTCATGTTGCTCTCAATGGTCTTCCATATTTGCTCGACAATCTCACGGTCTCTCCATCGGCTCGAATCTATCGGGTTATGAGTCGATTCCTTCCAGGGATCAATTCCGACACTTAGAACCCTGTGTCCCCAGTTGCGTACAGCTTCGGGTGGCTGATCGTTTCGCCAACCAACGTAGATACCAGGAATGTGCTTGAAGAGCTCGCCGGGGTTACTCCACTTGTAGTTCTTGAATTGCCAGCTCTGACCCGTCGTGAAAACGGCAACTACACGACTCCAATACTCCGGCTTGAATTGCTCGGGACCTTCGACGAGGACAAACCTCATAGGTCGGTTCGGGTCGATGTCCTTCATTAGGCGGTTGATGTGTAACATACTTGCACCCGTGCTGGAACTAGCAGATAACGAGTTGGAAGGTACAAATTGACCGCCCTCGAGGAAGGACTTGATGTTCGTCATGCGAAGGAGGGAAGAAGCGGAGGGCGAGAGTAGGATAATCGGGTCGGGTCGTCGCGGTTTCTTGTGTGACGGTAATGTGGTATTAGTGGGTGCAGTCGAAGCTGGCGCCTGAGATGACTTTTTAGACATAAATGGTGCTGCGAATTTACGGACGTGGGAAAAGTCCTGCAATTAGATGAGTTAGTTCCCCTCTGGCGAAAATAGAGTCAATAGACCTACCGTAGGTTTAATTCCTCGGAGCACGCTGTTTCGGTCGCCCATCTTGCGCTCGCTATTGTAGATAACCGCCAATCTAGGGTCTAGCGTACCCTTCCCAGATCTTCCTAACTTCGCGCCGATGGCGGGAGCAGCTGCACCTTTCGACGCCAACGCAGCGGCCGCAGTAGACGTCGAGCCATCTTTGTCGCCGGCGAGAGGTTTTATGTACTCGCATTCTTCACTAGCACCTTCCAACCAAGTAATCAAATCAAGTCGCTCGACAAAGGCAAGCATCCTAACCTGGCCCTTGTCTCCGAGTTCCTCGTTGAGCTGCGATACCGAGGTATTGTACTCGGGAATCGCGACCTCGCGTTTCAACCAGGCGAAGTAAATACTTCGCAAGTCGACGGGTGTGTCATTGGATGTGAACCGGGTCTGTGTGTCAATCGGGAGGGCGAAATGAGAGGGTGTCGAGAAGGTAAGATGTGTCGCTTGCGATAGAGGAACGGTTCCAGCTGAACTGTCGCTGGACGCGGTGGGCGAGATTGCGCCGCCAGACGCGATGGACTGACGAAGCAGAAGAAGAGGATCTTGCTCTGCGGACGCCATTGTAATGAGCGTCTAATCCGGACGAACTACCGTTAATAAAGTGTCTTCGGGATGACGGAAGTTGTTGAATTGACGCCGAGAGTAAATTAGGATAAGAAGCTGAGAAAATAATCGAAGAAGCTTCGCAGCCTTAGAGCTCTGAATTAAACTCGGGCGGCGTTGGTAGGTACAATCAAGGCCCCTGCTTGTATCTACGCTAGTGCATACTGAGACTAGTCTACTTAGTACCGTGGTTATCTCCTTAACGAGTGTATTACTATGCAGATATCGGTATTTTGAATTGTTCATGCAGGTATCCGTATTTCACTCCCTGGGTCTCAGGTAGGTGCCTTTGAGATAAATTAACATTGTACATGATAATACTTGTATTGAAAGATCAAAACATGGTGAGTTTGCAGGACCATTCTGATTAAGTATCTATCACCTGCTTAACCTCTATTCAAGGTGTTTCCACTACCTCGAGGATTAGCCTCCTTAAATTCATCCCACTCCCTAGCTTTCATCGTCTCAGCATCTGCTTTCTCCATATCATCTTCATCCGGTTCTGGTCGCCTGAAACTGGCCTCTCCTCCGCCCTCGATGATACCTCCACGTCTTCGCTCCTCCTCTAGATATTCGTCGATGGACATGGTCGGAAGATTGTGGCCAGGACGGAATACACCATTTCGAAGATCTTGGCGGTTAGATGTAAGTGTGAATGGTCGTAAAGGCTTTCCTTCTCTACTAAGAAGTGGACCATTGGTTCGTGACATTAAACTATTCAGGGGCGCGTCCAGCCTATCTGAGTAGCCGTCTGATCCAGATGGTCCCCTGCGTCGCCGCTCATCGTCTTCAACCGTTGTCGCCTGTGGCATCAAGGGGATTGGGGCCTGAGCTAATATTTCCATCTCTCGATTGATACCCTCTAGGCCTTGAAATGCCATGTGTGTGCAGAAGGAAATATTTGTGAGATATAGCTCACGAACAGCTTCTTCATCTCCTCCGTCTTCTAGGTAGCGCGGGGAGCTTCGCATGTACTCCAGCTTGTTCTTCAACTCCTTTTCCGCCTTGAAGTTAGCAATTTTAGCATTCCGTCGAGCTGCTGGATCTGTTGTGGATATAGTAGAGAAGGTAGCGGGATCCTCATTGTATTCAGTAAAAAGCTTGCTGTCTGACGCCGACAATATTGAATAATTGTCGAGAAGATGAAGAAATTTCTCATAAACTTCCCGAGTGGTATTTAGCGCGGTTTTCCTTTCTAGAGGTGACTTTGTTGAGACCTTCTGAAGCAACTCAGCCATGCGGTAGCTGACTAGTAAATAAGGGAGGTCTGATGTAGAAATATCCTCGACACTCTCATTAGGACTAAACAGGGCGACCTTGTTGATGATTTGGGTGCATTCCTGGTAAAGCTCTAGCGCCTCGGCTAGATCCTCACGATAGGTAGGTGAGTTCGCCTCGTAAGTACCTTCTAATGCTAATCGCTTGAGCTCAGCGGCTTGGAATACTGCTTTCAACGTTCTCGGTTCCTCACTCATTGTGACGATATCATCAGTAGCGAGACAAACGGTATAAGGCGCACCTGAAAGTTGATAGATGATGGGTTTATCGAAATAAAGTGTGAAAGGGCGAGAAATCGTGTATGACAGAATAAAGTGCCTGTTGAAAAGGTTACCTAGGAGGTACTAAGTAGACTCTAGGCCTGGAGATTAGGTATCGCACCTTCTATATTTCAGGCGTGGATGCAGAGAGGGACGTACTAGTGAGATCATAGCAGGGGCGCACCAGTAACCCGGAAAAGCATTGCTAATCCTGAAGTGGGGCTTCCATACCTTATATACGCATGCTACCCTAAAATCAATACCGAATTCGTATATCCGATTATTGCAAAGTTGAAATAATAGAAAACAGCTTGGAAACACCAGGTTTTGCTCACGAACTTCTTCGTCTCTAAAATCATTTTTATACGATAATGCTATGATTCTACGTTTTTTTTTTTTTTTTTTTTTTTTTTTTTTCGCCAGAAATGATAATTCGTATTATAATTCGTATCGACTTCAAAATCTTTGCCTAAGTATATTCATGCTAAACCAACTCCTCCATGTTCTATTTTGCGATGCGAAAATTTGTCGCCATGGATGGATATTCAAGTATTGGCTCGCTCGAGTCGGGATCGAACGTGTACCATCATAAGATTGGTCGGCCTTTGGAATACAGCAAGCATAACTTAAAATTATACCTCTGTATTGCAGCACGCGCTTTCCTTTACATTCGGATGATGATTGCCTTAACCAAATATCTGGATTGGATGGTTGAAGTTGCGGAAGGTGCAAACACCGCGACTGCTTCAAAATACCGCCGAACCAACTAAGTTCTTCGACTTCTCGCACCTTGATCTAAAAATCTAAAATATTAACGGCTACACCATAACAAATTAATCAATGGATCATAATCTCCTCTTCACCGTACATTTGACTCTTTGTAGCTTCCTCAACTCCAAAGCTTTTAGACTGGGCATCCATCTGCCTGCTGTAACCTTCATCTCACTTCTATCTCTCATTTATCGCTCCTAGTAGCGGTGTAGACATAGTCTCCTATGCATACGGTCGTCCGTGGGCAATAATCCAATATGTCGTCGACGATTATTTTTAAAAGTGTCCAATTTGAACCTAATGCACCTCATACAGATCCCGAAGAGCCGTCAGATGCTGACAATGATTCCGACACAGACAACGATGACTCTCCTAAGGAGCTCATTCAACCCCAAGGAACGGCACGAAAAGTGATTGACAATACGCAGTTTACGCAATTCATGAAAGATCACCAACAAAAAATATTCGGCTCCATCCCGGCCATGAAGGATGAAGCAAAGTCTATGCATTTTCTTGTACGGGAGGCGGAAAGTGAGAATATCATCTCAAGCCCGAGAGAATACCAAACCGAATTATTTGAAAGAGCTAAACAAAAAAATATCATCGCCGTCCTAGATACTGGTTCGTTACCCCGAATATGACTGGTGCCGGTTGGGCTTGGAGCTTACATGGAAACAATTTAGGAACTGGCAAGACGCTTATTGCCGCTCTTCTACTCCGTCATACCATTGAGCAGGAGCTTGAAGACAGGAGTGCTGGCAAACCACCTAGAATTTCCTTCTTTCTGGTTTCTAGTCTCTCATCACACTATTATTGTTGCGGGTACTAACGCGTGCGTAGGTCGATAAAGTTGCATTAGTTCTTCAACAATATGAAGTCCTAAAAGCTAATCTTGATCATCCTGTCAAACGGTTTCATGGCGATGCTGGAGGGTTTTCCCTCGGCTATGATGACTGGCAGCAAAGGATAGAAGAAAACATGGTTATTGTTTGTACGGCAGATATTCTCCTTTCATGCCTCCACCATTCGTTCATCAAGATGGAACGTATCAACCTCCTAGTCTTCGATGAAGCTCACCACACCAAGAAGAATCACCCATACGCCAGAATCATCAAAGACTTTTACGCAATATTAGAGGAAGGCGATCACATACGACCCAGGATTCTAGGCATGACCGCGTCCCCCGTAGACGCCAAAACAGATGTGACTTCCGCCGCCGCCAAGCTTGAGGGACTTTTACATAGCGAAATAGCTACCGTGGCAGATTTCTCGGTCTTCGCCAAGTCATCCATCAACAGGCCAACAGAAAGTGTGATTAAATACAGCATGCCACAGGAGCCCTTTGAAACTCCTCTCTGGCATAGGTTATACAAAATGGTCGGCCAAAACGAGGTCTTTAAAAGGCTGTTTACCTACTCTAGAAATTGTACTACAGAGATGGGTCGGTGGTGTGCAGACCGACTCTGGAAATTATGCTTAACAGAGCAAGAAACCCATAAATTAGAGGCGAAAACCGAGAGAAACTTCATGGATAGAAGAGTGCAGGCACCTATTGCTGCTCTTGATGTGGAGAGGTTTGCGGTTCGGGAGGCATGCCGAATGGTAGCCAACCATATATTACCTGAGCCCCGGAAAGATCCTCTCTACTTGTCCAACAAAGTTGAATCACTCATTGAGACACTGCAGGAGCACTTTGACCCATCTAGCGACAAGTGCATCATATTCGTGGAACAACGCCTTACTGCGTTGTTGCTCGCTGACCTTCTCAAACATCCGAGTATTGATATGCCTTATATGAAGGTTGGCATGTTGGTGAGCAGTCTCAAGTTAGGTAAAAACTGTACCATTGCTAACGAAGAAGCAGTTAGGGGTGGGTAACGACTCTGGAGAAATTGGCATGAGTTTGAAAGACCAATTTGTGGTTATGCACCGGTTTCGAAACCGCGATCTAAACTGCATCTTCGCCACCAGCGTTGGCGAAGAAGGTATCGATATCCCCGACTGCAATATCATCATTCGTTTTGATCCTTGCAAAACCATGATCCAATACATTCAGTCGAGGGGTCGGGCACGGCGCAAAGACTCTAAGTTTTTCCACATGATTGAACGCTCTAATCAAGGACAGCTCCAGTCTGTCTTTGACAACGAAGATAGCGAAGCGCGACTTCGTAAGTTTTATAATACGTTATCGGAAGACCGACTCCTTACTGGTAGCGATTACAACATGGACTACTTCCTATCTCGGGAGAAGAGCCATCGCACATACATTGTACCTTCGACGGGCGCGAAATTGACTTATAAAATCAGCCTTGTGATCCTGGCCAACTTTGTCTCCACTCTACCACGACCATTAGATGCCATCTATACTCCAGATTACATAGTGAGGACCATTGGACGAGAATTTCAGTGTGAAGTTCTTCTTCCAGACTCCTCCCCTATCAAAAGTGCTATTGGGCAACGTGCTGACTCCAAACAAGTCGCTAGGTGCTCGGCCGCTTTTGAGATGTGCCTCCTATTGAAAAAGAAGAAATACTTAGACGATTATTTACAGTCGACGTTCACTAAAAAGCTTCCTACTATGCGCAATGCACATTTGGCTATTAGCTCGAAGAAGCGAGCTGAATATCCCATGCGCACCAAGCCTCGGATATGGGAGAACCGAGGTATGCCGACAAGGTTATTTATAACAGCATTGAGGATGGTTTCCCCAGAAGCCATGGGGAGAGCTTCAAGGCCGCTGGCTATTCTCACCCGGGAACCTCTCCCACAGATAGCAAGGTTCCCTCTATTTTTCGATGACCAGCGTTCCTCGGATGTGGAATGTGTGTCCTTGACCTGTGCCTTCGAAACAACGCCAGAACAAATTGAGCAGCTCACTCATTTCATGCTCAGGATATTTGATGATGTATTCAGTAAGGAGTATCGTTCGGAGCCAGAGAAGATGCCTTACTTCATCGCGCCCCTTATACATGGCCACAAATTTGACTTCGCTCGTATTAGTGAGAATACCCACAGTTTAATCGACTGGGAGTGTCTCTCAGCGATTCAAAATTCTCCAAGGTCTCTTGATTGGGAAAATCAGCCTGATGAATTCTTCGAAAGGAGGTATGTTGTCGACCCCCACGACGGCTCACGTAAATTCTATACAACTCGCCGCCGTAAGGACCTCAAACCGACCGACCCGGAGCTCCCTGGGGTTCCCAAGAAACAGGGGAATAGGAGAGTTACACGGGAGTCATCAAAGGACATTTGGAACTTCAGTATCAGTTTATGGTCGAAGTCGCGCGCTAAATTGGTGATGCGTGATGACTTACCCGTCGTGGAAGCTGAATATATTCCACTCCGACGAAATCTCCTAGACGAGCTCGACAAGCCCGTGGATGTGCAAAGAAGATGTTTCATAATCTTCGAGACTTTGAAGTTGTCCGCAGTAAGTTATCCATATTGCCGTTTGCTGGGATTCTGAGACTAATAGACTTAGTTACCTGTAGATATAGTCGCTATGGCGTACAATTTACCGGCCACGATATATCGAATAGAGACCAGCCTTATCGTACTAGAAGCTTGCGAGTCTCTGTCTCTAAACATTCGACCTGATCTTGCCCTTGAGGCGATGACTAAGGATAGCGACAACACTGAAGAACACTCAGAAGAGCAGGTCAATATCCAACGAGGCATGGGGGAGAACTATGAGCGTCTTGAATTCCTCGGCGACTCATTTTTGAAGATGAGCACGACAATTGGTCTATTTTCCCAGATTCCAGATAGCAACGAGTTCGAGTACCACGTCAACCGCATGGTACTCATTTGCAACAAGAACCTTTTTAATAATGCGCTCGAACTAAAACTCGAGGAATCAATCCGTTCTAAGGGATTTAACCGACGAACGTGGTATCCAGACGGTCTTGATCTACTCAGAGGCAAGCAGAATACTAGCATTCAGGGGAAGAAGGGTGCTGGTCGAGGAGTTCACAACCTGGCAGATAAGTCAATTGCTGACGTCTGTGAGGCACTCATTGGGGCATCTTATTTAACAACGTATGAACAGGGTAGTTTTGACTTGGCTATCCAGGCCGTGACGAAATTCGTCAACCATAAAAACCACAAGATGATGGAATATGGGGACTACTACGCGGCGTATGAAGTTCCGGAATGGCAAAGCGCTGAACCTACAGCCGTTCAGCGGGATGTAGCCAAGCAGATCGAAGCAAAACTTGGTTACAAGTTCACTTATCCACGTCTGCTACGTAGCGCCTTCATGCACCCATCATATGGCACAATTTACGAGCGCATCCCAAACTATCAAAGGCTGGAGTTTCTCGGCGATTCATTGCTCGATATGGTTTGCGTCGACTTCCTGTTTCACCGATATCCGGGTGCAGATCCGCAGTGGCTGACTGAACACAAAATGGCCATGGTGTCGAATCAATTTTTAGGTTGCCTTTGCGTCTCCCTCGGTCTGCAAAAACACATGCTTTCTATGACCACTAGTCTACAAAATGAAATTACAGAATACGTGATCGTGATAACGGAGGCTCGTCAAAAGGCGGAAGAAGACGCCGAGTCTGCTAATCTCGGACGTGCAGCATACGCGAAAAACTTTTGGGTCGAAGTGCAAAAACCACCTAAAGCGCTCCCCGATCTCGTGGAGTCGTACATCGGCGCCCTCTTCGTCGACAGTAAATTCAACTATGGCCAAGTCCAGCGCTTCTTTGAAACGCATATTCAACCATATTTTGAGGACATGCATCTTTACGATACGTTCGCCAACCGACACCCGGTTACGTTCTTGGCGAATATGCTATCGCTGCATTTCCGCTGTGCAAACTGGCGTCTCATGATCCAGGAAATCGGCATGGAGGATGCACCAATAGGCCATTCGCAAGTGCTTTGTGGCGTTATGATCCATGGTCAGGTCCGCGAACACGCTACCGCTAGTAGTGGTCGATCGGCCAAGATTGCGGCTGCGAAGAAGATCATGAAGAGGTTGGCGGAGATAAGTGTGGAGGAATATAAGAAGGAACACGGATGTACCTGCTTGCCCAAGGATGTTGAGAATTCGGATCTCCTGGAACATGCTACGGCTATCTAAGGAGGAGGACACCGGAGGATATACCCACAAAGGTGCATATTGACGCTTTTAAAAGCTTACGTGTAATGATAATGTAGCCGTAAATAACCACGAAATGCGAAGATTTTAAGGAAAAAGAAGGCGTAGAAATGTCTTTCGTGACGCAATCGTACTACTAGTACCCCGCGCCTGCGATAGACCGGTCTCCGAGCGTCCCTAGAATAGAGGGATTTAAACAGCGACATGTATGTCTCACATTTAATCGTCATCTCCTAGAAGTACGCGGCCTACATCATGATAACATGATAATGGGAAGTAGTGTGAATGTAGATTAATATAGTAAATGACTTATCCGTAAGTAGATGACCGAAATTGTAATCAGATTACCGCCACCCTTCATAATCAAGGCATGACCCCATCATGCCTCACTACCTAATAATCCTGTCCACAGCGTCGGGGTATAAAACGCACTCGAGCCTCGCCGGGCCTGGAGTGAACCTAGTTCCATACGCCAAACGTGTCAAACCATAACAAAAATCATTAAAATCATACGCGTACTCTGAGGAGAGATGCTTTCGCAGGGTAATAGGGGGATAGAGGTGCTGTGAAAACCTCTTAACATGTGGGTGTGCGACACAAGCTGCTGTGCTACTTCATCGGTGTTTTCAATGATTTCTCATCATATCATGACTCCACATCCGCATAACTGAATGGGTCATCCAACCCAATTCTTGGGTAACGGATGTCAGCCGCCCTTCCTTTACCTTTTGCCTTGCGCGGTAGTACGCCACTCGCACGCTGCTTTGCCTTGGCTTCCCTACGAAGCACGGCAACCCTACCGGCATCAGGATACTCCGAGCCACCTTCTCTAATAGGCTCGGCGACGTCTTCATACCGCCGTCTACCGCTATAAGAATCGTGCTGAGATGCACCCGAGCGTTTCAAAGGAATGTCGAAATTTAGATCCTCTTCGGAGTCGTATTCTAACTCTGAGGTATCGTCATCCTCTGAATCGGTATAGTTCAAGATTGGCTTTCGAAAACGAGATGATCTTGGCAGAGATGTATACGGCAGGGACCGGCTCGAGTACTGGTATTCTCTGGTGTGAGGTAGCTCCTCAAGGCTAGGAGTGCTGAAGCTAGCTAAGTTATAAGAGCCTCTAAATGCAGAGAGCGTCTTTGTTCGCTCGGATGGAGAAGACTCTGTTTTCGGTAATGCTGCATCGAATAGTCCAGGAAGTCCTGGTAGTTGCGAACCCTCAAATCCGTAACCATGGAAAAGCAGATCCTTCTCGAATTCGCACTCGGGACGTTGAGGGGCTTCAAAGGAATCAACCGACAACGCGTCTTCCTCCAAAGTCAAATCTGTGGAACGCCTTCGCCGACCGGAATTAGCAAGAGATCCTGCTAATGTATCGGGGTCGACTTCTTGGTACGGTGACTCGTCAATTTCAAGTTCCGACTGACTTTCCGTTTCCATGCGTTCGTCCCCAGGCGATAAAGGCGCCTGGCCTGAATCCATAGTTTTTGACAGTAGTACATGAGGTGCAAGGTCCACTGAAGTGTTTGTAGTATGTCCGGATTGCGGCCTAAAGGGATTCGAGCTCATTGTTGAACCCGCCGTCTCGGAGGTCAATGACCAGCGGCGAATGCTACTACCCCTTTCTGGAACAGTGTCTGTAATCCCAGAGCGCTTGCTACTCTTCGCGGACATGGAAGCAATGCTTCGATTATGATCACGATGCATTAATTCGTCTTTACTATTAGGACGACTCCGATTCGACTTCAGCTCTATAAAGCTTGTCAGTAAAGAAAGCATCCGACGATGAAACTGAGGCCACATACTGTAAGTTTCTATGGGTTGTAGCGGTGGCAATTCGTAGAATGCATCGCGAATACCGGGGACCGTCCCATGGTGGCGCCTCATAGAATTGCGATCATTTTCCCCTCGTAAGCTCTCTTCTGCGCTAGGTAGACCAATTTCAGAAACCGGCTCCCTGCGACTGGAAGATGGAAGAGTTTGTATGCTCCCTCTCTTTAATGGCTGGTTGGTGCTAGTTGGAGAAATATTTGAGAGGGTCCTGCGCCGAGAGGGATCCTTTGGCGATTGATACTGAGGCTCTCGCTTCGAAGGGACATAATTAGGATCGGCGTGTGTATGGTACGAACTGTCGCTGTCTATTTCCTGCTCATACCCCGAGGTTGGGTGGGTTTTCCTCGGCGATTGAACTGGCTTAGTTTCCGTAGATAAACTGTATTCGTGATCTCCCCTAGCCATAGAATGCGTCCCTTTTCGGGGAGAGTTAGGGAGGTAGTCAGAATTTACACCTTTATTGTCCTTCCTTATAGGAACATTTGGTATGTCCGAGGAGGAAGGGGGAACAAATGAATGCAACGATTTCCGACGGGGAGCTCTCTGCGTTGGTTTCACAGTGTCGCGAGGTAATTGCAGTGGCACCATCCTAGGGAATGCTTCATCATTTTTAAAAGAGGCCGGCTTACTCTGCGACGCAGATATCATAGTATGCCTTTTCCTTGACGATCGCGGTCCATCGACGACTTCGTCGGCGTCTCGAAGGTCAATAGTGGGAACCTCGGCATGAGATTCTTGGGCTTGCACAGAGCCGAAAGCAAACCCGTTCTCGCGAATATTACGATCCGCGACATCTTCATCATAGTCTTTGGTGCCAGTGGCTCTGACACGACCATAGAAGTTGGCTGGCTTGATTGACGATTGAGCATCTAAGAGGTCGACAAACCTCCTCGTTGAGCCGGAATCGCCACTAAATATCGAAGAGTTACGGTCGCGATTAAATTTTGGAGAAGGTGCAGTATAAATCAGATTATTATTCAAGATATCGTCGTTGCGTTCATCTGATATCTTCGAAGGCAGTTTGTAAGGACCATGTCGCTTTTTGGGAGGTTCTCGCAGTCGTGGTTTTGTTATGGTACTTGATTGGGATTTAGGTCGAGCCGATCCTTGGTTGGTAGGCGCTGTACTTGGACGATCGGCCAGTCGGGGGACCACAGGAGGCGGTGCGGAAACATCATTCAGATGGTTGAGATGAGTTTCTCTCAAATGTGGATGAGATTTTTGGAACTTCTCCAATATGCTGGGTCCATTGCCGGCTACCGGATAGGTGCCTTGAGTGAAATATGTCAGTTCGGAGATTTACCAGATTACTGGGTGGGAAAGCTCGGTTCATACCACAAATGGGAGGACTGGCGGCTATCGTCTCGTCGTACGCTTGTGCTTTGAGATCATCACCCAGATCATTGACGGGGGACTTCTTTGACAAAAAACTCAACCAGCCCATCTTGAGAATTCAAGTATCCATATGCGATATAATAAATTCCGGGCCCATAGAATCTCTTTGTAAATAGTTATCCCTTACTTCTCTTGTTTCTGTACTTGTTTTACGTGAACGCGGGGTTTCATTGGTCGGATAAATAGAATATGTCTGTAGTTACATGTAATAGATGGTAAAATGATAAAACTAGAAATGAAAAATAGATTACGAATTATAAGAAAATATAGTCAAATTTAGGTGAGCAATGGCATGGGATAGCAAAGAGAAGGGAAAGAAAAAGAGTAAAGGCGATAGGAACAATGAACGTGGTGGAGGACTAAAAAAGGGTTGGAAGAGAGAGAAGAAGAGGTTTTGAGCAACATAAAAACGAAAAGCAAGAGTCGGAAGTAGAGAGGTGCCAGGGTACCTTGGTAACTTTAAGGCTGAATGAAAGAGACTTTATTAGGTGATATGGATATTCGTGTACTACATGGATTCAAGGATTTAGTTTAATCAACTGGCATAGGCACTGTAGTAAACTTCGTTGATTAAGGTAGTAACTACGGAGTAGACTTCAAAATCTGCAGCTAACATAACTCTGCAGGTCGTACCTTGCGTTTGTATTTTGATTCCTTTTTTTTTCTTCTTCGATAGCCCGCGATAGTCCCACTCTACCCCCTTGTAAGACCCCACACACCTCCCCTGATTGTCTTCTTGAATTCTCATTGGTTGTTAAAACGTACTCGGTTGCGAAACCATGGAACGACGCCCAGCATCTATCCCTGCCGCCATGAGCCGGTGCAGCTAGCCGTCATCACTCCGAGTACATGTGTCGTTTACAAGTTGTTTATGTGTTTATGAAGGAGATTCGGACTGGAAACTTTCAGTGCGTCATATTCATTATTGTTTGCAGCGAGGCTATGCAGTCCCTCTCTTACTAGGTCGATATCTAAGGCTTCAACGAATAGTTAAATAGAAGCGCCACTATAAACCCAATTTAAGAAGTACTTCCATGTATTACAGGACCCGGTTTCGATAGTTCCACACATGTAAAGTACACCTAAGCGTCTAACCGAATGCTTCAGTGGGGTACATACCTGTATATACGGCCGAAGACTCTGAAGCTACGGGGGTTTTTAACAGAGCTTAAAAGATGTAATGACAGAATAATAATAATAATAGAATAAGTGCCCCCTAATGCGTGTGTATCAACTTCGTACTTCTTTAAGCCAACCTCCTTGAAGTCTTAGATGTACATGGATTCTCTCATACTAAGCAAACATATGATGATACTCCCTAGGTGTGTCGCATTAGGATCTTAATACGTTTCTGCTATTATTCCGGGACGAGGGATTCCCCCTGCGCAAACATGTTCCCACGGTAGTTAATAAAGATAGCCGATCATCAAAGGATAACTAGCTTTGACCAATCAGATATTTATTATGTTTAAACTTATTGATTCCCTCGGATCCTTTTATCCCACCCTTCTTTTTAAAGGGTAGCCGGAGTTGTCGCAGAAAGACGATGTTTTTGAGGGCACATGTAAGAGCTAAGAATCGTTAGAGAAATTTGAGTTTGACGCGACGGCGAAGGGCTTACCTACATGTAGTATGACATCAAGCTCTAGGACCTACAGTACATATGTACTATCTAGTACCCATACCGCTAGAATGGAGATTGAAAAAAGGGGGAATCGGTAGCGTCACCATCCCTGAAAGCTCACCCGTGTACATCCACCCTAGGTACTCTAACTAACGTACCGTAGAACGTAAAAAAGAAGCAAGTACTTAAACTCATTTGCCTACATCTGGTTAGTTACCCGACGAGGCTTTTCGGGGCTTTTATTCGTCACCTTGGTTGGCTTAGCCCGTCCAAATATTTGGAGAAGCTCAAAAACAAACGATGAAATATACCGTCTATTATCAGATCATAAGTTACGTTGCCAGCACTAGTATCGTCTAGCTCGATGTTGTCGTTTCCTCTTTCTTTTTCGACGCGGTCTGTTGCCAGTCGATTGGGAGTGGATTGTTTAATAGTAAGAGGCAACATGCACCATGACCTAATCCCTCTCGACTCGGAGGCACCGGAGTTTGTAATACGGCTTCCAGCATAGAATGACGAACTATCTACACGTACATTAGATACTTCACTTACTAGTCTGATTTAGTGAAGACGGCTGAAGCTTAGGTCCACTAGGCTTATACTACTACTATACAACATAGTAAATCTAAGCGACAATATACAGTTATTAACAAAAGGTCAACTTGGCAAAGCCTACCAAGTAGATACTAAGTTGGTGGACATCGATAACCCCAGAATCGAATTAAGATCAAATTCTCATGTACCGTTTTCCTGGGTCGGTCTACCAGGGGGCTGTTCCGAGTGGCTGCTGACTAGGCGTTGCTCTGGAAAATTCCAAGGTTCTAACAGATTTCCAGCTGTCTCAGTACCCGTACGCAAGGCTGTTTTCTTTACCCATTGTCTCACGCAGATGACATTGGGCAACCGTTAATAGATCTTCTATTTACAATCACAATAAACAGAAACTCAGCTAAAAGTTATTAGTGAAGGGTTGTCTCAAAGATGCGATGTATATCTAAAATCAAATCAGTCGAGCGAACCTACCATGACCGCGAAGTTGCTCTCGTTCATTAAAACTCTAGGTTGCTTGAGATCTATCTTCTACCACGTGGACCGCGACGTTTAGCACTTTGTGCACTTGCAGCGCGTAACCACCCCATCATTACTGTCTTAGACTAGGGGCGCTCTGTGTGTGATCCGAGTCCTTACTTGACACACACCATTTAATTGCGACGGTCTCATTCTAACAACGGGCTAGATTCTTAGCGTCACCGTCGATTGAGTCTAGGAGGCCGCCATGCAGTAAGTGGCCCCAGAATGTGGTACAAACATGACAGTAGTCCCATATATCCTCGTTTCCATCACGAAGAGAATGCGTATATATCGCACGAGCTTGTCAGTTTGTTTGATAACGCCTTGACAATACGCTAGTTGAAATATTTCTGTCTTTTTCCTCCGATGTCTCCAAGATCTCGGTAACAAACAACCTAGAATTAGATCGGTCACATCGTTTGGCGAACAGACCATTCAGTGGACATTGCGCGTTTTCATAAAAATCTGAGATATCCCGTCTCACGATGTAACCGCGTTCTGGCCCCCCAAAGGAATCAGATCCACAGAAACAGATTTAGAATATTGAATGCAGGCGCGAGGCCTCGATGGTATCAACTCGGGCAATATATCCCTTCTAAGATGTGCGGACAATTATACAATATTGGTGAAGTAATATAATAAATCCTTAGGTATCTGCTCAGGATGAATTACAGGGAGCCTTTGTCGAGTACGAAGTGTAACAAATGTGACTAAATATACCTGATAATCGGACCTATCTAGGTGGATAGGAGGCGTGTTATTGGTTTTAATAGCACACCCAAAATGAATATTTAATAGCGAGCCCGTCTATAGGAATATTAAGTTTGTGATTTTATTTCTCACATACCTAGGTATAAATGTTGCGCATCAACGTATTCAAGTAGATTTATATTGTTTCGCTTCAATGGAAAGGAGTATCGATTGAGGGGATATGTTAGAAGTAATACCTGGCTATGAACCCTTGTGTCGCTGTTACTCAATCTTCTTCGTGCGCACCTTCTAAGGAAGATATCTAGGAAGTCGCAACAAGCTACCTTATCCTTCCTCGTAGAAGTAATGGAATATACATTAAATCAAATTGATCAACCGAAAGTGGGAACCGTCCTTACAACCAAGACGTTCTCTCACCTAAATACCATTCCATCACCCCCGTTCATATTCTTCACGACTATCAAAACAATCCCTAGACACATAAAACCTATACAAAATACTTAATGCAAAATCCCCTTGTGGGACAATGACCAAATCGCCCATCTCTGGGCCGAATTCACTCCTTCTAGAAGAACCCACTGTAGGAGACACTTCTCTCTTTCCGTTTGGCCTAGAAGGACACAATATGTGCGAAACGAAGAAGACCGATACGAAATCCAAAGCTGCCGACACTTGCAGCTGGCAAGGTGATAGTCCAGAATCCGAATTGGACGACCTTGCACACGACCATAATCGTCAGCCTGCTGAGACCTGTAGCTGGCATGGTGATTCTCCCGAGCCCGAGATAGACGACCTTGCGCATGACTCAAGACCTCGAGCTACTTCGCATACAGAACCAAAGGTGGTGGTCATCGTACCAGTACCTTCAGACACCCCCATTGAGACTGAGAAGCCGAAGAAACCAGAGGACCGCAAGAAGACTTCAAAGACACCACCGAAGGGTTAGTTGTCGTTTTCCCGACGCAGCCCCCAATGACTAACTAACACTTCACAGAAAAGCCTCGCCATTCTCCTCCTGCTAGTTAGTCACACTGAGCCTCTATGATTCCCGAGCTAACATTGGATACTCCAGGCGCTGAGCCTTCCTGTCAGCACGTCCAAGAGAAACCACCGACAGATAAGGATAAGAACGCCAATGAAACTTTGCAAGAAGACGTTTCTAGCGGAGTCCATAAGGCGTTCGATCTCATTCGAAGCGCTATCAGCCCTCAGTCCGCTTCTAATGAACCAGACGAAGTAGGACCAAAGGAAGATGGGAAGCCGTCCGGTAAAGAGAACCATGTTCCCCTAGAACCTCCTGAAATTTTAGCCGTCCTTACCATAAGTGAACCTCAGATACCCAAGGGTAAAAAGTCCAAAGAAGAAAAAGAGAAGGCCAAGAAAGAGAAGGGAGAGGCCAAGAAGGCTGAGAAGGAGCGGAAAGCCAAAGAAAAGGAGGAAAAGAAAAGACTCAAAAAGGAGAAGGAAATCGAGCGGAAGGAAAAGCGCCGTGCCGACAAAGGCAAGAAGGAAGTCAAAGTGGAAGAGGTTGAACACCATCCTCATCACCATCCTCATCCTCCTCTCGGATCAGAACCCCCGGCTGATGTGGAAAGTTTCACTGTTACCGAGACTCTCCACCATCCTGGATGTCACATCTGCGAACATCCACAAGAGCAGGGGACGATAAACTTCTTGAAAGAATCATTGGACAGTTGGCAAGGCTGGCCTTCATTCTACGACTTAACTGTAGCCGCGAAGAAATTGCTTGGCACGGGAAGTCCAGACGAACCCCACAATACACACCAGTCCGACAAGACTCCTACTCTAGGCGAACAAGATCTGATCGAGCATATTGCGGCACACATTGATAGGCATATACACGAGCACTTTGATATCCAACCACACGAGGGTGGGACCCATGTAGCCAGCAAGGCTCTCCATCCAGCCCACCAGCATAATGGTGAGCAAGAGGGTCGCGAAGATGGTAATCCCGCGAATCATGGCTTAGATGGCAATAAAGACGCGCCCATGACTATTATTCCGGGTCATATCCTCCGCAGCTTAGAACCGGCTTCCGCCCCTGAAATCGGTACCTGCCAGTCTCCTTCTCGAGACTGTTCACCTTATCGCGGCCCGACGAGTCGTTGCGTTTCCCCATGGTGTGAGCAGCTCGGTTTCAAAATGGCTGATTCGCCAAAGCGTAACCCAGCGTGGATGCGAAGAGGGTAAGTGATCGATCTGTTTGCCATGACTTAGCCCTGTATCGTTACATATGTAGTGTCGACGATACGTACTAATTTGTTTGCCGTTAGATTCAATTCAAGTCCGAGTCGGATGAGAGGTTTTGTCACTACCCCTTACCTCCGCGGGCCCCTTTGCTTGCACAGATGCTTTCACGAACATCCCTTGTACACCTGCGTTCCCGTGTCGTTGGTACCGGCTTTATGTCTTGAATCAACTTGCTGTGGACACCATAGCTGTCAATATGCGGAGCCTCCTATGAGCCCTGTATCGCTTCCACATACTCCTTACCCCTCGTATAACTTCGAACCTCTTGGGGTGGTTGAAACAATACCTCCCAGTACCCCTCGTAGAAGCTTTTCGATGAACGAGGCGCCAATAGTGCTATGATATAGTGCTATGATGTAGTGCTATGATGTTTGTCGTGCAATTCATACAACTCTATTATATGACGTGATTGGGGTGTCGGCTAGAAGATTGTGAGCCTAGAAAGGTGGAGTTAGGGGCAAGACGATTGAATGAGCTTGGTAGCCGGTTTTGAAATTGCTAAAAAGGGATTCTTCCGGGGATGTTTTCAAGGTGTTAATAATGAGTATTGCGAGTTGGTATCATTAGATTGTTAGTATTACCCACGCTTTTGTTTATAGGACCTGAACTTGAAAAGTAGATCAACCGTTCCATAGAATTATTGTACTCCTATTTCACCTCCTCTAAGGGGCCTATTGGTTTGGATGTCCATTAACGCATCCCAGTCCTTCCGAATACAACGCCATGATGCGTATAGCACGCTCCGATTTAACGACTCTATTATATTCTTTTCCTGGGGAATAGAAATCTACTCCAACGAACCCGCCAGCGCAACACAGCTAAACCGCATATCGCCGCCTCCACGCTCGAGGAACTTCAACGGGCCCCAGAGCAATGCCTTCTCGGACAAAACATCCTCGTTCTCTGCTAACTTGCCGCGGGCGATGGGGCCCTTCCGTCGACCATCGAGTTCCCAGAGTGTACCACCGTCATGCTCGGTTTTTACGAAACACACGTAGTGTAAATCAACGTCGTCGCGCGCGTCAGGTGCTGTGGTGTTGCCTTGGCTCGCGGCTTCTTGGTGCGCGGAGGCGAGCTCGGGGGTGCGTTCGAGGAGGGCGGCGCGCTCGGCGGGTGGGAGGGGTGTTGAGGCTGCGATTAGGCGGGAGAGGGGGGTATCTGATTCTATAGAGGCGAGGGGTGTAAGCGGATTCAGTCCAGTTTAAAAATTAGATTGATAGTACTCAGTAAGGAGGACTTACCAACGAAACCCTTCGCAGGCCCATTAGAAACAGCGTGCAAAAGACCCATTAACCCACAGGCGTTGCGGATTGTCTGCTTGAACCAGAGAACGGGCTCGCCCTCTCCCTTACCCGCGTATTCTTCTGCGCCGGCGTCTTCGGCTAGACGTGCTGACTCGTAGGTCGCGGATACGGGGAAGACTAAGAGGAGTGCTAGTGCGGGTCGCGGGACGAAGGCTAGGAGTTCCGGCTCAGTGATGGAGTATACGTCGTGGACTTGTAGGGCTTTGCTTAGACCGAGTTTGTGTAGGAGGGTGGTCATGAGCTCGGGGTTCGCTTCGAGCGGGATGAAAGCTAGTGGGCCCGGTGCTGGGTCTGGGTTCGTTGTTGTGGACATTGTTGCTGTTGTGAATGGGGAATGGGGAATGGAGGGGTTTGGATTACGATGTATGAAGGTCGATCGACTAATCTGATGATGAATTTCCCACCTCTAAATGGATGATAGGTTATGACAAGTATTCCAGCGTTTGCACCCGTTTTTTATTAACGAAAGTGTCTACCCTCTTTTAATAAGATAGATGGATTTACTGTGAATGTTTTACTCTATTAAATGTTCTTGGAAACGGACAAAATATATAGTGCCCCGCTATGACAGGGGTACCTGAAGGCAGCTATTCTAGGTAGCAGTATGACGACACGCCTAAGCTGTAGCTATAGTGGATCGCTATCGATAAGACTGTGCATCCTTTTCGGTTCTAGGGATTGCGGAGTTTAATCTCTTTGTTCACAACAAGATTCTAAACGTATAAGATGGGCGAATTTCCTAGTAAAACATAAGATATAAATTGCTTCTCTTCCTTATCATGACATCCCGAAAATCAGGATTCTCTTCTTGTTTATCCCATATTCTTACAGTCGTTAGGCGCTTGCGTCTAACCTCTCCAGTTTCCCCCTTACGCCAAACTCCGAGCGAGCTTTTCCCCAGACCGATTCATAAATAAGATCGATCGTCATATATCGTTCGCAACCGTAGAACCCCCAAAAGACTGCCAAATCAAGAATCCGAGTTCTTCTTCCGGCCCTTACGAGCCTTCTTCAATCCATCGATGCCATCCTGCACCATGTTACCCGCATCACTGACAGCGCTCTGCGACCGCTCCTTAACTTGGTGCTTCTCCGCCTCATCTTGAATATCCTCGACAACATCCTTCCCTACGCTCGTACCGCTAGCCCAATCTAGCAGTCCCCAAGCGCCGAAATTCCCACGTCCTCGACCCGCGTAGTGTGCCGCTGTACGTCGGGCGATGCCACCCATGATAATGCCTGGTACGATGCTGTAGCCAGACATCGAGAGCATTTCCTCCAGTGTTGTTAAGATCGTGAATAAAAAATAGGTGAGTAGGTGTGGCTGGATGGCCATTGCTGGTAGGTACACGGGTAGGGTTCGGTTGAGGAGGAGGGGCAGCGGATGGTCCGTATACACCATGAGTGCGTACGGCGCGCCGCTTTTACGAGCATGTGCATATGCGCCATGAAGTTTCGCTATCCTACCACCCGAGTGAAGGATATACCGGTGGATATGATATGTCAAGACCTCGCGCGCGGTGTAGAGCATCAGGATATGTTTCGCAATTTGCCATGGGAGTGGTAGCGCCGTGCTCGTCTTGAAAAGAGGGTGATGTAGAAATGTTCCCGCACCTATCGAGATGCCGGCTTGCACGGCGGTGCTGAGCGCAAGATTGAAGATGGCAAGTAACACCTGCCGAAGCAACGAGGCTGCATTGCGCTGCGGTAGAGATATAGAGCCATAGAGCTTTATGGGTGCCGCTAAGCTAGGAACTAACGTATCGAATAATAGGAAGAAAAGCGACGGAACTAGCCAGAATACTATGCGCACAGCTAATGTACCGACTAACTCTATCTTCAAGGGCGAATGCGATAGAACGAGGGTTGTCCAGGTCATGTAAAAGAACAATAAGTTCATTGATCCCGACCACGAGGTTAACATCGGCCCGCCGAAGTATGAAACTATCGGAAGTGATAGAAGAAGATCCATATTGTCGGCGTTTTGATATATTAAGTAGACGGGATATTATGACTATAGGTGGCGTTTGCTTTCTGCTTGGTAAGTACGTTTCTTGATATTGTGATGTACGTGACTCTTAAGATAATATTCCAGAAGATGATCGCTCAACTAAACCTAAAGTTACTCAAGGATATACGAAGCAGAAGAACATTTACGGGACGCTGGACTCATCATCTAAAGATTCCTCAGTTTGGGCCTCACCTTGTGTCTTACATCCTTGATTTGCTGTGCACCCTTTTGCTTGAACAACTCAATGACGTATGCTGTGCTGTCATTTGGTAACCAGGCATTTTATTGGTTGCGCGCATAAGGTGAGCTTACCGTCAAGGCGGGAACGGGAAATCTTTGGCCGACATAGAGTCCTGGTTTGACTGCCAAGAAATACATGCAGTAAAGTTGTGGAACGGCCTCGACTGCGGGGCAACTATCCGCTTACGTAGTGTCTAATTGTCTAGGACCAGGGGTGCAGTGGCATCGGAAATACGTAACCATTTTGTAGATTGAATAATTAGCTGCTTAGAAGCGAAATCTAACGAGCAATTCATAAATCAGTCGTGACTGTGACAAGCACCTATCTACATGTCAGCATATATCTAAAGCCATATTGTCTATATTCAGACGAGTAGTTAAGTGAAACTGGATTTTTCATTTTACAAAGTAGGGAAATCATCAACACCACGTGGAAATGCTACCCAAGATTTATAACAGCTGTCTCAGGATGATGCCCTGCAGATGACGAATCATCGTGGAAGTCCGTCCCGGTCTGGTTGCGACGTTATCATCTCGCAAAAAATGTGACAGCGCAATTCTGACTTGGAACCTTCATATGGCTCTAAAATATCAAGTACGCGACGTGGTGACTTTATTCACTTTCTGTGTTTTTGTTTATCAGCCTTCCGAAATGTCAGCTAAAGGACAGACCGTTGAAAAAGTTCCGCAAAATCGCTACATTCCGAACGAAGCTTCATGGGGATTCCTTGTCCTAGGGCGAAAACACTTAGCGTGGCTGATATTGGACCAGGTTAAGGACCATAGCCTCAGGACGAGGCCACGAATTCATTGGTAGGAATCATGGTATCGATAGTAGGCCGTCTTCGAATCTTGTCAAGTCTGTCATTCACGTGGTGTTCGCAGCCTGTCATTCCTCTCGGCGCATAAATACGTCGAAATTGAAAGCTCTGTGCGGCTCTCCGGCGCTGACGATATAATCTAGGGGAAGACCCGGGACTAGGTCATTCACACCAATAATTTCCGGACCTTTGCTGATCGTATTTGATCGTATTGGTCGGTATAAACAAAATAAGGTGTTGTATTGAAAGTTAATCGCGAAAAATACCATACTGTTGATTCTTCGCGGATAAACCCGGCGAAATTGTCGGGCGAGAGTTCTCAAAATGGGAAGCTTTTCGTACGCGATAATTGAAAGATTGACATATCATATCATAGAATCCTATTTTGCATATTGTACGCCTGTCTTTTTACCCATGATATCCATACCTATATGTAGGTGATTAGTATTAGGCAGGTTGAAGCGAGGAATCCGAACTTGAATGAGAGGTTAGGAAAGAATATTCATATATGCTCCTTCAACGATATAATAAGTTGTATCATTATTTCCAGTTTTTAACCATTTGGCTCCCTTGCCGAAGGTTTATTCATGAGCTAAGAGATAAGTCACATTGAATAAGCACAAGCGGAGACATCGTTCGAACTTAAATAATTGAAGTGTTCCCAGCAATTGATTAGCAGCGATCATAGAATAGTCTTCTTCCAATAAGAGGGACCAATTCTTCTATAACTCTCCACTGTAACCCCACGGTCACTAAATTCAGGGCAATTGATCTTCACTAACATTAAACCAGGGGAACAGCTGAGATACTCATTCATCAATAATAATTTCTTGTGCATACCTAGCATATACTTGAAATACTATATGTATGTTGTCTTTTCGCTTTCTCGGACACGCAGCAATTAATCGTCTCACGCCACATATTTCCTGTAAAAGCAACCGGAATAGTACAACCAATTTCTAGCCTTTCGGCTTACTACCAAAGAGCGAGTATACAATTGGTACAAATAACCGTTGAACGTTACGAATGCAACCTACTTCTGATCCAGTACTACTTGACACATATTCTGAAACAATGCCGCATACTCCCATATCAAATATTCGTATCCAATGTTTCGATATAGGTACGCAAGGTTACCTCCCGTCTGGCCATCGAGTCCTCCAATCCTTCGGGACTCTACCTATGTAGGTAGCGGACGAAAGAAAAAGACAATTTCCTCAGGGGCATGCGTGCTAGCTCCAATGATTGGAAGCCCCAAGACTTACGTTAATCTCAATTAGGCTCAGCCTCTTAGGGATTTCCACACTGACACTTTCCCTATTCTCATCCAGTGGAGCAAATAGCGCGGCAACGGGAAATGTCGATCTGAAAGTAGATTCAGACCAATCAAACAAACATAAAAGATGTATTAGCATCTGTGACATGACATACCTGTGATTGTATTACTATGGAAGGAATAGAGGATCAATACGAGCATTGAAAGGACACTTCACGATAGACTTTGAAGTTGCGTATAGTTCGATGTAAGTACTGAGTTAAATCCCTACAATACATTTACAGGTATCACCTGCAGAAATCGGCAGGCACATGCATCATTTACTAGGGTTCCCTTACCGGGTGCACTTACAGGACGTATCGCCGCTATTATGCATTACACTACTAAGTTTGGACAGAGGGGACCCGTACCTGACTGGGCATAACAAGCACAGACTTTCCCGATCAAATGTAAACCTCCAATACATATTATGTACACGAGGCTGTTATCGTGCAATTTAGTACCTAATTGGCCCCTACCTTCTTTACAAAGTACCTGCCTATCCAATAATAATATTATGGTCTAATAATTCGATCGCCCGAAGAAGAGTCCACTCTCCAATTTTCCCCTGAGTCGATTCAAGGGTTTTCTTCTTCTTTTCTTTTTGGGAATTGTAAGACACGCTATGGTCCCGAAAACCGTTATTTTCCATTAATGCGAGCTACGACAATTTTTTTTTCTTCTCCTTTGCTCTTTAGCCAATGTTTCTGCCCACCCTCCTTTGCACTTTTTTGATTTAACCTGCATTTCCCTGTATATACATACATAATCTATACTCTTATACATATGTAACGGTCTCAGATACATTAGTTACATAGATCTACGAGAAAGAGAGGAGACATCCCGCTCCCTCTAGGTACTCGAGTACTCTAGTTGTGTTGGGCAGGTACAGACGAGACCCCGGTCTAAGCGCCTGCTCATAATTCTGGGACCTGCAGCAAGTCCGTCTCGGTATTGACCCAACTTCCTGCAGCATCTGCATTCCGCATTCCATTCGAGTCTGACCTTCCCTTCCCTTTCCTTGACCCTCCTCCACACCTATTGCATCTGCTGCACCTACTGCACCTGCCGCACCCGTCGCATCCTATACCTGTATCAAGTAGGAGCGGGTGTAGCGAGTCCAGGTCGTGCGTACACCGCTCCTGCCGGCTGCAGCAAACAGAGACAAGTAGGTGAGACCAGGCGCAATTAGGCAAAACATCTTTCAGCCCTAGCCTCGATCGCTCTGGTTCATTCCTCTCCTCTCCTTGCTTCCCGCCATGGATTACGCCGCGGGCTCTAAACAGCAGCCAACCGCTACCTCTACCGGACAGCTGCCCCCTATTCCCCGTCAAACTCGTCAATCATCCCGGAGGAAGGCCATTGATCCTTCCATGCACCTGCATTTGCGTAATGACGACAAAGACCGCGCCGGAATAGCTCCAGCCTCTCCCGAAGTAATATCGTCCTTAATCACTAGTCTATCCGTCATCTCGAAGCCCGCGAACAAACATTTCGAGGGCCAGAGCTTGTCTTTACCAAACTCTCCACGACAGGGCAGTTTTGGCGTCGAATACGGCGCCTACTCCGCATCTAAGCTCGGCCGATTGCAGGAAGAAATCGATCTCGACGAATTAGCCGCGAGCCCTCCTACAATTCGAACAGCGAAACCCCCCTCCGGCTTCTCTCCCTTAACTGCCCCTAAATCACCACGTCGCGAGTCGTCGGGGGGATTGAAATCTCTTCTGCGCAATTCATCTAGGCCGTCGTCGAAGGGTTCTGTCTCGTCGCACGATGATACACGTAGTATCGGGAATCTATCAGTCGAACGTGGGGTACCGCCTACCCCTGAACTACGCAAACAACGATCGCATGACAGCTGGGGAAAGAAGCAAGCTCGTAGCCAAAAGGGTTTGATGTACATGAGCTCAAAAGAAAGATTGCGTGCTAGTGAATCCGAGAGAAAACGGGCGAGCTCGGGATCAATTGGTCAATCTAACAGCTTAAATGGTTTGTCGCCTAGACCAGATACAATACTTGCAGAGACGCCGATTCGCGAGGAGCCAAGTGATTCGCCGACAAAAGAAACAATGCCGGACTTGAGCCCATCCGTTGATTCTAGTGGCTTTCAGCGCCCAATTCCGGCCCGCGACTCCTCCCTGCGCAAAACGGGAACTAATGCAAAGAGATCTTCGCATAGATCGTCTCGAACGAAAAGGGATAGCGAAGGTGGTCTTAACGATACAATCCTGGAAGGCTTCGAACATAATCGATCAAGCGAGACGACGCAATCAAGGCGACGGCATTCAAGTCGTGCCAATTCCGAAATCGACACAAGGAAGAGACGAGACGATAGTCTTCCTGCCGAAATGCCACACTCTGCAAGAGTCGGTACATCATCTACCAGGAGAACCCATGAAAGTAATAATAATACGCATGAGCATTCGAGATCGTATTCGAACGATGCAAATGGACTCGAGGACGGCGCCCCGTTCCCGGCGGTATCTCAAGGTAGAAGACGCAGTGCGCATAGTGCCGACCGCAGGAGATCAGGGCGCGCGACTCCTGATCCAGTTGACGTGATTAAACCAAAGCGAAGTAGTTCACGGTTGAAGCGCCTTTCGGCAGGACCCAAGAGTCCAGAGCCAACTGACAGGATGAGGGAATCTGCAACTCCCGAACCAATGGTCGGCTATGAGCGACCTATGAGTGCGGATTCCATCGACGACGCTGTGGAGTCCTACTTATGTTCTCCAAGGCTGTCGCAGAAAATTCGACACCCTCAGACTGGTCGAGTCATTTCGTTTTCCGAGGTTGGCGATGCGGAGGGATCGGCAGTATTTTGCTGTGTCGGTATGGGGCTTACTAGATATATCACAGCGTTTTATGACGAGTTGGCGTTGACGCTCAAACTGCGACTTATCACCCCCGATCGTCCTGGTGTGGGTGACAGTGAGGCTTATGCTGATGGGACAGCAACACCCCTAAGTTGGCCTGGTATGACCACCCCATTCTATTTAATAATACATTTTGCGTAAATACTAACAAAACTTAAAGATGATGTCTATGCGATCTGCCAGGCGCTGAAAATCACGAAATTTTCAATTCTTGCGCATTCTGCGGGAGCAATTTACGCTCTCGCTACAGCACTCCGCATGCCACAGCATATTCGTGGACGTATTCACCTTTTAGCTCCTTGGATTCCGCCATCACAAATGAACGTCTTCGGTACATCACAAGCTTTACCCCCTACTAATGCAATTCCTACGTCTCAACGAATTCTTCGGGCTTTGCCAACTCCCTTCCTTAAGGCGGCAAATAGCTCCTTTATGTCAGCCACAAGCAGTTCTATTACCAGCTCATTACCGAAGACCAGCCCTCGCCGCGGTAAACGGAAGTCATCCGCTCCCGTCGGTCGCGATGCCCCGTCCAATAATCGCCGGGATATTACACCCAATTTAGATAAGGAGAACATAGCTCAGGAAGCCCCAGAAGGGAAGGCTATGCCGCCTTCCGCTACCGAAAATATGGATCGATGTCGACCCGCAGACGATGAATTCAACCCCCAGAATGCTATTATCGCAGCCGCCGCGGACGCTATGGCGGATAAGGAACGGCAAATGACATATGATATGCGACTCACTCACGCGATCTGGGAGCTTGCCACCACAGGGGCCAACCCCGCCGTGGATTTGTTGGTGTGCCTAGAGCGACGACACACAATTGGTTTCCGTTACGTGGATATTACCCGCCCTGTTATCATTCACCACGGTAGCAGGGATACACGCGTCCCTGTTGAGAATGCCAAGTGGCTCGGGAAAACCATGCGACGCTGTGAAGTTCGCGTGCTCGAGGGTGAAGGACACGGTTTGATGGCTAGTGCGACGGTCATGGGCTCCGTATTAATGGAAATAAGCAAAGAATGGGAGGATTGGATGATGCTAACAAATTCTAAACGAACTGACGAGCGAGGCAGAAGCGTACGAGCAAGTGCTCGATAAACAAAAATTAATTATCTACCTATATACGTGGAAACCTACTTTTGAGGGAAGTAGCAGGCCTCATCGACCACAACTTTGGATTATACCCGGCGCCTCGGATTCTTATTTATTTAACGGACTTATTCTGTCATGAACCTAATGGTTATAGGGGGAAAGGGAAGAAAAGGGGATTTTCGCCTTGCCGAAGGAATAATGGTTTCCCTATGCTTTATATCCCTATATTTATCTACTACGCCAAGAATGGCGATGCTTCTATGTTTCAGCGAAGCTCTTAGAAAACCTAGGGTCTATGGGACCATAGCGAGGCAAAGCGTTGCGAGTTTGAGGGTATCAGCTTTTTCTATAACTGAAAAAGCGAGGATACCTAGTGTACAACTAGTCTTAAGTCGAAAAATGGCTTCGTCGATAGTAGCCTGTATAGTACGTAATGTCTAACCCGAATCTTGCTTGAAATAAGCTTACAACGAGGTTCCATGGTTGTGATTGTAATAGTGCTTGTAGGGAGTCATTTTTTCATCATTGTAGGGGAGATGTCCCAGAGTCATAAGCTGCTTTAAGTATTTGCCTAATACGATGTAAGAAGTTACTTTGAACTCCCTCATAGTTTTCACGTATTGATCGCCTTCGATTCGAATGAAGCATATACCCATATATAGAAATATATTTACTATACCCCGATACCTAGGTAACCATGTGCTTAGGTAACGCAGCTGCATTATTACGTGAGAATGTTGTGTGAGTTTCGGCTGCCCCACGTGATTTTCTTCTCTTGGAAGGGTTAGCTTAGGTAATGTTTTAAGGACATGGAGCCCTTGGAAATTTTACTAGACGCGTTTCGTTGCGACAAGAAAGACAAACGGATCGTCAAGCTATCAATGCAAGGCATAACCATCATTTCTTTAATTCTGCCGGTTCCATTCCAACCACCGACATTGCGCAAGACACTCACCGTGTAAACTATTTTTTTTTCTTCTTCTTTTCCACCTCGACATACTGGAAAGCCCTTATTTTGTCTTACTAGTATTCAATTACCCATCCAATTGTCGTCTCGAATCACATCTACCTAACCTCCCCGGATTTTTCACTCCGTAGGTATCGTTTGGCGCGTTACCCATTTTTCAATCTTCCACTTCAACTGCCTACCAGAATGAGATAACGTATACGGCCTAATATCGATACAACATGGAGAAGAAAGTAACTCCTCAGGCGGCGACGTCTTCCTATGCGCCGCGACTGCGCGTATACAACAATTCACTTCTCACCCCCGTTATCCATTCTACTGCACCTACCAACCTCGTATCGCGAACGACGAAACGTGGCACTACCGTAATTAACTACGCCGAAGATGGTTACGATTACGATGATGACGAGGACGATGATTCTCGCAGACGACCTACGGGCCTGCGCAGCCTCAGGCGCGAGGACAGCGCATCTCGAGTAGATCCGAGCGACAAATTCGGAAAAGAAACAAACGCACCAGTTCAACTTCAGGGCATTTGGAGGGATTGGATGATTAAGACTAAGAACCGAGCAGACATAAACTCCCAGGCCCAGGCTGCGATGCCCGTTACTCTCATCCCTATTCGTATCGATGTCGATATACCCGCCTTCATACCCGCGCAGCCCTACCCTCTTCCTCGAGGGCTAGCCCAACCACCTCCTCATATGGACCCTGCGCTATATAGGTCGGGAGAAATGACTGTTCCATACAAGCTACGAGATATTTTCTTGTGGAACTTGCATGAGACAATGATCACTACTGATCAGTTCGCGATGAACCTCGTCCAAGATTTGGATCTTCCTAACCAAGGCGCCATAGCCACCGAGATTAGCAAGCAGATCCGAACCCAACTAGAAGAGTATGCGGGCGTTGCGCTTCACCCGCTTTTCCACTCCGAAGATAAGGCGCCTACAAATGGCTCTTTCCTAGCCCCCCAGTCAAGCTTCCGCGATACCCCCGCCACGCCTACACCTATACCTAGCTCACTACGCGGCCCCGAAACACCGTTCCGAAATGGCCCTGATACTGGCGCTGATACTCCGACGAAAGGCGGCCGCTCTCAAGTACCCGAAATTACGGCTAGTGCCACACCTATCCCAGCCGACTCAGACGACCTTAATCACGATGATACCTACCGATGCATAATACAGTTGAACGTGAACCTATCTTCGCAACTATACACAGACAAATTCGAATGGTCGTTGCTTCACCCTCCCGGAACCGCTGAGGCGTTTGCCAAAGTCACCTGTGCTGATTTAGGTCTCTCTGGTGAATGGGTCCCCGCTCTCACTCACGCGATTTATGAGGCCGTGTTACGCCGAAAGAAGGAGGCTTGTGAGGCGGGTGGCCTTGTGGCCGGCTGGGGTGCGATGGGTGCTGAATTACCCAACGATGCCGCCCACAGCAAGGAGGCAGGTTGGCGATACGAGCCCGAACACCTTGCGGACGACTGGGAGCCTAAGGTAGAGGTCTTGTCGAAGGAGGAGATTGAGAAACGAGAAGTCGACAGAGAACGACAAGTCCGTCGACTCCGCCGAGAAACGGCGAGATTCAGCAGCAATGCCGGTATGATAGGTGGTGTACCCGGCTTAGGCTTTGAAGTCGAAGAGGAACGAATGGGACGTGGAGAACGATCGAAGAAGAAGCGGAGGTTTAGAAGCCTGAGTCCGCTTGGACGATCTGGTACTCCGGGCGGTAGAAATACGCCAGATGTGGGTTACGGCGGAGGTGGTGGTGGAACCCTCAGCGATCAAGAGAGACTGAATTGGCGTTGTTTCCACTGCCGTATCTGGGGTACAAGTGTTTGGGCGGTCAGAGATGGGCCAGCAGGTCCTAGAGTAAGCATACGCTGGTTCTCGACGGTATGGAATATCTGCTAACAAGTCTTCTAGTCCCTCTGTGCCAACTGTGGTCAATTGTATGAGCAGACGAAAAAGCTACCTCGATGGACCAAGAACCTCCATGCGGCGGATTTGCGACCATTTTAGTCTAATGAGTCCGAATGCCCGGCTAAACAGCCCAACAAAAGAAGGAGAAAAGCGAACGGGACAGAGCCGAAAGACGGCTATGTATCGGGAGTTTCATTACGAGAATAAGGCGTTTCTGGACGGATATATCATAGGCGTTCTTTTCCCTCTCATCGTCTGCCAGGAGTCGTTGGTTACGGTTTATACCATTGACAAATCCGCGCGCGGAATCGTGGATAGGGTAATCTAGAGGACTTTGTTTTGCCACGCAGGGGCATTTTCAGAGTCGGCATAGCATGCTTCATTTACTATTTCTTCTTCGCCGTGTTAGCTACGTAGGTAGCTATGCCGCTGCTCTTTGTATACTAGACTACAGGCGCAGATGCTGAGACATGAGATTTGTCGATGGCTCGTTTACGTAAAGTTGAGAAAATACCCAATACCTAATATCAAAGCAGAAACAAGTTACTGTTGCTTATACCCGAATGAAGTTCTATCGAAAATACAAACATGCATGTGATCCTATTTAAAGAGAGCTATTTTTTACATTTCCGGATAGATAGTAGCAACCACCCTAGTAGATCCCCGGGATAATCTTATACGGCACGTCCTTCTTAAACTGCACCCACTGCGCACCATACCTGTTTGAACAGTACTCATCCAACACGCTCACGGCGCGCGAACTTAGATCCCACATCTGTCCAAGGCCAACGATCAACCCGGCTGTCCAGCCAGCTCCTACCATAGCATATCCACCTCGCCACAAAGAGTAGCCGAAGTAATTGATATGGCGCGCCCAGCTCCAGACACCAACTTTGCATACCTTGCCCTGATTCTCGGGACGGTTTTTGAAGGCTTTTCGCTGGCGCTCGGCGGTTGTTTCGAGGGTTAGGCCGGTTATGTAGAGGATGGTTCCGACGACGGTGCTTAGTGGTAATGTGATTGTGGAGTTCGGGGTTGAGAGGAAGGGGAGGGGGATAGTGAGGGTGGGGGACGAGCGGAGGGAGGTTGTGGTGAAGGTTAGGAAGAGGAATGTGTTCACGCTGTTTACGAACGTGTTGTATACGGATACGGCGCTAGCGGCGGATACCGGGAAGGATTCGAAGGATAGGGATGTTTGCCAGTATATTTGTTTTAGGGTTGAGCCGCAGGCCACTAAGGGTAATGTCAGTATAATCCGGCGAGTATAGCTCCTAATTTGGTTGGGGTTTAGATAATTACTCACTTAAGAAGAGGATGACGTTGGAGGGGTGGCCTAGGGAGTCGATTAAGGGGAGACCGGTCCGCAAGACGGAGACGGCGACGGGGAGGGCGGGGGTGAGACCGACCCGAGAGAGAAGAGACGTGCCGAGACCGCCGGGCCGTAGGAGCGCATGCTGTAGTGGAAGATCGAGGGCGCGGAGACCAATGAAGGTTACGGTCCCCCAAGGTGTAGGCGTCCTCTCTCCACGCTTGATCAAATCAAACTTCTTTTGGTTCTTATTGGGGTCGGTCATTTTGGCGAGTTACTGTAGCTTGATATGAATACAGTTGGTTGCTGTTGCTGTCGTGCAGATAGATCTTGATATTCACCACGAAGATAAAAGGAAGTTGTAATGATGATGTCTTAAGATAGTCATAAGTTACAGATATACACTACTTTACATTGTATCACACAGTAGTAACTTATAGAGATTGGTCATGATTCCTGTTGATTATAAAGATCTCAAGACTGTGTTACACTACGGCGAGATCGTAGACCGGTCGTGTACCCCTTATTTCCCTTTTGGGTATAATGTTTACGCCGATATCCCTTCGTAGACTAATTATATGAGAGGAAAGAGCTGTCGGGGCCGAGAACTTATAGGCTTGGCGAGAACTTTTGTTCAATGACGACATTCCGAAATGACTTGCTGAATAATTGTACCGGTGGTACGGACTCTATTGTCACCGGGTAATGCCACGCTATAGGGGTGGTTATATACACTTATTAACCCGATCTAGCTATTCGCGGGCACTAATCGTATTTGAGGATAACCCTGTTCTTCGCATCAATTCTATCTTATCCCGTCCTTGTTTTGTGACTAAGATCGTGGCGTAAAATCATATAATTCATCCGACTTTCATCCCACTTCGATGCTTCGACGTACGCAAAACGAATAAGAACGTCGAGACCAGCTAGCAACGCCGCTTCTTTAGTGTATGCGGTAACAATATTACGAATCCTTCTAGTCATACTATATCAGCTATGCACCATCTCAGGGTAACAACCAGCGATCAACCACAGAGACGCAGAAATGCCCATTAACTCGTTAGTCGTCTTAGTCAGACTTACATACTCTACAGACGATTCAAGACAAGTCGAATGCCTACATATGTAGGTATTCGGATGCCAAGGTAAGATATTAACTACTTAGAGGTAAGCTAGATAGATGGTGTTGTTTTCCAAAGCCCAGGACGATAACCCGTTGGTATCCCTTCAGCGTCAAATCCGACTTTTCAGGATACTTCTGGCTGATATAACATGTGATTTCCATGGAAGACGTTCTGCGGACTTTCCATAAGCTTTCTAACATGGGACGATCCTTTCTGAAGCCGTATGATATAATCTATAAGTCTGGACCTAACTGCTTACAACAATGGTTTCTCTGCGCCGGATCCTACAGCCGGACCCCTGAAGGCTAGGGAAACGGCGCATTCAGCTGCTATTGGAAGCGAATGCGACGCCGTGGGGCAGCGGGTTAACATATTCGACCGTTGACTCACTTACATCGATTATATAAGACCTAAGCAACAAGTCTCCGTCTATTATAAGCAGATCTAGTTGCTAGCACTTAGGCTCACCAACTAGTTCACTCCCCACATCTCACACTCAAAAAAGCTCATCCATCATGGCTGAAGTTCCGGTGGTCCAAATCCTCAATAAGAAGGAATACTTCAAGCAGGCCTTAGTATCTCTTCCTAATGAGACTCTGCCTCCTCTAGCAGACTCGTCCCTGCGCATCCGGACGGAGATATTATGCGTGACTTCCAACAATTTCTCGTACTGCAAGGTCGGTGAATTATTCCACTGGTGGGATATCCACCGAATTCCCGCCTCAACTCCAGCGCCATACAATGATACCTCCGTCTACGGGCGCATTAACTGCTGGGGATATGCCAAGGTGATAGATTCCACGTTCGCCGATGTGCCTAAGGGCAGCTATCTGTACGGGTACTTGCCCATCGGCACGCTACCCCTCGACTTCCAAGTCAAGGCGGGCAATGTGCCGAACCAAGTCATAGTCACGGAGCCGTACCGGCAACAGCAGCTCCCGGTGTACAACCGGTACTTCGTGCATCCACCATCGCTGTCCCAGGCCATTGAAGCCAAGAACGATGCTCTAGGATACGACTCCCTGCTGCGCCCCATGTACCTAACCGCACACTTGATGTCCGGATTCATGTTCCCACCAGACCCAACCCAATCCGTGCAGCTCACACCCGAGCAAGCCTCTCTCTCCGGCGCCGCCGTCATAGTCTTCGCGCCCGGCTCCAAAGTCGGGTTAGCATTCACACACCGTCTCCGCGCCCAATCCCGACCCCAATCAAAACCCGCCGCCATAATCGGCGTCGCATCGCAGTACTCCCGGTCCTTCGTCCAAAGCACCGGCCTCTACGACGGTACCGTGGCCTCAACCACCGACGATCCTCTCACGATCCTCTCCTCCGCAGGCGCCAGCAAAGAGCACAAAGTAACCATATTCGACTTCGGCGGACGCGGTGGCGCAGCTTGGAAATGGGCTGGTGCGATTGTAGCCCAGTACCCAAAGACGCAATTCGTCGTTATCGGCGGTGAAGTCTCGGAACCGTCGGCGGATTGGTCGCCTTCGAAACCACCTGCTGGCGTAGATGTCGCGGCCGTTATGGCGGATACGTTGCTCACGGCTGCTATTAATAAGGTCGGGGAGAAGGAGTACTTTGATGATTACGAGGCAACGTGGGCGGTGCTGCGGAAGGAGGGATTCCGTGGGTTTAAGGTCAATTGGGGTGAGGGTATGGAAGCTGTTAAGGAAGGTTGGGATAAGTTTGCGAAGAACGAGGCCAAAGCCGATGAGGGGCTAGTTTTTAAGATTTAAGAAGCGATAAAGGGAGAGATTGGCGTAAATGATTGGTGTACATGATCTAATCCTGATGCCTTCTATCCGACACTGGGTAATATGTACCAAACCTCTACAATAGTGCAACACATGTCGTGAAACAAGAGTACCAAAATCTTCAAAACAATGAAGTAATTGAACGTAAATCATTTAAATTCATCTAAATTTCAAGTCGCGAGGCGCATCATAACTTCGCAAATACCCCTAATTTGCCTACCATATAAATATCCAAATCCAGATGCCATGATACTCATGGATTATCTTAAACGCCATTACAATGCAAAGTGTTCCCGGCTTCATTCCTTTAAATCCAAAACACCGGCCGAGGGAAAGCCTAGGCTCTAGGCCCGCTGATATAAAATGGTAGTGGTCATGCTGTATCGTCTCCTAAAAAATATCGTAAATGATCACTATATAGTTAAGTGAGTTGTGGTATTCGTCTGCCATGCAGCATTAGTAGCTTCATGACAGGTACCTATCTAGGTACCGAATAGATAAATGCTGATGTAGAGAAGATGAAATGTTAAAAGGGGGTAAGTTGGAAAGGAGGGTCTCAACCCCTTGAAGACGAAGTGGAAGTGAATGATGAATGTTGAAACTTTGGTGGAATAAATGCCAAGAGCTGAGATTTGTGAGTGTCATGTATGAATTGAAGCTTTGCGCCTCAATTGTGCTTTCGGAACGCGAAGCGAACCAACTTGCAGGGAATCCCGAGGCCGGTTACATGCGAATTCCTGTGAGCTCATTAATCAAATTTAGCGCCTCTCGATCCGCCCGAGCTCCCTCTCATCAGAGCTTGGACGTCGACACCAACCCACTTCATTTCCCTCGGCATCGGAGGTGAGACATTTTGGGGAGGAGGGGGTGGTGGTGGCGATTGTTGTTTAATTTGCTTCCTCAGCCGAAGGCGATCGAATAATTCGCTCGAGATCATCTCGAAGCTCATTTTGAGAGACGCACAGGTCTCCCATCGTTCGCCATACCTAGCTAGTGTCCGCATGGTCTTTTCTAAACATGCTAGACTCCTCTCTAGGTTGTCTGCCCCAGGACCACCAGGGCGTGGCGGAAGAGGGGGTGGCGGCGCCTTGCCAAGTTCGACGAGTGGTAATGGCGGGGTGACACCAGCAAGAAGCAAATCTTCGGCATCACGAAGGACCGCGACGAACTGACTAGCCATGAAGAAGACACGTAAGGCATCGTGATAGGTATAAAAGGCGGTTTTCATCCCGCTATGGGAAATTTCGAATATGCGATCGAGGTACGCAATGGCATGCTCGAAGATGAGTAATCGGCCATAATCTGTCATATGAGGAGCCCTAGCTGAAGGAGCAATGCAATAAACATAACTGTACCGCAACTCAAGGTCAAATAACTCCCTCATACCAACGGGCAATGAGGTAGGGAGCGCCTCGGCCCATTCTCTCATATCTTGGCACATCTGCCAGATAAATGAAGTTGAGTCGTGCAGTGGGGTTGGTTCCGCTTGGAATAATGCTTGGTACCAATGTGACTGGGCTCGTCGTAGTTGAAAAAGTAAAAATGCTGGCTCGGATCCTGAAAGGATTTTACCAGTGATTGACGCTCGGCGACTGAAGGATGAAGGTCTTGGCCAAGCGACATTTGTAGAAGCATCAGTAAAGGAAAAGGCTCGTGCATGAACCATACTTATGGATCTTGATGAAAAAATTAGCACTTCTGAAACCACAAAGGGTAATTCATTTGCATACCTGTCTAAGGAATAAACACAGTAGAAAGTCTTCCGTCTCATGTCCAACACCGCTTTATCTGATAGTTGCTCAGGTGGAGGGTCCTGGTGGAACCCTAGGTCAATCACTGCCCTGGAGGTGAATCCTATTAAATGCCAACTGTCGAAATGGGTAGGGTCAAGCATCGAGTACTCCGTGAGAAGAATTAATGATTGGATTTGTGTCGTATACCCAGGCATCAATGCTCTATCGGCATATCGCAAGGCTTGTGAAACAAAGCGCAACCCATTATTATAGTGTTCGTCGTTCTTTACCCGACTCTGGGAGGTGGACGCTATGGCCAACACCATAAATACAAGCCAATAGTCGGAATCCTTGATTGTGCGATCTTGGAACGAATACATTTGCTCTAGTACGGTATAGAGAGTTGTCTCGGGGAATGCAGGATATAGCGAGTAAATATTCGCCATATAGTGTTGAACCAGAGCGATAGCATCTTGCCTAGAAGGTAGGTTCCAATCCACGATGTGCGGAAGAGGGTCATTAGAAGCCGCAGCTAGTACAAGGCGTGCGAACGTCATGTTGCCCATTGAGGGCTCAAAATCCCTTGTGGTAGCATTGATTGATCTATTTTCCATATTAGTGTTTTGTGTGATACGGAAGTTTAAGACTTCAATGACTCACAAGAAGCCAAAATCAGACATCAAAGAATTGACATCTGACATCTCTCGTTTCCGTGCGGCTTTTCGATATATAGCGGCTTTAATGGTTGCGAGCGAATCCTTCCGATCGGGCTCCAGTTGCGCTGGTGGCACCTCAGATTCATGTTGAGCGACTGAGGCCTTTCTCGACCGAGCGTAATCCAATCGCTTTTCTAGTTTTTCTATGCGAAGTTCGAGTGCGGCGACATAGCTAAGAGCGTTTTGTAAGTATACAATAAGGGGTATTAGATAATGAGTGAAAAATGAGGGGCCTCACCTCCGTTCCTTGCCTCTCGCGAATTGATCGTTAGCAGCCGAGCACTCATTCTCGCGACCAGCCTTTTCGCAGGCCGTGCATGCCGGGAGCTTCCCATCGCACTGGAAGCCTTGTCATTAGTATATGGTGTTATATTGTATTATGTAATAATCATTATAATAGGGCTGGTTGTCTACCTTGACTTTAGCTGCTCGACCTGTTCCTCATAGTTTAGCTTTAACATTCTGAGGTGATTTGTATGTAATATGTATGAGAGGACTAACATCTTGAACAGGCTGATACCGGTCGTGATACGCGCAACAACGGATTATCCGAAAAACTTGATCGAGGCATATTGCCCGTTGTGAAGTGAGGGCTCGAGCGGTATAGCTTCTCAGTTGTGGTTCCCCGTTATTCTAGGGTCTCGGCTGTTCTCTTTTAAAGTATAATATAGCGCGGCTTCAAGTGGAGATATAGTGTCCACAACAGCGGTAGTTATTCTAGCGTGATGAAGTATTAAAATCTGTGTGAGCGCGGCTCTTGGTAAGATGCGGTGGACTTAGATGATGACGTTTAGATAGGCATATTGAGTCGTTAATGTTATAGAATGAAAATAAGATATTGTGCGGCAAAACAGGGAAACGAAAGGGGAAAGTTGTTAGTAATAGGAGATATGAAGACTGTATTAAGAGTAATAAAAGTAATAATAGTTTGTTGTAGGATTAAGATTCTGAGGTATGCACGTGGATATACCGCCTTCTAAGCCTTGAATGTTGGGGTTCAAGGTTCAAGTGTACTGGTAGTAGAAACAAGGCGGGCTGATTATTTCGGATTGCCGTTATTAATACGGTCAACCAAGATGGGCTTATTTTCGCTATGGACAGTAATATCTGGCGTAGCCTGCAGCGTCCCGAGATGTGGGTCAGACCGTCTGTCCTACCATCTAAAACAAAGTAGAGGTGTAGAAGGTGCGGTGCGCGAGATATTGATAGCGGATAGCGGTAGACTGCGGAAGCTGGACGTATGTACAAACTACGTACCACGCTAACTGTGGGGGGGTTTGCGCCGGTTTGCGAACGATTTGAAGTTGCCCTTGTCGTAATTGTTTAGTGTTTAAGGTTACTTTCCTTACGTTCTTTCCCTGATGTCGAATTGATTATCTCACTATACATGGGTATAATGTACAATACATGGGTTCAACTTCGTCGGCTCCTTTCTAAGAAAGCTTAATAAAGCACAAGTTAAAAAGGAGAATCAGGCGACAGAAGTCTATTGTCTAACTGATGACTCGCGGGGTTTCTTTCTTCTCCGACCGCCAAAGGAATGCAGTGTGAAGACACTTGTTTAATTTTTGCTATTTCTGTCCTAAACTACCCCGGTCGTCAAACAATATCTACTCCGAGTAAGTGGGATCTTGCTGATGATGGGTACTTAACATAGATTACCGTATAGATCTCGCGCGCGTAATATCTACGCTAAGCGTAGGTGTGCCGGTACCTAACCGGGAGCTGAGCTCCTCCTTACGTCGGGGGAGGAATACCAACCCGGCTCATTCCCCCAGTTGAACCCAGTACCAGATTGGCGACCGGATGGGCGAACCTGCACAAAAACGTCAAACTTATGAAATCATTCCCGTTCCTTTTTGGGTACATTGGCGTCTCATTTAGGTCTCTCGGCCGATTATCAGAACAGATTCAGGAATCAACAGACCCGGTTGCTACGCCCCCATCCCACTTTGACAAGAAGATTCCATGCGCAATGCTGTAGACTTTCTGCTCCTTGTTGGTGGAATAGCTCTCACGGAATTTCCATATAGAGATATATAGTTGGTTGTCCAGCCCGCCACATGTCGCCTGATAGAACTGCCTCGCAAGGCAGTGTGACGGGCAGCCTCGATAAGGAGAAGTTCAACTCTGTTCTGTCAGGTTTGCAGTTTCGCGGTCGTCTCAAACGTGCATAGATGGATTGTGCACATGTTGGTTTGACATTTTATTAACCAACCGAGAAAAGTGAAGTTTGCGTGGGTACCTAGGTTATTGACATGTAGGTGCTTGTCTCTTCCACTAACTACGTAAATCACCACCCTATAAACATTGTAAGACGTAGTATAGATATTTGTAGTCATGTTAGTGGATCCTTAAAAGCGATGTGACAGTTGCAAAAAGGACTCAATTTGGAAGTGTCTCCAATATAATAAGTACCGTAGACAGAAGATGTATTCCAAGAATAGAAACGGAAATTTGTCGTTAGACTAGGGGAAAATCCATCCTGGGGCGAGTTTCGCCGCACGCGTGGGCTAAGTGGTATCGAACGAATCTGGCGGGACTTTGTAAATCCAGAGAGTTGCAAGTCGGAACTGAGATGCATAAAAATCAACAAAAACAGAATGAAACCGTAGCTGCACTGCTAATCAATTTCGATATCAAGCTTCGTGGCGAAGTCAATTGAAGGGATCAAAAAATGAAACGGTTGACTAAAGAAGGAATTACGAGCGAACCCTTCAAGGGGTTACATATCAGCAGAAGACCTACATAACCGTACACTAAGTAGCAAAGCCTGCGTACATATGTAGCTTAGGGCTGTTTCGTTGCCTATATACGTATTATGTTACGATAACTCTCACGATGATTACATAGATACATAGATAGATCGGAAAGAGTCCCGCGCCGTATCTAATCGGTGCTCTAATTTCCCGAGTACCTAAGTACCTAGGTAGTCTCATAGATATAAGTCTAAATCTAATATATCCTCATGGGTTGCGATATCCCCGTGCTTCATATATATACTTGGTGCTCTACGGCCGCTTCCTCTTTCCCGCACTTAATGCCCTGTTAGACTTGTAACTAAAAGTGTAAATTCGTTACATAAGGTACTTACGTACTGTAAGTACTTTACTAAGCAGAACCTATCTTGTGGTACGTCTGACTAAGTACAATCCTTAGGCTAACGGACGGGTAGCCCAGGCTAGTGCAGGTACATTACATAAGTTAAACACGCATACTAACGTTCGCATAATAGGTACATTAGAATACATTATATACGTATATACAATACACCGTTCATACGTAAAGGATGTACTCTAAAACCGAGAATGGATATTACAACCTCGACGGCGACGATTCTCCCTTCTTCAGCCGAATTTACGAGACTTTCTTCTCCGACGTCCCCAAAATTCAAATCCAAAACCATGATAAAGTAAAATTCAATCACCAACAACCTCCCACTCTCAAACGCGAACAAGAAGACAGTTGGCTTTCCCAGCTCCCTCCCCACCCCGCTTTCATTCCCGAGACCACGAGCCCACGAAGTTGTGTGCGACCAACGAATGATTTTCTCCGCGTCCCGGGATCCCAGGTGAAAAGGCACAAGCCGCTGTCTCACGACTCAAGAGATCAAAGGCCCTTGGAAACGATTCCCGAACCTCCCATGGATGCCTCTAGTGTTTTCCGCCAAGTCCAAGGCTTTGGGGCGTACAACCCGAGACCGCCGCAAGGCCCCCAGCAGAAGAAGACTGTTAAAGTGGAAGATCACGGCGACAACGACGGTGAAAACTCTCACCGAATAGCCCACACACTTACGGCTTGCTGCCGATGCCGCCAGGTGAGTACCTGTCCTGCGAGCTCTAGTGGAAGGATATTTGCCTGACTTAATTCAATTATTAGAGGAAAACACGTTGCGATCCCACACTGCCTCGCTGCCTACCATGCGAGCGGTCAGGCTCCACCTGCGAATACTTCGATACGGCAAAGAACAAGAGAATTAGTCGGTATTATGTTGTCAAGCTCCAGGAAAAGGTGCGGGCACTCGAGGCCGAGCTTGGTCAATTCACCGACGAAGATGACTTCCCAAAGAACCACGAAGATTTCATCCGGCCGGGCGGTCTGGTTCGATTGAATGAGACGGATGAGACACCTCGTTATCTCGGCCCTTCTAGTGGTATTGCCATGACGCGCATACTGATGGAAGAAGCAAAGCGGTATACAGATTCGAAACGTATATCAGAGCTAATACCGGATGTTCGGGGACGGCGCCAAACCGCCGCGCCTGGCACACGCATGCCTGGGACACGGTCGCAGTCTTTTGCCATGCCGCCGTCTCTATCAGCGAGGAAGAAGAGTTATCCTATAATCAGTGGCGTCGCTGCACAGAATCTCCCAAGCAGAGCAATCGCTGATAAACTGGTAGAAGTGTTTCATCAGCGGGGTGAGTTGATTTCTTTAACTGATGGGGGGACATCTCAACTAACTGGTTATCATAGCACAAGTGTTTACTCCGACTTTCCACGAGAAAGCATTGGAAGTGACAGTTGATGAGGTCTACGCTGGAAGTACAGATCCATATCAGAACTTTGTCGTTCGATTGGTTATGGCGACAAGTATGCAGAAACTAGATGCTACGTACGCGGGTCTTGCCGATAGCTACTACCTAGCTGCCATGCGATATTTTGAAGATGTCATCCGACCTAAGGATCTCAAGACTCTTCAATGCCTTATCTTAATTGGCCAGTATTCACTACTGACGCCTACTCGGACGGCTGTATACTACGTTATCGGCTTAGCGACGAGGATCTGCCAGCAGCTGGGTTTTGCCGACGAGAAGACCATTTCCGTAGGTGTAAATGACCCTTTGACTTTAGATATGCGACGTCGGTTGAGCTGGATCGTTACTAGCATGGAGCTTGGCCTTGCCTATAGTATGGGTCGTCCAAATGGATTCGCCAAAAGTGACGATATAAACGACGTCAAGTTCTTCGAGACCGTGAGCGACGCGAATATTCGCGAGACTGGAATTATTCCCGGACCTCCAGACGAGAAGAAACTAGTTGCTATACACTTTTGCAAGATGCGAATGCTTCAAGCAGAGATCCGCCGTACGTTATATGAAAAGAAGTATGCGGAGCCCAAGGATGACCGTAATCCATGGTTTGCGGATGTAGAGTCTCGGATGAACCAATGGTATAAGGAGTGTCCTGAGAACCCTCAGTGGTGTAAGCCTTGGTATGTATTGAATGTCAACCGACAACATCTGCCCCGTCGCGCTTGACTTAATTTTACTAACATTATTGTAGGTTTTCGGGACGATTCCACACTATGATAATATCACTTTACCGGCCATCGCCTCAGGTGCCTAAACCATCCATCCACGCGGCTACAAAATGTTTTGAGTCGGCTTCTTTCGTTATTGATATCTCGAGTAAACAGATGATGGCTGCCGCTGTTGATATTACCTGGGTGTTCATATTAACTCTCTACATGTCACTTAACACCCTTTTATGGAGTGTCACGTACCCCGAAGTTCGTGCACTACGTTCACGAGATGAAGTGCAAGAGTTGGTCAACATAGCTTTGGATATTGTTGACCAATGCGTTGAAAGATGGCCGGGTACCGCGGCGGCATCCCAATTATACTCAACCTTCGCCAAGGCCTGCCTTCAAAGTTACGATTCAAACGAGACTCCTGCGTTAACGAACTCGAGTTCGTTCAACACACCGGCATCTCAAACAGACACAAGTTCGCCTCCGCCATCTGAATTCTCAAATGCGACTACTATGTCTGCGGGCGGACCTCCTTTCCAGCCGCCACAGTTCGGTTATGTTTTTGGCTCGGGTCCAGAAGAGGTGAACGGTTATAAGGTCGAAAGCTTCCCCCCGCAGCCTACGTTTAGATCCAATTCTATTTTCCTCAATCCGGCCTCTAATGACAATACTGGACGTCGCTTCAGCTATTTCCCTCCCGACTTTACCCAGTCAGGAGATTTGCCGCTTATGGAGGAGTCGAGTCCTCCAGAAACTGATGCGACTGTGTCTCCACCTTATATATCTTCTACACAACATCTCCCGACGCCTCCTGAGTCAATGACTGCGGGTACTGCCTCTACACCAGCCATGGGAACCCCACTACTTGCCACACCAATGCTTTCAACTGCCAGTCTGGCCCAGACTCCCTCTGATATATCAACGCCCGGTACATTACCGCCGCAACAACACACAGCTGCATCAACCTTCAATATTCCAACATCTCAACAGCAGTCACAGGGGCAACGCCCTCTGCCTGAGGTCACGGACTGGTTGAACCCACCACCGCCGTTTATGTCGCCTTATGCTTTCGGTAGCGGATTAGGCGGTAACTTCTGGGCTGACTCCGGCGCAAATGGTTTTGGCGATATTGGCATGGACGATGTGCCGTTCTCCAATGGGTTCATGGCAGAACGACAAGGAAGCCTAAGCCAGGCGCAGCAGATCGAGCTTATGGATGTCCTAGAATCTGAAGGAATGACAGACATAGACACGTATCTAAACATGGGAATGGGATTTTCAAACAATCTTATGGGTAACGGGGAAATAAACTGGGGCGGACGCTCGTAAACTAAAAGGTTACTATTTAGGAGGCATATTCGCATTGTCGATCTATACGATTAGGAGGGGTTCATCCTTTTCACAATTTTCATTTTACTTAGGTTGATCTGGGAAGGTATATGTGGGGATACTTGCTGGTAGATACCATTTTCTGGCGTTTAGATAGTATGGGGCGAACGACTGTATGTTTGAATGAATGATTGAATTGCTATTTTGTCAAAATTTCTGGTTGAAGTTTGGTTATGTACCTACCTAGGGTATGTGATGAGTTGTGTCCAGTAGCCTGATCCTAATTCGATATCGCTGACGCCGTTGGGACGAATCTAATAATTTACTCGTGCAGGCCCGAGCATGTGGTAAGCCTCGACGCGTCGGCTCTCGCTAAGAGCGCCGTGGAGGTTGGGGATGGAATAACTATAAGTGGTGGAATTTCAACTATGGGGGATTTCTCCGCAACTAGTTATTCTCACTATACTAGTTCCAATGATACCCCGGACCCAGCGCCCGGGGTAGCGTCGTTGCCCCATCATCTCATCCCCAGAGACGGGAATCTGGCCCAGCAGTTTGGGTGAGTACTATATATCCAAAAATCAAGCACTCGGGTAGTAGATTAAGTCGTAGATCCTCGTAATTGGTGGATAGGATGTGCGTCCCGATAGCTTGGATAGATTTCCCCACCGAGCTGAGCTGCTGACTAGAAGCTATCGTGTTAAGCATTCGATCAAAATGGGAGGCGGGGTAGTCGCTTATAGACGAAGCGAAGGTATACCCTGGCCGATGGAGTGCACTCTAGCGAGGCTAGCTATTCTCAGCTGATTGAGTCTTTATAGCTCGATGTATATATACGAAAGAATTTCCTCCATTCCTAACTATATCCTCTCTTCCTTGGCCAGTTACCGTTATATCACGATTTGAAGCTTGGCTTCGCTATTAAGATGGCGAGTTCAAAGAGACTCTACAACTGGTAAGTTTTACGTATTTGTATCTAATTGGGAATGCGAGGCTAAGATTCAACAGGTACATTGCCCTTGTGGCAGCAATGTGTATGGTATTGTATGGTTACGATGCCTCGGTCTTCAACGCTGCCCAAGGTTCGGATAATTGGCTCGAGTGGTTTGACCTTGATACGGTATGTACCCCCACCCCCGAAAGGATGGTTTGAGTCTAGCTAACATATATGGCTTGTAGAAAAAAGACGCGAATTTGATCGGATTAGTAAATACGGCTTATACCATCGGCGCTATTGTTGCCGGTTGGTTCTTCGGCGGCCCGACTGTAAGTTTCGGCCGTGCGTTTGGTGTATGAATTAACGCTGACAACCCACAGGCGGATTACTTCGGTCGACGAGTCGGCATGGCTGCGGGCTGTGTACTGACCATCGCCGCTACCTTCATGCAAGCCTTCGCTCCGTGGCATAATCTCGGATGCTTCATCGGCGGACGTGTACTAATTGGTATTGGCCAGGGAATGGCTCTTAGTGCGCGAAATCCCTCATACCTACCTTTTTTATAATATCGGGTTGACTAACACTCAACTAGCCGCCGGACCAATTTACATTGGCGAGGTCTCGCCACCCGAAATCCGTGGTCAAATCATGACCTTCTGGCAAATGTTCTACAGCGTCGGTTCCTTCATCGCATACTGGATCGCCTACGCCTGCAACGCCAACAAGGAGAAGCTCGGTCATTGGGATTGGCGTATGGTCGTCATTTTCCAAATGCTCGTACCTATTATAATTATCGTTCTCCTACCCTTCCAGCCGGAATCCCCACGATGGTGGATCAAGCGCCACAACAACATCGAGGAAGCTAAGAAGGCCCTTCGAAAAATCCGCGAAACGGAACAGGATGTCGAGTTCGAGGTTCTTGCTATCCGCGAAGCTATTGAGTTCGAGAATGAGGCCGTAAGCGGATCATACCTTGCCTTGTTCAAGGATCCATCTGTTCGCAAGCGTCTATATCTCGCCTTTATTCTGAATGTCGGACAACAACTTTCCGGCCAAGGCACGCTGAACTCATACTCGAGCGCCATCTATAAGACAATATGGACCTCTTCCCAGACTATCAATTTGATCAACGCGCTAAATGCGACATGCGGAATCCTCTTTACTCTCAACGCCGTATGGACTGCTGACAGATTCGGTCGACGATGGCTATTTATCGTCGGCGCCATCGGAATGGGAATTTGCATGATGATCGTACCGGTCGTTGGAATGACGACACCCAATGTGATCGGAGCTAAGGGCGTGGCGACAAAAACACAACCCGTAGGAATTGCCATTGTATTCCTATTATTCCTCTTCATCTTTTTCTACAAGCCGTCCTGGGGCGCGACGACTTGGATCTGGACCTCCGAAGTATTCAGTATGAATGTTCGAGCCCAAGCCGTAGGCATGTGCTCTCAGATGCAAAATGTCGCGAACACCATCTTCCAACAATTCTTCCCCATTTTCTTGGCCAACACGGGGTTGAAGTGCCTGTTCTTCTTTATGGCAATGAATTTTGTCCTCGCAGTTTTTGTGTGGTTCTGCATCCCCGAGACTATGAAAGTTCCGCTCGAGGAGATCGATGCGCTTTTTGGTGGTCAAAACCACGTAGAGAAGGGTGGACAAATCCTAAATGCCACCGAGGCGCACCACGGGAATGACGAAAAGAACAGCGTTGAGATCCAGCAGAATGAATCTCCGAGGAGGGTTGATGTTTAATATGATATGGCTTAATTATATTTGAAGCGAGGAAATATAGCGACTCCATACCCAAATCTAGTTTTTGAAAACTAATAGTTGTATTCTTGATCCAAGCGAATCTAACCGGTGATTACAATGCGTATCGAAACATAACCTACTCCAAATTAGATCTGGAATGCCCCAATGAAGGGTAGTGAACTTACATTATTTTTATCAGTTACATCCTCGAAACCTTGGAGATTGCTCTGCCTTTTCATCTCGGCAATTTCTTCCTCCGATTTGCCCTCTAAACCCTTGTCTCTTCTCTTGTTTTCAAGGACGTGAAGTATGCGTAAGACTTGGTTCAAGACCAGGTTTAAAATAAAACCGCAGAGCATAGCCACGATGCCACTATGATAAGCGGGCGCTTCTGTGCTTTTGAAAAATTGGGGTCCTGCAATCTGGCCGACGCAGTAACAGACAAAGACCCAGCCCGAAGCCACTGACCTCTTAGTGCTACCTGCAATATTGGTTGAAAGTAGGCCGAGGATTATCATGAATCCAACGGGATACGTGCCCTTCATCACATATATTAGACTGGAATGAAAGAAAGAAGACCCGTAGAAGAGGGCGATTGTAACTCACCAGCAACCAGACCCCTACAAGTCGGCCCCACCTACTTGTAGGCTGAAGCTGGTTGATCAATACCGTGCCTACAATCTTTAATCATTATTAAAATTAATGCGTCAATTCAGGGTCGAGGTGTACATACTGGAGGTATCATGGCAAGAGATCCGATATGCAGACGAGAATTACGTAATCGAGCAGCCAAAAGACCTGAACCAAGTTGTGCCACTGCTTGAACGGCGGATAGAGGCAAGTTTAACAGAGTAGTCTGCAATGGAGTAAATCCAAAACCTTGAATAATCAAAGAGCCAAACGAGAGGCCACCGGATGCGATAGCGTTGACAAAAGAGATAAGGCCTATAACGATGACTTTGGGGTCGGTAGCCGCTTCTATAACCTGTGCATTCACAAAACGGCGAGACTTGGTGCCGGTTTTGTTTTCGATTACTCGTTGAATAGCGACGACTTTTTCGTCCTCATCTAACCACTTGACGCTTGTTGGGCTGTCTGGCACGAAAAGTGTAAATGCGACTCCCCATATGATAGTAAGAGCTCCCAAAATAAGGTAGATGTACTTCCTGCAGCAGTGTTAGCATTAGGAGTTATTGGGTAGGTATTAACTCCAGTGTAAGAGAAAAACATCTTGTTGGAAGCGGTATATAATAGATTTCATACCAATTAGACAAAGCGCCTTGAATATGGCCAATCCCATAAGCCAGCAAGGTTCCGACGAAACTGCCAACGCCAAGGAAAGAGATCCAAAGAGCTGAGCGACCAGCTTGTTCTTGTCTAGTCCACCATATGCCTGTGACGGCAACGAATCCAGGCGAGATAGTCGCTTCAACAACACCTAACATGAACCGTACGGTAGCAAGTCCGGCGAAAGATGAGCATGCTGCTGTTGTCATAAGAATCGCGCCCCATAGAATTATATTGACACCAAGAAATTTGGCTACTGGAAACCTCTGAATGATCGCAATGCCGGGATATTCAGCGACGAGATAACCTATAGCTCTTAGTATATACTATCAATAAGTAGGTGCGGTAAGTCCCCACCAAAGTAGAAAATAGAACTGGCCCATGAATAATCTTGGCCCTGGAGTTTATTGTCCGGAATGATGCCGTAAACTGATGAATAACCCAAAGACGTTTTGTCGATAAATTGTAGAGCATAAGTAATGCAGAGAAACGGTAAAATTCTGTAATCAATCTTCCTTCGGACTTTACGCGATGTTTCCTCGTCTGCCGCGACGCTTGTTAAAGCCTTGACGGCTAAGCCTCCTGCTTCATCCTTAATATCCAATTTCAACGCTTCAGTATCATGAACACTCGATGAGGCGGCGAAGTCCTTTTGTTCTATGGGCTCCGAAGTCATCTTGGTTATGTCTGGGCCTCGGTATTATGATGTACCGAATTCACTCTTTTTACCAACGGAAGCTGTCTCGAGTCAAAGTCATACGCCTATATCGGTTAACTAGTAAATGGAAACTATCCATACTTAAGTATTTATATATCAATTAAATATTCTCATATCTCGTATCTTGTAGCAGTTCCGACGGCCAAGTCCGATGAAAGTAGACCATAACAATGAACTCCAATTTTAGGTAATCGGATAGACAAATCGGCAAGTGCCTATTATCTTCAAGACTAAAAGCGATCTCCTTGAAATGCGACTAACTGACGTGCGTATCGCCCTAGCCATGTGCTTCCCTGGTAGGTAACTACCCTAAAGGGGAAGTCTCAGGCAATCGTCGCAGAGCTCGCAGACACTAAACGTGTGGGGTAGATAGGTACCCGATTAGGGAGTTGCAATGCCTCGGGACCTCAGTGTCAGGGTAATAGATAGGCTAATTGCAACTTGAACCTCGAAAGTCTTGGGAAGTCATCAAGGTTCACGCAATCACGTGTTTAATGTTCTTCTCTTCTTGAATCCTTGGATAAAGAAAATATTCCTTACCTTTTATTTCATCTTGGTATTTTGATGTTGAAGCCGGAAGTTACCAATAGTCGAAACTATCGCAATGGACAACCAATTCGACGACTTCGTCTTTATCACACATGAAGATGCTGACTTAGCTCAATCTAAGCCGGGGTACCTTAGCGAGATCGGAGATTTCATTAACAGCATAGCCGATGATTTATGGCCTGTCAATAAGAAGATTCACGACAACCCAGAGCTCGGTTACGAGGAGTTTATCGCCCATGAGACCTTGACGAAATTCATGGCTAGTAGGCCAGGATGGAAAGTCACACCATCTGCCTATGGATTGGCCACGGCTTGGGTTGCTGTCTTCGATAGTGGGAAGAAGGGTCCGGTCGTGTCTTTCAATGTAGAAATGGGTATGTCATGATGGGACCCATTAGTAACGTATTCTAATCGAAGGGTTCAGATGCATTGGATGGCATTGGGCATGCCTGTGGTCATAATCTTATTGCTACAGCTTCTGTAGCTGGTGGATTGGCGACAGCGGAGATAATGAAAAAGCATGGATTGAAGGGTAAAGTTGTCATGTTCGGAACTCCCGCAGAAGAAGGTAATGTTTTTCGTTTTTGTCCCGTGAATGATATCGCCCTGGCTGAGATCATTGGAATTAATGCTATTTTGTGAAGGATGTGTTCTGACTTATTACAGGCGGAGGCGGCAAAATCAAACTCTTGGAAGCCGGGGCGTATAGAGATCATAATGTTGATATCAACTTGATCTCTCATCCTGGAATCACTAAAGATACTGCTCTAATGCGAACGTCTGCGTACACTGCGTTCAAGGTTGAATATTTTGGTCGGGAGGCCCGTAAGTGACCTGAAATGCCTAAATTTTAGGGGTGGAATGCTCATCCCGGGTGTGTAGATGCTGCAGCGAGCCCTTGGCTGGGTATTAACGCGCTAGATGCGTTAATTACAGCGTATAATGCGCTATCTGTTCTCCGCCAACAGACGATGCCAGGGGATGTTATACAGGGCAATATCACAGATGGCGGGGTTCGACCTAACGTAATCCACGCATACACGGCCGGCAACTTTGTGACCCGCGCAAACACCCAAGAGAGGGTGAAGGAGTTGAAAAAGAAAGTTGACGCTTGCTTTGAAGCAGGATCAACAGCGACAGGCGCAAAATTTCAGATGACTCCGGTGCAGTCTTATGCAGACCATGTTCCTAATCGAGTGCTAGGTGCTTCTTATCGAAAGTATTTCAATGCGCTTTCGCCTCCTCAGCCGATTCCGGGAAATGATGACCTTGGAGAGATTGAGGGTCGGACAATGGCTAGTACTGATCAAGGAGATATAAGCTATGCAATGCCCAGCTTGAGCGCAGGATTTGCGATTCAACCAGGTCCAGGAGGGAATGGACCTCACAATCCAGAGTTTGCTGGGGCAGCTGGAACCAGGGATGCATTTGAGAGGTGTTTGAGAGTAGGGAAAGCGCTTGCAGGTACAGCTACAGATGTTTTGACGGAAGATGGTCTTCTAGCGAAAGTGAAGAAGGAATGGCAGAGGGATATTAAACGAAATTAACGCCGAAAACTGGGGGTTTGTATAGGGAGCGTCTTTACTTATGAGACCAACAAGAAATCATTTGGTATCAATTGGCCAGCAAACCAATGAAATCGCGGAGTAAATAATTGGGAAATCTGAAGGTTTTCATGTTGGCCAATAGTCCTTCCTGATTAAGAGTAAAGTATATATGTATGTGATCGCTACTTCGATTATTGTGATTGTAAGGTGCGAACGTTGCTCAGCTTGGTTGGAATTGGGAGTAATGAGGTAGTAGCTCTGGAACAGCTGCTGGAATTCAAAATACAAGGGAGGATCGACTAAATTACAGCGCTAATAAAGAAGGAAGAACCGCTGTCACGTGGCGATAGAGGGGACGTAATGGACTTTTTAGTATAGCGATAAGAAAATAATCTAAAGAGAATAACCGCCACACCGAGTCACCGACGACGACGCAATTGATTTATTTTCTACGGACAGCTTTGGCTTCCTCTTAAGAGCGACGAATAGTAGCTATCGCCAGTATTTCGCGAATCGCATGAATACATTTTAGTTGGCAATTCGCATCCTTTCGTACCATCAATCGAACCACCTATCATCATACCTACAATACCTAACTAAATACATCTAACGTCATTTCTCGAGAGCGACTCTACCACCAATGCGCGATGGCCAAAAAGAATAAGAAGCCCGCAGTGGCCGATTCTCCCCCTATGGAGCCACAGAACACCGCAGAACCCTCGACAGCATCTTCGACGAATAAGAAGAAGACTCCTTCACCTGCACCTCAATCCGCGTCGTCCTCATCTTCTGCGCTTGTCATTTGCCGAAACAAGTGAGTTAAAACTCGCGTCGCATTCTTCTAATAGGACTGCATAGAACTTATATGTAACTTACTATTATAGGCATTGGCGCTACATATCCTCCTTCCATGGCCCCTGGTTACAATTGCCTCTCGAGGTTCTCGAGATGCTCGCCAATGCCAATTACTACATGCCCTTACCACGACCTGTTGACCCAGCAGTGTTCTACGATTTAGTCAAGATCAGACAGCTCGTCGATAATGCTACGGACTTGGCCGTTAGAGCCGCTAATGGAGTCACGTCTTCAGCCTTGTCCAATTCCTTAGCCGGGGGAGCTGCGCATCATATGCAAGCATTAGGTCTCGGGTTTGGAAACAACGGCGGCGCAAAATTGAGTCCTGAACGCAGGTTTCGGATGAGGGAGCAAGCCACCCAGAAATTGTCTCGCGCCTATCATCTTGATGAAATCGCGTCAAGTGTCGCTACCATGCAGTCTACTTCGACTCTAGAGAATGTTGCTGGCCTTGTTTTGCAGAGAGCACCCGATGACCCTGATGCTAACTATGTTCACTTTTTCCATGAAAAGATACCGTCCAGGCAACTGGCCGAATGCACGGACTTCCGCGCACTCGATCTTATTATTGGAATGCGACCATCTGACTGTGAACCCCTAAGGACTCGTGCCATTGTTCGGATGTTTAAGGAGGATTTTGAAGGTGCTGTTCAGGATCTTACGTCTGCCCTTGGTGTATACCGTCTTCAGCAGCCGCGACACAAACCCGAAGTGGATGAGTCGATGCAACTAGAACAGAAGACACGACGGCGGCGAGACTTACCCCCTCTTGATGAGAGGGACCAACCGAGCAGTACTGAAGTACAACTTCTATTTCAACGAGCCGGTTGCTATCTTACTTTAGCTTGCGACCATGTTCCATTTGCACTTCCTGATTCGTTTGTGGAGCCGAATAGTAATTCGCAAAACGGTACGAATGGTACGAATGGTTCTAGCAACGGCGTTTCTAATGGTACCACCAATGGCATCGCCGATAGTGACGCAGTGCTACAAGAGGCAGAAGGCGACTCGGAGGATAAAGGTCCAACGAAGAGGCAGCTCGAAATGCGCAAAATAGTGCGGGTCTATGCCAAGCGTGCGCTACGAGATTACATGGAGTATTTCAAACACTTTCATTATTCACCTAACCTACCTATTGAAGTATCAGATGACTTTAGTCGCCAAGTAAATCAAGCAACACATCGCAATAGGAAGTATTACGGTCAATCTCGTTACACGTCCCAAGATCCAGGTAGTCCTACAGGTGCCTCACCCAGCCATACAGTATATGAGCTATCGGCGCTGTTCTCAGCTACGCCACCAGCGGATTTACCACCGTATCCCTCCACAGAACTCGTATCACCCGCTTCCGCGGTTATGGAGTTGGTTGAGACAACCACTGAAGTTGTCACCTACCATCCCTTGCTAACCGATGCGTTGCATTCGCTTTTATTGTGCCACACGCTCATTCAGACGTCGGCCAAGGAATTGCAACGCCATGCACATATGGTAGCTCGACTTGCCCGGCTTGCCGATGGCTATCCGGTATTTCAGGCTAGTAGATCTCCTGCTCGAGCAGATTGGATTGAGGTTCTCCGTAGGGCGGATAATTGGATCGAGCTCTCTGCAAGTTGGGAAGCACTTTGCGCTCCAGCGCCACTCCCAACTCCTATGTCGGCTTCCGGCGTATCGGCCACAACAGCTAGCATGAATGCTATGTCCATCACTGGAGGCAGCCCTACTGAATCGGAGGACCAACGTAAGGAGCGCATGCGGCAGCAAGCCATAATCGAAGCGCTCGAGGATGAGCGTGTCAACGATGAGGCGAGTTTTAAAGCCGCGATCCTTGCGCGTCAACGCCGGGCCGAAGCGGACCACGCAAGCTCTAGCAATGGCGGCGTCCCTAGTCCGAATGCTGGTCCCAAGAGATGGGCTGTAGACGATGGTAGAGAGTACCCTATCCTAACTGAGCGCGCGGAAGCGGTCGCAAGGTGGATACGTGAGGCTCCGACGGGATCTGGCGCTGGTAGCAACAAGCGCAAGAAGAAGCCGAGAGCTGCGAAGAAAACTACCGAACCTGACAAGTCGGATACCCCGGAAGTGATCTGAGCTCGCTAGTTATAGTGGCCCGCCTCTTCAACATAGCTATTAGCGTATTGAATAGCTCTACTTCGTAGTATATATGTAAAGCGCGAAGCTTTAATGTTGCCGTCTTCTCCCAACAGACGGCGTGTCAAGTGTAATAACCATGTATTATGTTGGCCTTTAATTGTGAGGGGGTTTCCACGTTGTCTTATAAGTCGAGTGGATCGTTCCACGTCGCATTATGACAGCGTGTCTATTAGAACGCCGCCATCGCCGACGACCGTGCTTTATGACGTCATTGAAGCTCGTGCATTTAGGTGGACTATCACGAAAGTAAGTAAGCCCTTTTGTTACCTCTCAATCCCCCAGCTAGCCACAAGAGTCATTGAGGAATTAAAATAATGCCACATGTTCTCGTAAACCTCTTTGACCTCGAAGCCTCATTATCGTCAGATAAACTGTTGTTTTAATGTGGTTTTCGGTAGATGCCGGTATGGTGTTATGTAAAGTTCGCGACTAGATTCTCGTTTATGTGAATAAAGTGAAACCGGAGCTTATGGTCCTTGCCTCGTTTGTTGCATGATTGGACAATGCCTTCCATAGTTCTTGCGGGGACAACCCGGTTGTCCTTTTCCAAATCCCATCTTCCAACTAACATAATTCCGATGATACCAATTTACCCTTATTTTCTCTTCTTTTCCCATTTCTAAATGAAAGATAATTTTAAGGGGCTTCGCAATGCCTCTTAACAGCGGGCATTCTTATTTCTTCAATCTCCCTTTAGAGATCCAATGGTGGATACTACGATATCTTGGCCCGTGTGACCAGGCCTCATTCCTACAGACATGCACCAGAGCTCGGGATATCGTAGAGCCATTACTTTACACCAAGGTGTATACGAAGATTGGCACTTACAATGACAGTACCGGGCTGGTCGACCTTTTGTTCCGGCGACCTCATATTATTCGCTCCATACACATTCTTATCCTAGATGAATTCCACCCGGTCGCTTACAGACAACTTATGGCTATTGAGTTCCCTAATCTCGAAAGCATTATTATGCACCACGAAGGGGAACCCCTAAGTATTGATGATGAGAGGAGGCGTTCCATGAATGAATTTGTTAAAGAACAGCCCAACTTGACAAATCGTAGGTCTCACATAGTTGAACTGAACATAAACCAGTTGCTAAATAATCATAGTGACATTCGCGATTGAGCCAGAAAACCCGTCCACAGTTTTACTCGAGCAGGATGATGCCATATTGTTTCGCCATAGAAAGCTTCGGCGTATACGGATCTCTCACGTCGACTTCTCTGCGTTTGGTGGGCTAGACGCGGACTACTTCCCCCATTCGGATTTGAAGAGACTCCTAGTCGATTCATGTTGGTACACCTATGGCGCATTAGCGCAGCTATTATCCCCAACAACTAAGTTAATTAGTCTCCTGCTGGGCCATAACGCGCAACTACCCTTCTCGGAGAGGCTTTATCCTGCACTATTGGGTCCGGTTCGGGAGACTTTACGAATATTGGACCTCACATGGCGACACAAGATACCCCTCGGAAACGAAGGAATGGATTTCACGCGATTCCCGAACCTTCACTTTCTTCGGGTGCCCCCTATTTACCTACTAGGAACTGCTTATACGGATAATGCGGACCTGGAAGGCCTTATTCGTTCAAGATTCCCACCAAATCTCAAGATGCTTCTCTTGGAGAATATCGTGCCTCGTTCTATCAGGGTCATGGATGAACAAGGAGTCGTGTTCCCCGGATACCCACGCCCAGGCTTCACTCTTGAGCTAACACTTCTTCCGCATGACTATCACTTGATTCGATTCTTAACCACAGAAAAGGACCATGTACTACCGCTACTGAAGTACGTCCTCATGTATTATATGGAGTTCTTACAAGACCCTGCAGGCATTTTTTCGTTGGCTAAAGACCATGGTATCATGCTTAGTCATCTATCGGGTTCCGATCACATAAATCATTTATTAGAATGGTTAGATGAAATGTGAAGTGCGAAGGACTCCGAACTCAAGACTGTTACGGTTAAATCAGCATGAGATACATAGCGAGGGAGTTCGACTTATTACGGATGTTTATACCAAGGTTGTCTGTACTTAGCGCCTATTCTGAGCTGTATTTTATTAGCTAACATTAGCACCCTCCCCTATAATAAGACATAGTTGAGCTGATTCTGCCCCAATGTGATCCTAACGACCCACAAGTATGCAGATGTCGGAAGATATAGGGCAATAGGATTCAAACTACCATTACCCCCATTTCCAAGTTGGCAATGACTTCGAGCTACCCATGGTCGGACCTGAGAAATAGATAGCACTTGTCGGACCATACTTAGGTAAAGTAGCACGAACGGGTCCAAAATAGATTGGCCAATGGTGTCTGTTCCACAGCGCCACCTGTCGCATCGTCAATCGGACGTCCGGGATGGATAGCCAGGGAAAGTACCCCTCCCAACGCTGTCGTCGCCGACCATCTTCTTTAAATAATTTTATGGCGTAACTCCATGTGATGAAGAAAGCCCCTGTCCACTTTCTCTCTTATTCGTATCCACATGCCAACCTATTAAGAACATTCAATTGGGACCTTTCCACTCTTATACCCTTTATCATCGTCTCTCCTAAGCCCCGCAATCCTACAAGTTTACCTCACCAATCCAAAAATTCCCAGGAGTCAATAGTAGAGCAACAACCACGCGAACCACACAAACAATGGCACCAGTAACAGAACTAATCCTCCTTCCCCTCTCCCCCAACGCCTCTCCCGAAACCATATCCTCCGTAATCGCAACCAACACAGCAACCCTCCTAGCGCAACCCGGTTGTCGCCGAGTCCGCGCATCGCGCGTTCATGAAGATGCTTCCAAGCAGCGCTTGTTCGTCGACTGGGATAGTCTAGAACAACACCGCGCCTTCGGCTCCAACGACGAGGAATACGGTCCTTTCCGCGCGCGCATGGCGGGGATCGTGGATACGAGTGCGGGACCCAGGAAGCCGCCTTATCATGTGGAATTCGCGCCTGCGCCGCCGAGTGTGCTTGATGGGAGTGGTAGAGCTAAAGCTCCTGTGGCGGAGGTGTTGCATGCGTATTTCCCGAGTGATGTAAATGAGCAGGCTAGAGCGCGCATCGCGGGTACGGTGCATGAATTCGTAGCTGAGTTGGCGAAGTTTGCGGAAGGGTATACGAGGGAGTATGCTGTAGGCTGGACGGTGGAGAATGATCTTGAGTTCAAGGGGGAGAAGACTCGCGCCCTGCTACTCGTGGTTGGGTGGACTAGTGTTGAGGCGCATTTCAAGGGGCGTGAGGACGAGGGTTTCGCGAAGATTATCCCGATGATTAGGGGGCTTGAGGGGCTTAAGGGGTTGGAAATGTGTCATGTTGCTAACACGACGACGGAGAAGAGTGCTTAGACTGCGTTGAGATGATGCGGTATTTCTTAAGTTATCTACTGGGGGTATTCGGCGGAAACAGGAGACTGGGGGTGGTTACTGGGCAAACTCTCACTTATCATTAGATTAACCCATGCCATCCATAGCTTAATAGGGCCAACAAACACTATATTCATACGATATTCTTTGTATTCAGTCCTCGCCTATGATCGTAGAGCCCACAGCCATGCTCTCGATATTTTCGGAATGCAATGAGCTCTTATGGCGATGTTATCCCAATTCTATACCCGGGCACTATTCGCCGTTAATATCTACGCAATATCTCATTTTTATATTCTCTGTTCCCCCTCGCCTCCGATATCTTCCTGGATTTTGCTGTTTTTTGCTCGTTTCTTGCATCTCCTGCTGGCCTGATTAATAAGCAAGCCCCCTTTCTATAGATTAGCTAATCCACCACTCACGTAAGCAGACAAAGGAAAAGGAGTTGGAAGTTATCCAAATATTAATACTCTAACTATATACTACCGCGTCTATTCCAGTTCCTTGAATCGCTTATGCTAATCCACCATAACGTATTGGGTATCTGTCTAATCCCTGAGATGTCCCAAGAAAAGAAAAACCAACTATCCAAAGCTTCAACCGCTGAAAGGCTACCTAAGTCAAAACTAAATATGTACGTATAAGATATGTCGATCCAAAAAACGCCAGCAGTATGCTCCCGCCTCACAGGACCTTAGCCACATCATCCGGGTCAATAATGTCCTGTTCCCCGTCATCAAGCTCGTCCTCCTCCATACATGTTCTCCGTAGTCGCTCGCGTATAACCGGGTCCTGTTCCAATTCCTGCCAGACCTCCAAACCCCACTCTTCTAAACTGTCCTCGAGACTCCTTCGCTTCCATGGTGGCCATTTCCATGTACCCGCGATAATCATGTTACGTTTTATCGTCTTGTATACGAGTTCGATGGAGATGAGCGCGAGGACGATAACGAAGACTATTGCCCACCATAGCGGGTCCGTACCAAAATTGTCCGTGAACCCTTTTCGGCCTGGATAAGGACTTGATTGTAAAGGATATACCCCAGAGAGAAACGCGTTCCAAGCCCACCAACCGGTAAAGGTCACACCAAAAGCTCCTAGCACAATGGCTGTCTTGTGATGTGTTTCGAGGATACTATGTAATCGTAAGTAGACTGTCGGTTAATGTGGACTTTGACACACTCACAAGATCTTCCAATTGATCCATATAACCCCGACGGTGAATACCAAGTCGCCCAAAGCAAAAAGCGAATCGTCGCGAGCTTGACCAAATACGCTGTACGCAGCCCATACACCAAGCCAAACCAAAGTACCCTCCGTGGCAGCCGCGGCTATCCAAAATACGAATCTTGTTATGTTTAGTTCCCTATTTCTCTGCCCATGTACGTATAATTCAGGAACAGCTAGGAGCGTTTCCGCGCTAAGATCCTGTTCCCATATACCCAAGCATATCACACAAAGACTTGTGAACAGAGCGTTGAATACAGTCAAACTCCAATTTTCGTAGAGACTGGTTCCCGTATATCCGTTGTAGCGCTGGTACATAGCCGTAGGTAGGTAGAAGAACATTTCCTTCCAGAATGTAGTTAAAATGAATTTCGCTGTCCGAACGTAGTTCCAACGGCCGTGAACGAGAAGCAAGCGTTGCAAAAAGCGGAATTGTGCGATGGCATAATCCGCCACACGGGCTGCCTGCAAACCCTCTTTTCCCGAAATTCCAACTCCTACATGGGAAGCAGATATCATTGCCAGATCGTTTGCACCATCACCAATGGCAAGGGTCAGAGCTTTAGGTACTCGTTGCCGTATCGCTTTGACAATCATGGATTTCTGGGCAGGTGATGCACGGCAACAAATAACAGAGTCAATCGAAGGGATTAGGGTGTAGAAGAGGTCTGTAAGATGTACTGATTGTTCGATAACAGCGAGAGTCTGGCCATCGATAACGACCACGCTGTGAGCACATCCTGTTGCGATGTCCTCAGATATATCGGTGATCTGTGTCTCTACTGAGCCTTTTGACGAGTCCAGGATGAATATGTCAGAACCAGGGCGGCATATCCGCGCTGAATGAGCAATATTGATAGCTGTTTCACGTTTGTCGCCTGTAAGCATCCAGATTTTGATGTTCGCACGACGGAGTTTGTCGATAGTTTCGGGCACACCAGTTTGGAGCTTATCCTCAATTGCTGTCGCTCCAACGAGATCAAACGATTGTTCAATTAATTCACCAGCTGCTTCGATCATATCCTGTCGATTCACCAAGCTTGTAGTTGCGTCATTATATATCTTCTTCCATGCTCCATACTCGCTCTCTGTTATAAATTTTCGCGCGAACACAAGGGTTCGTAAGCCTTCAGTAGCAAAATCGTCCAGGTGTTTAAAGCATCGGCTGAAAACCGTTGATTCGTCGTAAAGGGAAGGATCATCGAGAAAACTAAACTTGTCGGGGGTTGGTCTAGGCGATGGCGGACCTAAAGTGGATAGCGTCTTCGTGACATCGAGAGATGTGGTTCGCACAACAGACGGTGGACGAGATCTGTCATCGGAGAGACGCGTCCTGAACCCTTCCGCAGATTTGCTCCTTACTATCGCCGGAATTTGGAGGGAGGTTGGAGATTGCGCGGGTGCTAGGCTATTTCGATTTAATGCAATACTCCGCCGTAAAGTCATGCTTGGACGACCGCCAAAACTATTTCTCACTTCCAGCTGTTCGCTTCTGCGGAGCAATTCGCGTTCGACTTCAACGCTTTTACGAACCTCCGTTGCTTTTTGCAACGCCATGTCAGCCAACTTGAGTCGGGGCAAGATCATTGAATCAGCACCCTTGCAAAAAATACATATTCTCCCATCAGGAAAGCGGACGATAATCGACATGCGCTTTCTCTTGCTGCTAAACTCGATGACATCCAAGATATCATACACCTCTGTCTTCTGTTCGCCGTCCCCAATATCAATCCGTAAGGTTACGATTTGAGACGATCGATGAGCAACTAAATATCCTAGTTCATGGGCAGCGCGGACAAGTGCCAATTCATCTGGCGACGAAGCCTGAAAATCGACAACTCCATCTTTGACCTCTGGCAAGCATGTGTGACAAAGGGCCATGCATAAGATGTAATCCTTGGCTTGCTTTGCAAAACGTGACGTCGGCCTAAGCGTAATATATTCCAATAGATCTTTCGTTGTGACGTCAGGTTGCGGCAGATCCGGACGGCCGGGCGACCTCCACTGTGATGACGACCTTCGCTCAGATCGAGGAGTGAAAACTGACGATGGTGAGGAAAGGGGATATAGCTCGATGTCCTCATGGATGATGCTAGCAACCTCTCTGGACTTTCGTGGCGCTACGAGGGCGTCGTCGGCGTTAAGATCAATTTCCGCTGTTGTCGCCACGGCTTCGGACTGAATATCCATTTCGTGTAACCACGATGTCCCCGCAATACTCATCTTACGGAATTTCATAACATTTTCCGTCAGCGTACCAGTCTTATCAGAGAAGATATAGCTGACTTGACCAAGATTCTCTAAGATGGTATTGGTATTGCAACGAGCTGGTGTATCAGTTGCCTCATGGTACATTTCCACATCGTTGTTCAACAGAAGCATCTGTCCGATTCTCGTAATCTCTAGGGTGATATAGAGCGCGAGAGGGATAACGTTGTTAAACATGATAGCATAACCAATGATGATCTGCTTAAACTCAACAGTAGCCATAGATATATACCAAGAAAATTGTTCGGTGGACCCTCTCCAGATAATATACCCCATGGAACATCCAACAGTCAAAATAATAACATAAAGTGCGAGGGAGATAACAATCTTGTTGGCGATAAATTCCAAGGCAGGCTTTTTCGCGTCGGGATGTTGATTCGCATTCATTCGACTCTTGGACTCCTCTCCTGTGTTAATCGCAAGGCCGATGGCGCACGCGGTATTCCGGAGTGTACTGCCACGATATATTACTTCACTAGATGTCAAGGGAAGCGTTCGCCCGTGGACTGTAACACGCCCATCAAATCGGTATAGATCGGGATTCGGGTCCTCGAGAACAAATTCAGCCTGGCACCTGCGCAGACCCGCGATAGTATTAGTTTCCTTGAAATCGGGAAGAGACTCTCTACTTTTGAGGCTGGTCTCTCCATCTAGGTCCATGGTGTCGATAAATGCTAACCCATTCTCCCCCGTTGCATTTAAAAGAACCAAATCCGCGGGCACAGCCTCATCGCGGACCAATTTGACAATATCACCAACTTTGATATCCTCCCATTTAACTTTTTCCCACTCATACTCCGGGTCAGCTTCGTCGTCTAACTCCTCGACGTCCGTTTCCGTAATCTTGTCCCCACCCATAAACCATCTTCGACTTCTTAGGGACGGTTTTGATTCTAAAGATCTTCGCCTTAGGACTCTCGCAGCATTGGCGTTTTCAAGATTATCTAGTCGATGCCTCTTATAATCATCATACCCCTCCTTGACCATTGTCAGAAGAACGAAGAATATCAAAGGCAAAATAGTGGTATAACTTCCGGTGGTACTTAATCCTGGTATCGCTTGAGGAATTCCTACGCACAGGAAGTAAAAGTTGGCCAAGCGAGTAAATTGGAATATCAATTGCTTCGGTATGAAATCAATTAGAGTATATCGCGAGGTTCGAATCGTATTCGATATATATGGATGGCCGCGTCGCTCATCAATGAGGGCCTGCTCGTGTTCGACTCGTAATGGAATGTGACGTCCATCTTTCGAAGATTCCAAGGGCTTTTGTCGCAATATTATTTCCAAGAAATACTTCTTGTACCATTGCGTAGCGTATTCTTGCGTCGTTCCTCCGAACTTTTCCAATCGCTTCCGAGCCTTCCACGCAACGGTCGAGACGGTATCTACATCTTGCTTCTCTTGCTTCTTTCCAACATCAGAGTCTACATGAGAAGCCATTCGAGGCATTATGCACAGATTGAAGCGAATGAAGCTGCATTGCAAAGCCTTTCGCGAGCACCGATGAAAGGGTGGTCTTCGTGGGAGAATTCTCTCGTAGGAAAATACGCGCCCGCGATGCTAAGAGACGTAATTTCCGAGATGCCGAGCGAGGTGGAAACGGGAAACGAATGTGTGAAACAGGTTGGAACGAGTGTTAGGTTGTGAAAGAATCAACTTTCAAAACCAAATGAACCTTGAACCACCTTCTATAGCCCGTATCGGCTCTCCAACCTCGAATGGGGTTTTGTATTTGCAGCGGTTCGTAGTGGTTGCGTAAATGGTCGGGCAAGATGATGGGCCATTGTTAGACTTTTGTTAGCTATTGGTTAGCCATTTGTGTCGTACTTCCCTGTTTACAATGCCGGAAAAGCCCCGTATTAGCGGCCGCTGCTCCCGTTATGGGGGCTTGGCGTCAATCCTAAACAAGTACCATTTGTCATAGTTTTATGAGGGTTTATACATAAATGTACACAGCACTTGCCCCAAGTGCGTGCATAACGTTGTACAACGTCGGATGACGTTCGGCCAATCCTATTCATTGCCTCGCCCACGAAAGTTCATACCAACCACTCTGTACATGTATAGAGGAGATATTCAAGCCAGCACGCTAATGCACGTGTGGAACTTGATTTGATACGAAGATTCTAGCTCTCATGGAAAAAGATCTATACCCAAATACCTAGGTACTTCCAGGTTAGATTGAATAGATGTATGCAAGATTCAGGTCGAATTTCATGAATGAGTCTCCGAAACACTCTTCGTTAAATTTGGCAACCCAGAGGAAGTGATAAGAGATAGCTGACCTTCTTCATTGAACCAATCATGCGGGACAAGTTTGAGAGGGCTACGTAATGGTCACACAGATGAGTAGTGTGGTCAAGAAAGGAAGGACTTCAATCGTGCAGGTCATGCGCCCAAGTAGAGCAAATACTAAGTCAACCTATTTTAGAGACCGTATTAGTTTAGGTAATTAGAAATAGTAGTTAATGCTCATTACCTATATGACATATAGCCAGATGAATGTTGGATTTTCTGTAAGAAATACGTAGGTACTGAGGTACTTACTAAAGCTGTCCCGCATTAAGTCAGCCATCGACGGGCATTAATTGGAGAAACCTTATGCATGCATGCATGCGCTACTCGAGTTTCACGCGTTTCGAGGAAAGCGATAGCGATAAACTAGGCAATCGCCCTAACAAATATATCCTTGGATATCTAAGTATTAAGCGTATCTAAACTTATCGTTAATACATCCTACTCCACCACTAGAGAAAGATCACCACTCCCTATCACGCGAGCGTCTCGAGCTTTCATGCATGCCTTCTTTTGAACAACCCCTACAAGAGTCCGCAAGTCCTCTTGTTCGATCAGAGGTTGCCATCACGTCCGACCATGACCCCGCCATGAGTGATCAAAAACCCGCGGATCCGCTACCTACTTCACCGACCGTCACAACTGTCTCGTCGGACTTAGAACATGTCGAGGCTTCGAGGAAACAAAAAGATGACGAGACCGACGCAGGCGTACCAGGGCCAAGCGCCTTGGACGGTCAGCCGGCTCAGAGTCAAGATCAGAACATCCTAATAGACCTTCCCAAAGACAAGGTTCCAACAGATCGAAGAACCAACAAAGGAAAGAATACAGAGGTGGAAGATGGGCTAATTAATAATATACACCAAGAAGCGACGCCTGATGTCCCAGTCGACCCTATGGAATCCTCTGTCGCAACTATCAAGCCTGCGAAACCGCAATACCTAACAATTACACCAGTTCCTTACGTCGACCCGACTCCTCCAACTCCAGAAGGGTCCCAACCCCCATCGAGAACCAACTCCGCCCATAGATCGAGGGGACACGGGTTAGAACCATCGCCGACTCGATCCGATGCTGGCTACGACGAGAGGCGTTATCCGAGCGAAGATGAACAGGAGGGGACCTCTCGTTCAGAAATTCAAAGTATTATGGAGCAATTTCCTGAAGATGGCGGTGGCCCGGGAGAAGCCGAAGTGATGAGTCCACGACTGGAAATTACTTCACCGCTTTTAGGTAGCCCTTCGATACAACACCCACCACGAAAGTCCAGCCTCGAGCCCCTTGCTCCGAGTATTGCTCAGCAGTTGCAAGAGATGCAAGGCTTAAGACTCTCAAATACGTCTCCGACCAGCACACGATCAAAGGATAAGTTGATTGAAATCGATGATCAAGGCCCGCCCGTCCCTCCGAAAGATGGTCCGTCGGACGAGAGAGGCTTCCCTGCGGATTCACAGGCTTCATCCGCAGCACCACTACATCGACCACCGCCGCCCGAACCCGAGCCCGAACCAGTGCTTCCGTTTGATTTCCATCGATTTTTAGAGCAGTTGAAACATAAAAAAGCTGATCCCGTAGCGAGATATCTCAAGTCGTTCCTATCGGAATTCGCGAAACGTCAGTGGATGGTTCACGAGCAAGTCAAGATCATCAGTGATTTCCTTGCCTTCATCGCCAATAAAATGGCCCAATGTGAGGTATGGAGCGAAGTATCAGACGCGGAGTTTGATAACGCCAGAGAAGGAATGGAGAAGCTTGTTATGAATAGACTTTATACGCAGACCTTTTCACCCGCAATACCTCCTCCCCAACCTATCCCCGGCGCGAAACCGAAGCGCCGCGGAGGAGATCGACCGATGGGACCAGGACGACGTGGACAGCACCAAGAAGACGTAGAGAGAGATGAAATCCTAGCACAGAAAATCGGCATATATGGTTGGGTTCGAGAGGAACATCTAGATATTCCGCCCTCCAGCGATAGCGGCAAAAGATTTCTCGCTCTGGCTCAGCAGGGTTCGTCTCCAAAAAGTATGGGAATATGAGTGAAGGCTAACACATCCAGAACTTCTTAAAATTAAGTCCTACCGAGCACCGCGAGATAAAATCATCTGTGTTCTCAATTGTTGCAAAGTCATATTCGGTATGAATGAATATATATGCCGCTTATCATATAATACTAACGAATTTGACAGGACTCCTCAAACATAATAAGTCGGACTCTTCCGCCGACTCCTTCATGCCGCTTTTGATCTATGTTGTATTACGGTCCAATCCTGACCACCTAGTTTCTAATGTTCACTACATCCTGCGATTTCGGAACCAGGAAAAACTCGGGGGAGAAGCTGGATATTATCTATCATCCCTTGTATGCTTATATCCGATATCCGTTTTGAATGTCCAAATACTAATCATGTGACTAGATGGGTGCCATCCAGTTCATTGAGAATATGGACCGTACCACTCTAACCATATCAGATGAAGAATTCGACAAGAACGTAGAGGCAGCCGTATCTGCCATCGCAGAGAAGCATCGAGCAGAGGAGCCACCCGTATCACCCCAACCACAACAGTCGGAAAAATCCGGGCTATATCCTCCAGGGACGTCTTCCGCGCGCCCATCTCTCGACCTGGATGGATCGAGCGCGTCGCGTAGATCCACCTCGTCCAATGAAGGCAACGATTCGAGTGAAGAAGGCCCGGCAATCTCTGGACTACTCCGTTCAATACAGAAGCCCCTGTCGTCCATCGGCCGCATATTTTCAGAAGATACTAGTGGTGCCGGTCCCAGTTCTCCCAACCGTTTACCTCCACAGGATACTTCCTCGCGACTTAGCCCGCGACCCAGCATCGAGACTCGACATTCAATGGACGTGCGCCAGCGTCTCTCCGCCGAAGAAGCCGCCGCAAGACAGGCGAGTGCTGAAGTTGCTGAAGCTCAGAGGATACACCGAGCAGAACACAACACCGTCGTGGAGACCCTTGCTGGAATGTTCCCGGATTTAGACCGAGATATTATTAGTGATGTTGTTTATCAGAAAGAGGGAAGGTTAGCTTGTTCATTATATCCCTTAGTATCCCTAGCATACTGACTTATTTGTTCTATAGGGTTGGTCTCGCAGTCGATGCATGTCTTGCCTTAAGCGCATGATTATGATATAAAGAACGGTGAAATAGGACTCCATAGAGCGACGATGAATTGAAATGGAGCAGGAACGTAAATTAGATATCTTCAAATAGTCGAAATGGGCATATGAGGTGTTAACGTCATCGTCCTCATATGTCGCCTTCAACTCGGTGATACTCGCATTTTAGGTGCTACCCCTATCCAAAAGACTTAATCGTGAATGAAGGTATACCCCGCAGTAACATCTACTAAGTACCTAGGTATACTCGATCAAGTAATCCTACCCCTATAACCATTTTTAAGATACTAGTCGAATAGTCGGGTAGAGGGAGTTGCCCGTTACGACATTGTGCGCATTTCTATCCTCCTAAGATATAATATAATTTGTCTCAGCATACGGCATCTACTACACTGCGAATTATAAACTAGTTTTGTAGTCTTTGATTACCTAATCCTGTGTTGCCGGAAGCATTCGAGTCTCTTCATACAGCATGTCCCCAAGTGCCGACCTACTGACAGAATTAAATATAAGAACATCACGATACATATTATAATCTATTAATAACTAAGAGAGATCCGACCGAAACCGTCCCGAGATCACTTCCTCTCCCCGAAGAGCAAGACGCATATAGTAAAGGAGTTGCTCGTCAATGAGCCCGATTAACTCTTACGTATTAGGGCACTATTCTTCAGTTAAGAATATTCGCCTAATATCATCCTCACCCCTGCTATTCTTGGTAACTTTTAACTTCACAAACTAAGAAGCACAATTCATCAAACTCACAGGTTAATTAACATACCATAATTATAGTAAAACTTAGCTATTAAAACACCTAGATTCATGTGACCACCGTATGTGTCCTTTCTCAGGCATTCAACACCGATATGTTTTAAGAAAAGTTAGTTTACCTAGCTATCTTATACACGAAGCAATCCACTCTTCTTTCTGATTATTCGGAAGATACATGTTATATAACCACTGTTAACTGTCATATTAGATGTACCTAGTTTGAAGCGCTATGTCGTGGCTATCCGTGAGACGATAGGAGATGGGCTATAATCCCCTGCAATAATCCTGTCGAAATCTCAGTTGTGTATGTAAAGCCAAACAAAAATCTATGCAGCGTCGTTCGCATACGTCGAGGTAGAATATTACACTGTGTAGGTTTTTTATTTTTTCTTCTTTTTCTTCTTCTTTCTGCCTTTTTTTTTTTCTTCATCCCTTTTTAAGCAAAGTATTGAACACTGTGCGTGTGGTTACGTAAGCACCCCTTACCCCTTTTCAAAACCCAACTTACACATTGGACTGACCACGACTCCTATGGTCACTTCACATTTAGAAGTCAACCCGAGCAGGTATATCAAGTGTAGACACGTGTTGGCAAATTTTCTGTATTGAGTCACTTTGTTTGTAAATTGTAGGAAAGCGTTTTTCCTAATTTATTTATTATGTGGAAATTTCTCCTTGGCTTCGAGCACCATCACCCCTTTTGTGGGCAAACATACTGTATGTATCATAAAAATAAAGGAAGAAGTAGACAGTGTGAAAATGAACCATTAGTACCCCCTCATAGGCCATAGGAGATAGCACATCAAACAATTCTTCAAGTACAAAATAACACTCGGGGCAACTACTCTGAATAGTATGTTGAAAATTCGTGCTACTAAATGAAATAAAATTGCGTACGGACTTACAAGAAAACGGAAAATAGAGGAAAAACATAATAAGATATACTGTACAAACATAAGAACGAGGAAAATTTTAGTAGGAGAAAGCTAGTAATTATGGTATCTAATGGATCACTTATACCTCTCAGACCACATAGTAGAAATGATTCAATAGAAACTTCATACAAACACTGAGAAAATACGACCATATCTAGCCTCAATGGCTGTGGAAAAGTGCGTGTATAGTGCAAACATATATTTGCCCTCATCCGTTGTGTTCATGGAAACATAATTTTCTTTGGAAGTCCTTTCTATAAATGTGTGGGATATGAGAAGATCCATCCTCCCTTATTCACTCATCTACAGACCACTCTATACTCTCCAGATCACTGCTCTTCTCAGTATTCTTCGCTACTTTTCTCTTCAGTACTTTCTTCTTTGCATCTATTCCCTTTCAACTACACGTCGTGACTTGCGAGATCACCTTACCTACCGATCCTAGTCACTCAAGCTTTGATCCTAGAATCTAGATTCATTATGCCGCCCAGCAAGCAACACCACTGTCCCCTTCACGAAAAGGGACAAGGTAATTGTCGCCGAGGCTACGCTCACGGTGTGGCTCACTGCAAGAAACACCAGTGGGTTTGTAAAGATCATCTTACTTACCAGCTTCTCCAAGAAACCTGCAACTGCTGCGGAAATAATCCGGCCAATCAAGGAGACGGAACCGACAGCGACTGCGAGAGCAAGAAAATCGAGGACAACAAGAAGATCCAGGACAGCAACAAGGGAAAGAAAGGGAAATCCGGCAGTAAGAAGAAGGGCGCCAAATAGAACGCCAGCCAAGAGGTACGTCTTAATCTTTGAAGTTTGGATTTTAATATGCAATGACCTCTCCTTTATGTTATAAGAGCATTACATCATTTCATTTCCCTTGAAAACTACTTATTATTGTCATTTTTGATGGTCAAACGTTTCTAGGCTAACTCGATTTTCAGGGGTAAGTACCTGGCTAAGGTACGTACCCTAAGGGGCACCGTGTGGGCCCGGCTACAGTGCAGCAACCAGTTTGCACCATACAAATACACGCCTATCTATTTGTTTCCTCGTTTGCCTCTGACTCCCAATTCTTTATCTACGACTATACTCCGACAACCTTTTCCCGACAACCTTTTTCTTTCTACCGATTCTTTCCCTTTACGAACTTTTCCTTTTGCGACTTTTTATCCTTCTACGACTGCTTTCTCATCACGGCTTCTTTTTCTTCCTATTTTCACAATCAAATCACGCCGCCACGGAGACTCCAGGATCACACCCTACGACTTATAAATCAGCCGTCTCCGTCACGGGAACATCGTCTCGTCTTGTAATTCTTTCATCTACCTCGACCCAAGTAGTAAAAATGCCGGCCCTACGCTACAATACACAGTCCACCAATCCTTCGTACGACGATCCGGAAGATGATCGCGATGGCATATTCTATGTTGGCACCATATCCAACGATGGTGACACCAAGTCAAAAGGAGAGATGCTATCAGAGAAGTGGCTACCCAAAGCAGTGGCCCTGTGCAAACATCTGTGGCCATCTGCGAAGCACGACACTCTTCCAGTAAAATATCTCGCCCACGGAAGCAACAACCTTGTTTTCAGTTTTACGATGATGATCATAGACGATGAGTCGGTTGACTATATCCTACGAATTCCCGAGGCTGAGGATGCCATTCGCCGCTCAGTCGCTATTCTCGAGTAATTGACCAACTTTCCCGAGCTTAACGCACCTAAGGTCATCACATGGGATGCTGCCTTCAATAACCCATTAAATAATGGCTTCATCGTATTGTCGCGCTTACCTGGCAAAAGCCTTGATGCAGTCTTCGACGGACTTTCCCATGATCAAAGGTTACTACTTGCAAAGCAATTGGCTCAATTACACAAACGAATCGAGTCAATCACAAACCCGGTCGCTGGTACAATCAATGTCCATGAGACCAATTTCCAGCCTGGCGATGACCCCGGTCCTCGAACATTCCTGGATCTTCCAGGAAGCGAGATATGCCCCAATTCATGTAACCCGGTCGACTGGTCTCATAGTGAGAACGAGTTCATATCCCTCGATAGACTACGACGCGACATTATGCTGGCAATCATCCAGCGCCGCAGATATCAGGCAAAGTACCGGAAAATGCCGTGGCTTTTCAGGTATAAGATCTATCGTAGATGCCAGAAAATGGTTGAGAGTATGACAAATTTTGGGCTCTTTAAACCACAGAATGACATAATATCCCTCGTCCACCCGAATCTCTGGCCTCGCAACATTATGGTCGACTTCACTCCGGATATTGTCATCACTGGAACGCTGGACTGGGATGAAGCCATGTTCGCGCCCAGATTTGTCAGTCGAATTCCTCCGCGATGGCTATGGTGTTCGTGTTCCGAGGATGAGGACTCGTCTAGATACACCGGATTTCAGATGGAACCTTTGGATCCGAAAGAGAATAACCCAGACTCACCGGAGAATGCAGAAATCAAACGAGTATTTGATGATGCTATGGGGAAGAGTTGGGTATCAGAGGCGACGGGAAATGGTTACGCGATCGCGAGGCAGCTTTACATGTTTAGCTTACGGACAGCTTTCCAACAGGGCTGCTGTATTCCTCGTATGTTTAGGACAATCAAGATATGGAACCGCCTACATACTGCTATAACAAGCGGATCAGATCATTCCTTAGAAGCTATATACCAGGAAAGTTATAGCGACACGGACGAGGAGAATCACTCAGAGAATGAGTATTCGGATAACGAGTATTCAGACGACGATGATTCGGAGCACGATGATTCTGAGGAAGGAAACCTAGACCACCCCGAATACGACTAAACAAATATTTAATCAAGCACGAGATGAGGTTTTCTCATTGGGGAGGGGCCATTTTCGGGCCACTCATAACTCAGGGCATTTCTGGCGAAATACTGTCATGGACGGCGCATAGAGAGGGACGACTCAACGGCTTTAGGGAGGGGTGGAGGGATATTTGCGCACTTTTCCTTTGCTTTCTTTGCTTTTACATCTTTTCCTTTTCCGGTCATATAAAGGAGTTACGAGTCAACTGGCTAGCTTGGAGATGCCATGGAGAAAACGATCGACAGGGAGGGAGGGATGGAAAATACGACGGTCTACAGTTTTTCTAGCTCAGAGCATACTTCTGATATCTAGATCACCTCCGCGATAGACCGCGTTTCGCTTATACTACTATATTTGCCCATCTTTGTACGATACGAAACCGTGCCAAACCACTGTGCATTAATGGTAGCACCCAGTAGAAGCCAATACAGGCACGTGAAACCCAGTAACTTAAGAAGTTGAGTCAGCTCTAGCAATTATGGCCGCTCTACTAATTTGTGCTGCAGTAAAATTCCTCTTAGTACCCTTACATAATGCAGCTGGTTTGGACCATAGGTTGGCATTATCTTCATAGAACGACGAGCCATTACTAAGTCGTTCCTCCCAGCACGGAGCAGACTACCGAGCTAGCACGACTTACTAGAACACATTCAATTTGTAAAGAAATTAAGAAATTTGAGTGTAATTTGTTTTATTGACAATGACGAGGAATCAGACCTAAACTATCCTTTTATAATAGTTCTATTTAGGCCTTACTTGTCGAGCAATACACAACCTGGCCGCCCAAGAGGAGCATAGCAAACGCCAGGCTAGGCTTCTCGCAATCTAGAATCCCCATCTCAAGAGCATTCTTGACGCTCTCCGTCAATCGCTCCAATGCCTCAGGAGTTTCGACAGGAACACACTTACAATAGCAAGTATAGTCAAGGTCAACGGGCGCTATGCCTGAGCCTAACCGAACAGAGCATCCAGTGTCGGGCCTATAGACAATAGGGGCCTTCTGTGCCTCGGGAATAACTTCACGGGTGGTGACGGCCATTTCTACTGAGTATGCTTCGGTTTGTAATTAAATAAATGTTTTCCTCTTGTTCCCTTGAGTTGGTGAGATGCTTGGTGATGAATCTACGGAATCTGGGCTACTTGGCCGGGGTTTATAAGTACTGCACTCAACAATAATCGTTAGCGGAGAGTTCCTTCAGTGTATAGAATAAAGGCATTGTTGACATGATTATGTACAAGGTGAAGGGCCATGAAATAACTATTGTGTGCTCCACTGTTGTTCAAAACATTTCCCTTGTGTTGTTGTTGGATACGTGATTGTATTCATTAGTCCCCCCTTTTGATATTCTTTGTGTCAGCCACCCATACTAGAACAAAGACACGGACATGCCGGTAATTCTAGCACTCATTTCGTCTGATCTAGTGCTAAACTACCATGACCCGGTATTTTACGACGGCGTCTCATTAGAGAAAGCCTAGATCTTCTTGGCAGTCGTTAATTTTAAGTAGTCCGGCCCGTAACCTTCATTGAAATTACAAGAGCACCGGATACATCATGTCAGCTCGATTGAAAATGTTTTTTTTCATCCAGAGGTCTAATAACAATCGATTTAACTATAGTATTCTACCCCCAACTCCCCAAGCTCAACGCGTCTAACTTATGCCGTGAACTTCATCGGCATCTTCTGCCCCGGTAGCTCTGATAGCCATCCTTCTGTATCTTCCATAACAGTGTTCTGTACAGAGCACTTGTTCATGTCAGCAACAGTCTGGGTCTTCAAAACTCCTTGTACGCCCGGGCTTCCACATTTGTGGAACATGCAAGAATCGTTCATAGCGCGCTGTAGGGAATCACCCTTCCAGCCGAAGACGTAGTCCGCGTGGGTTCCATATCCTTTGCTGTCTGAGTATGACCAGACAAAGGGTTGCTCGCCGTTCTTTGGCCACATGTTGTTGAAACCCGTCGTATTCCACATGGTCTCGTAGGCCAACTGGGGCATGCGAACTGGGTGAGATGCAGGGCAAGGACCTGCTTCTTGGAATGCGCCCTTGACCGTGTTGTACATGTGGGACTGGTGATCGGGGCTGTCAAGATTCTTTCCATCCCAGCATGATGGGAAGTGGAAAATGGCCATAATTCCTGCGGGGCAAGGCTTCTTGGGGAAGTCAGGAGTCTCGCTGCCTCGAGTAAGGATGTCCTGCAGACAAGTGTATCGAAGGCCCGGTGTCGTGCCGTCGAGGGTGGTAACGGTAGGACTACCGACTGTCATGCGGAAGCCCTAAGGAAATATTAGTCTACTCCGGCTCTACGACTGACTCCGAGAGAGATCTAAACATCTAGTATTTAACTTACAGGTTGGAAAGCAGTAATGTGTTTGTCGCCATTACCACCGAAGTCCTTTTGGGTGTAGTAGATAGTCATACCGCCTTTAATTTCTGGTGCATCACGACCCTCGGTACCCAGTTGAGCATTTGGGTAGATTGGGACTCGCTTGTAGGACCCATTCTCGTGTTTAAAGTAAAGAGCTGCTGTCCAGTAATTCGAAAAGTCCTCAGTGTAAGCACACGTCGTGCATGTACCCTTCTCTCCGATGTCCCCTTCCATAGTCGCGTTGAATGCATTTCCGCCAACAATTTGGTGTACGTGAGCTGAAGGAATATTACCGGGCTCAACAAGCGGGTCTAGGCGCTGGATAGACACTGTTGAACATCCGAATCGGAGACCAGCCTGGGATAACCCAGCTTGAAGTAATAGGAGATACCACTTCATTTTGAACGTGGATTGTTAGTCAACGTAGCCTATCTTGGTGAACTTGATGTCAAAAACATATATCAGGTAAATGGTACTCCTTGACTTATGTTTAAAATTGGCAACTACTCTACCACTTGTTTATTGAAAGTGTAGGGCCTGGACATTTAGCCTTATATATAGGTAGGCAGATCTTTTTACAGATAGACCGCAGTCATTTAATCAAGAATGATATTAATTAGCCTATCCCCTTTCAGAAAATTTGAAATACATAAATCCGGGTAATTTATATTCAGAAAAATACAACTGCCGAAATGCCAAGGCGTTCTGTTTATATATTGAATATAGTTTACGATTTCCTATATCTTCTTCTGATGGAAAAGTATTTCAATAGACAATCTTTCACCAGAGCCGATGCTTGGGATATTCTTTGTAATCATCGCTAGGCATATGGGCCGCGCGATAACTCGATTGTTTAAGATTCCGGTGATATTAATGTGAGGGTTTGACCTACAAAAAAGGCCCGATAAGTTAAGAAGTGCCTATCAGTAAGAGAGATGTGAAGATATGAAAACTTGATAAGATATCTAAACCCGCTAGCTTCGAGATTTATTTTGGAAAAAGCAAGTCAATAGTTCGTTATCGAGATATATACGAATCAAGATATACGAGACTTCTTGTTAATATCTAGATGGTGGTATATTTAAGACACAACAGTAGAGTTAGTACTCATAATCATATCATGAAGGTTTCTGTCAAATCCAATGGCTACATTCCGAAATCTTATCCTACCCCTTTTACCCCTTTTTCATTGCCATTAATGTTAGCGCCATAGACAGGATCCTATTATGTAAGAGTACGGAGCATTGATTCAAAGATTCAGAAAGTGCAAAGAGAATTATCTCATATTAATATCGAAGTGAGAGAGCGATACGTACATTACTTATAGTTGTATTGATTCAGCCCCTTAACCCCTATTCTTACCTAATACAATGATTATATAATGATATCTTTATCTAATACCTTCATTACATAACGCGCTTGTTACCTAATCTTCCAACCTTATTACCTAATTTAAAAGTTGACTAAGCGGAAAGATTACCTAAGATCAATATTAGATAATAGCAAAAGTGTTAGGTAATGATAAAAATCAGGCTTGAATGTGCTTACATAAAGTCTTGTCCTTGAATATTGATGTTAGATAGGGTAACAAGATGCATGTGTCCACTAGATGCTTTTCAAAGAATGGGATCATCTGTGATGATATTCCAGAGATGGGAGCTCCTTCTTTCATTCTTGGGCATTCTTAAGCAATTGAGAGAACGATTTAGGAATCCATTTATGATCCAAAGAAGATTAGATCCGCTGACATAATATGCTGACATAATGTCTTCTTATACAACACCGAAGCCTATACTTGTTACGTAATGATATTCATGACGTAGATGATCGTCTGTTCCCCCATCTTCTCCAGAGCCAAGCGAATAGCCGTACCCGCTGCGATTCCCCGCATTCTGTATCCAATAACCGAACTACTGGACCTAGAGCCCCGGTTGTGACCCCGTACCTGAGAACCACATGCTATGAGCAATTCCTTGGAAACGGGGGTGATGAAGAAGCGGTCTGGTGGAGTAGCCGTTAGATGTTGATTGTCAAGCAAACCATTTGTACCAGATTAACCAGGATCTTCTTATGCTTCCCCACATCACCAACCTCGTTCTGCACAAAGCAGTACAAACTTCCCGGAGCTTACCTAGGTAAATTCGATTGAACCGACAGCTAATGTCTTTGTCCCTCAGGTGCCTGGATTTCTAACCCTTGCAGCTTTGTTTTCGGAGCTATAAAACATCAAGCCCCAAGCTACAAGTGACGCCAAGGCATTAGAGACAAGAACATTGGCAAGATGGCGTCCCTTTTGCTTCTAGCTGTTTTAGCGCCATGTGTGGTTCAAACTTATAGCGTTAACCATGAACAACTATCTAAGCGCGAAGTTCCAGATCAAGCTCAGATTATTAGCTGGAAGTCGTTCAATGTCTTACCCAACGTTCTCCCACCAACACTATCCAACGCTTCTACGGTGAGACACCAGCGTTTCTTCTGAGACATTTAGCTATTAATTCCAAGAAGATCATTTCAACTAATTTTTGGGAAGCTTTTCATACCACCTGGATATGACTTAGAATCGCTGACGGATAAACCATTCCACATCTACGACGATGAATTCTACGATGTCATTGGGACAAACCCCACCTTGACACTCATCGCCAATGCAGGAACAAATCCCTTATTCCACGAAGCTACCGTATGGTATGTTAGAAAGACTCGAGTATAACCACGAGTCCAGCAAGCCTAATGTCCTATTTTAGGTACCCGCCTACGGATGACATGTTCTTCGCGCAAAACGCAGGAGTTCCGGCAGCTGGAACTGGCTTAAACAAATCCAACATCATCATGAAAATATCTGTTCCCGAAGCTGCTGCTGTCTCACACCTTCGTAACGCAACAGGGTCTGTGAAAATCCAAACAGTTGACGCACCTGCGATAAAGAATACGAACGGTGGTACAAATTTCCAAGGTCAGATCCTGTTCCTAGCAGAGGGACAGGGTGACAACGAGACTTCAAACCTCGTCCTCATGAATCCAAGAGAGCCTTATAACACCACTGTGGTTCTTAACAACTATTTCGGCCGTCAGTTCAACTCATTTGACGATGGAGCCGTTAACCCACGTAACGGGGAATTATACTTTACCGATTCTCTCTATGGTTATCTGCAAGACTTCAGACCCGCACCGGGACTCCGACTCCAGATATATAGATATAATGGTGATACTGGTGCAGTCGCTGCGGTCGCAGATGGGTATAGCCTTCTCAATGGTATGGTTACTAATCCAATCGGATTCTCCGTCGCTTTATAATGATTCGCTCTAATTCGTTTGTTACTAGGGATAACATTTTCTCCAAATGGTTCATACGCGTATGTTACGGATACCGGAGCCTTTGCGGGTGTATGGGGTTGGAATCTCACTAGACCTGCAAGCATGTACGTGCCCCCGAATTATTCAAATATTGAGCTCATCTAATGAGTTCATAGTTATCGTTACGACGTAAAAGAAGACGGAACGTTCGAAAATCGCAAGCTCTTCGCCTATACCGAGTCGGGTGTTGCTGACGGTACGTAATTCAAATACCTTTAACGAAGACCCTAGTTCACTCACCATTATTTAGGTATCCACACGGATAGCAAGGGGAACGTCTATGGGGGCTGCGGCGACGGTGTACACATATGGAACCCGTCCGGAAAACTCATCGGGAAAATCTTCCTAGGAAAGACTTCCGCGAACTTCCAGTTCGCTGGCGAGGGAAGATTGGTTATCTTGGCAGAGGAAGAACTCTATTATGCGACTGTTGCTGTGGGGGGCAGTCAATACATCAGTGACGTTTAATTCTAATATCGCCTGACATGCGTCTGGTTGTTCAAATAATTACGATTCATACCCTAATTAGTTAATTATACATTACGACTTCAAGGAGTCGATGTACTGCTTGACAAGCGTATCTGCACTCTCATCCTTGACCAATCCCAGCTTCAGAGGCGTAGTGGTATCGAGCTCCGGAGCCCAGCTCCGCAATATCCGCTCGAGATCCGGGTTCGTCTCTTCCTTGAGATACTTCAACTTATCCTCTCCTCCATATTTTGCTAGTGCATCCATGAGCTCCTGCGTAGATACCGATATCCCCGGTACATTGATATGACGGATATGCTTCGGTAACTTAGAGCTCTCCATATTTAACACCCTAATCAAGTTCTCTTGTAGGATATTCGGGGAGCATAAAAACGACTTAAAGGACCGATCCTTCAAAGGCACGACGCATTCTTCCCCCTTCATAGGCTCACGAATCATCCCCGACAAAAACGAGGACGCTGCATTCGTCGGCCGACCGGGCCGTACCGACACAGTCGGGAACCTTAGACTGAAAGCATCGATAAACCCCTTTCGGTGCATATCATTGATGAACACCTCCGTCATCAATTTATGCGCACCATACGTGCCCTCCGGCGTCGGCGTCACATCATCCGTCACCACGCCCGCCGGCAGCGGTTGTCCGTACACGGCCTGCGAGCTGGAGTATATAACTCGGACCCCCGGATACGTGTTCCGCAACGCCAACAGCAAATCGCGCACACTGTTCACATTGACGCGAAGTGACAGATCCCAGTCCGCTTCGGACCCGGCGGACATAATGCCATGGAAAATGAATATGGCGTGCAGTGGACGCGCGGTGGCCAGGAGCTGTGACACGAAGAGCGGATCACTGATGTCGCCTTTAAGCGTCGTCGCGTTTTCCAGATACTTGACGCCGGACGGGATGGGAGGTTCTACGATGTCCGTGAGAATGAGACGGTATCCCGGGTCATTCAGAAGCCGGGAAGCAAGGAGTGGGCCGATGAACCCTCCCGCGCCCGTTACGATGATGTTCTTGGGGATCGGCGCCATTGGGACAGGGGTTGTTTGTTAACTATTAGTTTCTGCGGGTGTTGATGAAGAGTATGTATTGACGAGGATGTGGTTAATTTATTTTGTTGTTTTGAATTAGAATAGTTGCAGATCTTCTACCCTCGGTATAAATGACGGCGTGGAGATCGGAGGAATGATGCTTGGTACTCGGTGGGGAATGAAGAGGGACTGCGGGGTTGAGGTGTGGAGGTGGAGATGGAGAGGAGGGAAGGAAAGGACGACATCGTTTGTTTTCGGCATCTCGGGCTGCGGAGTATAACTTTATGGATCTTAGTATGTTATGCGTTGTACTACGATTTACGTCATTCTGATGTGCCCCGAGGATTGAATATATTACGTGAAGTTATCACGGGGATACCCAGCGAAAAGTCACGAAATTCAAGAGCTGCTCGGATAATCATAAAAATAGGAATTGACATATTGGTACATTATTTCTCGCCTATAGAAAGACTATCTTGGGTTAAATCTAGTGCTAGCTAGCCTATCGGACGAACCTTTAAGGGGAATCAAAGATGTTCCCACCCGACTGATGATGTGTCGAAGTCTCGACGGACTCAAAACCAGCATGTCCTGTTGGATCACGCAAGTCATCTCCGTCTAGGAGATCATCTTCCCGCAGTTCCTCGTCGTATTGCCCTTGGTCATCATTATACTCTGACTCATTAAAGGCCGCTTGTGGGAATACTTGGCCTTTGGGCTGCTCCCAAAAGGAGCGCCTTGCCTTAATATGGTCTGGGTCTCGTTCCGTGTGGACAAAAAATACCTGGATTCCCAACAAAGCTAGTTTGTTAATCCGGTAAATGAACGACGAAATTCGGTATCGTCTCTCTTCGGATGCAGGGAAGACCTTTTTCGCAAGGCCGATAGTGTTTCTGTCGATATAGGCCTTTCGACTTTTGCTGAATTTTAGCTTATGAGCTTCAAGCAATGTCTTCAGTACATGCTCATTAAGTTGAGTATAGACCACGAGTTGAAACCGCCATGATTTACCAGCAAAATATTCGCTGTTGGTATAAAGATAATCTTTAACGAGACTCTTTCGATATGGAACGAGTTTTTTCTCGACATGACGAAGGCACTCGACTACACTTGCGATCTCCGCATTATCGAGATTCCAATCCATGCTACACTCGTCGGGTTTTGACTTAGAAACGTAGGAAGCCGTCATCGGCGAGGCAGGGTAAAATTCGCCGAAGAAGAATGTTGCTGAACATTCGATCTGGTTAGAGGTGCGCGAAAACTTATAAGGCCTAATTGCGACTTGAACATATCGCTCCATGTTCGTGCAAATATGGGACGGATGGGTCGTTAATTGGCCACCCGGGCTAAAATAGCATAACCTACAGTCTTCGCAGGGCTGGTTATTAAATTCCGTATGAAACTGAGGCAACATATGGTCCGCGAGTTTAACCTGGTCCTCTGGACTCAGTCCACAGTGAAAACCTAGGATTGCAGAAGTGTTGTGAAACATTTCAAACTTCGGCTCAACAATAAATGCAGACTGTTTACAGCGTATCCCGCTTTGGGTTTCTGGATTCGGTATATGACCGCTAATGCCGGCATTGATACTGTGCAGACATTCCCAGCATGTCAGCCGGTGATGCGGCATGCAGTAAAGTCGGCCTTGGAAATGAGCCATCGAAGCCATAATTTCTAAATTGAATAAATTGACTTTAAGTCTGTTCACTTACTGAAAGATAATGTCTTGGTGTTGCTTTGATACTGCTTACAGATAGTATGTTGGTGATGATGCTTAGGATTGGGATCAGAGTAGGAGGGAAGTATGGCGGCCATCGTAGAATATATACTGCCTTCTCGATTGTACGTTGTTATGCATTGTTACCGAACATTACAGCTGTTGGCGAACAGCATAGGTGTTTTCAATATTCCCGATGTGAGCCTGTGTTCGCCAAAAGCCTAGTAGTTTCGGAACAATGTCTTTGCCGGTTAGTCGGTAGTCATAGTAGACGAGGGTAGTTACCCAGGCAGCTATGTAGCCATCTAATGAATATTAATAGTACCCATCATGGATAAACGTCAAATGAATTCACGCTACTTTTCAAGGTATTTATATTTCCTTCTGACTCTCGCTTGGAGGCATGAATTGCACCACGTAAGGCATCCATGGTGTCTGTCCGCTGGCTTGTTCGCCACGTGGGCATCGTCAGGTCTAAGACAATGATACATCAGAAGGTGAAACCATACGGAGGTTTTTAAAAAAAGATTGAGGATTCATATGAAGCCTGCGTAGTGGGCAGTGGGTTCATGCAATGTGAATCGCCACTTGGTAGTTGAACGATGTAAAGATCTAGATTTCATCTTGTCTTTGTGAAATCAAAGATCGTCGACAGTTTCAAGATATCGAACGATGATCAATTAGATTTACGCACCGCCGAGTAGATAAAAGGTCTAGATGACGATATAAATCTAGATATACCATCATGTTATCAAAACGATGACCAAGATCTATAGATATTTTAGACTGACGATGTTGAAATTGGTGGAACTATCGCGTGTGATAAGACGTGAAAAGATCAAAAGGGTTTGGGCGTGGGCTCAGGCGGAGATTTTCAAAACAATTGCTCGATGAGATGACATAATTGGAGATAGCAGATAGCATTAGCGTCATAATATGCGGGACGCCAGGGTTTTAACGGGGCGGATGATCGCTAGGGTTGTACTAAATCCCTGAGGCTGGCAAGCCGCTAAACCCGAAACAACTATATTATGTACGATCCCGATACAATACCTAATACCATATGGTCGAAACTGGCCAATCAACAGCTTATCTTTTGCTACCTTATCTCTATTGGCGGCGACACCGAACTAACAGCACCGGCTTAACTCTAGGAATGTACGTAGTTTAATATGCACGCGGCAAGAAAGCTGAGGTTGTACTCCGGTAGTGTGGGGGAAGTCCTTTCCAGCTCAAGACGTACGTGCATATCGCGCGTGCCCCGTACCATGCGGACTACGTACTTATGTCGTGGGCGCAAGTTCCAGGGCAGCAAGGTTCTATTACTATTAAAAATTACAATCCGTACTTATATACATGAATGTATACATATATACATATACATATGCAGTAGGGATTAATCTTTTATCGGCTTGAAGGATGTAATAATTTCTTTTCTCTTTCCTTTTCAATCTCGTGTTATCTATTCTAGTGGAAGAACGTATATAACATATTTCTATTTCTTCTACCTCGTCCCGTTACATTTTCTGGAACTCTTTCTTAATATCTTCTTTCTATTAGAGTTATAAAATACTAAATATAGGAACCGATCTACCTCCACCTGGAGTTTCGACAAATGAAGCTTCATAACTCATAAGACGAACTTAATTGTTGTGTCTTTTGCCTAGGTACCCTCCATCGGGTGGGCGCGTCATACATCGAGAAAAATTCACCCCCCCTCCACCCATATGCGTGCCTGGTTGCAATTACTCGAAAATTACCTAACGCAACGAAACCTACCTAGATATTCACCTATTAGCTCAGACCCTACTGGTGAAACGGTCGCAATGGAGAGACTCTATAATTCCAAGTTCAGTAGATGGGTGGATAAAGTTGCTGTGGATAATGAAGATGGTCTCACAACAGCTCAGTTGATGGTAAGGCTAATTTGGCGGCCCCGGCCACCTACGCTACCAAACGAATACGTCGGCCGGTTGATACTATCTCGGGACTAACTGGGTATAGTTAACAAATCATGATCTTAAACCTGTCGAGCCCGAACGTCGCCAATGGGGAGCCTGGAATTATGTTGGTTTTTGGATTGCCGATTCTTTCAACATTAATACGTGGATGATTAGCTCGTCGATGATCGTAGCTGGACTTTCGTGGTGGCAGTCATGGCTTTGCGTATGGATTGGTTACACAATCGCTGCCGGCTTCGTTTGTCTGACCGGTCGCATTGGCGCTATGTACCACATTGGCTTTCCGGTCGTAAATCGATCGAGTTTTGGAATATGGGGATGTCTTTGGCCCGTGTTTAATCGCGCTGCTATGGCATGTATTTGGTATGGCGTGCAGGCGTACATCGGTGGGCATTGTGTATATCTTATGATCCGATCTATTTGGCTTAGCTGGGTAAGTCTAATTAGGCCGACACGTATATGGCGCAATGAAGTTTCTAACACCATATAGGATCGCACAACTATCCCGAATTCGTTTTCAGCAGACTCGGGGACCACTACCGCTGACTTCGTGTCCTTTTTCCTCTTCTGGCTCTGTTCGCTGCCCGCCATTTGGTTTCCGGTGCACAAAATCCGACATCTTTTCACCGTCAAGGCATACTTTGTACCTTGCGCCGGTATCTCCTATTTGATCTGGGCCCTAGTTCGCGCTGGCGGACCTGGTCCCATCGTTCGGCAAGGCGCAACGATAGAGGGAAGCGACCTTGCTTGGCAATTTATTAAGGGTGTGATGAGTTCTATCGCCAACTTCGCAACCCTCATTGTGAATGATCCGGATTTCTCCCGGTTCGCTGGTAAACCGCGTGATGCATTATGGTCTCAGTTTTTCACCATTCCTCTCGGGTTCGCTGTCACCTCTCTCATCGGAATCTTAGTCTCGTCTAGCTCGATCATCATCTACCCTGGCACTGAACCAATCTGGGATCCCCTCGACCTGCTAGAGAGGTTCATCGACGATGGTGGCTCTGGTCAACGTTTTGGCGTATTCGTGATTTCTCTCGCCTTCGCCCTGGCTCAATTGGGAACCAACATTGCCGCGAACTCAGTCTCGGCAGGAACCGATATGACGGCATTGTTACCAAGATTTATCAATATCCGTCGCGGCGGTTATATCTGTGCGGCGGTTGGATTAGCTATGTGCCCTTACACTCTCCTAACATCGGCCAATCAGTTTACGACGTATCTCTCTTCCTATTCAGTTTTTCTAAGTTCAATCGCGGGTGTTATGTGTAGCGATTATTACCTAGTCCACAAGGGCTATCTCGATATTCGAGAGCTTTACGACGCTCGAAAGACCGGACCTTATTACTTTACGTTTGGTTTCAACTGGAGGGCTTATGCAGCATACATCAGCGGTATCCTTATCAATGTGGTCGGTTTCGCAGGGGCTGTAAATGGTGGGAATGTTCCTATGGGAGCGACGTACATCTACAATTTTAATTATTTCTGTGGATTCATCGTTGCGGCAGCAATATATTGGATCTTGTGCAAGCTGTCACCCATACCAGCTTGCAGCGAAACATGGATGGAAGTGGGTGATCAAATTGATGAGGTCAGGTTGGCGTACGACCAACACAGCGAGCAAGGAGAATTCGAAGAGGAGGCGGATATGGGCAACAAATATGATAAAAACGACGATGATGACCATCAGAAGACTGTATAATGATAGAAGACGAATTAATTCTTTGGGTTGCATATAAAAGTTTTGGAATTGTATAGGTACGATTGTTAGGGGGAAGCTTGGTTCTAGAATCATCGTTCGATCGACTACAATCGATCTGGGATTAGTGGATGATGTACCTATTTAACCTTGGAACTCTCTTTCATCATTCGGCGGGAACGTGCAAAAATTCATGGTAGGAACAACCCTGGAAAACACATCAAGTTCATGTTTGTGTCCAGGAGTAGGAGCAACTAGAGGATGTACTTGCATCTATAACATTTAATCAGTAAGCACTCAACCAGCTGCTTCTAAAAGTTCTATGTTCTGGGCGGAATGCACGTACCACATACGGTTTAGGGGTTGCTGTGACCGCCCGCTATCGAAGTGGGCCAATCAAATCACCGCTTCCAAGGTTAATACTGTACTTTTAGGTAGGTGGGCCGTTCTCATATTGGGTGGGTACAGCGCTGCTGCCTCAAGCTTCAGCTATCAACTATCTGAAGGTAACTGCCATTCTGCCTGGAGAATGAGCAAACAGGAACGATTTAAGACCAAACAACTCACTTTACCTTTTCTCTCTTTCTCCCGCCTTTATTCTTAATTTCCTATCCAATTCCTCTTTTCCTACGCGCGATCAATTGGAACGAATTCCTATTCGCTTCGAGTCCCATTGCGCCACTGTTGTTAGCGACAGTATTTATTCATTTGCCTTTGATACATGGAACACCACACCATGGATATCAAGACTAACACCATGGGTCCTCAGCTTCAGTCTCGTCAGGGTGATGATAAGGTCATTACCCTCCTAGACATTCCCCTCGAGGTCATACTCCAGATCACAGGCTACCTTAATACTGAGGAGTACAGCAACCTACGTCTCGTTTGTCGCCGCCTCACAAAGTTTCTCTTCGCGGCCTTCGCCAGGGACTTCTTCACCAAACGACAATTCACACTTACAGAGTCCAGCCTCCAGGCCCTCATAGACATTTCCCAGTCTAAGTTTGGCCCTTATTTGAAGTACCTCGTCATTAGCCTTGAGCGACCGCCCTCTCCTGGCCCTGATGATTATATGGCTACCCAAGCCCACGACCTCAACTATGTATTACGTTATAACAGGCCCCGCGATGAATACGTCAGTCACCAGACCCTAATCAGCTCAGGTCAAGATGTTGAGCTCCTCGTAGAAGCTTTCCGAAGTCTGCCTAACCTACAGACGGTCAGCCTACGAGATTTCTGCTCGCCCACACGGCACCGCGACGGAACCGGTCATACTTGGAATAGTTACGGTGCTCCTACATTCTTGGATGAGACCGGACGCCGTTTTGAATTCCCACGATTTGGTCATGGTGTCGGGAGTATGTCAGATGAAAGACCTTCAGCTTATGTTAGCCATGCGTTCTTGGCAATATTGCGAGCCCTGGGAAAGATGAAGGGATCTTATGCTCCCCCCAGGTTTGAGGTTATCTTAAGGGAGGTCCATCTTCCGGACACTTCCTTCAACATACCCCGCTACCTTGAGCGAACCATAGTACCTGTCCTCGCCGACTTGAAGGCCCTTTTCCTAGATCTGGGGCCGAAATCCTTCCACGCTCTCATTGTCAACAATAATGGCCATCACGAAAATTGCTCCGGCTTCCTTGTCCGCAATTTTCTTTCAAAGGCAGTATCCCTGGAGCATCTGAGACTTAATTTTAAGGGATGTCGTAACTTCGTGACAAAGGAGCTTCTCCTTTGGCTTGCTGGGGTCCCCGAGCCCAACCCAATTAGTTTACAACCTTCTATATCGGAAGGAAGTCAGAAACTGGGCACCCAAGTTGATACGCGAGGATATCCTCCAAGCTTGCCACGAGCGCCCGACCTTCCCCATCTAGACCAATTAGATATTGGGATGACGACACTGACACCGGATGTACTCCTCAATCTCTACAAGCGACACAAACCTACTAAGATCACCCTCCACAAGGTTACCATCAAAGCTGAGCAGCAAACCCCGACCATGGCTAGAACTAACCAGTGGACCTGGCTCTTCGCCCAAATTGCGAAGTCGAACCTAAGTCTTTTGGCGATAAATCTCTCGTCCCTCCACCACATGTACAAGGCCATGTCGTATCCAGTGCAATTTAAGCCGCTCAACCAGAATCCCAAAATCCCAGGATCCTCTACCAAACAGTGGAGTGGTTTGGACTGTATGTATACTCCCCGTCTGCAACTTGATTATCCATGTTCAGTGGTGCACGAGCACCCGAAACTGCACCCTTTAAATTCATATAAATGTCTTAAGTATAGAATAGCTACTGATTCAAAGATTCCATAGTTAAACGCAGTGCAAAAGAGTTCATCGAATCGGTAGCTGTTCAGTGGCCCAATGAACAGGATATGGATGTTGACGATGACGATGACGACATCGAATATGATGATGATGCAGACATGGGGTTTGATGACGACTCAGAATTAGAAGGTATCGTGCTACTTCCCCCAAATATAATATATCATAATTAGCGAAGACATTGAGAAACGCTGTGCTAACTAATATCATCTGTCTTAGATTGAGATGATGGTCCTGCTGATATAGACGTCACCAACTAGATGCCAGAGCATCAGACGATGCACCAAGATTTTTCCTTTGTATTTTTTCTTTTCAGCTACCCTGTCTACGGACTAGGGGCTGGGAATGGGGCTGGTGGGAGGTGGACGCAAGTTACGAGATTGATATTACTGCTAGTTCTGCTTGATGGATACCCTTCACAGGAGAAAGGGTTCCTACTGATTTGTTGTATCTAGCCATGGACGTATTTGTCCACAAAGTCGAGGATTGACGTATACGTCCACTGCGCTGAGTATTCCTATTTACAGTCAGTGTAAAATCCTATGATACCTCATGAACAAATCGATGGTTTCTCACAAAATTTAAACCATGTCCAGCACGAGGGACAATAACTGCTTCAAAACAGCTGGCATTTGGGAAGGACTGCTTCGACTGAGCCGGGATCGATGGGTCGGTTACTGTGCAGTTCCCTCCGCAGAATGGAATATCGCGTTCTACGAACAAGATACAGACGGTTAGCTTCCGAAATTGGATTCTAACTATTTTGGATTGCAGGTGATAATTCTTACCTCCGGTAATGATCAAGACCGGCCCCACGAACGAGTTGTTTCCGGATGCCAAGGGACCAAGTGTCAGCAGTTCTCCGACCGTGGCTGGCTGGGCTGATGCGTACGCCGCGTCCAAGATGTCCGGGTCGAAGTTATCCGGCGCAAAGAAGTTCGAGTGCGTGGCTGTCGTGTCGCCTACCACGAGGTATCCCTCTGGGTAACTAGCTAGTCGCGGCGTCGCGGTCCGCGCTTCGACCCAGTTACCGCCGAGCTGGAAGTATCGTGTGTAATCCGGCGCCTGGCCGAAGCCTGTTAATACGATGCCGTCGGATACGGTTTCCTCCGGGTGCTCTTTGGTCAAGGCGTATGTGAGCGCGGATCCGAAGCTGTGACCTAGGTGCACGATCTTGTCGAAATGTGTCGTGATGCCTGGGATTTGGGCCTTGCGCAGAGATGTGGTTAGGGCGTAGAGAGCGGATTCTTCGAGAGTCGCTTGGATCTCGTTGACGGCTTCGCCGCGCGAGGAGAGTCCGAGGCCGAGGCGATCCCAGAAGAATACGCTGTATCCGCGTGAGAGCGCGGCGTTGATGTAGCTGTATTTGTAGTTCTGCGCCGGAAAGTCCCAGTACGAGCGATCGAAGGCGACGCCGTGGGTTAAGACTTGTAACGTCGAGCCTGGGCCGGAGTCGGGCTCGCAGTACGTCGCACCAATGGTGTAGTTACCGGTTACAGTAGCGGACTTTGGATGTTAGTAGGACATAGGATGTACGAAGAAGACTAGGGTGCTTACCGGAGGGTCGGCGACAATTTCATTGGTGTAGTTCGCGCCCGCCTGAACGAGGTCCAAGACGAAGTTGGTGACATCGATGTTGGTGGACGGCGCTTTGAGCGTGAACTTGGTGTTGACTGATGATATAGTAAGGGGGATCGTGAGGTTCTTGCAATTGCGGGCCGAAGCCACGGCCGCGAAACCTGCTATGAGGATTGTATGTAGACTTGCTTGAACCATTTTGATCGTTACCTGTTAACGTCTCTACTGAGATCCGAATTGATCCATTGCATCTAGAGTCACAAGCTCTTCTTATATCACCAAATTCCTTGAACTCATTTTCAAATATTAAGCTAATTCCAAATCATATATCTCACCCATATTGTTGGTACCATGGATCTTGCTCCAATATTGGAGCTATCACCATGATGTTCCACAAACTATTGCGGTGAGGTCCTACGAGGCCCTTGCGTGGACCCCAAGTGGTCGGGTCTTCAATGTCGATAATAACTAGAGCTGCGCCGCTGCGGCAGTGCGGGTCAATCATTCACTCATCTTCATCTTCATCTCCATCATCATCGTCATCACCACTATCGGCTAGCCTCAGTAATCACCGCACGGGAACTAGAGGTAACAACGGCAGCTATAACGATATTAATAATAATAACAGCAATAACCCGTAACCACGTGGTGATACAATATCACAATAGGGGCAACGCTTGGCAATGCGAAAACTTGGGAAATTCTCCGATTAGCTAGGTTTTCGTGGCTTAGCGCTGAGGTCATCGCGAAATTTGGGCTCAGTCGTCGTTATTGTAGAACCAACAACAATAATTATCCACAATCGTGAATTCCAAATCTCTTCCCGCGGAGAAATAGCGGGGGTTAGCGGAATTCGACCGTCTTAGGTAGACCGAACCCTGTAGACTCGACCCCGGCGCGCCGGTAGACGCTACATATACCGAGGGAGCCACATAATGAGCTGCGGGCGGGATCCACAGAGGCTGAGATGCGGGACTCTTCCTGCGTATTGGCCAAATTCGATGATTTTCATGTAATGGCTCATCGATCCGGCTCTATAATAGGGTAATAGTTGAGCAGTTGAGTTGTGACACGTGAAAGGATCCATGGATGAGCTTCGTGCTTCGTGTTACACCAAAAGCGAGGCCATTCATGCTGAATCTCCAACAATATCGGCATCGCTCTGCGGGGAAATTCAATACCGAAAACGAGTACTAAAATCTCATGTCAAACACCAGCTGACGATATTAATTCAAATAGTCCCAGGATCAACAGTTGCATGCGTTGTTGGTTCGTTCTTTATTCCATGATTCGCGCGAACTTGCCTAATTACTCACCACCATGCCAGTTCGCTAGATATACCTGGTAGAGAGGATCTTCGTGATAATCGACTCTACCCCTGTGCCAAAAGGAGAGTGTCTCCAAGAAGAGAAATAGGGCTGAACTGTTAAGCTGACATCGCGCCATATGAGCCTCATGACCATCATCGGCAGTATAGAAGATCGTCTCTTTCGACTCCCCAAATGAGGACAAGATGATTCTTCAGGACATCATCTGTGACCCGGTTTCCCGGGTCTAGAATTGGCCCGGCTGACTACTCGGCCGCCACATACCTAGGTAGGTGAGAAAATGCCGATTTATGTACCAACACATTCAATATGTAGCAAGACATCGCGACGTGAAGGTTACCAAGGATGAATGTCGATCGGTTTTCGCCATGTGTCACCATATACGAATTCAGTCTGCATTCGTTAGCTTCCGGGCTCCACGGCTCGTCACAGTCACCTCACGAAGACGACAATATCTGAAATAACTTACGTTAATACTAGGCCAAATACACAAAACTACCACCCATGTCATGAAAAATTCAATTGTCTATCTATAGTTTTGCATGTATCCGAATCCTCTATTGGGCCGTAGGACATGTACCCAGTTACAACGCCTCAATAATAATCAAACTCAAAATGCAACGTTTCGCATGGCAATACTATGTCCGACCGCTCAGACGTCTGTACTCCCGTTCTGTTCCGCTGTTACACCCTAGCCCCCGTCTAGTCTATCATAGACCGTGTCCATTGACGCCGTTAACGCCATTGCTCGTATTCGTAGCCGCAGCCGCGGTCTCCTTCACAGCCTTATCTAACGCCTGTTGAATATCATGAACTAAATCCTCGGGTTCCTCGATACCACAGCTGACACGTACTAGGTCGTCGAACACACCCACAGCCTCACGCTGATCCCGTGGGATACCAGCGTGTGTCATGACACTCGGCAACTCGACCAAACTCTCAATGCCGCCTAGCGATTCCGCCAAAGTGTAAATCTTGGTCAGCTGGCAGAAACGTTCGGCGGCTGCTCGACCTCCTTGAATTCGGAACGAGAGCATACCTCCACCCATGCCATCCCGATGTTGTCGCAGTGCGATTTTTCGGTGAGGATGAGAGTCTAGACCAGGGTAGTTCACCGAGATGACATGTGGGCTAGCCTCTAAGGCATGTGCCACAGCAGTAGCGTTAATGCTTGATTGCTTCGCTCGCAAATGCAGCGTCTTGACACCTCGATGAGCAAGCCAAGAGTCAAAAGCCGAGGGTACAGCGCCACAAGCATTTTGGAGGAATGACAAACGTTCGCGCAGTTCCTCTGTGTTGAAAGCTGCCAAACCCATTACAACGTCGCTGTGTCCATTGATGTACTTGGTGACACTGTGGACAACAATATCGGCGCCATGTTCAAGAGGATTTTGCAGGTAGGGGCTCAGAAACGTGTTGTCAACAACAACTGCAACACCACGCGCATGAGCCGCCTCGGCCACTGCCCGAATATCGACGAGTCGTAGCGTGGGATTGCTAGGTGACTCAATCCATACCAATTTTGTGTTATCCCGAATATGTTCAGCAATATCGACCTCGATCTGCGGGGTGAAGGTCACAGTAACACCGTGGGCCTTAGCGACGCGGGTAAAGTATCGGTGGGTACCGCCGTACACATCGCTGACGCTGATGACATGGGAGCCCTGAGCTAGACTTTGGAGGATCGTAGCCGTGGCGGCACTTCCACTGCCAAATGCCAACGCATATTTCGCCTTTTCTAGAGCCGCGACGGCCTTCTCAAAGTTGTCGCGATTGGGGTTCGAGCTACGCGAATATTCATACACGCCGACGGGCTTTCCAGCTGCGGTTTGTTCGAATGTGGTCGAAAGGGAAATGGGCTCGATAACGGCACCTGTGGTAGGATCATGGGGTGCCCCAGCGTGTACGGCAAGGGTTCCGAAGCCGCGAGCAGGGGTATCGGTCGAGTGCTCGATAGGGACAGTCATGGTTGCGTATGATACTTCCTTGTTGGTATGATACGTGCTAACTGATTGATTCCTCCAAGTGCCCTTTAGTAAAGCAGTCGACGATGAGAATTTGTAACGGGACGTCCGGCTTAGAAATTCCTTCGCAAAAAAATCGAAGTGGGGAGCTATCGTTCGTATGGTCGAGGCCCTGTGAAAAAAAGAACAGAAGAGGCTAAATTAGGTCGTTGGTCTATTTTTAATGCTTGCGGGTACCTGGAATTTTGGGTAGTTGAAGAAATGAGAAAATAGAAATTAGTGTAATAAATGGTAAGATTTACCAATTGCCCAAGTAGCGCGCCATCTTTATTTATATAGACACCCAATATAAAAGCAATTAGGAAACCCCTACTCAGATATACAGTAATTCCTTCCCATATGTCACCACATGTTACCTAAGAACGGTGAATGGGAAAGTGCGATATGGAATTTCTTAGTTGCGCAAGAAAGTGGTTTTGTCATCATGATTATCCAATCCCCGATTTTCGTCATTTGGTAGCGGGATGAGGAGATCCACCCCGGCTCGGGACCCCGCATTGTGGAGCTTCATGCTTCCGACTGCCGCAATACCGGTGCTACCCGTTACTTTACCCATGGTACTACTCTATTAAGGTTACTTTAATGACTATCGTATAACCTTAAAAGTTTAATCTACCCAGGGATTCGGGACTCGAAACAGACGTGTATCTAAATCTCTAATATTCATGGTCCCTCTTGCTTGTTAGAAACCCAACCTAGAGTTACAATCATGCTTGTATCTACCTAACAGCCTAAACAATTAACAGCGTGAGGTATATATTATTTACGCCTCGTATAACGTGCTTTGAGGCTTGAATTTCTCCTTCTCTCCGTCAGCTTGTGTATTGTCACGAATATCAACACGTTACACATGACAGGCTGAATCTATTCAACTAGCACACCGCCAACAACCCGACAGCCGGCTTATCGACACCCTCCCCTCCTCATTAGGTAGGTACAAGACTTCCCGTCCACTTCTGCTGCAGCTAAGAAGCCCGAGAAAAACCATCCCCCAGAAGGAATGTCGGGGTATGCAGATGCTAGGATTACGACCCATCACAAGCTTGAAAACAAAAGCAAATACAACTTCAGATGAAATCTGGGTAGTTAAAGTACTTGTCTGTTTTTTTAGAATCAAGGGTACTCGGGCTCATTTCGGGATGTGCAAGTATTTCGCACATTCGTATATGCTGCTAGGTCCCACTCTACCAACTCATATATATAGCATTTTTACATAATTCGTAATTCCCAAGCCGGCCTCGGTATCGTGTCGAGAAAACAACTAAACTTTTAAATGCTGTTTCTAACATCACATCAAACCCCTGATACCGTTGATCTAATACGTTGCTTCCGCAATTTCCTAGCGTTCGCTGCCCCCGGGATATCCGATGGTGGGGCCGGATCCTTACTTGGAAGCAATTGACCTCTATTCGGCGGACCTTTAGAGTTGCCGGCACTACACGCGGCACTGATGCCGTCGCACTTGTCCTCCCACACGTGGCAGTTTGCGCTACCTGTCGGCGGTGCTGTATTGTAGCAAGTCCCCGCTTGGTCAAAGCATGCCGACGATGCATCCCAACAACCAGCCTCAGTTGAATAGTCTGCTACTTCCACACCAACCCAATTCGCATTCTTGATGAGGTAATCCGAAGGCACCTTACCCTCGGTCTGCTTTGCGGATTCGGTAGACGCAGCGGTAGTTTGCGACTCGGCGGGTTTGTAGACCTTCGGCCCGGGCATTGGATACGGGAACTTCGGTTGGTAAATATTGAAGGAGACCGAGGGTTCGCCGGCTTTAACGTAGCCGGGAATGCTAACGCTATACTCATCAGGCACATTAAGTGGTGCCGTGTTTCCATTATCAAGGAACACCTGAGCGCAGCCCACGTAAAATTGCGGATCGCCTTTATCCGCGTCATGAAGAGCCAGTAATTCGGGTCGCATAAGCCAGTATCCAGTCGTGAGAAAGTCGGGGATATCAATGGACATCAGGCCATTGTTGTCAATGAGCTTTTCCGTGCACCATTTGCCGCTCGAGTCATCGTAGCCCTCGTCCCACTTCGGTGCCACCGTTAGTGAATTCTCTACAACCTCAATGCATCAACCATATAATAGCGAGTAAGGACTATTATGAGTAGGTATACTTACGAGTTTAATCCAACCTGCACCAGCCGCGGAGTCCTTCGTCATGTCCTTGACTTGTTTCCCATACACCGCGCAAGGTCCCTAGCCCAATGGTTAACGGACTCACTTTTCTAAACTATATGTGCGCCGTACCTTGTGCGAAATATCTATAGATCCCGGTTGCTCAAGATCGGCCCATGCCCGCCACTCAAACGTCAGTTTCCCCCCTGTTGATGCGGGGCAAGTGAAAGCAACGGGTTGACTGCCGTTTACGCCTAAGGTAGGGTTAGTAAGTATCGTAGCTACCTAGTTAAAGATATGTTACCATACCGCATGCCATATCATCGCTAGCCAAGTTTTCTATCGGGAAAGTGCAATGTTGAGGATTCATGTTCATCCTAACGCACGTCCCATCCCCTTGAGAGACATCGTTGACGAAAAGAGTGGTGAAGATGGTATGTGAATCTACCATCATAAGAAAAGAGGTGGCTAAAACCACAAGAGAAGAAAAGTACTTCATACCAAAAGATGATATTGAAATGGGGGTGGTATTTCAAAGAATATATCAAATCCTAAGCCTTACGCCAGGTAAGTTCTCACAAACATGTATTCGGAATATCAATTGATTCAGGTAAAGCACTGCTTCAATAAGAGTAAAGGCCTTGCCCAACTGAGGGAATGAACGTATCGGCCAAAAAAAAAGAGCGACGGAAGTGAATAAGCGAATAGAAATGAATAGTCTACCTATTCACGAACAAGAAGGAGATGAGGAGAGGAAAGGAGGAAGGACATTCACCTCCATCATATAATAATGCAGGGCTATATGAAGTTTAGGGGTAATAAAACATCAGCCAGTTTGTGTCGTGTAACCGTAGGGCCCATTCAGGAGACCAAACACTTCCAGAGACCTGATTTGAAGAAATATTCAGTAACACCTCCCTTAATCTGAAAGCCCAGTCCGAATATATCAGGCCAGGTAGTGGCTCGCTTCGAATACCAAAGCCCGACGCGATTCACGCCCTTTGAGGCGAAAATGAGGATCCAAACAGGTGCTCGCAACCCGTAAATGATATATGATTGCTTCGATACCCCTCCACCTCGTCAAGGACAGATAACCCCTGCATTTAGAATATCTCGGTTTTCTGGTTATAGATAAAGTGCGACATTAACACGTGCGACAGCGTTTGCGTAGATCCGGGGAAATGGCCATTTACAGAGTTTTGAAATTCCCGCCCTGATCTGATGATGTAAGGGACAGGGTCAAGGGCGAAGAGTGCGGGTGCTTGCATTGATATATATCCTCGTGGCCAATCGGGCGAACTGTGCCAATCGATTTTGAAACATGTTCGTCCCAAGTTGTCTAATCCGAACCCATCGTATCGAACCAACCCGAATCGTGGAAGAATTTTACAGTTGCGGGTAGAGCACGCGAGGGCGAATATTGTACCCAAGCCGCTGGCTTGTCCCCTATCCGTAGGCGCGGGCTTCCGGGGCGCTTAGGGCTACTTATTGTTATCTTGGTCGCATCTTGGCTTCTTACGAAACCCACCTAATCCTGTTTAACATGCTTAGAACCCAATGAACTACTTCCAATTGAACTCTGACATAAATTTCTGATTTGCCCCGACTAAGTAGGTATTGGATTGTACCTCGGTAACTCGCCCGTTGATGTACTTGCCACCTCAGCTTTCAGCTACAATTATTTGCGAAAGTAGCCGAAATAGCGTTAGCTTTGGATCCGAGACATCTCGAGACGGGTTGAGCGTCGTCCAAATTAGGAAACCTTCGTATATTAGAGAAATGTGGACGAGAGATCTACAAGTGAAGAAGGGATTTATACCTAGATCATGTCACTATTAGATTGCAGAGGTACTTTCTACTCCTTAGCATATGAGAGGGAGATTAGTTCGGTATCTTCTTATAACCTGTCGATCGTGAGGCCAGGCGGGATCAAACACTTGGGGAATTGGCTTTCTAGTTGATGCTTGAGTCTTGGGCGGTTCTTGGAGGGAAGAGTGGAGATCAATTACACCTCAACACCATGAGGCTACGTCTAAGGACTGCTATATAGCTAGCTATTGACGTTTTACCACCCTCCAATCGTCAAGTATTCATTGCGCTATGCAATTTTTGACCTGAACTCTTTTCATATGCCTCTTTGTTTTACATGGGTAGTATTGTACACCGTCGGTCGTGAATCATAAATATCGGTATGATTTTTATTCGTTGATTTTGGCGAGAATCCTATGGTAGGGCGAGTTGTGAGTATTTGGACCATGATTGTCGGAAGCTGGTGGGATATTGGATTGAACTTACTCGCTTTCCCGGAAGAGATAGAGCTCCTTGTCACCAGCCTTTAGAGGGGTGCCTCCAAACTGTCCATATGTTAGCTACTAGTCGCAATCGCGCCGCAGGAATCCTTAAGATGTTTATCCTTCATCAGAAAACGACTCCAACTTACTTGAGGGATCAATACTCGGTCTCCCGTCGTTACACCCATAGGTAGACGTGCACCGTCCTTGTTCAACGCACCGGGACCCACAGCCACGACTACGCCCTCGTTGAGTTCCTTCACACTCGAATCAGGTAGGATGATACCGCTGGCAGTCTTGGTCTCGGCCTTGGCTCGCTGGATCAGGACACGATCCAGGAGAGGGAGAAGGGACTTGACGCTTCGGATAGCAGTGGCTTGTAACTTTTTTAAGTCAGTAAAATCCGCTAGGTAAGAAAGGCTTGTGGGAGGTGCTAGAAGAAGAATTTTGTAGGCCGAGGGACGAAATATGAACTTGCGAAAAGCAAAACGTCATAACCTAGTATCCAATGTGCAATGATTATTTAAGGATTGAATGTACATACCATTTTGAAGTTTATCCAAGTAATACCTGAGAGTCCTTGAAGAGTAGGATTTTAGGTCAAGGAAAGAGGAATTGGAACTTGAGGGTCGAAATTTGAAGCTATCACGAATTCATAGATCTTTTGGAAAGCTTTAGAAGATTCAAGTGGGCTCATAGACCCGAACTTTTTTTTATTCCAGGGTTTTTCCGATTGCCGGGGTTAGCTGTGTCTCTAGCCCCCGCCCAACCGGAGCTGTCGGACTCCCCCTCCTCCTAAGTAAATTACATCGATTAGGTACATGTTATTAGTAATGCGTAGTGTATGTATAACTGCATAGAATCGAAATACATCATTAAATAGACTGACCACCGAGTACAAACGGTACAGCCATGAAAATAAGAGAGAAAAATGGGGGAAGATGTCTACCTGGATCCATCTATACACAATCGCATGTACTCTAGTTAGTCTATATCGCTATGAACCTGTACGGTTTGCACCCATCCGCTTTGACCCCCCTTCCGCTGTGTGTTGATAATAATGCCACTAAGTGATATGGATGTAACTCCGTAAACGCCTAGGAAGATCGTTCCTTTCCCAACCAATGTCCAAATACCTTATGCAATCCTTTCTTTACCACCTTTTTGCCAACCTACTTGCTAGGTGGTGCTGGAGGCTCGAGAACGTGTGTATGGTCCTCCGCATGGATCACTTGACCATGGCTGACTTGCCTGCAGATGATCGTATCTGAAACCCAAGGCTCATCGAGGATCTCGGGCATTTGAGCCCTCTTTTTCGGGTCAATCGTCAACATCCTCCCAATAATGTGTCTACTTTCCCTAGGAAGTAATCGCAACAGACGCCAAGGTCCCCTAATGATCTCTTTTTTGTCTTGTGTATTGCCATCGGTACCCCCGTTGGTAGGTGAATCGGTGCTCTTAGGTCTCTGTTGTTTCGCCTCACCCTCAGTAAAAATATCGCGCTGTGGGATATTCGAGAGGTCGTTAGTTGACCTAGAGGGAAGCACTAATTTCTTGGGATCGTGACCGGGAGACGGTTCCGCGGCAAAAAGCTTATACGAGTTATCTGACAAGCGAGGGACCTTCCAAGGAAATCGCCGAAGCGACATGCAACAAAAAATAATGGCAAGAGACCAAATATCCACTGCTTGAGGGTCGTATTTGCGTTCATCGTACACTTCTGGAGCAAGGTAGGGGTCGGACCCAACCACACCTAAAAATTTGTTAGATTCATGTAACAACTCATCCCTGTGGCAATACTTGACTTACCAGAAGCAAGCACAATTTCGGTCTCGAAAGGATACCTAAAAACATGCGCACTGCCGAAGTCAATGATCTTCATAATCCCATGCTGACTAACGACAACGTTATCGAGTTTCAGATCCCGATGAGCGAGGCCGGAACTGTGGAGGTAGGTCACACCACTTAGAATCTGCAAGAAGCAACACGTAATTTCGGGCTTCGACATCTTTCCGGTCATAACTATAGCGAAAAGGTCGAATGGGGCGTATTCCATCACCTCATACCACTTCCCCTTCTCCTGAACAATGTCTAGCGTTTCGATGACGTTACCGTGGTGTAAAGCGGATCCAATACAAAATTCGGCCGTCAATTTCTTCACATATTCTTTTTCCGTCTCATATGAATGACGAGGGCGGAACTCTTTTACCGCAAACACGGTGTTATCCTCGGTCCTCTTCATAAGCTTGACTGAGCCTCCGGCGCCAGATCCAAGAACACGACCAAGCTTCCCATATTTTGACGTAAGGCCATGATCATCAGCAAACGGGACCTGATGAGCTTTAGATCCTAGCGGAGAAGGCGACACCGATTTCTTCGGCTTATGGCTAACTCCAACTTTAAAAAACCTCTTCAAGTCGGACATAGATCCGTGAGCACTATGCGTTGTAGACCCAGTGCCCGTCGGGTGTAGATCGCCGGACTTGTTCCTATTCGCAAAGAGCCCAGAGCGTCGCTTTTCATCCTTCTCGGCCTTTGACGATAGATTTGTAGACGAAGATGAGGGTGAGCTCTTCTTTTTCCTGGAAAACACAAATCTTTGGTCAATGTTGCTACCAGGTTTACTTTGTACAGGTCGTTTGCTTGCAGCGTAGGGGTCATTTACGTCTCCATGGGGAGTGAAAGGTCGTGAATAGTACTGAGAAGCGGCATTTCTCGACGGACTAGATTCTCTAGACACGGGTACGGATTGACCCCCAGGTCCGATACTGAAAATCCCTTTCCGATGCGAACGAACAGCACTATCGTGATCGTCCACTGCCGTCGACCGTTGTGATATGTTGTCGGTAGATGCGGGTCGATGCGGAAGGTTAACTCGAGGAGAAACTGGTCTTGAATCTTGCCCTGAAGCTTGTGGTGTTATCGCCTGTGAGTCAAATCCTCCATCAGAACTTGCAATTCGAACCGACTTGGCGCTTTTCGTGACGGAATCTGCTGCCGACGTCCCAGCTGGTGTCAAAGGCGGCGATACTAATTCAGGGGCTTTAGGGCTTAATCGGGGCGACGGATGGCCCATGGGGCTATGGCTATGTTGTGGTGTTGCGCCGGGCGTAGTCTCGTTAGACGCCACCTGAAGATGCATCTGTTAGCTATACCATCACACTCCGAATATATTGAAAGTCGCCAAATGATAAAAGACGTCATATTGCTATCGTGACCTAGATCCAAAACAAAAGACTTTCTTTGGTCGGCCCAATAACAAATAAGACATAGAAGCAGATGGTGGCGAAGGAAATTGCTGTTTGCCCATCGCAATCTTTGAGGAGGGGCGCCATTTTAGAGATAATTAAGCTGAAAGAAAACTGCATACCCGAGAAGGCGGGAGCGAAACCGGATCAAACGCATAATTCTGCAACCGCTGCTCCTGAAGTTGAGCGCCTTGGATGGAATTGGTTAGAGCCCGTATTAAGTCGGGGTTGGTAGAGCTATCTTTCCGGGACTCCGGGCTACCAAAGGAGGCAACTGGGGGTTCGATCTCGTCGACAATGGAGGAGAAGCGTACAGAAGTCGCACGCTCTGAAGGCTTTATGGCGCCATCGGTACGATCGGGTATATCGTTGGAGCTGCCTAGAACGTGGAAAGGCAAAGTTAGCTATCAAGTCATAGGTACTTGATTTATCACAACAAAGCCGCAGGATAAATAGCTATGTACACAGCGTATACACATAGAAAATATCAGTATATACCTTGCGGCTGCTCCGGTTGGCGTTGGTCATCAATGTCGATCGGGGTTGTCATGGCAATCGAATACCGAATGCCAGATAGAAGATAGAATTAAAAATGTTACAGTACAAAGATTGAAGTTTCAGAAATCTGGGCCGAGGGACGGCCCCCAAGAGATATGTGAAGTTTTAGATAACAAAGGGGTTCAGAGGGGGGAAGAAGAAGAAAAATTAAAAATAAATCAAAAGGAAGAAAAAATGATGATGATATGATGAACCAGGCTTTGGTGAAAAGGTTCTAAAAGATCTCTATCTGTCAAAACTTGTGGGAGAACTGACTTATGTCCATCATGGTGGGGCTCTATGAGTAGGATGGGAAGGTAAGGTGGGTAGCTTCTTTCCGCCGCCCGCAATAACGTCGTCTAGCGTTTCTAGCGTACTCGAATTGTTCGTACATTTAGGTAGGTAGGAGGTACCTGTCCCGTCTGTCTAGGTACATTCCCTACATACGACATGCGCAATACACACATGTATTAGATCCATGCAAGTACAAACTTTACGCGACCTAGGACTTTTAAAAGAAAATCAACTCGAAATACCTTCCTACATAAATCTGTCCAACGGGATGTGATTAGGCCGATTATGTGTATGGAGTGATGAGCATAAGTGAACTAAACATTCCATGGACATGTATGGATAGATATGGATAGATATGGATGGATTCTCTCCCTCTCGTCTCTCGTCAACCATTCATATGTAACATTTGAACATATGCAAAGTACTGTACAAGGAGGGAATCGGCAGCCGCATCAGCCGGCTTGATTGCGAGAGGACCGCGGCTTTACTTCTTACATGGATGTACACTGTCCAGACTGTCCCGGTGGCTTGGTGACGAACATGAGGTACAGTACTTTGAAGAGTTATTGGTTTTTGAAAAGTTCCTACCTCGGCGCTTTACCCGGAGGGCACCAGACACTGTTCCGCAGTGGATGAAAGAAAGATTGAAGAGTCACTTGGCTGCTTGAGAGGCTTGGATATGTGGATCATTGGTGGGTCTCCCTTACGGCCCTTGTTGGTGGGGATCAAGATTTCAATCCGCTTGCGTCGTTTGTGTGTTCGTTGAGAGAACATTGGATAAGTACTTGAGTACTTGGAAACTTAATACAAGTACATATATGGTGGGGGTAAGCATGCTGACAAACCAAGCAAGATGAATGTAGATATATGATATGGATGTACAAGAAGACCGAATACGTATAATACATGTATGTACAGTTAGGCTAGTTGAGTTAGCTGGACGGACAATCTTTTTTTCAAGAATGCAACCTTAAAACACAGCGCATAATAATGGAAAAAGATACATTCAAATACCTAAGGATATTTTCCCTTCTTTTCTTTTTCCCTCCCGATCTTATTCCCGGCCGGCAGGCTGATCACGACTGAAACTTCATGGGTATAAGAATCTAAAAGGCTTGATTTTTTTTCATCCATTTTTTATTCTTTCGCCCCACTGCCGTCACAATTTACACCACATATGTATTAGACTATACTAAACCTTTTAGCATCGACCTGCATCTAATGTACCCAAAGACTACCAATGGTGATGATGAAGCTGTAAGTGTGCCTGGAATTGATTAGCTTGCAGCGACCCGTCCTGCGGGCGGACCTGTGATCTGCCATGCATTATCAGGGCCAAGATTGGCCATTCCGCGAACCTTCCAACACAGGTTCGCACGGCATACCCATGCCTTACTTGATGTAGGTAGAGTGGTGGGATGGTAAGATGGTAGCCCAATCTAGTATCCCAAATCTTTTTGAGCTTTTATCAGAGAAAAGACCTTGAAGGCGAAATCTGATCGGGATATTTGTCCAAGCAATGGAAAAGTTTTTAGAAGTCGGTGAGACAGATATCACCCACCATTATCAAACATATCGACTTTCCATTTTCCATTTTCCCCTCATTTCTCTCGTTGCTACCTTAGGTACTCTTTCTAAAACAATAACCTCAATAATTGTCTCGTCTTAATCATTCATTCAAACTTGGAAGATATATCGGGAATATTTGCATGAGTATGAATACGGGATGTAGTACCTAGGTATGTTCGGTACAACGGCTAGACCGGTTATTGTTGCGCAAAGTTGGTGACATCTTTACACAATGTGTCCAATATTGCCTTATTTTGCTGATCACATGTTCAGTACATAGCCTACGTTATACCTACTAATAGTTCGGCCTAGAAGGCATCTAGAAGCCGATGATTACTCCGAGATTTGTACCATACTCTATCGTATTGTATTGTTAGTTGTACAGATTATTAAATCTTTTTAGTATCCTCATCTTTACCCACGCCTCCGTATCTAGTACGTAAATGGGTATCAATCCTTCCTAGCGATTTCAATAATACTAAGCAATATTTCAATGTCACACATCCCCATCCTTACGATCAAGACTCGCCTCTTGGTTGATGTCATTTATGCTCCAATATGTTAATACGCAGAACCGAAGCCGCTTCGCAGCCAGGTAACACCAGGACAACTGTCTTCAAGCTCCAATACCACCCTCATATATGTATATAGCTTAATCCGTAGCTTAACCATAAACCTATAGTCTGGGCAGCCAGCGATACCACCGCCAGATGACACATCAGACCTGACCCGACCCCCGACCCAGAATTTTTCTTGCGAAATTTGATTTCGTGAAAGAAAAGGCTGGAGAGCGACATGCTAAGTGCTACCGTTGCATGCGAAAACACCCGAGAACATCAATCATCAATCATCTCTCCAAACCCAGCTCGATCATATTCCAGAGTTTTCGCCTGTGTAGGAAGCCTTGATGCATAATGCTTTGTGATAGAAGAAGGATTTTGCGCTTGGTCCGGTATATCGTACAAATGTTAATGTGGTGATACATGTTGATGTGATGCTTGTACACATACACATGGTAGATGCTCCGAAATAATAGACAATTAACATCGTTCCATATGCTCCGACGCCTAGAAATCGTGCAGAAGGTGGCCAAATCTGGTTTTGCCTCCCATAATCTACGCAACGACCGCGATCCCCATTGATTTGGCTTGATAGATGACAGACTTGCAAAGTCCTTCTAGAGGGAGACCGGAGAGCCTTAGCTCACTCTGCTTTATCTTGGCGATTTCGTAAACGTGTTTTAGAGTGATCGTTCCTACTATCTCATGACCTGCCTTACTTGCGGCTTTTCTCTTTCCCTTCTTAGAGAGCGGTAGTTCTGCTGCGTTCCGAAGGAGCCACGAAGTCTGCGGTGTTCGAACGTCAAAGTGAAATGATCGGTCTCCTCGCACTGTTACTCTCGTCGGCATGGGCGTTCCCGGGATTATATGTGCTGTTCGTGCGTTGAATTCCTGAGGACAAAATAATATTAGGACCGGCGCATCGTTTTTTTGAGAGTAGATCGATTTTTTTTACCTTGCAGAAATCCATAGACTTAATACCTTTGCTTCCAAGCGCAGGGCCGACCGGCGGGCTTGGAGAAGCCTTGCCCGCTCCTACAATAAGCTTCACTATCTGGTCGGCAACCGCGCGTGACTTGGACATCTTTAGAGGCCGTTATGTCAATTGGTATGAACAATCTTGGAAGATGTGCGGGATGTTTGTCAGTACTTTTTTGAGGTACCAGAAAAATCCGAATTCCCCAATTTTGACTGATCGCAAACCTTAACTGAGCGCTGAGCTAAAATGGAATTGGATCAGCCACAATACACACTGACACACAACTTAAAGTGTATTAGGTACTTGGAACGCGCCACAAATGTGAGGTCACTCTTACCCTAACCAAGTAGGGATAGTACCAAGATAACAGGGTAAAAGATCCATGTCTTCGAAACGTGATTCGAGGACCCCGCCAAAACCTTCGAAAGCTTGAGCTACTTCCTCCCACTAAGACTTCCATAATCACGACCATTACAATTACAACTTTATCACCGCTATTCTCTCCTTTTAATGATCTCAATCTAACATATTTTTTGTTCTCGTTTCTCCTACAATCTTTAAGCTATCCCTCTCTACTCTTACTTAATACCTGATTACTGTACCTACTTAATAATCATGTTCAACTGGGCAAAGCAAACGTCAGTAACAAATACACCGTAGATATCTCCCACTTCATATCTTCGGCTAACTTGGGATTTAATAGTTTGGCCAATGTTGTTGGCACGGAAGAGCCTATCTATGGTCCTTCGGCCATAAAGTCCGTTGCCGAAGATGCTAAGACGACACCGTACACGGAGTTGACAAGGGATGGTTTCAAATGGGCCGCAATGGACTCGACTTGTGTTGAGACCCAGACCTTTTACCTAATGGCTGACAGTGGCCCTTTGGCTTTTGTCCAAGTCATTTACAGCAATGTTGCGTATGTATTTCCGAGTACCTAATCACGTTTCAATCGAGTTAACATTGAACGAAGTGGTATTCGTACAACTTGCCAGTTCAACTCTAAGATTTTCTTCACCGACCCCTCCAAGCCTCATCTCTGGAGCTCGACGCCGCTTAGCCATCACGAATTCAGCGAAGATAAAACTGGCTTCTACGCCAAGGACTGCGCTGTGGAGCTGTCCGAAGATGGGAAGACATACACGATCAAGTCGATGAACGATCCCAACGCCATTGTAAACGTCAAAGTCAGGAGAATAGCGCCAGCTTTCGTCGCCGGAAAGGATGGAAAGACCTTATTCGGTACGGATCTATCGCACCCTTGGGGAAGCATGCGACATGCTTTCTGGCCAAGATGTATAGCCGAAGGAAGTATCATGACAAAGGATGGCCCCATTGATTTTAGGGGTAAGGCATTCTTTACCCACGCCTTGCAGGGCATGAAACCCCATCACGCGGCGGCCCGATGGAACTTTGCCAATTTCCAAGGACCGAATTATTCCGCGATCCTAATGGAGTTTACCACGCCACCATCGTACGGTACCACTGTAGTAGACGTGGGTGGAATCGCCAGAGAAGGAGAGATCGTCACTGCCGGAACCAGCTGCGGCGCCAAACATCTGAAGACGAAGCAAGATGGAGAGAATGATTGGCCCGAACCTACCGACATTAGGTTCTCCTGGACTGGTGCCACGAAGGACGGAAAAGCTGTCGAGGCATTCATCGAAACTTCGTTGGGTAATAGAACTGATAGGATTGACGTTATGGCAGAAGTTCCCGGATTCGTCAAGACAATTGTCGCAAGTGCAGCTGGAACTAAGCCATATATATACCAAGTGAGTGGATAAGCATTTATTAGAAGCATGTCTGTTCCTAACTATGAATACAGTTCTTCCCACATAGCATCCCTGTGGAGCTTAAGCTCAAGATAGGAGATGAGGAAATTACCGAACAGGGACGGTTGTTCAGTGAAGCGACTTTCATATCCGCGATTGAATGAGCTAGTCGAGGCATGGAATGAAATATAGCAAGTGCACTCTCCTCGGTATGGATGAAGACCTGAGCAGGTCTCAGCAGGGCAGATCAGCCAATCATACTGCATTTAGAACATGGAGACTTGGCTGTAGGGCACTACTCTAGTATAGAAGGCATACTATACTGTAGTTACTCGCCTTCAGCTAGCACGTGGTCAGGATATTGTACCCAGATGATATTGGGATTTGGGCAGACTAGAATTCATAGACACACGTGATCACTCGTTAGGATCCGAATGGATACAATTATAATCAAGCTTTGCTATTTGTAGTTCTGTGTTGTCTTTAGAGATTGCATTAAAATAATTGCTGCCATATCCAATCATAGATGTTCAGATGTGTTGATCGAATGTATTAATCAAATAGCATATTGAGTTGAATAAACTCTCTTCTGTAACTCCTCTGCTGTCACTTCCTAATTGGATATACCGCCCTGGCAGGACTAATGGTCTTATACATGGATAAACTTTATCGATACGATTAAGTATGTCATAGGACCATGGAAGGTATGCGCCTTCCCCGGAAGCCAGAGAGTTTGCAGCAGTTGCGGGTGGTTGCCACTTCCCAATTAGTTAAATAGTTCCCTGTATTTCAAAACACCCTGCAGCTGACTGCCTATCTTCTCCCCCACATTGCGCAAACTTCCCCAACCCCTCCACATTGTCTTACCAACTGCACGCGGCCCGCTTCACTTAATTATATCAAGAACAATAGTTGTGCTTCGTTCTCACTTGATATACGGCTCGGAAATCCTGTGAAAATTGTCGCATTCTCGAAAAATAATGCCAGGAAAACAAGTCCCTCGTGGTGGGAAAGGCGGTAAGGGATTGGGAGGTAAAGAAGTACGTTGCTCAAATCCCGATCGTGTTAATCGTGGGTGCACAAATCGCAGTGCGATTGCTAACTTGTGAACTTCCACAGGGACGAAAGCGCCACCGGTAACTCGCATTAGATTTGACATGTCATTATTCTTGGATGGGATGGGAATGGCTAACAATATTCGTATATAGAAAGATCCTTCGCGACAATATCCAAGGCGTTAGTAAGTTATGTCTCTATCTTATCCCAACCCGGAAACGTTGAAGAAATTCCAGCTAACGAACTGTCTAAATTTCTAGCTAAACCCGCAATTAGGTATGTCTTACCTAGAACCGAACCATCCTCCGCAACCTCAAATCCACGCTACCTAGGTAGTTTTAGCTTTAATTATGTCATATACTATTTTTCGATTGCATATACTTTTGCTATAATGAATGAAGTCTAATTGATTCTACATAGGCGACTAGCTCGTCGTGGAGGTGTCAAGCGTATATCGGCACAGATATACGACGAGGTCCGCGCGGCGTTGAAGAAACGTCTAGAAGAGGTATGAAACCATATATAACGCATTCTTCTCTTTCCATCTATTGTACTAATCATATGCATTTGTATAGATTATACACGACTGTGTCGCGTATACCGAATACCGTCGAAGAAAAACTGTAACAATCAACGATGTGAGCAATCCTTTACACAATGTACTTGTCTTTCGCCCATGATGCTAACCAAAATGTTTTTTGGTATTAGGTGATACACTCTTTGAAGCGACTAGGTCGACCGATATACGGGTTTGACGATGTTACGGTCGGCCCCAGCAAGCTAACGAAAAAGTAATTACGAAATCGAGCTTGTATAGTATGGCAATGTGAATGATTTATGGGATGGTAGTGTTGCTTTACTTGAAATGATCGGGAATACAATGTCCAAAAGGCGTACATACGGGATGGCTTTGGTTGCGTTTTAAAGCGCTGTTGAAATATTGCGGATTTGCAAATTCGTACGGATACCCACTTGCTAGAACACTATATGCAAGTAGCTCTCGACGATTAACGTCGTATGAAATTGTTCATGAATTATGATCTATTTGTCATGGTCTATTTGAGCTCATAAACACTCTAAACGAATGGGGGTATTTGATCATCAAGCAACCATAAACAAATAGTAGCCGCCGCCAAACGCCATACCACCGACCGACCAAGCGTCTACCGTCCTCTATAAGATCCTGGACCTCTATAGCTTCCGCCTTCGCTTGCTACCCTCCCACTCGCTCAAAACTTTTTCTAAAGCCTTTGCGGCTCTCTGCTCGTCTTTTCTAAGCGCGCCGTTAAAAACTTCCGGCAGCACCATTGTGCTATTCGCATGCTCCTTCGCAAACCCAACTTCAGCATCCTTCCCGCACCTCTCCCTCGTCACCTTGACCGCCTCGTGTAATAAATCTGCGCCGACGCCTTTACCACGGTATCTCATTTTGACAGTCCACGCTCGGATGATGCCCTTGCCTCCCTTAAGCGCCGAACCTCGGCTCCTTCTCTTACCGGCTAGACTCGGGTTCTGCTCAAGTCGTAGGACTAAGGCGCCAATAAGATCCTTGCCAAACCGCACACCAACAACGGTGTCTTCCTCGCCGTCCTCCGATACCATCCAGCTCCACTTCATACTCTCGGCCACTTGTATGTATTGGCCCGTAAAATAGCGGATTGTGAGTAGGTAGATCATGACCACGCCGGAATGCAACATGAACGCCATACCGAGATCGCGTTTTACGCGCCATGAATATTGGTATGTAATACCGAGCGCCACGGCAAGGACGGCAAGTAGGTACGGATGGAAGACCAGGGAGTACGAGGATGATTGCCGTTGTTGTGCTATTGAGTCTGTGACTAGGTTCAATGCATCCACCTTGTCGGTCTCATCACTCAATGCACTGATAGATAACGGGGGCAGATCATCCGGGATTGGGTTACTCGGCGGATCGACCGTTACAAGCGGCGATGGCGAAGGCGGGGGGAGCTTATTGGAAGGTTCCGGCTCCATATCTGGCGTCGAGACGGCGGAGGGATTGACAACGAGGTTCGCCCGGAGAAAGAGGAAGAATGCTGTTCGTGCAGGGTGCTGATCAGCTCTGTCGAAGCCAATATGTAGTGGTAATAAGTCTTTATGTCCGAAACCGAAAACATAGAAAGTAGATTTTTATGGGTTTGCTTCTCACCACGTCCAACTCATGCGACGCCGATTTGCGATATCAATATACCGGGTCGAGAGTTACACCATATCACGAAGAAATGAGACAGCGAAGATTGAGCTTTCAATTCGAGCATGAGAAAAAGGAAATTGATGCACGAGACCACAAGAAATAAATTGACTTAATTATTTAAAAAAGGAGATAACTCTTTCCTGTACTTACCAGTGCTAGTTTTTAGACCCGGCACCGCATTCATTTTGTCCATGACGGTGCCGGGTCCATAGTAGGCATTCAAATCTAACTCTCGGGCCACGTGCGCCATCTCGACGTTATGTGTGGACAGCCAGGTCCGAGGTGGGCAGCAATAGCTTTTTTTAAACGAAAAAATTTGGTGACCTGTCTCGGTGTAAATAAAAAAGTGTATTTTACGCCGTAATTAAAATGTCGTAATTTCTTTACCGGCTGCTTGGGACCCCAAGGGTCTTAGATGCTTCTGGACCCTTGAAAAACAAATAAATCGAGAGGCTTGAATTAAGGTACTTTAACTCCAAGCTCTTAAGCGACAGCTCGAGGTGTGAGGTGGGGGTAATAATTGTGTGTGTGCGCGCGCGCGGGTATAATCGATGACGACAACTTCTAAGTAACAATTTAATTGGGAAATAGATGGGATGGAATGGAGTGAAAGAAGCGAGTCATGAAAAAGGGGGAAAAAGAAAAAAAAAAGGAAGATCAAACACCAGAAATATAATTGAACAAAGGGTGCAAAGTCTTGGCTGGAATGCTGCTGATATGGGTTGATCCAAGATAGTTCGCAGATAAACCAAGAGCCGTTTCCGTTTCTGCTATAAGCACCGCTGCTGCACTGATGACATCGTCCCGCGGGGAACGCTCGTTACCAGTCGATCACCCGGTGGTTATCTGATAAGAATCGGGTAGGCGAATGAAATCGTCGGGAGCGAATTATAGACGGGCGCCACTATTTTCTTGTTGGTGTCCTAGAATCCCAGCCTATGCTACTATCGTCGAGTCGGGTTGTCCTCGTGAGTTAGAACACATCCAGAGCCATGGGTCGTGAGAGGTTTTTTCTCATGTTATACGGTTGTCTCGAGACGAAGCTGTCGACACTAGAGTGGTCTAGGCTCATCCCTAGCTAGGTTTTAGAATGGTTCGTGTGTGGCAGGCGTCGTGTACCATGCCCACCCAGTCCCGTAACAAGTTAGGGACCCATCTGTCTCGAGTATCGCCATCTTGTCGATCGCGCTCCAGATCGAAGATGAGTGGACTTTTGTTCACTTTTGTCCGCGAAGAGGATCAACGGTTATCCCCGTCCTTCACTTGAAGTCGACGATAGCTGCATGTGTCGGAACCTACGGGGATTCTGATTGCATCGTGGGGTGGAATAGTGAACCACATCCTCGTGGTGCCAAGACCTGAATCAGAGCTCAGAGGCCGATAAGAAACGGCTTAACCCCAGCAACAAGCGCGGGGGGGGAACAGTCGAACAGAGTCAGACTTGCGTTTCTTGAAACGTCGAACGCGTAATGTTTGGGGAGCGAATTGACTCGACCAACAAAACCCTCCCTTTTTTTATCCCGTAGGAGTCCCAAGTGCGTCATTGATCAGCAAGCCGTCTTTTATAGGAAAATTGCGCAATTGGACTCGCAAGAAACATTCGACAAGACTGCCACAAGCGTAGAAGAAGGGGTCCAGTGGGAGCCAATAAAATCGCATGTTTTAAAGAGCAGAAAGGAACCTCTGCATACATGGTATGCACTCAATGCTGCAACGTAGAAAAGGAGAATGCAACACCGAAGCCGAATTGGGGGATCTGCTGTCCGCTTCGGTGACGCAACGAAGACTGCAGTGAGTTAATACTCGGTAGATATTTAAGAGTTATCATGAAACGGAATTCGTCGTTCAAGGCTTGCACGATGAAAATCGTGAGCGTAAGATCTTCAGCTTTCTTCGATTCATATTAATTGATAGGCGGAGACGTGCAGATGTACGAAGTTGAGTAAGTAAGGTAGCTCAATGACTTCTGTATGCCATATAATTCGATCTTAGCTAATCGCGTTAGTCGTAGGATGTAACATAGAAGAAGAAAAGGAAGAAGATTGGTTATATCAAATTAATTGACACCAAATATCACATGTATGTGTAAGAAGGAATTGAGTTTCGAGTTGCGTGTTGAATTGAGTTGAATCGTGGAAAAAGCCTTTACGGTTATCTGCGAGTTACTCAATTTTTACATAAGTTCTACATTGTGCCTTTAGGAATCGTTATTTGCTAAACGAGTTGCTATCTAGGAATTGTCAGGTGATAAGTCCTACTTACATAATCAGGAAAGTCCTACGAAAGTCATAGGTCTACTTGGTGTCGAAACTTTTGAAAGAATCGTTCCACTCGAGGTTATAAGGTTTCAATGTGGCTTGTCAGCTGGGCATCAGCCATTGGACATCTGCAAACATACATATGCACAGCCATGAAAAGCCACCGGGGGGAAGAACCTTGGGAGCCACTTGACTAGCCACAATGATGGGATGTACCTACCTTCTTCATGTTACAATGGAATCATGTAGGTCGCCGTCCCCGCCGCGGGCGGGCGGTCAAGGCAGGTACGTACCTTCTAGGGCTAGGGGGGGGCCTACCCTTTCCTACCTAGGTACATTAACCTTAGGATGAAATAGGTACCTAGCTAGGGAGAACAAGCAGGACCAGGGAGAGAAAGAGGTAGGTAAGATTGCATATGGCCTAAGCTCCCCGCCTGCCCGCTGAGACAATTCCTACCCTACCCCAAATGGTATGTTTCCCCCGATAATCCATGCCTACCCACCTCCCCTGTCCCCCTTTCCCACGTCCCGACCATCCATGTTCCCTTCCCATGTCGGTCATTATCAACTTTTTCCAGCCCTACAAGGCGACAGATCATCTCACGACATCATAAATTATAAGCCACAAACGGCACAGCATTCGTCTAATTCCCTCTCTAGTCTGTTATTGTATACGCTTATACGTATCCGTATGTACAGCAGAGTGACCATTAACCCAGATGGGGCCATGACAAAATGGAGAATATGGAGAAAATAGGGTCAGATCGGATCAAGTCTCCCGAATTCATACCTATCTAGCGGAGAGCCAAGTAATCATACACACAGAGAAGAGAAAGAAGACAGAGAAAAGAAGAGGAAAAAAAAAACTGATGACACCAGCTTACCAAATAGGGTGCTGATGTTTGTTACCTAATTGACTATGTTCAATGGCGTCTCCGAAAGCATATCGCCATATCACCATCTCACAAGTGGTGATGACCCGGTAAGGTGCGCGCCCCATGTTACGATGTGACGATGCCACGATGTCCGTTGGCCTCAACTCGCATTTCAAGCGCTCTCGGTCTAACAAGACGGGGAAATATCAACAAGGGATTTGCCTTTAAATGATGTATTATACGTCCAAAACCGAGCAAATTTCGCAAGAGAACATGCAGTCCAAGCTTGCAATATCGAATAGCGTCGAGCTTTCATTTTATCCTTTGGCAGCTAATTTTCTCGAATGCTGCACGTTTTGATTGGGTAACGCCCGAGTCTGCAGTCAGCAACCAAATTCCCACTCAGCTGGCTACTGCATATGCGCACAAGGCGTAATTTGGGGTCTTTTCTGCCTTGTTGCCTGCGTGCTTCCTCCGTACTTCACCGAGTCAACTTTTGGACCCCAACTCCATCGCTTGTGCTCCTTGCGCTCTTATGCAGCCCTGTGAGCCGCGAACGGTAGGATAAACGCACTGCCGATTGTAATTGCAAGGGGGTGAGGTCTTGGAGGGAGCCTATTTAGTGGTTGTCAATGGCTAGACGAGTTCTAATTAGTTGGTCCTCGTTACCGCTGGTCCTAGGGTACAAGTACTTACTCCTACACCTGCATCAATGCAAAAAAAGTCCTACATCGTCATATTCCAGGGTAGCAGACTACCTTCTAGATCTTTCAAAATAAAGTCATGGATCGGTGGCGATCTGCTGGGACCCGACCACTCTCCTTCCCGCTCAAGCGTTAGTCTGTAGTTCAACTTCTGTCACGAGAAATGGACCCGAAAAAGACATTTGCCACTACCGACTCGGCCTCTATTGATGCCTCTCTCTTTGAATTAGACCCGCCGGTCGGGCAGCCATCGAGGACCCTTCGGGCTCCTTCTATTGACTTAAGGCGGCGGTCACACTCGAGCTTGCGATCGGAATCCAACACACGAGCGCCATCACCCTCGCCATGCGCGTGAGTAGTACTAGGATTCTTAATATAATATCCCGAGCATACTAACTTGTAAAGGACCCGAGAAATCGTAGGGGAGGATTGTGCGCTGCAGAGGTTCATAGTGTGGGCTGCTGTCAAGCGAAATAGATCAGTTCGGATGCCGCGAAGCGACCGTTTAAAATGCCCTCTCGTCTCGTGCGGACAACAATTCGATGACCATGAAGCAATGCTAAGGCACTTGTCTAAGTGTAGGCATCTTAAAACTGGTGAATACCTATGCTACGATTGCATGAAAATCGAACGATTCAACGATGAAAAGTGCCGAGGTTGTCTTGGCCACCCGACTAAACGACGACGAATTATTAATATGGCAAAGAGCTTCTTCTCGAATATTGGTAACAAATCACGCAGGGAAGGATCACAGCCTAACTTTCAAGACGACGTTGCGATGCCCCCGCCCAGCTACGACTCTCTTGTAATCGATCTCAACCAACAAAGCGAGCAGCGAGAACGAGAACGAGGGCGGGAGCAACAACACCACAATCAACCGCAGCAGGAACAACAACAGGAACGACGACACCCCCATCCCAGACCTCAGCTGGAACTAAATGGTAGAGAGATACACGAACTAGACTCTAGACAAATGTTCCCAACAGCTCAACTCGACTCCGTCAATTACGACACGCGATCTGAGGACATGCCCGAGGCCTCAGGTCGACACGACAAGACACATAGCCCTATGCCATGCCAGCATACTAATTCACTTTCGAAGCGTAGAGATCCTTCGTCGCATCGTCATAAGGAGAATAATTCTATGCCTCCTCCTAACTTTGTACCTTCGGACTCTGGAAGTCGCCGCCCTTCGCTAGCTCTAGATACGCACATGGACCGATACAGGAGCATTCCCCGGGCAAAACGCATTTCTCCCAGCTCTTCACTTCGGTCGACAAGGAGTTCGCATGGTGTATCGCCAATCACTCCATGGAGTACGGATTCTAGTAGCGCTGGGCCTTGGACTTTATGTTCCAGCATTGACACCGCAATGACATCGCCGATAACTCCCTTCAGCCCGACCGATCTTCCACCAACATCCCACCCGGAAAGTATTTTGAATACGACGAAGGATGCAAACACATGTCCTGATGATGATTGCAACTACATGGTTGATAACTTACCTGAATTGCCTGGCGATGACTCATTGTCTATACCGCGTGGAATGTCCGATCCATTGTCATTTTGCTTCGACCCCAAGGATAACTATTCATGGATGCAATCTGTAAACACTGAAATATCCCTCGCAACCTCAGTCAATATGATGTTCACAGATTCTAACCCCAAGCCCACGAGTATGCCACCCGAGTTCCTCGAACAATCAGATCGTGGTTTAGAGACTAGAACACTTGTCGAATCTGCCTGGGATACGATACAGGAACATGTGTCATCTTCTCTATTAAAATTGTCGCAGATACAAGGAAACCCATTAGTTGACCGACTTCGAACATATACAACGAAGGCCGTGGCACTTACCGGCCTTTCCAGTCTACGAAGCGTCCTTCAAGGCAATACCCTCACGGACCCGTTCGAATGCATCTGCTTTATCCACCTTATCTACGCCTTCTCTCTTATACTTCATGAAAACGAACTTGAGACTCGTTGCAATTCATTGTATCGACAGGCTATGGCTTATCGACATTCGATTAATCCGGCCCATGCTCAAGAATATACTTATGTCGTTACAACAATCTGGCAACCCACTATCCCTTCAGGTGGCTCATCGAATCGGAAGGGCAAGGAGCCCGAGTACCGGACAGAACCAAAACAAAATGCAGACACCGATGCTCTCGTCATGGTGGGGCAGAATTTCCTCGATGGTAAGACTTATCCTTGATTATTTACCCGGTAATATAATTAACTGTTAAAGATGTCGAAAATGCCGCCATCGCCATACATAGTAATGCGGACAGACCTATCGAAGTCGTTACATCTGAGCTCTGGTCTACGCACCTTATGGAGTTCCAGCCTCAGACTTCACAAAACAGTCCTTTCATTATAACGGTTGACTATATTATTTCAGTTCTCAGTACGAGATTTACAGATTCCAAAGTACTTTTACCCAAACTTAGAGAAGTTGGACAAAGTGCGCACACCGGGATCATCACCACTGTCCGCAAGTTGGAACTTGCCATATTGCAGGCCGGCAAGGTAAGCTTTTTCAGACTCCCATTTCACTTTTTTAAGCTTCAGAAGAGAGGATGGTTTGGAGCGGAAGTCGTAATCATTCTATAGTCGAGCAGTCAGGCTACTTTACACACTACCTTCCCACAGACTAGCTAACTTTACCAATGATAGACCTCTCTAGAATCGTCCGACCTCTTCGACGAGTTCATTCCACAAGTAAGGAGACTTTGCGACCCAATTTACTTAGAACAGGGGTTTCACTCAAGGACAAGATACCAAACCCTAGGGGTATCGCTAGTGGAGGCTCTAATTCAAAATATGGCGTCGGGTTTGCAACGTGCGCAGGAAGGGCCAGAAACATTCCAGTTGGGGTTGACAGACCCAGACTCGTACAACGAATTTCTCGATAATCTTCACGAAACCTTCGATGAGCCCGATAATATCGAAGCTGATTTCCTTGCACATCTTGGTACAGGTGCATCTCAGCAGAGCCAGACGGAGCTCTCAGGCACCCAGAGTTTCGAAACATCAGTCGATTCTATTACCATCCAGGGTATTGGTTCTAGTGCTCGGCAAGCTGGTACTTCGAAATCTTTTGTTGCCCCTATCCCATCACATACAAGGGCGCCAAGTGAGTCGTTCAGTGCTTCTCCTGGCTTGCCACGACGAACGGCCGTTCCATCTCCGCCGAAATCTTCGACGCCAACCCCCGCCGGTTTAAGTCCAAGACCTTTGTCTTCTGTATCTTCTACGAGTCATAAAGTGGAAGCGAATGATGCTTGCGAGCTCTGCGGGTACCGTCCGAAGGGTGATCCACAATGGTTTAAAGGCAGCATGGCGAAACACAAGAAGATGCAGCATTCGGCTGGACCTCCGATTATCTATAAGTGTCCTTACCCAGGATGCAACAGTCAATACAAGAACCGTCAGGATAATCTGCGTCAACACCAGATCGAGAAAAATCATTTTGTTGGAGACGAAGCCACTCGACGACCCAGCAAGAGGAAGAAGATCTGAACGATACGAATACGTCGAGAACACAAGGGAAATGCATTCACGGGATCTAGGCATGATATTATATCACATATATGAACGATATGCATTAGCTTGGGCGTTGTCATTTTTTTATATGAATCTAGGAGGCATTTTGACATTCTATTCGATCCCTCAAAAGTTTTGACTGCCTGGCTATAGTTTTCATCATCAAATAGGAGTTTGGAATGGGGTTGTCAGAGATACCACTACGTATATAGTAGAGATAGAGCAGGCCTCGATGATGCCTTTACGCCAGTGATTTCACGATTATAGCTGGGCTGGATATACAAAATCTCACGAATTCTTACTCGCTATACAGCGCTATCATCTCGTTGGTTACCCAAGAAACAAATGCCGTGAACAGACAAAACCGTGATGACATCGCATATTCTATAGCGCTTACGTGCTCGGGAACTAGCCGAGCGCTATGTAAGACTAAGTGTCCGGCGGAAGTGAGAGGGTGGCAAAGCTCGCCTATCCTTGCTTGAATTGGAGCGTAGGAAGAATAGAGGAGATCGGGAAGCATGGGGAGCAAGAGTAGGAGGTATCCGGACAACCGCGGAGGAGGGGAGGGGAGGTGTAACATTCGATCCCCGTATCAAGTTATTATTATGACACCCTCAGAGAAGAAGAGAACGAGAAAGAGAGAGGAAGAAACATAACTTCCGAATCCTGAAGGAAGCCAAGAACCGGACCGCCCGTACGTAAGCATTCCCTTGCCTTCCCCACTGGGTAACCCTGAGTTAATATATCCCGTCAGCCTTACGAGAGCATAAGAAGTTACCTAATATCGAACGTTGGTTGTATTTTATCTATTTTTTAATTATTATTATTATTTATTTCGCTTGAAGGATCGCTTGGTAGAACGATGTGACCCTAGCCCGCGCCAGCACTTATGTAGGTAATCTGATCTGATCGGCCTAACCCAGCCCTACGGCCTGTTTCGTCGCTGCATCCTAGTTCATACCATTTTCCCTTTTCCCGCTAGAAACATGGATCCCTCGCGGGGGAATTGACATATGCAGTTCGGTTTACGAGCGCAAGGGTTTTGCGGCATAAAAAATGACAATACATTCTCGCTCTTCTCTAAAGGGATGAAATGCATCGGAAATAACGGAGGGAATGCTGGGGGCGATGCTCGAAAACCGAGCCTTGCGATGGTATCGTTTATCGTTCCACCTATAAAACAGGCCCTCGGATGTTGAGACATCAATTAATGCCTTCGGCGCCACATCACCCCGTCTCGTAACTTCGATGCTGAATAATTTTTATGAATGTATCTCGCCGTCTCCGACGCGCTCACTAAGGTATGGGTCGTCTGTCTTGCACACTTTATTATACGTCATTGTTGCTATGTAGATAACGAAAAGGGCGTTCATTTCGTCGGTGAATTCCGACTCGGGAACGTCCTCGGTGGTTGGGAATATGATGCGAAAAAAAGCCAAATACGAATTAACCATGGGGTATATGTCCTCCGAACGCCGCGCACTTGTATACCTCTTTTAAACAATTTGCCCGATTGATGATGGCAACATGGCGGGATTCCCTTCTAACTAAAGATTAATGGTACCGATGATCGCTACCGTTTGTTGTCGCGCGAGAATAGAGCACCGGTGCCTAAAGCCACTCGAAGACACTACCCTGCCATATGTATGGATCGGGATGCACTCGAACCAAGGGATCTAGGATCTAGTCAGTCTATGCAGAATTCGTTTTACAAATTCGTTTTCGTAACTTACTTCGAAAGCCGACTCTATAGGCATATTCAAAATCCAGGACCCAATGTTCCCAACGGATCAGACCTGGTTTCAGACCATGCTTGAATTCGAAGTAACTAAACTGGATGGTTATGAACAAAAATGCAGATTTCAATGCGTTTTTGGGCTAGGTACTTACCTTCTTTACAATTTCCTCGTAATCATCTAGCTCGTGGAGCCATAGGTTAGGTTTCGTCACATTGGATATTTTGAACATGATCTGCAGCCGAACCAGAGAGTTCCGTTCCGACCATGCATTCAACACATCGTCCAACATCCTTTGCCAAACCTTCCCGCTTCTATATACGTCGTTCTCGCCAAGGGGAATTTTTATCTGGGCGAAACGGACATTTTGCATGGTTCGCTTGCTGATGAAATCAAGCAAGGAGAGGGGCGCCTCATGACCCATGACCCATGGTGGAATGCGGTCGATGACTAAGGTCTGAAGGTGAAGGAAACTAAGTGCTTCCCGTGTTATCTGTTTGCAGAGGAGTAGAACGGTGGGTGTCCGGAGGGAAACGTTAGGATGACGCAAGACTTTGGTGTTAGCGGAACGAGGTCGCAGTTCTATCTTGGCCCTGGCTTTCTCTTTCTCTTCGTAATAGTAGTCGTATAATTTTCGAGATGAGGGATATCCTATCGCATAACCGTATATCATGTTACGAATCTCAGGAGGTAGAGTGGTAAGAAAGGAATAACGTGATCGGGGAGGGATGATTGAGACCTGTGCCATCTGTATCTTCTGTATCTGGGACGGGCCGGGGTCTGATGTGGGGCCGGAGCCGGTATTGCCGCCTTGGAGATATGCCGGGCAAGACAGTAAGGCCGAAGTTCGATCCGGCTCTGGCATTCGGAGTATGGCGAGCTTTAGGGATGAAATCTCCGCAAGTAGTTTAGCTCGGGCGGAGGGATCCCTAGATGCCTTCATAATCTTGCTACGTCCCCGTTGGTACATGGTCCTCCAATCCGCAAGCTTCTTCCGGCTGTCTTGCCCGGCCATGACTGGGGGGCTAGACAGAAGTAAGCGGGTGAAGTAGCGTGAGATGACCGGATATCAAGGTTTGCTATGACGATGCAAACCATCTCACGGTCACGATGACAATCGGATGAGGTACCGGCCCCTTGCAGTTGATAGTAACGATATCCGACCCATCACCTTGCCCATGCCTATCAATCTTACTATAGGGGAAAAAAGATATTAGCGTCAGGTAGTGAGTGAAGCTGACATCCAATAGATAGTAGCCCTGTGCTTGGACATCAAGGCGAGCCCTCAGCCTGGTGACCAAAGTAGACGGTACCCAGGTACAAGATCGACCTCCGTCTCTCCCTTCTTCCCGTGTTATTGCCTTATTTAATGAAGTTTGCTTTATTATGTAGGTACTTCCTTACCGAGGACTTGGATTCGACCTAAAAGGATATGATAAGATTAATTGTTTGAATTAAAAAGAATGAACGACGAATGAAGAAGATGCTTTAAGTGGAATGATAACCGATGCATGGGTTTAACATGAATGGATCTTGCTCAAAATAATTGATGTTTTAGACTTAGAACCTAAAGATGTATGTACCTACCTCGGTACATTGGTAAATACCTAATGTGGGGTTTCTAACAGTATTGAATTAAAAAGAATGTGTATTTCCTACGAGGAAAAGTAATTGACAAGATTTTTGAAATTTACTCAAGTAGAAAATACGAAGAACGGAAATAAAAACAACCTAAGATGGTAAGTCGTTCTAGAATTATTATCATTCGCCTGCATGGTATTTCTTTTTTCTCTTTCTCCAAAGAGCTATGGAGCTACCTAGGTATGCGGGTACGCGCAGTACAGATGTATAGATTTGATTAGGTAGGCACGACGATATTAAGATATCGACAAGTCATTTTTTTTTTTTCTGTCTGTGGCTGCTGCACACGTCCTAGGAATACACAGCGGTAGTGATGCGTACATCGCTTGATGTTACACATGGCACTTGCATTGGATCAATAGACTAACCACGCTGCCAGAGCCAATGGTATTAGCAGTTCAGAACCAGTTAGCAGCCAGCACGCGGTAATCAAATGGACCTGAGACACGAGACAACAATTCCCACACCTACTCGTAAATGCAAAACAAAAAAGTCCTACACATAAAAAAACCGGTAGAGATTTAATACATTTAGGATCGGGAATATTAATGGATGGAGAGAAAAAAAAGAATAAGTGAGTAAGTTCAAGTCGGCAGGAAGATATTGAATATTACCCGTTTCCCCAAGTAATTCTTGAGTAATGCGTAATGTACATTTATAAGTCGGGCATCTTTATGTCCGGTTAGGTATATGTACTTTTCATACGGATGTACCTCAAGTGCGATGTTTGATTATGCAGATTGAAAATAAAGTAGGTACTTAAGGTTTATAGAACCAACGATGAAACCCCACATACCCTGGAGAATAAAAATGTCTAATTCTGATTGGTCCAAATTCTGCATTAGCGTTCATTATTATAGTTAGAAAAACCGGTATACAACTAACACCCATGGGAATCCCAAGTATTATGTGTACGGTACTTACTTGTATCTTCCTTATCCCGTACCTAAGTATCCGCTATTTAAAAATACCTACCAGTAATGCTCGGAGATGGGTTTGAGCCCTACGTGTACATAGGGAAATGGGGTATTTTAAGGTATTGACGCTGACGGCTATTATTTTACAAGCAGTGAACAGGCTGTCAGGTTGTCAGGTTGTCTTTTATCTCCATCGGGGCCTCGGGCTGGTCATAGAACCCCATGTACAGTCTACCAAGTTGTGCTGTCTTTCTTGGCAAAAAAAGGGAAAAAAGGCAGTTACATTTCTCAACCCTTCTAGCTTTTACCTTCTACCCCCCCTTCCACCTTCCAGGGCTTCCCGCTGTTTCCTCGATTTCTCTTTTCTGCTTAACTCCGTTCAGCTTAGTGCGCCTCGAACAAGAGCAAACGCAGGCAAGTGTAGATCGATCTTTTGCCCACCCGGGCACTTTGCGCACTCCCACTTCCCACTACTCCCACCACTCCTGCCACTCCCACCAAAAAAAGTTTCCACAACACGAACTGATGAGACCCGAATTCCACCACCAACTTCGGATTCGACCACACCCGTGTCCCTCTCAGCTCCCTCCCCCCCCTGGTGCCCTAGCGAGCCTTATCATGTTGATCGTGTCGTGATATTTCCACACCCGCCTGCATTTTTCTTTCTCTACCTAAACCTACCTAAAACTACCCAGCTAGCTACCTTACATACACTCATTACATATTGTTTCTCTGCCATACGGCCAGGGTTTGACATCACATCTTGCCCATCCTGGCTTGTTAGTGCTAGACACCTTAGAGAGGGAGCAAGTGTGTGAGTGTGTGTGTGTGAGTGCTAGTTATTTGAGTTGCTAGGCTCACTGTCGTTGTATTCTGGGCCCCTCTGAAAATCGAAATCTTCCTTTCGCGCGCGCGCCTTTTTTTTATTGTTTTCTTTTTAGTCCACAGCGTTTCGTAGTCGTTTTTTGTTTCGTTGTTTCGTCATGTCCGCCTTGGGCCAGGCCGGGTCCAACTCCCAGCATCCGGGCCTGACTTTCCCTCAGGTCAACGGCCTCAGACGCGGTTACGCTTCTTCACACTCGTCAACGCCGCCTAAAGCTTCGACGCCACAGCAACACCAGTCGCCCTACCAGGCCGCACAATATCCGCCTCAGCAACCCCCGCAGGCCGCCTATCCGCAACATATCTTCCAAAGTACTACTCCGTCTCCGGTACCCAATGTCGCCAGTATACCGAGTCTGCCGAATGGAAATTCCAGACATGCCCCGACTCAAGTTGCCCAGCATGGTCAAGTCGCCGCCCAGGCCGTCCGCCAACACTCGCATCAACATCATAACCCGCATTCTCAACACCCACGGAGTACGCAGCAACGACAAATGCCACCCCAGCCGAGTGCTTCCTCGATATACCTTCAGCAAACTATGAATCAATCTGTCCAGCCCGTCCCGCAAGTACCGCAAACGGTATCGCAACCCGTCCAGCAGATGTCGCATGCTCAGTCCATGCCGCAACAGGTCCAAGCCGTCCAGTCGCAACCCGTTCAACAGATCCCCCCACCGCAGCCGATACAACCGAACGATAGTAATTTGATATCGCCGAACCCTCCACACCACCAACCTCACCAGCAAACCCACCCGCCGGTTCATTCGCAAGCCCACTCACAGGCTCATCAACAAGTCCATCAGCAAGCTCACCAGCAAGTACATCAACAAACTCATCCTCAACCTCTCCCTCAAGTCCATCAACCACCTCCGCAGTCCTTACAGCCCCAGCCGACACCCCAGCTACAAAACCAAACTCCACCAGCCCATCGGCCAGAATCGAGTGTCACGCCACAGGAGCCGGACCATCATGATGACATGGACATGGATAGCAATGCGGATTCGGGGGAGGGGGATAGCCATCTTTCGCCTAAACTACTCGAAGGAACCCCCTTTGTGCCGAGAACGCCGATGGGTCCGATGATGTCTGCACCACCTGAAGGAGGCAGTTTTCCTAGCCTTGACGCAGTTCATAAACACGTCCTTTCTTATTGTACATCAGTCGGGTATGCTGTTGTCATTGGCCGGTCGAAGAAGACTGTGCCAGGTCTCAAGAAGGTACTCTTCGTGTGTGATCGTGCGGGCAAGCCCCCAAGTCGGGTCAGCCCCGAGCATAGGAAAAGAAAGACGTCGTCTCGCAAATGTAACTGCCAATTCGGATTTTTCGCTATTGAACAGAGGACACAATGGACAATTCGTTATCGCCCTGACCAGGCTCATCTTCACCATAACCACGGGCCGAGCGAGAGTCCACTTTTACATCCGGCTGCGAGGAAATTGGATAGTGAAATGGTTGCCGCTGTAAAGAATCTAAAGGAGTCTGGTAAGTTCAATATGCGAGCTCTGGTGGGTTGTTATATTGATCATTATAGGTATTGGCGTTACACAAACTCTCGAGATACTGCAGCAACAAAATCCTCACGTACCTTTGCTTCCCAGAGATATTTACAACGCGCGCGCTGCAATAAATCGAAACCCGCAGAAAGTTGAAGCAGGTATAGCTGAACAGCGGCCTGCAATATATAGCAAACCGGCACCGTCTGCTGAAGAACGCATACGATCAGACCTGAGGCGGGAACTCGCTCGAGCTAAGGAGGAACTGGCCAAGATTAAAGAGGACAGACAAAAAGAAGTAGAAATCTTAAAGGACCAGTTGCGAGAGAAGGACGCGATGATTAAAAAATTCGAGATGTTTATCGATATATGCAATCAGCGGGTTATGGTTCAGAGGGAAAGGCTGAACGATACTGGCGAAGGCAATGGCGAAGGAAGTCAGCCGAACAACTGACATGATATACGGGATGCATCATTAAAAGGGTTACAAAAATGAGACACGTCGGGAAACGGGTTTGGGTTATTCGAGGCAAGCATTGGCGTCTCGAGGGCTATGACTGGAAACTGGTGGCATATAACGGGGTTCAGGAGTTATACAGGCTTGCGGTTTGTTCGCAGGGGGGGATCCAAGGGAAAGCTAACATTGCATCGGGCCTGATGAAAAAGGGGCAAGACATGGTCTGCTAAACACCGGAATTGGGAAAAATATAGACTTGGGCGTTTATTGACGTTGGGTTGAATGAAGAGTTTGATGAAGGTTATGTCGACCATGGGCCATGATACGTATTACCTAACTCGTTAGGTCTCTTCCGGATATCCCAAGAAAGCTATGCCGCCGTCGTAGAACACGGGAAAATGTTAGATGGATGTTTTTGTTACTAAGGGATAGAACGGTTATCAGCATTAATAAACGGAAAGCTGTAAGACTTTATGATGGCACTCACTCTCAGCATAGCGTAGCGTAGCAGGATTGCAATCGACACCCAATCTAATAGAATATGAATGGATTACGTCGCGGAAGCAAATGGTGAGTTCTGCGCGTCTCCTTTATTTTATACGCTACATCTAGGAGGGTCTGTGTTTATTATAAGAGAAAAACTTTGGCCGCTAATAACTCTATGTTCTCCTATCAACTACGCCCGGTGCCTTTCAAAAACATAAGAATTGAACTTATAATAAGGGTAAGGCTTAATTGTCAAAGCAACCGATTAGGGAAGACTTATAGCGACTATAGTTTTGGCCATTTAGCTTTAACGACATCGAGCGTATGTCCTGTTATTTTGGGCTTTGTGTAACACAATATATAACGATTATCACATGCCAAAGTATTATCCGCCAGGTTGGGTTAATGACCTTCTACTTTTACTTCTAACTTTTTGCAATGTTGCCTACAAAAACGCACTTGTGGAGTTTTGAATTAGATTCCTAGAAAACGTAGCTGCCGTAGTAGCTTAATGGTTTTTGATCTTATAATTTGAATAATAATAGGGCTGTACGTCGGAATGCATCATATAAAATAGCTTACGTATACGTTTAGGTAGAGATACAGTGGTTAAATTTAGCTAACTCTACATGTTTAGGATTACCTAGGTACTACACGAGCTTAGGAAACTCTTCTTATATGATTTCATATAGGAAGCTGGATAAGGGCTGATGTCATCTTGCGTATTACCCCTCCATGCCATGATCGATATTTGATTTATCAACCCCAGGTTGTCGATAAGTTGAAATATCAGACTAGGGAAAGTTAAATCTGAATTTTCCGTTAAGTGCGGAGAGTAATCGAAAGACGATGAACCCGTCAACCTAACCTTATAGCTTAGAAGTGTATTTATGTACTTGCTCATAGCTGAATAAGTAGCCAACCTTAAATACAAGACAGAATCTGGTTACTATCCTTAATATCCAACTGAAGAGAATCATGCGATCCCTAATGTTCTTTCATTATGAAACAGGGGCTAAACTTCAAAATGAAAATTACAAGGCGAACAAAAGTGATAAGTTGAGATGTGCGTCAGGGGTTCAGTTTCTTACACCTAAGAAGTGGTCCGGGCTTCGGAATATAGTGGGTATTTACCTATAAGTGGACCACTGTCGTGGCATTCGGCCGCTAGCCCCACGCTAAAGCTAGTAGTCATCCAATCAGAAACGTTAGCGATTAGATATGGAAATTATCCCCATATTCTACAGTGGCAGTCGCGCCGTCCTTCGCGTAATATGTGTAAAATGATGGATGACTGGTAGCAACTTCAACAGAAAATTACCTATCCCTTCTTTTTTTGTGTATTGCATTACGACTATTCAATCAACATAGTCCACCACGATACCCGTTGGCCAACACGGCAAATAATCTTCTACGGTCCTTACGCTCTTTTTTTCGCCTTTGTCCTTTTCTCTATACCAATACCCCTATCTAATCCGTATAGACTTTTTTCTACTTTCCAGTTAAAGGAGTTCTCGTTTCTCCTGACACTAGAAGACCGTTCCCTAATACACCGAGAAATGCTATCAGCTCTGTGAAAATAAGTCCGACTCAGCCTTCAAACAAAATCGCCACGATGGAGGCCGTGGCTTCTCCCCTGGCTTTGCAAAGCCCTGGTTCGAATGGCATAACGCCATCGTCTTTCATAACCATCGATCCGGTTTTGGTGGTAGACTACTTGGCATCCGTGATCACCATTGCTCTTGGAGCCACCCGTAGTGAGCTTGAGCGATCCGACAATCTCCTCTCGAAAGCGAATTACGACGATACAGTCCAAAGGTGTAGTCGCTTCGCTACCGATTCTCAAGTCGCTTTATACGTCCAGAAGGATGTGAAGCCGTCGGGTGATATTCCAGATGGTCCAGCAGACAATGGTATGAAATTGAAGTAGTATCTTACAAGTGTTCACGGGACGAGTTTACTAACATACATAACTACATGCAGTTCCTGTCACGTATACGTATACGATCACGTCCGAAATATCTTCTTCGCCGACTACGATAGCCTACCTCGCACTACTTAAACGTCCTCAAGCGATCGACCCCTCGCTGCCGCTAAGCTCACAGATTCAGATACAAACACTGCCTGGAACTGCCTCGCTTGCCAACCTTGTTAGTGAACAGGGCCCTACTGCTTCACCTTTTGAAATATTACATTCCATTCTTCATAATGCGCTGGCGCCCTACTTCGATGCCAATACCAAGACTTCCCAAGTTGCGAATGGCGCTAGGAACCGAGCGGATGTGGACGCAAAAACTGGTATTCCTGTAACCAAGAAGCGAATGACGGAGCTTGAGTTGAGCTTGCTCCATCTTCAGCAGAATGTTGAGATTCCGGAATTGTCGCTCTCATTTCACCCAGTTGTCCAGGGCGCGTTGGAAGATGCCGTTGGGCGCAATACGCGACCGAGTACTGACTTGATACCCGCTCACCTTCTTTCAGACAGCACATTCATGAATAACCTACAGTCGACAGTAAATAGTTGGATCAAATCGATACAGACAATTACGAAGCTCACCCGAGACCCTGTAACGAGAACGGCGACGCAGGAAATTAATTTTTGGTTGTCTATGGAGTCTGCGCTGGAAGGGATCGAAGCCCAGCTGAGGAGCGAAGGTGTTATGTTGACTCTGGAAATCCTGAAGCATGCGAAGCGTTTTCAGGCTACCGTTAGTTTCACCGCTGACACGGGTCTGAAGGAGGCTATGGAAATGGTACAGAAGTACAACCAACTCATGCGAGACTTCCCGCTTGACGAATTGCTTTCCGCAACTTCGTTGCCCAAAATCCAGGATGCGATTGGTCAAATCTTTGGTCATATGAACAAGAAGATGAGGTTTAGCAATTATCCTATAGCACGAACTCTGCATCTAGTCGAAGCCATTTCAGCAGATCTTGAAGAGGTTATGCACCGTCTTCTTCCCGGCTCTGAATTAGTCGACCTCGACTACAAGGATTTTAAGAGTCTTATGACTACGGCAGATGAGATATTCAAATCTTGGGATGCCCAGATCAAAGATTTTACCAACATTGCCCGAGAGACAACGCGCAGAAGGCAAGAGAGGTTCATTCCCATCAAGGTCAATCCAAAGCATAGTGAGCTACAGGCTCGATTAAAGTACATCGATACCTTCCGAGATAATCATGAGCAGCTGCAACGAACTATCGTTAATGTCCTTGGTCCAAGAGCAACCGTTAACGGTGTGACTGAAGAGGTTACGGCTAATGGCGTTGCTCTTGTTGAAGAGATGGGCGACGTTGATGCGGTTGAAGAGGTCCAGCAAGCATGGGAAGCATTAAAGCATGTTGATCTTCTCGACGTTTCCCCCGAGGGTACTCAAAGATGGGTTAAGGCCGAAAACACTTATAACGAGCGCACGTCGCGAGTAGAAAACTCGATTATCGCCAGACTACGTGATCGTCTTGCTACCGCCAAGAACGCAAACGAGATGTTTCGTGTTTTCTCCCAATTCAATGCCCTCTTTGTGCGACCGAAGATCCGGGGCGCCATCGCTGAGTATCAGAACCAGCTTATTGACAATGTAAAACAAGCTATATCGGGGCTTCACGAACGATTTAAGCAGCAATATGGTCATTCTGAGGCCCACGCCATGGCTCAGCTACATGACTTACCTCCAGTTTCTGGTGCTATCATCTGGGCGCGCCAGATTGAACGCCAACTTGACAATTACATGAAGAAGGTTGAGGACATCTTGGGTTCTGACTGGGCTCTTCATACCGAGGGTCAAAAATTGCAAACCGAGAGCGAATTGTTCAGAAAGAAGCTCAACACGCAAACAATCTACAAAGCGTGGATCGAAGACGTACAACGAAAACAAATATCGATATCTGGTCGACTCTTCAACATTAATAAGATCCGATCTGCCAATAATGCGCTAGATCTTTCGGTGAACTTTGATGCTCAAATCATCGCGCTGTTTAAGGAGACCCGTAATCTTGGCTGGCAAAATTTCAATGTGCCTCATGCTGTAAATAACATTGCGAAGGATGCCAAACGAGTATACCCATACGCTGTTAGTTTGATGGAAAGTGTGAGAACTTTTACGCAGACGACGCGACAAATTGCGGAACTTCCCGAAGTTGCCATCCTACTAAGTGGTTACCAGAACGATGTTCATGTGCTAGTTGCCAAGGGCATACCTCTGAAGTGGGAAACATTTGTGAACACGTGGGAATCATATCAGAAGCCGTCGCTCGCTAATGGCAGCCTTGAGCACACGATGGGTCGTAGTGGTGAGACCAAGCATGTCTTATTCGTCCGAGAATTCGCTGCGGCTGCTTCTCTTCTGCAGGCGAAAACAGGCACCCTTGCAACTATTCACGTGAATGTTCAAAAGGCCTTAGCAGAGTTGGCAACTTGCCCATACGAGGCATCAGAATTTGAGGCGCGCCTACAAACCATCCAAGCAGCCGTTGATCAGTTGAATTTAGAACAATATGTCAATCTCGGTTTCTGGGTTGAGAGAATGAATGAACGGATCAAGTTGACGCTGCTTACTCGACTCCAACACGCCGTTTCCGCATGGATTAAGGCGTTTGAGGATGACACACCAATCGATCGCATTGAGAATAATCGCAGAAAGCAATTGGCTCCGTCCGGGGAGACTCTTAAGTCCGACGCGCCTCTTATGAAACGTCTAATTCACGAAATCACAATGAGAAATCAAGTTATTTACCTCGATCCACCTCTCGAGTTTGCGAGAGCTAGCTGGTTCTTGCACTTGCACAATTGGATAGGCATCGTCTGCAATCTTCCTAAAATTAAGGCTTCTAGGTATCAGATGAGTTTGACGTTGAGTACCGTTGTTCACGAAGAAGCTCGTTTCAATGATCTTCCTAGTGATTGCACCGACATTCTTGGCAGAGTCTACGGCTCGGTTGAGAAAAAGCTGCAGGGTATTGGCGAATATGTGGACAAGTGGCTGCAATTTCAATCTCTTTGGGATCTGCAATCAGAACAGGTTTACGAACTTTTAGGCGACGAACTCTCCAAGTGGCTGCAGCTACTCCAAGAAATCCGAAAATCCCGTGCGACGTTCGACACGACCGAAGTCAGCCGCTCGTTCGGCCATATTACTATTGACTATGAGCAAGTGCAAATGAAAGTCAATTCTAAATATGACCAATGGCAACAAGAAATCCTGGTGAAATTCGCTGGACGACTTGGTAATCGTATGAGAGAGGTTAATGCCGAGATCGAAAAGGCTCGACGAGACCTAGAGGGACAGAGCCTCGAGGCTACCTCCACTGCACAAGCGGTCCAATTTATCACGATTGTCCAAAGCTGCAAGCGTAAAGTCAAGGCTTGGGCACCCGAGGTCGAAACTTTCCGTCAAGGCCAGTCTACTCTTGTGCGAAATCGCTACAATTTCCCCAACGACTGGGTCGATGTCCAACAGGTTGACTCAACATGGGAGGCACTCAACGAACTCTTGAACAGGAAGGCCAAGATTGTCCAGGACCAGACCGACGCACTCAAGGCCAAGATAGTGGCAGAGGATAAGGTTGTAGTGGATAAGATTGCTGAAATCGCTACGGAATGGAATGGCGAGAAACCTGTTTCGGGCACAATTGCCCCCGAGGTTGCGTCCGCAACACTGAGCTCTTTTGAAACCCGCATCACGAAACTGCAAGAGGAGTTTGATATGGTATCTAAAGCTAAGGAGGCTCTTGATCTTCCGGCGAGCCCCGAGTCTTCTCTTTCGACCATTTTGGAAGAAGTCCATGATTTCAAATCCGTATGGGCTGCCTTATCGACAATCTGGAAGAGCTTGAACGAACTTCGAGAGACTCTATGGGGAAGTGTTCAACCTAGAAAGATCCGGAGTAGCATTGACAGCCTGATCAAGATGACGAAGGAAATGCCTAGCAGAATGCGACAGTATGCTGCTTTTGAGCACATACAGAATATCCTCCGCCAATTTTTGAAGGTGAATAGTTTACTTAGTGACTTGAAATCGGAAGCCATCCGAGATCGACACTGGACGAAGATTTGGAAGGAGATCAAACCTGGTCGACGATATTCACCCGTGTCTATGACTCTTGGAGACGTTTGGGATCTCAATCTTGTCGCCACTGAAGTTATTGTCAGAGACATCATCACACAAGCTCAGGGTGAAATGGCCTTGGAAGAGTTCTTGAAGCAGGTGAAAGAAACCTGGAATAACTACCAACTTGATCTCGTACCATACCAGAACAAATGTCGTCTCATCCGGGGCTGGGACGACCTCTTCGCCAAGTGCAGCGAAAACCTCAACTCACTACAGGCGATGAAACACTCGCCGTATTATAAAGAGTTCGAAGAGGAAGCATCGTCCTGGGAAGACAAACTGAATCGTGTCCACGTACTCTTCGATGTCTGGATTGACGTCCAGCGCCAATGGGTGTACTTGGAGGGTGTCTTCACCGGAAATGCTGATATTAAGCATCTATTGCCTATTGAGTCCTCAAGATTCCAAAACATCAACAGTGAATTCATGACTGTCATGAAGAAAGTCTACAAGCAACCGATGGTGATGGATGTCCTGAGCATTACTGGAGTTCAGAAGTCTCTGGAGCGTCTTGCGGAATTACTCAACAAGATTCAGAAGGCGCTTGGTGAATACCTCGAAAAAGAAAGAGTTTCGTTCCCTCGTTTCTACTTCGTTGGTGACGAGGATCTCCTAGAAATGATTGGTAATAGCAATGATACGTTACGTATTGCTAAGCATTTCAAGAAGATGTTCGCTGGCCTTACTGGACTCGTTATGGACGATGAATCGATCATCTCAGGATTCACTTCTAAGGAAGGCGAAGTCGTGCGTCTCAAGAAAGAGATCTCGCTCGCAAAGGTTCCCAAAATCAATGACTGGTTGGCTTTGCTTGAGAATGGCATGAAGGCAACTCTAGCGGAACTTCTTGCCGAAGCCATCGAGGTGTATGGCCCCATATTCGAGTCCAGTGAAATAAACCAGAGTGCCTTAAACGATTTTATGAACGCCTTCCCTAGTCAAATCGTGGTGCTGGCTACTCAAGCAGTTTGGACTACGGCGGTTGAACAATCATTGAATGATGGAGGTAAAACTCTGCAATCACTCTTTGAACGAGAGGTCCAAGTTCTCAGACTCATCGCTGAAACTGTTCTCGGCGACTTGGAGGTAATCCAGAGAAAGAAATGCGAAGGCCTCATTACAGAATGTGTTCACCAACGGGACGTTATCGAGAAGCTAGTGAAACTCAACGCTACCACTCCGACACATTATATGTGGCTGTTGCAGATGCGATACGTCTATGTACCCGAGGGCGATTTCCTACAACGCCTTCACATTAGGATGGCAAACGCGAAACTCAACTATGGATTTGAATACTTGGGTGTACCCGATAGACTTGTCCGAACTCCTCTCACCGACCGTTGTTTCGGAACTCTTACTCAAGCACTTTGCCAGCGACTCGGTGGATCTCCCTACGGACCTGCGGGTACTGGAAAAACCGAGTCAGTCAAAGCACTTGGTGTTCAATTGGGTCGTTTCACTCTTGTGTTCTGCTGTGACGACACCTTTGATTTCCAGGCCATGGGTCGAATCTTCCTTGGTATTTGTCAGGTTGGAGCCTGGGGTTGTTTCGATGAATTCAATCGTCTGGAAGAGAGAATCTTGTCTGCCGTCTCGCAACAAATTCAGAACATTCAGCTTGGTCTCAAGCAAGGCGCCGAAGATGATAAGGCCCAAATCGAATTGGTTGGTCGCCAGCTTCACGTAAATGCTAACACAGGTATCTTCATCACGATGAATCCTGGATATGCTGGTCGTTCCAACTTGCCCGACAATTTGAAGAAGCTTTTCCGCAGTGTTGCCATGTCAAAGCCAGACAAGGAACTGATTGCCGAAGTCATGCTCTATTCTCAAGGTTTTAATCAAGCCAAGCAACTTTCGAAACAGACAGTTCCGTTCTTCGACCAATGCTCTGCGAGACTATCTAAGCAAGCACACTATGATTTTGGTTTACGTGCTCTGAAAAGTGTGCTTGTTAGTTCCGGTGGCCTCAAACGCGCCCGACTTACGAGTAGTAATGGTGAACTTGGCGCCGAAGAAGTCGTCGAGCCCGAAATCATCGTACAGAGTGTCCGAGAAACAATTGCCCCTAAGCTAATTCGAAACGATGTCGAAATCATGATGACCATCGAAGGAGAATGCTTCCCAGGCGTTCAGTACGTGCCTGCTAACCTAACACAGCTTGAAGACGCTATTCGTCGTCTAGCAGCAGAGAGGCACCTCGTGGTAAATGAGACTTGGATGACCAAGGTCCTTCAACTTTACCAGATTCAAGGGATCCACCATGGTGTTATGATGGTCGGTAATTCGGGATCCGGAAAATCTGCAGCATGGAGACTGCTACTTGATGCACTCCAGCAAGTTGAAGGTGTCGAAGGTGTTTCTCATGTCATCGATTCGAAGGTTATGTCAAAGGAGGCGCTATATGGAAACCTCGATTCAACTACCAGAGAGTGGACCGATGGTTTGTTCACCAGCATATTGCGAAAGATTGTTGACAACCTCCGTGGAGAAGATTCTAAACGTCACTGGATTGTGTTCGATGGTGATGTCGATCCTGAGTGGGTTGAGAACTTGAACAGTGTGCTCGACGACAACAAATTGCTCACGCTTCCTAATGGTGAGCGTCTTAACCTGCCGCCTAATGTCCGAATCATGTTCGAAGTCGAGACATTGAAATATGCTACATTGGCGACCGTCAGTCGATGTGGTATGGTCTGGTTCAGCGAGGACACTGTCACTCCAAGCATGATGGTTTCCAACTACCTCGAAACTCTCAGAACAGTAGCATTCGAAGATTTGGATGAGGATACAGCTGCCGCTGGTCAGAGCCCTGCGAAGACACTCCAAATCCAGGGCCAAGTTGCTGACTTACTACACGCTTATCTAACATCGGAGGACTTCATTTTTGCCGCTCTCAAGGAAGCCGAATCCTTCAACCACATTATGGAGTTTACCATCGCTCGTGTTCTCACCACACTTTTCTCCTTGTTGAACAAGGCTGTCCGAGACATGATCGAGTACAACGCGGCGCACGTTGATTTCCCGCTGGATTCTGAACAGATTGAAGCATATGTTGCGAAAAAACTACTACTCGCCTTGGTTTGGGCTCTTACAGGTGACTGCCCGCTTAACGACCGAAAGGCGTTTGGTGATAGGGTTGGTGCTCTTGCGAGCTTCGGATCGCCACCTCTCGATGGCAGTAGCTCTCTCATCGATTTCGACGTGGTTCTTCCCCGAGCCGAATGGACGCCGTGGCAGAATCAAGTCCCTACGATTGAGGTTAACACACACTCTATCACCCAGACAGACGTCGTCATTCCCACTCTGGATACTGTTCGTCACGAAGATGTACTCTACTCTTGGCTCGCAGAACACAAGCCACTGCTACTCTGCGGTCCACCAGGTTCTGGTAAAACTATGACCTTATTTAGTGCACTCCGAAAACTGCCAAATATGGAAGTTGTCGGTCTCAACTTTTCTAGTGCCACCACTCCAGATCTTCTCATCAAGACTTTTGAGCAGTATTGTGAGTACAAGAAGACCCTAAATGGCGTCATGCTCTCTCCAACCCAAATTGGTCGATGGCTTGTTATCTTCTGTGATGAGATCAACTTGCCGGCACCGGACAAATATGGTACTCAACGAGCTATTTCATTTCTGCGTCAATTAGTCGAGCATAATGGTTTTTGGCGTACATCCGATAAGTCTTGGGTTACACTTGATCGAATCCAATTTGTTGGTGCTTGTAACCCCCCAACTGATGCAGGCCGTACACCTATGGGCGCCAGATTCCTGAGACATGCCCCACTTATCATGGTCGACTATCCGGGTGAGCTATCCCTGCTCCAGATCTACGGTACCTTCAACTCCGCCGTGCTCAAGATTATCCCGACGCTGCGTGGATACTCCGAGCCGCTCACTCAAGCTATGGTTCGGTTCTACTTGGAATCACAACAACGATTTACACCTAAGATCCAACCCCATTACGTCTACAGTCCTCGTGAATTGACAAGATGGGCGCGTGGTGTATACGAGGCTATCCGTCCATTGGAGAACCTGTCCATAGAAGGACTGATCCGCATTTGGGCTCATGAAGCATTGAGACTGTTCCAGGATCGTTTAGTTGCAGAGGATGAGCGACAGTGGACTGATGATGCTGTGCGACGAATTGCACTGGAATTCTTCCCTACGATTGACGAATCAAAAGCACTCGGCGGTCCGATCCTATTCTCCAATTGGCTTTCGAAGAATTATGTTCCTGTTGACCGAGAACAATTGCGAGATTTCGTCAAGGCTCGTCTCAAGACTTTCTGTGAAGAAGAGGTGGATGTTCCACTCATTCTATTCAACGATGTGTTGGAGCATGTCCTTCGTATTGATCGTGTCTTCAGACAGCCGCAAGGTCACTTGATCTTGATTGGTGTCAGTGGAAGTGGAAAGACAACACTCTCGAGATTCGTTGCTTGGATGAACGGTCTCAAAGTTTTCCAAATCAAGGTCCATGGAAAGTACTCTGGTGAAGACTTCGATGAAGACCTTCGTGAAGTATTGCGCCGATGTGGTTGCAAAGGTGAAAAGATATGCTTTATCATGGATGAATCCAACGTCCTTGATTCCGGTTTCCTGGAACGAATGAACACTTTACTAGCCAATGCCGAAGTTCCAGGTCTTTTCGAAGGAGACGATTTTGCCTCCTTAATGACGGCCTGCAAGGAAGGTGCTCAGCGACAAGGTCTACTTTTGGATTCCCAGGAAGAACTTTACAAGTGGTTCACGCAGCAAATTGTTAAAAACCTACATGTTGTGTTCACGATGAACCCGCCCGAGGACGGTTTATCTTCCAAGGCTGCTACTAGTCCAGCCTTGTTCAATCGTTGTGTACTGAACTGGTTTGGAGATTGGTCCGACCAGGCTCTATTCCAAGTCGCCAACGAACTCACCCACTCCATCGATCTCGATAAGCCTAATTTCACCGCCCCCGATAGTATTCCCGTCGCCTACCGTGGCCTTGCCTTGCCCCCCTCTCACAGAGAAACAATTGTCAACTCTATGGTTTATATCCATTATTCTCTGCAACGCTTCAATGCCAAGCTTCAAAAGCAACAGGGCAAGGTTACCTTCCTCACCCCGCGCCACTTCCTCGATTTTGTTGCACAATATGTCAAGCTTTACAATGAGAAGCGCGAAGACTTGGAGGAACAGCAGCGCCACTTGAACGTTGGTCTGGATAAGTTGAGGGACACAGTCGAGAAAGTCCGTGACCTTCGGGCAAGTCTAGCCGAGAAAAAGACTCAGCTCGAAGCAAAAGATGCCGAAGCTAACGAGAAATTACAACGTATGGTTGCCGATCAGCGAGAAGCTGAACAACGTAAGAACACTTCTCTAGAAATACAGGCGGCACTTGAAAAGCAGGAAGCCGAGGTTGCATCTCGCAAGGAAGTTGTCTTGCACGATCTAGCAAGAGCTGAACCAGCTGTCGAAGAAGCTAAAGCTAGTGTCAGCAACATCAAACGACAGCACTTGACTGAAGTTCGATCTATGGGTTCTCCACCCCAGGGTGTCCGACTTGCTATGGAATCCGTATGTGTGTTGCTAGGTCACAAGATTGCTGACTGGAAGGGCGTTCAGGCTATAGTACGCAAAGATGACTTCATCGCAAGCATTGTTAACTTCGACAATGAGGAAAAGATGACAAAGTCCTTACGATCGCAGATGCGATCAAAGTTTTTGAGCGACAAGGATTTTACATACGAGAAAGTCAACCGTGCTAGTAAGGCCTGTGGTCCCCTTGTTCAATGGGTGGAGGCACAAGTGAATTACTCCGAAATCCTTGATCGGGTTGGCCCCCTACGAGAAGAGGTCGACCAGCTCGAGGAGCAAGCCCTCCAGACAAAGGCTGAAGCGAAGGCCATTGAGAACACCATTACTACTCTCGAACAGAGTATTGCAACCTACAAGACAGAGTACGCGGCGCTCATTAGCGAGACTCAGGCCATCAAGGCAGAAATGACTCGCGTTCAATTCAAGGTCGACCGAAGTGTAAGACTTCTGGACAGTCTCTCTTCAGAGCGTGTCCGTTGGGAAGACGGTAGCAAATCGTTCGAAACTCAAATTAGCACTCTGGTTGGTGATGTTCTAGTTGCCGCGGCTTTCTTAGCATACAGTGGTCTTTACGATCAAACTTTCCGAAAATCAATGATGGAGGACTGGTTACACCAACTACATCTTTCCGGGATCAACTTTAAACCTCACAATCCCGTCACAGAATACTTGTCGACCGCTGACGAGCGACTTAGTTGGCAAGAGAATACCTTGCCAGTTGATGATCTGTGCACGGAGAATGCCATCATCCTTAAACGCTTCAACCGCTACCCGCTGATTATTGATCCTTCCGGCAGAGTTACTGAGTTCCTTCAACGCGAATGCAAGGATCGCCGCCTCACAGTTACGAGTTTCTTGGATGATTCTTTCACTAAACAGTTGGAAAGCTCCCTCCGATTCGGTAATCCAATTCTTATCCAGGATGCGGAACATCTAGATCCTATCCTCAATCACGTTCTGAATAAAGAATACCAGAAGACCGGTGGCCGTGTGCTTATCCAACTCGGCAAACAGGAGATTGACTTCTCGCCTGCGTTCAAGATTTACTTATCTACCCGAGATCCCTCCGCTACCTTCCCACCGGATATTTGCAGTCGAACCACATTTGTCAATTTTACAGTTACACAGAGCAGTCTCCAGACTCAGTCCCTTAATGATGTTCTGAAATCCGAGAGACCAGATGTTGACGAGAGACGATCAAACCTTATTAAACTGCAAGGTGAATTCAAGGTCCATCTCCGACAGCTTGAAAAGCGTCTTCTCCAAGCTCTTAATGAATCCCGGGGTAACATTCTTGATGACGACCACGTCATCGAGACTCTTGAAACCCTCAAGACTGAAGCCGGAGAAATCACTGCGAAGATGAGCAATACCGAAGGCGTGATGGCCGAAGTCGAAGAAATCACTCTGCAGTACAACATCATTGCACGATCTTGCAGTGCTGTATTTGCGGTCCTCGAGCAGCTACACTATGTCAATCACTTTTATCAGTTCTCGCTACAATACTTCCTCGACATCTTCCACTCGGTCCTACACAACAATAAGAATTTGGCAAGCGAAAGAGACTTCAACAAACGCCGAGATATCATCATCAAAGACTTATTCGTGACCTCTTTCAAGAGGACTGCATTGGGTCTACTACAAAGGGATCGGATCACTCTGGCTATGCTTCTCGCTCAAGCTTCTCCTTACAAGATGGACAAGGGTTTAATCGATATCATTCTTGATGATCGTATTGAGGGCAGGGATATCTCAACGGAGATCGACGCGAAGGACGAGACATTCACTCGGGCGAAGAGATTCGGGGTATTAAAGGACAAGCTCGACCAAGTACCAACCAGCGCCTGGGATACATTCCTCACCGAAGAGCTCGCCGAGAATTTTGTTCCCCAAGTCTGGGATGCAAACACTAAGCCATTTGATCAAGGATTGCTTTCGCTGCTCCTTGTCAAGCTATTCCGCCTTGATCGTTTCGTTCCTACTGCGGAACGATTCGTGATGTCAATATTCGGGGCTGAGTTGTTCGACGTTGTGGATGATCTCAAAGAAACCGTCAGCCAAGTTCCTTCAACCCGACCAATCTCACTTGTCTCAAGCCCCGGTTTCGATGCCAGCTACAAGGTAGACAACTTGGTTGAGAGGATGCGCGTCCGATGCACCAATATTGCTATGGGATCGAACGAATCCCTTGCGAGCGCCGACAAGGCCATCAGTAATGCAGCACAGGTCGGATCTTGGGTTCTCATCAAGAACGTCCATCTTGCGCCTACCTGGCTTCAGTCTCTGGAGAAGCGTATGGAATCGCTTAATCCTCACTCTGACTTTAGACTATTCCTGTCTATGGAGTCTAGTCTGAAGATTCCTGTGAACCTGCTTCGAGCTTCCCGTGTACTCATGTACGAACAGCCGGCCGGTGTACGAGCCAACATGAAGGATTCGATGACTTCTCTATCCGACCGCGCTACCAAGAGCCCTGTCGAGCGATCTAGGTTGTACCTACTTCTTTCATTCTTACACGCCGTGGTACAAGAACGTCTACGATACGCACCTAATCTTGGATGGAAGGGTTTCTGGGAGTTCAATGACAGTGACGTAAGTTACTCCACGATCGCATAACATTAGGTATTCTAGCTAACCTCGCAAATTTGCAGTACGAATGCTCAGCCTTCATTGTCGATACTTGGGTAGAATCCGTGGCGCAAAGTCGCACGAACATCAACCCACAAAACATTCCCTGGGATTTGATCCGATACCTAGTCCGTGAGACGTACGGTGGTAAGATCGATGATGAAGGCGATTTCAAGTGCCTAACGGAGCTTGTTAATCAGTCACTTACACCAGCCGCCTTCGAAATTGGGCACAAATTAGTTGAAGGATCCGAGAAGGATGGGCAAGAATCAAGCCTTGTTGTGCCGTCAGGTACATCACTAGAAGAATTCATGGGGTGGATCCAAAAACTACCCGAGCGCGAGCCGCCGACTTACTTAGGCCTCCCCGCTAATGCTGAAAAGCTTCTTTTGGTTGGCCTTGGCAGAAGCTTGATAGGGAACTTGAAGAAGGTGACGGAATTATTGGATGAGGGGGAACAGCTTATGGCTGAGGTTTGAGATTCGGGATTTGAGGTCTGATGATGATGTGTAAGAAGGTGAAATGATGTTTTATTCACTGGGGTGTTTGGTCTTTTCCCTGCGGGATTCCTGAGATTACAACCTTTCATACCCCGATACCCTACTTAGTTTTAGATTGCCGTCGACAGGTTTTTTGTCTCCTTTGTGGAACGCATACCTAATGAATAAGCTACAATATGCGAAATAGATTAAGCAAATCAAATGAATTTTCCAAGCTTATCGTCCCACTGTCGTTCCTTAGTGGCGAATACCCAGGTAAAGTCGTACTGTGGAGAGGAGATGGATCACGATCATTCAAGCTCGGTGAGATTTTGTAATTTCTCAGATCAAAAATGTTGTCGAGATAAACGAGAAGGTCGGGTACTGACATCATTTTTCTCTACGTACTGTACGGAGTTAGGTTTTTGTTAGGAGGTGATAATTCCTTAGCGGCTCCAGCCTATGCAAGCTTCCAACTCCCGACTATCCAATTAGAGAAAGTGTATTTCCAACCGTCACACTTGAAATGCAGATGTTACTCGTTCCATCGATCCACATGGACCGGAAGAGATTTCTAATAACGGAAAGGCATATATAGTATATTAAGTGAGGCAGTCTAGGCCTTTTGACTCCTCACTTTTTATTTTCGTTTGTTGAAGTACCTACCTAAGTATAAAAGGGGTGTGAAAATTATGAAAGTCATATATGTATAAATGAACACCTCAGTACTTTGTGCATGTACTAATTTTATGTTTGCTTTTTTGATGAAAAAGATTATCAGTTTCGCATCTTATCTACGGAGTTTCCCCCTCACGCAACCAAACTTTAAGTGAGCGGTACGTACCACGTACCACGGGAGCCTGCGGCGGGCTGCAACATGCAAGGAGATGGACCTAGATAAAAAAGCTTGGCATATGGGAAAAAAGAGGAGACCGTGATTGAAAGTATCAAAACCTTGTTATTGTTGCTGCCTTGGAAAGATGTTCCGTTTTCCGCGGTCTTCCTTATTACACCATCTACGTAGTCGGGTACACTACTGCTTTTTAAGTGTCCCCTCGTTTTGCTCATGTCTGATGTAAAACACGCAATTTAGTAACATCCACTCGAACTAATGAGATCGATTCGTTTCTAGCGTATATAAGCGATCTCACCAGCCTCCTGCTCAGCAGAAGGGCACGTGTTGCCAATAGATTTCCAATGTTATTTACTAGGTCCCCGAAATCCTGAGGAGGATGAAACTAGGGAGAGCGCCGAAGGCTGGAGGCGAAACCAAAGACATGGGCAGACCTAGACCGCCACATTAAATATTGAAATTTAGACGTATCAATCCATCAATCAATCTCGGTGCACCCACGTAATTACATACATGATACAGTGTGATATGTTGCGAATATCACGCAGTACATGTACCTATGTAGTGCGACTTTGGGGATGAAAAGTTTACGGGTCCAACCATGTCAGAATTATATATCAAGACTGATATCAGAATTGTAGATAGGTAACACCTTAACTGGATGATGGTGCTGCATACATCCATACGAAATTGATCATGTCGATGTCGAATTGAACAGACCGCTTTCCGAGGCGGCCAGTACCCATCAGCCAATCGTTGGTTGGAGATTACAAAAAGAACTGTCCGGTCTTGTCGTATTACCAAATTCAATCTACAGCACAGCCAATCAGATGCGATTTAATAATAATCCACTGGATTCTCATTCAACCAGCAGGCCGACGCTCGGGAACGGAGTCCATTATCTTTTTGAGAAGTGACAGATCCATGTTTAGTCCATACTAGTTAGTCCGCGCTAGTTTATGCCAGCACAAACCTAGCTAGGCGCTAGTCCTATGGGGAAAGAACTGCCTTTGCTACCACTATTCACCCTATGTTCTAGGTACTTGTAAGATGGCGGAGAGAATCAAGCGGGTGGAGGTTGTGTGTACCACTATCTACATGTAGTAAGTAAAAAAGCCCAGACCCAGACTCGCTGTCGGCTCAGCCCACTTGCCCACAATGCACGTCCTAACCTTTAGAAGCCAGGTAATGGCACAGTGGCAGGAAGTACCTATTGCAGCGCTGCAGCACTACAGCACTACGGCACTGGTAACTGCACTGCTGACTTTGACTTTCCCAGTCACCCCCTTCCATGTGGCATTCCCAATTTCATCCATCAAAACCTCCGTCAGATCAGATTATTATCCCTCCTCGAATCTCCGAGACTCACCTCGGACTGAGCCTCGTCTTTCCCACAACCCCCTTTTTTCTTACGTTCCCTCCCACCCTAAATCTAATGACGCCGCCTGTCCTCTGATTCCTCCGATCTTATCTCCACGGATCAATCCCGACGTGGCGGAGTTGGGGTCTGTCTATATTATAGTCCCGAGTGGGAAGACTTGAGTACCTAACCTGACAGAAACGGAGGATAGGGTGACGCATGCTTGCTCTACCCTACTGCCCTACTGCACTGCACTGCGCTACAGATACCTAACCTGCCTATACATACCTCTCCAAACCTACATACAGAACTACTCCTGCAGTAGTAACCCCGTACCGTACATTTGCACATACGGGACTTTATCCTCGTGATCCGGGTATGCCATAGCGTAAGGTATATTCCAATCACCAAACCAACTCACAAAAAAGGTCAACCCTTTATCACTCCACCCTTCTAAGCCTAACATCCTCACTCCGCCTGTCTGCTCCGGGTCTACGAGGAATCCACATAAGCCTCGAACCTAGGGACGTTCGCCCCTTGCGTCCCAGATAACTCCATAGTCCCGTCACTAGCCACCTGACTTCATAGTCGATTATCGTCGGATCGATATTCTTCATCTTGGTTCCGACTAATCTTCCTTCTTGTTCACTCACCATTCATGCGCAATCAGTTTGGAGAAAACGACATAGATCTTGCACAGCCCAATATTCGTCACCACTCCAATTAATAAGCATTTCGAGCAATCAACAATACAAATCTTAGTAGCACTGCCCACGGTTCTTTGGTCCGGCACTGTCGATTGACCCACAACCGGCTTTATTGTTGAGCCGCCAATATCTCGAACACCGGATAGATATTGCATCGAATATCGGCATTCCATCAGCCACCTTTCTGAAGAAGAGTCACCCTTATTATATTCTAATACAAAGCCACATGTTATCATAAAATACAAAGGGGGATCTACCCAACGAATACCGGAGTTTCTACAACTCGGTCAACTCTTAGAAGATTTGACAACAAAGGTGGTGATGGAAGTCGCTTCGTATCCATATGCGAAGTTTGCCATGTCAGAAATGAACGCATCCAGAACCGCGCTCCCTACACGCCCCGTCGTCTCCAGAGAAAGTACTCAACTATCCGAGACAATGCCCATTCAAATCGCTTCTTCCGTGGGTTCGAGAAGTCCAGCAGCCCAGAGTCAAAGTGATTTCTCGGATGTACCTAGCCCGTCCATACAAGGGTCCGAAAGGATTAATTCTAAGAGCCCTTCTCCATTCGACACGACCCATCAAGAGAACTGGGCGACGACAAAACCTACTTCGACGCCTAATCAAAGCGGTCAGGTATGCAGGTGAGTAAACTAATTACCAAGTGAGACATTCAACTAGTCCTAATTCTATCGCAGCAATTGTAGTACTACGAGAACACCACTATGGCGGCGTTCGCCTCAGGGCGCTACCATATGCAATGCATGTGGACTGTATCTTAAGGCGCGGAATTCATCCCGCCCAACGAATCTAAAACGGCCGCCATCAACGGTCTCTACTACACCGAAAAGAACACCCGAGAGGACTTCTGCCGGATCTTGTTCTCAAAGTAACCCGGCAAATATTCCAGGTGCCACTTATGTCGCAGCAGATCAGATGCCCAATGGATCATGTCCAGGTGGAGGACGATGTAATGGTACCGGCGGTGCAGAAGGATGTAGTGGTTGTCCGGCATACAACAACCGGGTAGCGAAAAGTGCTCAACTTCAAAACCAAAATCGAGCGTCTAGTAATGAGCAGTCGACCCCTGCAGATGATGGACCAGCCCCGATCGATATAAATGCGCAACAAGGATCTTCTCTGAATACAACGGTGGTTATAGCTTGCCAAAATTGTGGTACTACAATAACTCCGCTATGGCGTCGCGATGAGTCCGGGCACACCATCTGCAACGCATGTGGTACGTGTATAACTAAATTTTGTGAGACGCCAGCTAAACGTTTATAGGGTTGTACTACAAACTTCACGGAGTCCACCGACCAGTAACTATGAAGAAGTCCATCATCAAGAGGAGGAAACGTGTAATACCAGCGAATCAAGGAGATAGTGGTGCGGAAGATGGGATGGCAGTCGATTCGATCGAACAACAGAGTCCATATGCCGAGCCCGACATGGAGCGTGGCAGCGTAAATGAAGATGGATCCATTAATCTCGGGTTACGACGAAAAGCCGATTACCCTCTCACACTACTTCCCGACCCGACCCGATCTAGTTCGGGCCCAGCGCCGATATCTACCGATCTCATGGCATACCATACTACCAACGCTCCGCAACACACCGAAATTCAAGATTCCCTTACCGACGACAATCGATTAGCGCCGATAACGTCCATCCCATCTCTCAGCGATCGACAATCGTCGCTATCTCCTGCCTCATTCCTCTCACCATCAAGAAAACGCTCCTTCTCAGGAACCGAATCGGAGTATGCTTCAAGTGAACTAGGGTACGATAATTCAAAGAGATTATCATCGATAAAATTACTTCTCAATCCAGCGCTCGATTCAAGTGCAAATTTCCGCCCGATGGATAAAGCTCCCGAGTCTTTACAGCTTCGATCCCCAGCGACTACACTCATGTCAGCACCGAGTCCTAGCCCACAATTGACAGCGTCAAATATATTACCAAGTATTCGTTCCAGAGAGAGCACTGTAGAGGACGAAAGGACGAAAGCTGGTCGACTAGCAGCGCTTCAAGAGGAGACGGAACGAATGCGCCAATTACTAGCAGCCAAGGAGCGTGAGATGGCTGCGTTACAGAAGTAATTATCATCCTCATATGCGATTTTCTTTACCTTATGACCAAAATAATGACGGGGTTATCGGAGTTAATACGAAAATACGGCGATGATACGAAAGGAAGAGAGCCAAAGGCTTCGGGGCGCCAGCAAGTAGATTTCTTTTCACCTAGGGCTTCTATTTCGTTTTTCTCATTTTTATCCAAAAATCGTATGGCATATGCTTGGCGTACGCGAATCCGCAAAATCTATGCGGGGACCAGGGAGGCACTGGTATGATGCATGGCTGCAAGTTTCTCATGGCATAGGGGTCGTCCAGGAAGCTGAATTTTCAACCGGTTTTTCATATATCATAGAGCGGTATTGGGAAAGGGGAGTGTGAACGGGATCAAAAAGACAGGTTTTCAGTGGTGGGCGCTTGCATCAAGGCCAGAAGTCGGTAGTAATATTTATTATGAACCACCCATCTATTTATAATCGGACTCACAGGTCCATGATATTGTTAAGAGAATTCGCCCAACATAATATTAAGCTCAAGCTCATGTTTAAGCGTAAAAAATCACATATCGTCTCATGAATACGCAAGTTCGTGGGAAGAACAACTTTCTATCAAGTATCTCGTCTTTTAGACCATTTCATCTACCAGTAGATATCCCAGTCGTAACACGCCAACTTGGTTGTACAAGGTAGAATCCATCCCCATTCCCCATGCGTTTATTCGTACATATACAACCGCCGCTCCCAAGATTCAAAATAATTTCATTTTTTAGAGCCTCCAATTGCATGCGCTCAGCTCCGACCAAGATAAAAACCTACTTTTTGCCTCCTCATAAGAATGCTAAATCATGCCCGGCGGGTGGTAATCTTCCTAGTAGTTAGGAAGGTGTAGGTAGACAAAGTAGCAGTTTATCGAGTCGAAACGAGCTCTTCCTCTCTTTACGATAGCTGAAGGCATAACAAGGTATCGTCTGGAAATCCATTTACCGCCATTCCAAGAGATCCACCAATGGGGTGTAGTCGCGCATCGGCTTTTATACCTGCTCGGCGCCCCAACCAACTTGCTCGGCATCGCGCATGTTGGCGGGGGGCTCGACGGAGGGCACGAATTCAAGAGCGATGTAGGCTAGACCGACGGCGGCGACTACAGTACCGGCGATGATGCGGATTACGCCGTTGTTGAGGAGGATGGTGCCGACGAATACGTAGAATACTCCGCGCCCGATGAAGGAGAAGAGGAAGGAGGCGTAGCGCGATACTTGGGCGGGGATTTGGAATTCGAGGAGGGAGATGGAGAGACCGAAGACGATTACGTAGATGCCGATGATGATTGAGGGACTGTATAGAGAGGTATAGATTAGCGATGTGATGAGATGAGTTAGAGAGGTAGGTTGGTTGGTTATAGGGTTTGGTTCTCGACGGAGCGCATCTTTTGCCAACGATATTGTGATAAACAGTTGGCGCAGGTTTGATGATGCGGCATAGATAGAAAGAGGAAGAAGTCGGTAACGTACAATAAGCCTAGGAAGAATTGCGATATACCACCGAGTATCATGATGATGCCCACGGCAAGGTTGACGATTCGGCTATATCAGGGGAAGAGGTTTGTTAGCTATTCCATCTTTCTTCAAAACACAATTCATTTAGAAGGAAGCTGATCTGGCTTAATGCGTACAATGAGTCGGAGAAATCCATCTTTGCGATTCGATTAGATAGCTATTTACGATAAATTCGATGGGAATTATTCGAGTAACAGATCTACTGTGTTCGAGAAAAGAATCGCGAAGCGTGTTGCGGTTTATAAGGGAATGGTAACGGAAAAGATGAAGTTATACGTGGGATCGCGATGGGGGATTGCGCGAAATGGTTCCTTTAGGCAGACGTATTCTGTTGCCGGGCGATACGAATAGATGAGTGGATGAAAGCAAAATGTTTATGGTGGTTGCGTGTCGTGGATTTTTACGTGCGTCAGGAGGCTGGAGCTTAGCTTAGTTTTTTTCTCTTTCCTGCTAAATGAACCGCTGACCCTGCTTTGGATAGGGAGATAGGGAAGCTTCTAATCAATATCTCGCTAGCGTAGGACAGGGGTACCTGGGTATCAAATCTTACGGGTGTCGTCATCTACCTACCGTCAGCCACTGCACTAAGCCTTACTTTCGATGTAAGACTCGGTAACGTGGTCCAAGCGTCAAACGTGGCTTCCAATGTACCCAAGTATTTACTTTAAAAGGGGGGAGGACAACCTTAGTCATCTACCCCTATTCTTAGGTACTTAAGGGTAATCTATTGATATCACCACAATTCCAGTCGAAGAAATGCCTTGTGCCTTCAAGAAGCTTCTATATCTATTCTTCTATTATATCAAGACATACAAAGAATCCTAAACATACTCTTAGTGACACCTAACTACGATATCAGCTTGCTTTGTCGTTCGTGATGCCGATCATTTATATAAATGGCGTCTCATAGAAGCTACTTAATCATTGGCTTCTTTCCTAATGGAATTCGCATCTTCTAGTTATATCACATATCACATTCTGATTTCACTACATAAGAATACAACAGGATTGGAAACTAGTCTAATATTCTTTATACCGGGTTATACCTCTAATAACTAACTAGGTAGCTCAGGGTGTTTTCCGAGAACTATCAGGAACAAGTAAAATATAAACAGACGAGAAACCTCTCGAAAGGGTCGTAAGTTGGCAATGGGTTCCATAGCAAGCCAATTCCTGCCCCGTTTCAATATTTAAGCTATGTTGTACTGACCACTATTATAACAGAGAGTCCTATTCTTGCCCTATTTTACAATTGACTCTCAGTATAGTATGTATTTGTGTTATAATTAGGAGTTAGGGTGGTATATAGTTGTATCACAAATAATATACGCATGAAGACATATTACAGTGCATCAGTTGGCATATTCAAAGAAAAATCAGGCTTCAAGATTCAAACTCCGGGCAGGAATCCAAGTAACCCCATTTCTCATACACACTTATCTCGGCATCTACAAGGCTTCACTAGATACTTATTTATCATTGCTACTCTAAACATAAAAGGGAAGCAGGCACTCTTTGATGAAACAGACAAATACTCCTAGGCCATCAGAGGGCAATAGACGCATTGCACGAGCACCCGCTCAACTTGTTGGAGATCGTGTGTTTTGTTACGTATAGATGATATACGGGCGAATACGACTAACGACGAGCAAAACTCCGCGTAGGTCAGATAACCCATATTGTATTTTTGGCTAGGTATCTGCCTGTATCTATGAGTGCCTAAACACTGCGGGATATTGGAACCTGAGGCAACTACGAGACAGTTTCCTAGCAACCCACCTCGCAGCGAGAGCAAATCTGTCCCTGACCTTTTCTAAAAGATTATTCGTTCCCTTCTAAAACATATCATCTTCCTAAAATTAAATCCCACCTTCTTCTCCGCATAGCAATCCGATCTTTACTACACTCTAAAACATCAAGACCCATCACTCCAATATAGGGATCCAACCATTGTCATACGGGCCAATATCCAACACCACCTTTTAGGGACTTCATAGCCCCCACCATATTCGCCGTTAAATCCAAACCCATTGTCTACCGTGAATTTCGTCCTGTTTCCGGGTTTATTTCAATATCTCATCTCTGTTACTCTTGTCACCGTGCTAGCCAGCAGGTTTTGAATTCGCCTTTTTACCATCTATACAGGGCTTCCTAGACAATATTTAACATGGCACTGGCTCGTAAAGAGTACATTCGTGGCCACGACGACATTCTGGAGACCTGGTTTCTCCCACCTCCCAATTTGCCACCCCTATTCGTCTGGCGCTCTCAGAGGGCTAATCAGTTCGAAAATTATGAAGGGGATCGCAACAACCCAATGAATCGAGATCAAGATATCCCCGAAAGTGAGACCACTTCGCTCTTCGTCTACAACCTGCCAGCCGACTGCTCAGCCAAAGACCTCTTAAAGTCGATCCGAGGCTTCGGCAAGATCTTTTTCGTTCACCTCAACCCCCCTAAGGGAATGTGGCCAACGGTAGCAGCCAAGGTTGTTTTCTGGGAACACGAAGGCGCGCGAGGCTACCTTGAGGCGTCCCAGAAACGTCAAATCCCTATCGCCGGGCGCTTCGTCCGTGCAATGTGGAACCGAATTAGAACCCGAGGACAGCCCTGGAAGGACTGTTCTCGAGTAATTCGAATTAAGGGGCCTTCCGAAGTAGTCTCGATGGAATTTCTAGAACCTATCTTTAAGACGAGATTCCAATACGTCTTGGACGAAGTAATTTCAGAGTTTGATAATGAGGTCGATATAATTGAATTAGAGATTCGATTTAGCTCTTATCGAGCACAGGCTGCTACCGCGTGGCAGCAAATCCGCGAGCTTCGAGCAGGGCTTACCACGCCTGAAATCAACGATATTGTCACAGCTCGTCAACTCGAGCTACTTCGTAGCGCAGCTATAAGCTGGGGCAAAGACCCCTGCCAGAGATCTACTGGTGGCGGACCTGCCTAAGGGTTGGCCAACCATGGAGGGGGGAGTAAACAACTCTGTTGCTGTGGAACCATCGTATACACGCACAAATAGCCTCTTTGTCCTCATGCCGGAAATGAGCGGTTCCATACGGCGGTAAGGGGTCTCCCAATGCCTCTCATAATGTTCTGCTCTTTACAGCTAAACTACTGGTATTTGAGATATTGCTGTTTTGGAAAGTGGAGGGATGAGAGGGAAGCTAGAGGGGAACCGGTTTTTTTGGAAGGGATGGCTATATAAATGATTCTTAAGGATAATGTTGCGGGTAGTACACCTACTTGATGCTACTGGCAAAATTGCCATTCCATAAATGCATTCTCAATACCCCTTCTAGTAGCGTTATATAATGAAATAGCATAACCCCATTGCTAGTCCATGGTTCCACGTTTTGTTTATTCGTAATAGGGACGTATCAAGTGGTCGGGAGAGCCTTATATTCTGTTCGCTGGAGAAGCCATGTATTTTCTGTCTTAGGACTTTATAGAAACTAGTCCTGCTGACGACTCATCATAAATGCTTTTCTAGTTTCCCTTATATCTTTTCGCCTAGTTTTGACCACTTGGAGCTTGTCTTGTTCCCCTAGAGTCTGTCTTGTCATAGGTCCTTTGAGATATATGAGGAAGACAGAACAAGGCTTGCGATCCGATTCAGGTCTTACCGCGCCAAAGCAGTTGTCTCATTAAACAAAGATAAGTGTATCACGGAGGCCTATTGTCGCTATATTTAAGGGGATGGGTTTGTAACTTGTTACGAAGGTACTGTATAGTCTAGATGGACAATTTGAACAGACATGAATTTGTCTTTTATACTGATCTCTGTCGTTGTTTTCACTACTTTGTCTGATATATACTGTAGTTCATCTCATACATCAACAAGTATTAGAATTATTACATAAGAACCCTAACCCTAACACCAGGTCCTACCCCATGAATATCAATTTGTAGCTTTCGAATGAGAGCGCAACAAATTTGTTACTTCTGAGGTGAATTAATAATGCACATAAATTGTATTGCGCTAGGTAACTAAAAATTCGAAATTAACAGTGCCCTATGGGAGTATGACAACTTTGGCTCCCTAGTTAAATTGGTACTATAGTGTGTTCTAGGCCTCTTTGTGCATATCGTATACTTCCGCATCCTAGCTTAACTATTATCAGTGAAGAAACCAGGGCTCAGTATATTATGACCTTAAATGTATTATAAGAACTTCTGATGGAAGTTATAGGTTGGTTAATACGCGTCGTTATTGAAACGAACGTAGTTATACGGGAATCAAGAGTAGTTCGATCCTCGAGTATGTAAATAGCTATAACTATAATATACTCATGTGGTGTCTGAAACTTATGTTCTATCGACGATACATCTCGATGTTGCCGATAAAACTCTTCATTGTTATTGATACAGTAACATCTGCGATATGGTAACACAGGGGTAAGCTAACCCCAACCCTAACCCTAAGCTGCAAGCCATGCTCAATAGGGGAAGTAGCCTCATATATTTTCGTTCCAGGGGTGCCCTCCTTTAGTGATTGTGGAAAGACCATTAAGATGACTTAAGCCAGGGGAAATGAGATACTTATGATACAGACAAGCTAGAAACGTACGGCCCAAGTGACCTTCCCAAGTATAATTGAGCCGGTATTGGTTACTAGGGCATGATCCAGGTATTAAATAACTACATATATGTAGCCTTATAAGCTTAATTCTGAATAGCGTGTTTGAGATTCATCCCCGTTATGAACAGAGTTGATATTCTTAAAATGTTACTGTTCTGAAGTATTAGTGCTTCAGGTTTGGTGATTGCTGACTAATTATACAATAGGATGATGATCTAATATCTGTTCACGAAGTTTAATGTTGCTGATCATATGTTCTCATGTTTCTGCTATGGGCTTAATATGGATGGCTTCCACGGCCGATAATTCGGGTCCGAAGGAATAATATTCCTAGATTTAGTCATACACAATCATTGTCGTCATTTGAGCTTTCAGATCATCTAGTACAATCGCAGGATACGCTCGCGCAATAGGGGCTATGCGGTCATATATGTACGCGAACTCGGGCGTGTTGGGCGGCGTAGTAGTGATATGGCTAGATTAAGTTGCAGAATTATCCGTACCGTGGGTATCGAATTACGAGGAGCCGATTCTATGACCATTCGATCTTGTCCGTTTCGTGTTCCTCCCACCTGGACCAGACACGCACAACGCACGTTTGGGATGGGAACTCTATCCTCTCATCGGGAGTTTTAACTCTTACTGGATAGACCGTTATTGGTTGGCTGGTTAGATCGGCATACGTTTGTACGCAGACCCGGTACCCCTATTTGCTAAGAGATCCATTGCAGACACGATAGACTCTAGATCTAAACGCTATTGAGCCAACATGCTGCGGCGCATATTGTACCTGGTCTAGGTTTTTATTATGGATGAGAAGTGTAAGGATTCGTGCGTGGAGGGGATGAAAACGAGTGATATAAGGTCGTCATACTTGATATGGCGTACGCGTGTCTCGCATTTTCTTCAAATCTTTTTGAATGTCAGTCAATTCACTGTTTCTTATCTTTACATTCTCGCCATGATGTGCCGATACCACTATACGATACGAATATAACACCTATGATATATCTATCAAGTGGTTGTTAGGTATAGGCGAGTAATACTGAAAGTACTTACCACGTTGGGCTGTGGCCCAAAAGATTCTCAATTGGAACAATTTTGAGAACGGCGCAGTCATGTCGGGCAACTGGACATCGCCGGCTCCTAAAGTGAGCGGGCCTCAGGTAAGCGGTCATGATCATCGTCATTTCCGTAATAGTTACGCTAAATTGGCTTACCAGACAGCCAAGCCGAAAGGCCCGCCCTACCCATCAACAATGGCTATTGTAGGTGGCGAGCCGTCTCCCTCAGTCGACGACCCAATCGCTGCGATCTTACTCTTATTATTTCTCCTTTCGGCTGCAGCACACATGGCCATACTACGGGTCAACAAGCAACGGAACCTCAAATTCATATTCTCAGGGATGCTCTTCGTCCTATGCATTCTCCGCGGCGTTTCACTTGCCGCCCGCATGGTCTGGGCATCGTATCCAAAAACCGTGAACGCCGTTATCGCTGCTAGCGTCATGACGCAGTGTGGTTCCGTCCTCATTTTCATAATAAACCTCTTTTTCGCTCAGAGGATTCTGCGGGCGTATCATCCCCGCCTCGGCTGGCACCGCGGCACTTGCTACGTCGTTTGGTTCCTTATAGCTTGTGTTTTGTGTTGTCTTATTATGGCTATAGCGGCCACGGTACATGGCTTCTTCACGCTTAATCCGCGTGCTCGTCGCTCTGATCGTGCCGTTCAACTCTTTGCGGGGACGTACCTGGCTTGTCTTGCCTTCCTTCCCGTTCCCGTTGTCGCTATAGCTGCCGCCGTGGGGGCAACGCCGTCTGTATCATCTTCTTCGTCTTCAGAATCACCGTATCCACGACGGACCGGATGGGCGCGATGGTGGAACTTCCAACGACGGCAACGGCGAGTTGAGAAGTTTGGCGCTGGGCGATGGCGCGCGAAAGTTGGGCTTCTAACATTCGCATCGCTCGTAGCGACCCTGGGAGCTGCCTTTCGGGTGGGTGTCAACTTCGACGGGCGCCCAGGTTCAGATCCAGCGTGGTTCCATAGCCGCGCATGCTATTATGGTTTCAACTTCGTGACGGATCTCATCGTATCAACAGCATACCTGCTAGCACGCTTCGATCGACGATTCGTTGTACCTGACGGCGCAAAGGGACCAGGCGACTACTCGCCTATCGTACCGCAAACGCCAATGTCAGCCACCAACTCAAGGTGCAACCTAGTGAGCAAGTTACCGATGATGGGCACCAGTAAACCCTTAACCATGATGCGGCAGCCCTCCGGGTCTTCCCCAATCCCACCTCCGGGCGCAGGAACGGCTTCGATTCCGCCAACTCCTTCGCCTCATCCACAATTAATCTCACCATCAACATCGCAGCAGCATCTCAACACAGGTTACGATTCCAATCACAACACCGACTCATCCAACACAGCCGTGAACAACAGCCCAACGACAAGCAGTAGTCTCAATCGGAAGAAAGTCCACCGCCAACTCCCACCGCACCAAGCCCCAACCCCGACCCCCTCACCACCACAACGTCCTGACTCCGGGCTCTCGGACCCCAACGCCAACATCGATGAAAAATCACCCACGAGTCCCAGCACCACCCCGACACCCCCACCAACCACGAAACCGCAACAAAAGCGCACAAGCCGAAGCCGACGTACAGCACTAATGATGCGTATGCGTATAAACAGCGAAGCCGACGTATACGGACCGGACTGCAACCGCAGTCTACGTCCGCATTTTTTCTCACATGCGCAGCAAAGTACGCCTTCCCATCCTAATCCAACGGAACCCGCACAAGCCCATCTCGGACCACCGATTCTGCCGGATCTTGATTTAGACCTAGAACTTCTGAGCACTACTTTGCTTGCACCTTGGGCATTGGATAATTGGGGCTTTAGGAGGAGCATGTCGCAGGGTGTAATTGGACTCGGTGGTAGAGGTGGCCATGGAATTGGAATTGGAACTGGGAGTGGAGATGCAGGCCTTCTAGATGCAAGTTTCCGACTGTTCAAAAACGGGGGCGGAAGTACGAGGGGAGGTCGGAGTAATCGGAGTCATAGCGACGAAGGCAGGAGCGATAAAGTGAGCCGGAATAGTAGGAGTAGCAACGATAGTAATGGCAGTGGCGGCGGCGTCGGTGGTAGCAATGACGACGGAGGTGGTAATAGAAGTAAAAGCGACGGTGGAAGTGATCATGAAAACAGCAGGAACGATAGTAATTACGCTTTTAGTCAGCGGTCGGCAAGGGCAAGAACAATGTAGGAGATATGGGGTAGCTAGCTGGCCTGCTATGAATTAGGGGCAGGTGCCTTGGGAAGAAAAAATAAGGGGCGAAGTGTGTGTATACCACTCGATATCGCGATTTTTTTAGTAATTATACCTAGCTAGTATCTTTTCGTTATATCGTGATACTGTTTATGAGAACGACTAAATTTCATGGGATGAAAAGCTTGGTTCCCACTTGGGAATCGGTTGTAACAATCTCATGATATTTTCCAATTATATCCAATTATATCCATTCACGAATCACAAGATGCACCAAATACAGAGATTAAACGACTTCACCATCGAAATCGAAGCTAAGGTATCTTTTCTTTCTCTTTCTTTTCACTCGTATCAAATCTAATGCTTGGGCATCTACTTTCCATTAAGTTGCTCAAAATCATGCCTCTCTCACCAAGAGACAATCGGCACCACCTATAACATCATGGCGAGGGACAAATAAATAAATTCGTCCCGCGTCGGACTCCTTTTTAGACCAGAACCAACCCCCATCGGTACCGGCCTAACACAAGACCGTCGACGGGTTCCATTATGTGACTTTGTAGTGTCTGCTATTTGGTGTGGCCATGTCTATAGATCGCATTCTGACTTTCGGTAATAGCAGGGGTATGGCGATCTAGGCTCAACGTAACTCCCGGAGACCCTAAAACCTTGAATCCACGCATCTGCTTCAAGGCGCGGCACCAAGATTATTGGTGGAAGCTTACAGGAAGTAGTCGGGTGTGCCTGTCAAGACGGTTAGCACTGATGTCATCAACGCGCAAATCGAAGTGCCACAAGGCATATATGCGAAACGGAAATAACGGCTCGAGAATAGGGTACTTACGTCGGGAAACCATCGGCTCACCAGCCCGCGGGCATGGATCGAATTGTAGGCTGTGAAATATTGTAAGCATATGTACTAAAAATACAAGCGCCATGTGAGCAACTATATTTTTCATTGGGGCCGACTTACAAGGTGTACTTCAAGTGCTCATCAATCTCCATGATAGCCGCCTGGTTACCACATCTGTAGCAGTAGTTTGGTGCTAGGAATAGTTAGCCAGTTGCTCTTTTAAGACGAATGTTGGGGAGTTGATAATAAGAAACTCACCAGAGAAGATGGTAACAACGTTTCTATCTTGCGACCAGTTATATCCTTCCATGACCAATTGATGAGCTCGCGCGATCAAAGTTAGACCATTGTTATGGTTGAACGCTTCCGAGATATCCTGTCCGAAGGTATAACCCGCACCGCGTGGGCTGATACCCCAACCGCATCGGTCGTCGGGGTCTGACCATAACAGGTCGCACATGGGACCTTCATGGGGGACTTCTTGGATCCGATCTAGGGCTCTGATGTTATCAAGGGTATCAATACTCGGCGATAGACCACCGTGGAGACAGAAGATCTGGTTGTCGATGAGAGCGGTGAGGGGGAGGTAGTCGAAAAGGTCGGTAAAAAACTTCCAAACGTTGGCATTGCCGTACTTGCGCAAGCACTCGTCGTAGAAGCCGTACACTTGGGTAATCTGGCGGGATTCGTGGTTACCGCGTAGGATAGTGATGCGCTGGGGGTATCGAATCTTCAAGGCGACGAGCAGAGTCACCGTCTCGACGGAGTAGTATCCTCGATCAACGTAGTCACCTAGCTCGAAGATTAGCCACCATGTGCCTCATTGTATCATAGTAGGTTCAGATAGTACATACCCATAAATAGGTAGTTGGTATCAGGGTTAGGACCACCAATCTTGAATAACTCCATCAAATCGTGGAATTGACCGTGGATATCACCACAGACCGTTACCGGACATTTCTAGGTCGAAGTTAGTAGACGCGATGGCGACAAAGAAACAAGGGCGGCATACCACCGGCTGGACGTTGGATTCATCCTGCAAAACTTCCCTGGCCTAGAGACGACAAGGCGTCAGTATCGTAACCATAACAAACAATAGATACAAAGGAGTTGTAAGCAACAGGCAAGTGATGCATGATTTTACCTTCTCGCAGAGTCTCTGGACATCGGATTCAGCAAGCTGCTTGCAGTTCATCAAGCTTTCGATCCAACCGTCGAGAGTGGGAATGGTAGTAGGCTCTGAGGGAGGTAATGGTGCCAGTTCAGTAGGAACTCGGCCTACGTCCTCCATATTGGTATCCATGATGAAGGAAAGGGGAGCAGGCAAAGTTGGGTCGCGAAGTCGGGAGGGGTATTTTATTGTATCGTATTGTTATATCAGCGTCGTCGAGTGATCGTTATCGCGGGCCGTTAAATGAAAGATCCGAGTAAAGGTAGGTGGAAGATTTCGATAGAAGTAATCGGCGTGGATACGGAATGACGTTTTGAAACGGCCGAAAAGAGAAGCGCAAGGCCTCTCGTCGTTTTTGATGTGGGTTGAACGGTGTTGGGAAGTGGGGCCGATGATGGGTATCGTCGCGACCTTACTCAAGGTGAAAGAATAGAAAAAAACAAATAACAATGGCAAAAACAACTATTCCCCGGTTCCAATAATCCCCTCTTCTTATCTGGATTATCTTCAAAAAGAGAAGAGTATAGGGTGTATTAAATCGTGTCTTAGTCTTAGTAAAGAGGAAGGAGGAGTATTATTGAGAAAGCAGTCAGTCACGAGTTGATTGTATTTTGTAGGATTTTTCCTTGTTTGAAAAGTGATGGTAGAGAATGCGGTCGGACCTTCCAAGGGAACAGGAACATCCCAAAGTTAGGTACATACGGCGGGAAGGTGGGCAGGCTTAGGTACCTACAGCTATCTTTCTACCCACTTACGGCGTACCTTCCTAGGTAACATGTACCTAATAATGTACCTAATACTAGTCCAGTACTACGTCAGTCTTCGTTTAAAATGCGGCTCACCCATCACCAAAAACCCTGCCTTCTTTGTACTTGCCCCTCCATCCCTCCCTTCATCCTACTTTTCTCTGCTTAACATATCCAGATAGACACGTACGTATACGATTCGACTAATAGCTGACACCACACTTAATTCTTACAGCAAAATCAGACAATATGTATCTCCAAATACCGGTGCTGTTTACAATACAATAGTAATAAGTATACAACTATGTCAACCCAAGCCCAATCGGGTCATTTGATTTTGTACCTTGAGGTACATCTCTACCAACCAGGTCTCGGAAATCCAACTGTACTTCTTCCAGCATTTTCGCATGGGTTTTAGCTCTCTCCATGCACTGATTCCATACTGTTCCGTCTCTCTCGGTACTACTCAATTGTCTAGCTAGGATCACGTTGAAGGCATCTACTTCTTCCTTGGCCCATTTCACACAAGCGCTCATCATCGTTTGAGGGAAGCAGCTTTGGAAACAGCTCACGGTGTTTCTGATGATACTGAAATAGACGAACGAGACCTGCCAGATATACAAATGGAGATCGCCTTGGAAGATGCATTGTCTGTGCCGCGTTAGTTATCAACATATTTGGATTATGAACTTTGCTGAACGTACCTCGACCGCTTCTGAATTAGATCGCCACGAGCCTTGAGATATGCATCTCTTGCACGGTCTTCAAAGCCTAGTCTGTTCAGCCACTCAACATTCCGCTTAGTCTTCAGCGGTTGGCTATGCGAGTCGATAACTTCCCGTATGATCAAGCCAGCTAGCTTCGAGCATCTCTCCTCAACCTTGAAATCAATGAAATCTTGAGCGATAACATTGTTCTTCAGTCCACGCGCAAGTTTCTGCATTTTCTCAACGAGATCAACTGCCTGCTCAAACTTCTGAAGAGCGATGTAAATATCAAGCTCATCCATCTGACCTTCAACCCAGCGGAGATTCTGCTGTTTGCCGTCTACCTCAATAAGCATGTCCTTAATATCAGAAAGCGTCTCGAGTAGCTCCGTCTTTTGTAGTAAACCCGGATCTCGGGAGGCAAAGTAGTTAATGGTCTCCTTGGCCTTATTATTAGCCTCCATCTCAGACTGCAAATTCTTTCGTAGTTCTTCGACCGCCTTTCGAATGTTTAGTACCAAGGTCGCCTTCTCAGGGTCTTCGGGTTTCTCCGTCCTATAGATGAATGACTCCTGACCCACTCCTCGGACCATGATAGCATCTGCAAGCTTATTCCTACCGCTATAAGATTCACTCGTGGCAGCCATGTCGGTGACTTCGATATCTAGCAATGGCCAACAGCGATCCGCAACAAGTTTCGTGGCTGGACCACGCATATCATTTGGGTTGTCTGTCTTACGTTTCTTACGCGAAGCGACAAGAAGGTGGTCGTTAAGAAGAAATAACTGCATAGATCGTCTCGATTTGTATGTCGCATTGTCAAGTTCGATCCAGGCTCCGGCATTTTGGATCACATGCCTACCCATTGAATTGGGCAGGAATTTCTGCGAGCCTTCGACGTTTTTGTAAAGGGCTTGCATCTGGCTGTTCCACAGGGCCGTCCTATCCGCTACCGAACTTCGTTTATCTCTCTTGCTTAGGCCGGTTGAGAAATCTCCAGTAACAGAAGTACTGCTACTTCCAGAAGCAGCCCTCAGCGCATTCGTATTGGTGGCCAGCTCCTTGAACAAGTTTCGCAATGTGCGCATCTCCGATTTTAGCTTCTCTGCTTCCTTGCTAATCTTAATGAACTGGGCCCGGTTCTGGTAGACATTCTGTTGTAGATCTGCCGATGCTCTGTTTTTCAACTTGCGCAAAGCGGTTTCGTAGTCCCGAATTTCGTCTTCGGTAGCCTCACTAAGGATATTGGCGACGTATTGATCCGGAACGAGTCTTGGGTCTCGAAGTGCCTTTGGGTCCACGACAGGTTGCGCACCTCGAGGGCCGCCAGGTGCACCTCCATCACGCGATGGGGGCGGTCGAGATCTTGGAGGGGGTTGATCGTATTTCGAGATGTTAAAATTGGGCATAGAAGGGATTGGGGGAGCTGTGGGGTCGAAATTGCTGGGGAGGTTATTAAACCGGGTGGAATAGCGTCGCTTGACTAGATCACCAGTCTATAGACAGTCAGTAATATTGGAATACCAATGGAAATCATTCGACTTGCCTTTCCACCAGCTGAGGGAGGCGGGCGCTGTCGAGGAGGTGCTGGACCGCCAGGTCCACCAGGACCGACTCTTCCACCTGTACTTCGAGGCACTGGGACGCCATCGTTCGGAATTGGTTCTGATATCTGGCGAGGTGCACTGATGGTAGGACGACCTTTCCTCTTAGGACCGCTACGAAGCGAGATCTTACTCCTCTCTTCAGACATATTGAATGAGAGTGCCTAGGCCGAAACAGAATCAGGAGATAGGTAGCAAGTGTAGGTTAAGCAAGTAATTAGATAGGATCCATCGGGCGTGAGAGATGAAAGATGAGTTAATAATCCGTTAAGAATTAAGAAAGAAGAAACGATAATAGAGTTTGGTCACAAAGTTAAAGAGAATACGAAGCACAGACAGTCACTCATATACCACTATGCGACAATGCATCCAAAAGATGGGTTGTACTCCCCAATGTTTCGTAATAGGTGAAGTACTTCGGTTAGGTGCTGATTATAGTGGGTACCACAGACTTTATGTAAGGTGAATCGGTCGGATTTATTTGACCGCGGATGTACTAGACCTAATACGACATTAGCGTAGTTGAAACGACAAGGGTCCGCGGCCCCATCCCATGCTTTTGCGATTGCACGTCAGGTATCGACTGGAGCTAAGCTGCATTGAAAAAAAATATTACGGAAGGCTGCTTTACCTATCGTTCCTCAAAGGCCCTCTCTCTTTAAACGAAGCAATCCTGCAGTGCCTTCATAATTAGTATTGTGCAATCTAGAGGGAGAATTGTACCCGCCTCGGTCCATTTTCAATTCCGTTTATATCATTGTTGTCGCGGTGCATCGCTCCGTCGAATTGAACCCCCCCTTTCAACCCTCGATCAAGACGTCACATCCGCCAAAATGGTTCAGACAAGTACGGTAGTAACAATATCAGCGGCAACAGCCGCAACGGGTCTACTAGGTATTATACATTGCGCTCCTTCCTACGCCAACAACGATACCTTCCCTCATAATAACTGTCTAGCTTCATATCCGCTAACACGTCATGTTTTTCCAAAATAGCATACGCCATCTACTTCGACTACCAACGGCGCGCAGACCCCAACTTCCGAAGAAACTTGCGACGGGAGGAGCGACGACAAGCGCGCGCGGAGAAGGAAGAGGCCGTTGCGCAAACCAAGCAGAAGCGAAAGGACATCCAAGGCAGCATCGACCAGGCTGCTGAGGAGGGTTTCCCTACAGGTGTCAACGAGAAGGAGCAATTCTTCATGGACCACGTTCAGAAGGGCGAGCTATTAGCTGCGGATCGTAAGTTTGACCCTACGGCCCTTTCATAAGGGCAGTGCGGACACCATTGGAGGAGAAAAACTCAATAGATAGAAGCCATGCGGACGAGAAGTGCTAACATAAGGCCAATTCATAGCGACAAAAACGATAGATGCCGCCCTAGCATTCTACAAGGCTCTTAAGGTATACCCAACACCCGGGGACCTCATTAGCATCTACGATAAGACCGTCGATAAGGTAAGGAAATTCCTACGGGCTTTTGGACCACGGAACACCCCGCTAATCTTGACAAACCCAACAGCGAGTACTAGACGTCCTTGCCGAGATGATCGCCTACGATAAGAGCCTAGACATCCGCGGCAGCACCAACGGTATCAACCTTTCAGATCTGCCCAGCGCTGGTCTAGACTAGAATTAGGAACGAATATTATTGGAATGGAAGGACAACATAGGACGGAAGTCTAATACATTGTTCCCATTTCCAACACACGCTCCTCCCTCCACTCTCCCCCACAGAAACAAATAAGTGAAACGGTCTTCTGTGCCGTAACCCCAAATGACCCATATTCAATCAACCCCGAGAAACAGCCTCTGAGCACTGGCGATGATGGTCCACGATTTAGGGGGGACCTACTATAAATGAGTAGGTGCTACACATATAAAAACAGATGGACGGGCACCATGTATGATATCATAATGCGCGGCTAGGATAATCTGGCCGTATACACTTTGAACGGCTGTTCTCATAGTTACGAGGATGGCTACGATGTATATTTTTACGATCAATCATGCTCGGTGGCTGGTATAGACAAATGATGGACCATGATTCTCTTTTTTCAAGTGCCTTTTTTTATTCGATTGCTTAGGCGTGATATGCGAATACCTCCCAAGATTTCTAACCATGATAATCCTACCTACCTATGCCTGCCTAATTCACTAATCTAAGAAACTTCTATCTTCCTCCCCTTCCGATCAACCCTCACATCCCTCGGATCAAACCCACCATTCCCCCACGTCGCCCACTCTGGCGTCTCAGGGCCCATATACTCCTCGGGCGTCCACTCGCCGTCAGCACCGCGTTCCTCTAACAGCTCGAAGAAGCGCTGGTATTCAATCCGCGTATGCCACTTCCCATCTACTCTAAACCTTTCACTCGCAATAAGCACGCAGCAACTATGCGCATGCTCCGCCGCAATCCCATAATCTAACCCACGCCTCTTCAACTCCTCATCAAGCGCAGTAACAAACTCCGTGACTTCGGCGTAGAAGGGTACATTCGCCATACTCAACCCAGCGCCGGCACTACTCGACGTACCACAATACGTCACACCTTTGATCTCAACGAAACACGGCAACCCGCGCTCGACTAAGTCCGCATATCCATTCACTTCATCCTCAACATTGAACCCCTTGACAAGCGTAAGTCGGAAAACAGTACGTTGCTTAAACCGCTTCTCACGCAAAATATCCAGACACCGCATAAACCGTTCCCAGAAATCACGATGTAGCGGCCTATCAATACGTCGCAAAGAATCGCGATTACTAGCATCAATAGACACATACAACTGCGTAACAGCGCGCAACGCAGCCAATTGATCCGGGTGCTGCGCATTACACACCAGAAACGAGGAAATCCTCTCGCCGTGCAGGAGCGCAAGGAACTCGTTAATATGCGGGTAGAAAATTGGTTCACCGACAAGACTCAATGCGCAGTGCCGGATCCGCATAGCCTCCGCGAAACGCTCGGCACGGACACCGGGGATGCCGCGCATCATCTTGATTTTCTTATAGTGCCCGGCTTTGACGCCGTCGAAGATCATATCGGGCGGGTCGACGACCCAGCGCCATGTGGTACCGACGGGGTTTGTGCCGTGGCGCCAGCAGAAGACGCATTTGTTGGAGCAAGAGAGGGAGGGTGTGGTCTCCATGCATTGGTGCGAAGCGATACCGTAGAAGGAAAATTTGTAGCACGAGCCCCGACCGCGAAGAGCGGATTTAGTCCATCTACAGATTTTGACTCCTGAGTGCGAACCGACTATAGAGTACCCCTGTTTAGTAAGGGAAGCGTATGTCGGCGAATTCTTGGGTACCATTTCCTTGATAGTTTGAGGTGGTCTCTTCGATGTCGTTTTGTTATATGTGGTGAAGTCGACGGCAATTGGTGCCGGATTACTCGATTTCTCGGAGTTACTTTGGGACGCCTTCATGATTCTCCCAAGATCTTCCACATCATCAATGTTCCCGGGCTTTCCCTTTTTCGCCTTTTTGACTGTAACAGATGGGTCAATAACGACTTCGCCATCATCCTCGTCTGCAGAGCCATATTCATCGTCGCTTTCCACAGCGTCTCCACTACCAGGGACTCCCTCTCCTAGAGATCCCGTGCTGGCGATGTGTTTCAAGGTATCCTTCACACCACCCATCCATTCATCCAACCTTTCTTTAGGTTCCCGTTTTGTGTCTGCCATTCCCAGCGGGTAGGCCCTCTTGCGACCAGTCAGTCTAGCCATCCATTTATCAACCTCCTTTGCCTGGAAGCAGAATCCCTCGTCTTCGGTCGGCCATCCCTCCCGATCACCTAAACCAAAGACCGAGTAACCGAGAATTCCTGATAAGGGGGAAGTATCGATTCTAAAGTCATGGTGCGTTTCTTGCATATGCTCGAGGAGGTTGTCGTTGATAGAATCGATATTATAACTCGGGATCAACAGGAGATAGAAATGATCTACTGGCGTGCTATGATCTGTAGGATTCGGCGCATTGATGAAGTATTCGTCGTAGTCCGCTTCGGCCAGATCTATGACGGTGGGCTTTAGGAACTGTCTCTCAGACCCATCTTCTCGCTCTCCTAGCAAAACTTCAAAAGCCCCAGCAATCCCTTTCGCAGTCCTCTCTGTACTTCCAGTCAAGGAAGAATAGAAAACGAGAACTTGTATAGGTTTTTCGCCACCAGCCTCCGTATTTTTCTGCGCATTTCCAGCTCTTCGCAGTTCTCCCTTAATACGCCGTGGTCCGCTGGTTGAATCTTTTGTTTTCTCCTTCGGTATGTCTACGTTTTCGATCGAGGATTTACTATCGCCGCGTGGAAGGGACTTCGTAATTTCTTGAATAGATCTTAGGGGTTTAGTCGCGATCTTGTCTTTCTGGCGTAGCTCTATAAGCCACCAAACCGCCGCCAATATACATGTTGTCGCGAATAGAATCGAGGCTCGATGCTCGTGCCACAGTTCGAGGATACCTGACAGAATGTGTAAGTACGATATAGATAATTGTATATGTGAGGATTCGTATTCTAAATTACCTATAGATGAACCATTGGCATCCAAGCCAAATTCCCCTAATCTACTCGTCATCACTGATCTTGTTTCTATTCATATAATTTTTTTTTTTCTTTTCTTTCAAGTGCGACAGAATTTGGCGGGGCATTCTCATCACTATAAAAGCTGAAGGTGTAGAATTTTAGAGGGGCAATTAGGTAAGTTATAGCCCCGCAGCTACCCTAGATTTCGCAATATAATACAGTATGTAATAAGTCATTTTTATACTATACGGGCTACTTGGCGATCCACACTCAACTAATAAACTTCAGAAGTCAATTCAGTTATTTGGATCATTTCATAACGATCATGAATAATGTATGTGATATCAAAAGCTAATTGGCCAGTTAAACTATCGGTTACATACCGACGCAAGACCCGGGTATAGTAATCATACCTCTTCATTGCCCATACTTAGTTGCTTGGAATCCCCTTAAATCCCCCCTTCGTGAAAGATAACGAAATCTCATTATGAGATCGAGAATATTCTCTTTGATAGCTTTTTATATCTGCGCGCCTAAACAGAAACTGCTTTCTGTACCCTTACTAGGCATCCGGGTCACTCGACGAGTCTTCGTCCTTCTTGTCCAGTTCTGAAATGGGTATATCTTTGACCACCTCCATAAAAATATCCCTAGCCCAGCAAACTGTGACCATGATTGCCAGGGCATTCCACTGATGTTGGTTCCTTTCCGACATGTTCAGTTGGCAGGGAATATGGCAGAAGGCGTCCGGGTTGTTGGCGTCTAAGGTAACAATAAATACGATATGCTTGAAGATGACAAACCCGAATACGACCGGTGCTTTTGGTCTCCCTTCCTCAGGTACACGTTCTAGTGCCTCCCGCCATGCCGTGCCCAGAGCGCTCATTTCATCCTGGATGTGTACATCCATGTCCAATCTATCCATATCCTGCATCTCAAAGATTCTAACGTTCGGAACGATAGAATTGCTATACTTAGCGAGGTCTCCATCAATTTCGGCCCAGTGTAAGGCCTCTACGAGCCCTTGCCTAGTAACGTCGACGATTCGTTGTGCAGTCCTAGGATCATCGCTGTGTTCTTTGCGGAAGTCGTAGATCCGTCCGTGAAGATCTATCAGTTTACGGAGAGCCATGGCACCTATGAAGTATAAGCAATAAGTAAAGCGCTGAAAAGTGTAGGCAGAAACAACATACCTCGATATTCATATCTATCTGTACGGGAGTATATTCTCGGTCTGGTACTTATGGTTTGTGATTGCTGGTAAAATAGGCCTTCTGGTAAAGGAATTCCCCGGAAATGCATTTTCCAAGTCGATGGCATGAATGTGTATTCATCCCGCGCCTTCAAAATGTGGTTGAGAAATACTTGTTCAACGCGCCACCCTTCATCCTCGTCGTATTCATCGTCCGTATCCGGTTCGGGAGAACTAGAACTGCTTGAAGGAGTGGAGCTGTCACTCGGCGGTGGTTTACTACTCTGTACGGGACTTTTTAACTTCCTGTAGACATGGTCGTAGTATGCTTGTTGATCGGCGAATCTTGACCGATAGTCAGATTCATCTATGATTTCACTGGTGTTTCTATAATCCTCTTCATCATTCTCATTGGGCAAGTCAAAATCGGGATCATTGGGGTCAGTTGGATTTGCGAGCATCGCCGTAGCTTCAACTCCCTCATATTCATCTGTGGCCTCGCTCGTAGCACCGGTTAATTTTTCATGGGTTTTTATCTTGGCTGGGAGAACAGGCTTGGTAACCCGACCGGAAATGACTTTGTTCGCTTGCAAGATCGATGGGCTATCGACAGGCTTGCTTTGGGATGATTTGCGTGAAAACCAACTACTAAAGCTTGCCATATTGGTTGTGTACTAAGGGTATCCTTGTAGAAGTCCAATTTTGAAGAAGAGGATAGTATGATGCGTTGCGTGAATTTTCAAGTGAATCCGATAAATAGTCGCAGTGCTCAAGCTGGGTGGGTTTACCTGAGGCGTCAAATAGCCCCAAAATGGTAGAGCAGTCTCGAAAAAGAAACAGAGTAGGCGACCTATTTACTTCTTTGACGGAACCAGCCAAGGCGACATTGATAATTGACTGGTGGTGGTTCATGGACTATTCATTATTTCACATGAAACCTGATGTGCTGTTTCTAGTCAAGTCAGATACGTATACCCTAATTGACAATGGGAGACAACAACGTCGTTTAATGAACATTGAAGAAAAGAAGAAGGGGAGATAAAGTTGTAACTATTCTGTTTCCGGCGATTTATGCGACAAGATGGTTGGTACCTTCCCGCTTAATTGCCATTTCTCCTACCTGTTGCTTCCGGTTGTCTTGGGAATTAACTTCAGACCGACTCTAATTGCCCTTTCCATTAGGTCCTAGGTCCTCAAACGGATGCGAGAGATGCCACGTGGTGAGTGGTTGCATAACGTTGTACCTTTTGAATGAGTTTCGGTAGAGATATGGGTGAGATTAGTGCAACATGTACAGTACCTAAATCTCGAAAGTAAGTACCGGTAGACTAATCCTGGAATAGCATAGTGCATACCATCCCCAAGGCGATGGAGGTAACTACCCCGGCTGCCTATGATGTATGCACTTACCTAATGCATGAGCTACATACATCCCTATACGTATCTATGTACATCCGTTATTATGTGTGAGCGCATATAATCAAAGGTACAACACAGGTACCCACTACAGTACAGTTTTAAGGTTAGCTAGCAGCATCCCGTTTGCCTGCTTATGAAATTTTGCGCGACACCACACGCGCCGCCCAACTTAGACATAGACCAAAACCCAATGACATATTTCTTGATCAAGTTGGCGGCGCATACCTTTCTTTACACGTTCTCGTCGACATACCCATCTACTTTAGAATCCAACACATACTCTTTATATTCTTATTTAGTTGTATTGGTACCTATGATATAGGAAGCATAAAGGTAATTTGCTACCTGGGTACTTATTTCGTCTCCCTTGACTTCATCTACCTTTTCAAAGTAATTTTCAATTCTTTATCGCGGTTACATTATCGATTTTCGCGATATTCCCCATCACCAAAAAAACGCCCAACCTTTACACACTTTCTTTTCAATTCGCAACTATCATCTCTTCTCCCTCACGTTTCTCATTGAAAACACTATTTCAAGAAATGTGCACTTTTTCGTAGAGCTATCCCTTGTCACACAGTAGTATGGCTACAGAGTGGAATAAGCTCAAGGTCGTAGACCTAAAGGCGGAATTGAAGCGCCTCGGTCTTCCGCAAAATGGCCTCAAGGCGGAATTAGTCGCGCGTTTAGAAGCTGCAGATTCCGAGAGAGCAGCTTCTGAACCCTCCGAGGGAGCTACTGACGACACCCAAACTGTGAATGGCGACTCGCAACCGGAACAGGAACAGGAAAGCTCGACAGTACCCGAACCTACTGAGCCTGAGCCTAGCCTACCCGACGAACCTTCCAAACAAATTGAATCCGAAGATGTACCTGCAGCTAATGATGCGCCTACGCCTGCCGCTGTCGAACCCCAAGCAGCTCCTGCTCCTATATCGTCCGATGCAACACCACTACAACCTACCGAAGTACTACAAGATTCGCAAAAGCGCAAGCGAAGATCTCTAAGTCCTGCACCCTCTGCCGAAGAGATTGCACGTAAGCGAGTTAAACAGGAAAGTTCGCAGAAGCAAGACGAGAATTCTACAAATGCAGTTTCAGGGGAAGTTGATGAGACGGTCGCTCCAATAGAAAAGAGTCAGGAATCGAATCAAGCTCCTACAGATATCGAGATGCAAGGTGTTGAGGACGAAGCGCCAATCGAACGCGGGCACGAGCACGAACGCGATAACGGTGTTGCCCAATCAAGTCCAGCACGCGACACTCACCCCGACGACCAAAACGGGCATCCCGCGGAAATTGTAACAAACAATATGCAACCTACACCCGAAGAGCCCGTTGACGAGCAAATGTACACCGCTCAACCGACCGAGATAGAGCGAGACGTGGAGCCGTCTATTCATCCTGCGACCGCTGCGCTGTACATCAAGAATTTTATGAGACCTCTCCGACCGCAGACGGTCCAGCAACATCTTTTAGACCTCGCCACCCCAGCAGGCGTTCCCATTGACGAAGACACTATCTCCGATTTCTACCTTGATACTATTCGTACGCACGCATTTGTAGTGTTTAACACTATCTCATCTGCCTCAAGGGTACGTAACGCTTTGCACAACCGTGTCTGGCCTGACGAGACCAACCGCAAGGCCTTGTGGGTTGACTTCATGCCGTCAGAGCATTTTGAGGGGTGGGTTGAAATGGAGCAGTCAACGAGTGGAGGACGTGGCTCGAGTAGTCGATTTGAAGTCGTCTATGATCACGACAACGATGGCGAAGTGACCGCTAGATTAGAAGCTTTCGACGGGGTGGCACCTACTTCCAAGCCCGCACCCGTATCGTCCGAGCCCATCCCCGAGCGCAAGCCCTCTATCCCCACAGGTCCTTCTCGCCCCTTTGCCGGCATTGAAGGCGCGCCTACTGGTCCGCGTAACTTCCAGGCTGGCCGCGGCCCGCCGATGCACCCCAGCCGAATGGGACGAGTCGATCAGGGAGGACTACCTACCCGCACCTCTCCCGTCGTTATGTACCAACCCGTTTCGGACAACATTGCTCGACGACGGCTCGATGCGATCACAGCTGCTAAGAGTAAGGAAACAGGCAAGGATTTCGGCAAGGAATACAAGCGCTACTACTTTGAGCATGGTGATTTATTAGTTGACCGAGGCCCGGAGATCTTCCTAGGTATCCGGCCCCCGCACCGAGAACGTGAACGTCGCGGTGAACGTCCTCCGATACGTGAGGCCCCTCGTGGACGCCGAGGCGGTGGTGGAGGTGGAAGTAGACGACGTGGTGGCATGCCGATTTTCCATGGCGTCCCTCGAGGTGGCGATAGATTCCGCCCTGGCGATTCAGCAACTGGTGGTGGTGCGAACGGCCGTTCACGTTACGGCGATGACAGAGGAAGTCGCCGTGACCGATTCGGAGACGACCGAGGCAGTCGACGGGACGGCTACAGTCGATACTGATAGTTGAACAAATCCCAAATGACTAGAAGGCATATGATGAAATAGTGGACGTTGGCAGGAGGATTAAGTGAATTGGTTGTGTATATTGGACGTGCATACGACTAGTCTGCCCGTGCATAAATTTGCGCACTGGCTATCTACAGTAGTATTCACTCTCAAGGACAGAAGATGAAGGACGAAATACAAGAAAAAACAGGTTAAGAAAAGGGCATTTTACCGGAGTACCGAGAACGCATAAGGATCCAGGAACAAACACATCGCATTCGCAAAGGCAGAACAGGACGCTTCGCATTGTACAAGGAGGGAAGGATACCCGGTTCCGGTTCCGAGGGCCAAGATTTCTTTTGGTGGGCGCGTGTGTGCGCGCGTGAGTTGAGAAACGACCGAACGAACGAACGGAAGCATACCAAAAACAAAATTTCGGTGATGAACGAATGCTACGCACGCCCCCGATTTTGCACTTTTGGCCCGGTTAGGTACTTAGAGTAGGCTATGGCTATTGTCCATGATGTGTGCTAATAGATGACAACTTTATTCCGAAATAAGGAGTGCTGATGTCTTGCTAATTTCCCATCCCGTGTTCTCGTCGTCAGCTCGTTTAATCTTCAGCTGGCCTAGAATGCTCACCGAAACGATCTCGTAATAATGGCATATAAGAATTAAGACGCGTATTATCTATACGAATAGTAATCATCCCGATTAATAAGCAAGATTTTGACATTAGATTATCTTCGAAGCTATTGAAGCGAAGCAAGTATCATAATTATCTTTTTTTTTCTTATTCTATAGTCTACTTATGGCACACATCAATCCATCAGTCTAGCTCATGAGATTTTCAAATAGGACAATGCAATTATCTCAAATTCTATTTTCACTATTTTGTAATAAATCAGATAAACTCCCAGGGAACACATTTCGGCGGTTCAACCCGTTATAACCAATGATACCCATACATCACCTCAGACGTAATTCACAATTTAGGCAGCACTAGCCAAAGGCTCAGGCTGGACGCCAACTCGTTCCTTGCTCAGGATATCGAGCATGAATTGAGATGGTCGGTTGTCTTTGTAAACAGCCTGGCAGGACTTGAATGCCATTACATCCTCAATGTACTTGTCGAACAAGTAGGAGCTGTCCATGGGTCCACCCCTGGCTTCAGGATGGAATTGCGTTGAAAAGATTGGTCGGGAGACATGGCGCATACCTAGAATAATATGTTAATATTACGTTAATGAGATTAATACTCTACGCTAAACTCACCTTCATTGCTACCATCGTTGAGGTTAACGAAGTACTCCTTCCAGTCGTTCCCGAGAGTACTAGCATCGACGGCATAACCATGGTTCTGGCTGGTGATGTGGCATTGGCCAGTTGTCATGTCCAAAGCCGGGATATTGTGGGCCCTGTTACCATACTTGAGTTTGATGGTTGAAGCTCCAGTAGCTAGAGCTAACAGTTGGTGACCTAAGCAGATACCCATGATAGGTACTTGGGAGGTCTCCATCAATACCCTAAGGTTGTGTACGGTAGCTTGGCAATGTGTGGGGTCACCAGGTCCATTGGAGATGAACACACCATCGAAGTTGTCAGCAACCTTCTGAATCTTGAAGTCGTAAGGGAAAACTGTCACGCTAGCCCCTCGACTAACCAAGCTTCGAAGGATGTTCTCCTTGACACCACAGTCGAGTAGAGCAATGTGATATTTGGGGTTGTGAGCTTCCACTACGAAGGGAGCTTTTGTGCTTACTCGTTTGACGAGATTGATTTGGCCTGGGTCGACAAAACTCTCGTCTTCATCGGCATCGTACTCATCACCAACCGAGATTCTGGCAAGAGAAGAACCTTGCTCTCGGAGATATGTGACAATAGCACGGGTATCGACACCTGAGATAGCGGGAATACCCTCCCGAGCACACCAATCGCCTAGACTTTCCACAGCAGTCCAGTGGCTGTACTTTTCCGCAACGTCGGCCACAACGATTCCTGCGCACTGGATATGGGGAGACTCGAAGTGTCTTAATAGGTTCCATTGGTCACGCTGGTTGGAAGGAACTCCGTAGTTGCCAATTAATGGCTGGGTGAAAACTAAAATCTGGCCACGGTATGAAGGGTCAGTCATCGATTCGGGGTATCCGACGAGGGACGTGGTAAAGACGGCTTCGCCAGAGATATTCGAGTTGGCTCCGAACGCGGTTCCGTGAAAAATGGGGCCATCCTTGTTATTTGTTAGTATGACAGTTCTTGAGGACTTAGTTAACTGCAGTGTAACGTACCCGGATGGTCAGTGTAGCCTCCATACCAGAGGCAGGTTTCGTTGCTCGGGACAGAGTTTGGGGCATCTGTCTGCCCTTACTGCCCAGGCTAGACTTCTCGGTGAGTCTGACGGTGGTGGAGAAGAGCCGGGCTTGCGGATAGAGACCTGCAGCGCTGAATGCCGCCGGCCTCGCAGCCTTGAAGGCCAATCGTGAGAACATGATGTTCTAAGGTGATGAAGTGAAGGTTGGTGCTCAAGAGATTATTCAATGGACCCTTTAAGCGGAGAGAGCCCGCCACAAGTGGTCTGAATTTTGTGTTAGTCAGTGTCGAAAGCGGTGAGTCAGTTTATCAGAGTTAGACGAACCAGAGATATAATCCTGTAGCAATGATTGTTAGCCAATGTTAATACCAAAGTGACATAAGTACGGAATATCGTTGCTAGTATTATATGTTTGTGTAGGACATGAGGGTAGGAATGAAGACCAAATGGTGAGGGAGGGGGATGTGTTGCTATGGTACAAACTGGCGGGACACATAAAATGAGGTCATCCTCTACACTAAAGACTAGAACATACCTGCGATGTGAAGACCGACGAGCGCCCGTTCATAAGGGCAACTTGGATAATTCCAATCAGAATCGGTTAATGAAGAAAAAATTCGATTCGGCTGGGGTTAGGAAGATCGGAGGTTCTGAGAGAATAATAGATCGATAGTCAAAACAATGGCGGAATGGGGAATACCGTCAAGTTTATAAAAGAAGAACTTGGGACTGGGACTGGGGGGGAAAAGGGAAGAAAAAAAAAGGTTATTTTTCTTAGCGGGGTCTAGTCAAGAATTGAAGATTGTGCACACGATCTGACTGGTTTCCGAAATTCCCAAACTAGCTCTGCGCCCCATATATTATGTGGAGTAAACCAATGAGATCTCCGGTATTGTCAGGTTACACACGGTGATACCGTTACCTTATCTGCAATCCCCTACGCAAGAAAAAAGTCATCCGCCGAAAACGGCCTATCAATATCAAAACGTAGCTTTAGCCTTAAGAAATCAGACCTACGGTTTATTTACATAATTGTTTTGTATTTAGAGGCAATTAGTATTATACCAATTTGAACATGATACATACTATGATGGTTGTATAGACCAATGTTATAAGACCACCAAAGTGGCTAAGATATTTGACTGCATTACCCTGCAGCAGTAGTGTTCAGATTTGCTTTTTTACTGCGGACATATCGGCGATTCGGCTGTAGAGCTTCACTCGGTGAACGTGGGGTCTAAGACTTGTCAAACACACCTAAAATGTCCACGTTGTTGTCAACCGAAAACATAGATGAGAAGTCTAAAGTCAAAATCAATAATCTCAGAATGATTAGATATCTATAAGATACATAATATCACTGGCTAATTCAAAGACTAAAAATAGAAATTGTGAGTTTATTTGCTTTGTATTGACCTTGCGGCGCCTTAACTCTCCAACCTGCCTTAATCTGTATAAGCACTGTTGGAACTCGAGTTGTTTCTCCGTTCGTAGCTTTAGCTCGAGAGCCAAGTGTTTGTCTTCCACATGTACACCGATTGACCCTGTACTGAAGTCTAACTTGGGCAATGTAAAAATCAACCTAGCTTCTAAGCAATGCTTGATTTATAAGTTATATCGCGCCTAGCTCCTTCAACCTAGAAACCAATCCATCTACGTCTTCGACCTTACCACCTCCTTGCCTCGGTGGGGGTTCTATATCAAATAATTAGCATATTCGGAAATATTACGTGTATATAGTAGGAAGTAAAAAGTAGGAGTGAACAGAAAAAGAGAAGCATACCTGTAACCTTAATAACCTTCAACCGCCTCTCGTTCGCAACGCCCAAATCACTCAAGCTCATCTTAACCAGTGGCTTCTTCTTAGCCTTCATAATATTCGGCAGACTCGCGTATCGTGGTTCATTAATACGTAAATCCGTTGTGATAATTATCGGTAACTTCGCGCGCACCGTCTCTACGCCACCGTCTACTTCCTTTGTGACCTCGACTTTATCGCCTTCGCCGAACACCACACGGCTAGCCTGCGTGGCTTGAGGCCATCCCAGAAGTCCCGCTAACATCTGGCCCGTCTGCGCCGCATCATCGTCGATACTCTGCTTTCCAAGGATAACTAAATTGCTATTTTCTTTCTCTACGGCAGCACGTAATAGCTTAGCCACGCCGAGGGGCTCTAGGTCCTCGCCTTCTTTAACTTCGACATGGACACCACGGTCGGCACCCATAGCCATGGCAGTACGCAATACGTCGGCCGACTTAGCGGGGCCCGCCGAGATCACGCAGATATCCTCGACACCTCCGGGGGCCGACTTCTTCTCGCGGATGCGCACTGATTCTTCGACGGAGAGCTCGTCGAATGGGTTCATAGAGTGTTTAACACCGGCCGTCTCGACGCCTGTCTGGGCCTTGTTGACGCGCGGTTTGACCTATGAACGCGGGACTCCGTTGTTAGCCTTCGCATTCCTTCCGTCTTCTCGCTCCCCAATTCATTCCGTAATTTCGCACAAGAATTGTAACAAAAAGGAGCTTACCGCATAGTCAATTACCCGCTTTACGGGCACTAGAATGCGTAGTGCAGACATGGCGAGTTTAGCAGCTTGGATGCTAACTTGGTCAAGCCGAAAAAAAGAAGGAATGGCGGAAAGGATGTTCAATTCAATCGGTTGAGCTTATTCCACTATTCCGCTAAACATGGGGCTTCCGTTCAATGACGCAGGGAACTGTCGGACCGAGACCGGCGGTAGCCGAGCTTTCCCACTCCCTTAGAAAAACCTCGGTCAAATTTACAGCGCCCCACGTTAAGAAGTACCTTACGTATATGTATGTATATTTTTGTAGTGATATATTTGGTAGCATCTGTAGAATTTCAATATTCGGTATCGTGTGATGAACTGATGATAAATATGCTACCAAGAACATGTGAATCGGGGTATTTAAATACATGAACATGGGTAAACTCATCAAGTTTCGACTTAGATAACCATCAACACCGCAGAAAAAGCAATAGATTTAGATAAATTCTTTTTATTGACCCGAATAAATATAAATATGTATAATATGCGCTACCCAGAACTCCATCTAGGTTCCCCTAGGTAGTTGTACAGCATGGCATCGTGACTGACCTCTAGAGGCATAATAATGGCACATCTGATACACATGCGACCTAAACTCCCCGACCCAAGACCCCTTCGCTCGCTCATCTCTTACCAGTCATCCCACTCATCGTCTTTCTTAGCTGCTGCAGAAGCATTCTTGTTTGGGCCCTTACCCATCGCCGACGTCCCGATTGAACTGTACTTCGGGCCAGTACCGTGTCTCTGATCTGCTACGGATGCGAAGTCGTCCCAGAAGGCTTTCTTGCTCTCGTCCAGCGGTGCTTGTCTCCGCTCATCGGATCCCTCAACGAATTTGGTAAATCGATCCTGTGCCGTCATAGCACCCGCCTGTGCAGCTTTACCCACATTCCCCGCCGCCAATCTCGCCTGTGCCGCGAAGTCCGACTCTGAGATCTGCTCATATCATATTAGTTAGCCACTCTACCCTCCCATCAAGACACAGATGCAGCTACACACCTGCTTAGCCGTAGGCTGAATAAAATCATCATTAAACCCCTTCGCCGTCTTCCCCACCGTCGTCGTGAACCATCCAAAGCCCTTCGTCAGCGCAGCCATAGGATCCTTCTGCACATCCGTAAAGTCCGGCAATGCACCTCCACCACCGCTCTTCGCCGGGCCCGGCGTATTCCCAAACCCAGCATATTTTCCTCCCTGACTAGGCGGCAAATCCGCCGACCTCGCCGCATTTTCTTTTCCCAACCGCGCGAAATACTCGTCGTCGACCTTAGCTTTGACGCCCGGGCGATTGGGACTGGCCGTGCGACTCCCGCTCGTCGGCACGCCCTGCAGCGGCGTTCCAGTTCGACTAACCTGTTTCGGGGGCGGTTTCGCGACGTTCGCAGCGGGCTGTGGTGTACTCTTTCGCTCTCCAGGTACGTATTCCTTTCCCTCGACCTTAGCGCTAAGTCTCTCTTTCCACTCCTCACCCACTTCACCACTATATCTCTCGGCAATCGTAGCATCGTCCCAGCTCAAACCGCGCATCTTGGTATCCTCGTGTCCCTCGAAGAACGCCCTCCACCCTTGGTTGCCACCGAGTCGCATGCGTTCAATCTCAGCCTGTTTGAAGGCGTCCATAGTGACGGAGCGGACGAAGGAGATATGAACGCCGAGCCCTCGGTGGACACCGGCGCAGGAAAGGCAGATGAAGACGCCGAATTTGGGGGACGCCCATTGTGGATTCGGTGCGTTGCAGTCGCAGCAGACATTGTTGTTGTTTGTTTTTTGTATGGCCAGGAGCTAAGAGACAAGCCAGTCGTCAGCAAGCATACAATAAAACAATAAAATCCCATAGTAGAGAAGTCGAAAAGTAGTATATACCTTTGATCTAGTCTCCGGGTCGACTTCCCACATGGCTTTGGATGCCATGGCGGGCTATTGTTATTGCGCCGAAGCAGTGGGATAGAGTACTGTTATTATATGCCCTCGCGAAGAAAACTTATTGGTTCAGATAAGAGAAAACGAGTGTTAAAATCAATAGTAAAAATTAGGAAAAGGCGCGCGTATAAGAGGATGGCGGCTTTTACTAGGTAGCAAGTCAACTACGTGGTATCAATTGAATTTGTGTAAATTGATCACCAAGATTGGAGGGTATTGAAGAGAAGTGAATAGGGATGTCGGGGGGGCCAAGACCGATTCTCCACATTAATTTCCATCTCGTTTTTAGCAGACCAGGGGTAAATTTCCCCGCTATGATCTATCGGTCTAGGTCTGTGAATGGTGGCTAGGACCTATAATAATTAGCACTTTCACTAACTCAAAGTTCATTCATAGCAACATCACGCTTAGAATCATAAAGGCAATGCGTCGGTTTGTGGTCAATCGTATCTATTATTTGTTTTGCTCGCGAGAACTTTTCCGAGCCCCCCCTAACACCCCCTTCCGTTGTCCACCTAGTGTACAACCCGTGAAAATGCTACGGCTGTCATCATGAAAAATTATTCGTGCCAAAACTGCAACACAATGATCCCCAACATCCAGCAGGCAAATGCTACAGAGCAGTTGCAACTGATATCTTGGGTCCATAAATGCTACTGTTTTGCTGGGTTTTTCGTATCTATGGTGAAATCAAAGGAAAAAAGCCATTTGTGACGTTAATCATCACTCAACGCTCGGTTGACACATAAACTAGTAAGACGTCTCCGTAGAATAAACGATGGATGTCCGGATCCGCCTCATGCCGCAAATTATGAATGTGTCATCGAGAAGTGCTTAGAAGATAACCTAAGCGGCAACAGGGGCAGCCTCTTGGCCGTTGGCCTCGTTCTCCTGGGGAATGTTCGCCTCCTCATCCGTCTTATCAGGGCTGTCAATGGCGACCTTGACAGCGATCTCTCGGCCCTCGATCTCCTTGCCGTTCATCTCGGCAACGGCCTTCTGCTGGAGTTCCTCCGAGGCAAGAGTGACGAAGCCGAAACCACGACCCTTACGGGGCTCACCACGAGCCTGGAGCTTCTTGATCATGAATCGGGGAATAGGTCGAAGGGCGATCTTGGCGGAAGATGGCTGGTAGTCCTGGAAAAGATCCTTGAGCTATGGATGTGTTAGCAATAATCTAATTGGCTACAAAGTGTTCACCGACCTTTTCCTCGGTTAGGTCGTAGGGGAGGTTAGCGACCATAACCTTGTTCTTGGATGGGATACCGTCAGCGGGGGGTCCACGCTCGCGGCGCTCACGAACAGGGCCCTTCTTCTTCTCAGCTTTGTCAGTATCGGCCTTGTTGGTGATATCGGTCAAAGGTAGAACCTCGTTGTCGCCAGCGGAAGCGTTCACATCATTGGCGGGAGCATCATCCTTTCCGCCCTCCTATATTCATTGTTAATTTCGATATTACCAAACATGATACATGTGAAACTTACGGCTCGGCCACCACGGCCGGCGCGACCAGCACGTCCGCGGCCGCGGCCACGACCACGTCCTGAGGCACGGCGACGAGTGCCATCACCATTCTCACCGTTGGTAGCGCCCTCGGCCTTCTCACCAGCCGGCTGGGGAGTGCGGGCAAGCTGAACCGAGACCTTTCGCTCGAGGATCTCCTTGCCAGAGAGCTCACCGATAGCACGGTCAGCCTCGGTAGGGGTGGAAAGGTCAACGAAGGCATAGCCAACGGGACGGTCGGTACGTGGGTTCTTGGGGATCGAAACGGACTCACTAAACAAGGGTATTGGTTAGTGTGAATTTTCATATTACTTCATTGTCTGCCATATATAGGCGACCTGGTAAGTGAGGATATTCACGGATACACGAGCAGATATACTACGCGGGTTTCCGATCGCTCAGCGACAATGGAAATCCAGCAGTAGAAGCTTGGTATATCGGACAAATCCAAAATAGGACAAGGCAATCGAATTGGCAGAATGAGTCAATAGGCAGACAATCAAATCCAAAACTTGCCAAACCGATTGCATGGACGTAGGGCTAGAAGGATAGATGAACTAAATGAGAACTTACACAAGATATCCCTTGAAGAATTCCTTCAACTCCCCCTCGGTTGTCGCATAAGCGAGGTTGCCGATGTACAGGCGGCGACCCTCAGCGGCACTGGCGTGGACGGCATCTTTGTTCTCGTCCTTACCAGTGAGGGAGGCATTGCTCAGAGCATTCGTAACGTCGTTGACAGCGTCAGCAACTTTCTCCACGGCGGCGGCCATTGTGATAGTAGGTTCTAGGTAGGAGATTAGTTGAAGGTAGGTTGATTTTGGCTTGAAAGGCGGTATATGGACGTTAGGAGGACGTTCGGGTTTGGGTTCAGATATTGAACTCTTGAACAATTTCGGGGGAGGAATAGGGTGGCTACGTGCCCTAGAGAAGATTGAAAAAGGATGGGGGTTTGGTTGATTTGTGACACAACGAGCTTGAGATTGATGGAATTTGAGAGGTGTGAAGAAGAAATAGAAAGGCGAGATGTTTGGACGCGGCCAGATTTTTTTTAAGGGTTGTTGTTTCTTGTGTGGGTCACGGAAAAAAATAGAATTACGGTAGGTGTGGGTGGAGTGCATATGATATGCTTGGCAAGGAAAGCACAGTCCAATTAAATGAAAGGTGCGTACATGGGGGGCAGGAGAACAGATACGTACCCTATCGTCCTAGGTCTGTGTGCGGGAAAGCTCAGAGGTACCTAGTACCGGTTTGACGCAAATAATGTCGGTAAGGCTTTAGCACTTGCACGTCCTAGGAATGTTATTATTAGTTTTATATGATCTAAGTAGAATATATCAATAGAGGAAAAGTAGAAACTTACGTCCAGACGAAATGCAACGAGATGGTCGGAAAGTGGAAAGTAAGAGTGTCGAAGTAGGTCAGATTTTTGGTGTTGAAGAATGGTTATGGAAGTAGAGGTGGAAGACGAAATGAAGAATGGAATGCAGTCGTAGGTGCAGTAGAAATATGTAAAAAATCAACTGCAAGAGAAAAGAAGTTGTTTATCGAAAGGTAGGTGGACTAGTCGAGTCAAGTTTAAATGAAAATAAGAAAGGAAACATGAATGGACCTGTGACTTCAGATCGTTGTTGCCTTCAAATTCTTTACAGTGCCTTACAACAATAACCTTAGAACCTTAGATGACGGGGCAAAAGCACACAAACCATCTTACGCACTATCAACATTGTTAGGAGCTAGCTCGTTATTTGTCGTACCTACCTTCAATATCACAAAGATACTTCCAATAGCTGGATTTATGCACTCGACATATCAATTATCATTGCCTTGTGATATGTCAAATCGCTGCAAACACTGAATGCGTACTGTATCTTTTTACACATATACACACACACATCCACAGCACCTAGGTAATAGCTACCAGTTTACCTAGGTAGGTACAGTCATCGCCTCGTTTAATTACCTAATTGCGGATTCCCTCAGATCGGTGATAACGGAGATTTTATTCTCTCGATGCTGCCTTCTGGTCAATCTAGGCAGGTCATGGTGCGCTTGTCGTTTGTAAGGCTTCAGCTTTCCCGAGAAGCTAGGATAGAAATAAATTATTGCACATTATACAGTATTTTTTACATGGGTAAAATTCCTCATATTAGTCAAATACGTACTAAGTAATTTCTATATGCGCGCATCCGAATTACCTATTGCGCCCAAGCGCAGAAACAGACATGCTTGGATTGACGAAATTGGCTTCTGCAGAGAAAACTCGGCTGCGCATTGAAAGCAGCAAATTACGCCATTTCAATGCTTGCTTGACATGCGCATCTTTGTCAGCCGAAAATCAAAATCCGAAAACACAATTCTACCATGTCATTATCATATCCATTATGTATTATGTGTATACATATGTTTTATTACCAAGAAGGAAGAATAGAGGAGTCGCATCAGATCCAAGTTACTCGTCATTCGGGATATTCTTTCCTTAGATGAATAAAATTACTCCAGTCATTAGGCAGTCAGTCGATAATTTCTGGAAGCTTTGAAAGAACCTTGTTTCCGGGGTTTCGATGATCGAGCCACTCAATGGGGACAAACCAAACCTAACAGGGATCTTTGCTAAAACCACACCCCCTACAATTCCCCATTACAGACACCCCTCCTTCTCACCTCTAAACCTAGACGACCTGAAAGGAAACAGCCCCCTTTTTTTCTTCCCTACCCCTTTACGGTTTGTTATTAATCAATAGAAAGAATATTATGGAAAAAATTAATATTCGCATTATCGTTAAATCATCGCAGATTGAACGACAATTTTATCAAGTTATTAGAACTACCCAAAGTTTAGTGTCACCGAAATAATCCTGACTTACCTGACCTACTATACCTAATTCTCTTTTTTTTCTTACGGTAGATAAGAAAAGGATCACGTCGGCGGGTGAGTCTTCCGGCAACCCAATACGTTGTTTATTCTCAGATGTCGACATGCGAGGTACCACGCAACAGTAAAACAAATTGGATATGGTCCACATGGTGTTTTTTTACCGTATTTTTCGGCTGGGTAAGGTAGCTTGTTAGCTCCTGTTGCGTGCATGAAATCATGGCCAAACGGACAGCCTTACCAAAATGTCGGCACCCCAGAAAGCACACGACCAAACCAATTCATCATCCCAACGTTACTTTGCAGGGTCCGGCTCCAGAGACATGATTGCTGTGTCAAGAACTATCTGACTACTGGCTCAGCCATTTACATATTAATCAATAATGCATTTCTACAACGCCAACGAAGAGCTTGGAAGTTTTCCCCGCGTTTCACTTCAGTATGTACCTGTTCAGGCACACATGACGAGCGCTTAGGGACGGTCGGGTCGCAGCTATTTACAACTGATAACTAACAACTAAGCCGACCACACACAATTAGCGCCGCACTTGAAAGTCAAAACTGATGGTCTTGACACCTGTCCTATTCATGATGGATTCCATCCACCGTACTAATACATTTATTATGTAAGTTACGGGGAAAGCTATGCCCTATGGTTCTTTGTTTAGCATATCCATGGTTCCTAGGGCTTTCTCGGCCTCACTACCTAGGTACCTAATAACGTTCATTAGGTACCCTACGCCATCGCACATCTCGGAGAATTTTTAGTCCAATCACAACCACTATATATCACGTATGGTTCTTTTCTGACGTTACTACTACGTGAGGGCTTAGGAGGGTGAAGGCAATTAGATCTCAAACCCCCGCCCAATTTTGCCACCGATATCTGGAAAAGCTTGAGAATGTTAAATTCTTATACCATCCAAGTAACAACTACCCGTCTCTAAAGGATAATACCTTGAAATAGCAACCAAGATAACCGATATATCATCCATTAGGACAAAAAGGGCGATATCCAAATATGAGGTTAGGGTAGATGATGATCCCGCCCACAGCGAAAGAAATAAGGATGTTTGTCAGCATCAGCATAATAGCTAACACAGAGCACTCAAGCTTAATCAGTTAGACCACCCAACAAGCCCTAAGGTCCCAAGTACTCGAAGGGAAGGTCAAAAGAGCTATGGGGCCTAGTAATAATGCGGCTGTGAAGGCGTTCGACTGGATTCTATGAATATGACGCCTAAGGAACCCAACCGCATGTTGAGGAGGGCCCGGCCTATCAGGCGCCCACTATATAATCCGCAAGGAAGGTGTATTATCTACAAAGTCAACAAAGCGAAGAGGTCATACTCGACACTTCAGTGAGGTCCAGCTATCCACTAGGGTATACTCGGTCTCGTCACGACAATGCTGCGTCGCCATTCATACCGCTAGTCTAAGCCACCTTGTTGAGGGGCAGGATGGTAGACTACGTGTTATGTTTATGGGTCAGTTAGGCATACGGTAAGATGTCTCTTGTGCGTGCCTATGAACTGATTCGCAAAAAACCTCAGGTCCGCCCATCTTAGCCAATACGGTCTTGACTCGTTGACCTACTCACCGACTAATATCCTCATCGCGACAAGCCCCAATCTTTTAGCCAAGCGGTCAGAGGGTCAACATAGTTGGGTCGCTAGCTTATAGCTTAGCGTCGTGACAAACTGGATTCTATAATACGGTTCGCCCCCACATTGTGCCTCATCATGAACCAGGTTTGGGACAGGGAACCATGGAAACGAAAGAAGCGGCTAAGAGCATGTGGCCACGAAACTCAATGTTCTATCTACATAAGACTCTGTTTCTGTAACTCTAACAATTAACCTACATGCTAGGTATTGAAGTTTGCTTTATTCCAAAACAGAATAGACATGGTCATATTTCTACAACGATACCTTACCAAATAGACATTGTACAAGGTATGAATTCGATCCAAACGAAGCGCAGAGCTATGCATAGATACCAAGGTACTCATTGGATGACACTAGCAACAGCTGAAGTAATAATTTGGTAGCTTTAAGTACAGATAGTTGAAACCACCATGTAAGCTATCCTCGACTAACCTAAGCGAAGATTTAAATACAATAATTACCATGATTGATAGGGCTAGATATAATTCATACAAGCAGACAAGTCATGGCATACTGTAGGTACGAGTGATTGATAGGTATAGTGGGTCTATCCAGAGTAAGGAACAGGGGTGAGATAACAGCACGGATCTGGTTATGTAATCAAACAGTCAGAATCTTATTCGGAATCCTTATCTTATCAATCTCATCAATCTCCGAATCCATGGAATTAACCCTTGCAAGCTTCTTTCTCATATATCTTTTTTTTGTCTCTGGTGGGCGTATACTCATGATGGTTCCAGCGCACAATCATGACTACACGGTCGGCGGGGATGGAGTTGCGCAACTCGAAAATAGACGCATTCTTATTGTTTACGGTTCCGAGACGGGGAACAGCCAAGATTTGGCGGGTGATTTGGAAAGGCTTGCAGAAAGGATGCATTTCAAGACATTGGTGTGTGAGATGAACGATGTCGAACTTGTAAGTTGAGGTCCAACGACCCATTCATTTTTGTGTTCCTTGGTTTATGGTTACGAAGTTCTTCGATACATGCCTCCCTATTAACACTTGGTTGGTTTGATTCCACCGAATCATTCCTTTTCGCTATGACATTTTTTTTTTACATTTTTTACATTTTTGGCTTAATCCGTTTCTTTCGTATTTTACTGGGTGCACGGGACATTGATACGTCAATTCCGGTGGTCTACGTCTTTTTTAGTCGTAGGTTTAGACGTATCATTAAATGGCATCAAAACACCTTCCTTATATACATATATTCCAATTAAAATTGTTGTTGCCTCTTGAGAACCACCCTCAGGCCGTACCTTCATCATACCATGCATCGATCGATTCTTTAGCAATGACGCACCTGGTAACCAGACCTGCCTTATTTAGAACTCTTTACTACAATATCCTCTAATCATCTTCCTACTCTCTACCACGGGTCAAGGCGAAATACCCCGGAACGCCCTTAAGTTCTGGAAGAGCCTCTTACGCAAACGCCTGCCGCCAAACTGTCTGCAGTCGGTTAACTTCACCACGTTTGGTCTCGGCGATAGCTCATATACCAAGTATGCGACGACCATACGCAACAAAACATCCAGACCCCTTAAATTCTCAAAATTACATCATTCTTTACTAATTTTTTCTGACCTTTTTTTATAGGTACAACTGGGCAGTCAGAAAACTTCATAAACGATTAGAACAATTAGGCGCGACCGAGTTCTACCCACGTGGCGAGGCTGACGAGCGACACGAAGACGGGTAAGCTGTGTCTCCTATCTCGCCCGTGTTTGCTGTTTTCTAGTTCCTTATTCTCCTATCGATTTGTTCGTTCATTCATTCATTCGTTTGTTTATTTCCTTTCTTTCATATTCTCACTTTTTCCTTCTCCTCAATTTAGAAAGCATTCGAACGACCAAGCCAGACGCAGTTCCAAACTAACACTCATTACAGCATCGACGGCACATTTTTGCCATGGTCGCTTAGTCTTCGAAGCCACCTATTAAAAGAATATCCTTTGCCAGAGGGTTTATCACCTATACCTTCAGATGTGCAACTATCCCCAAAATTCACAATAGAGCTAGTTGCCAATATGGATTCCTTAGATGAGGCTATGCCTGACCGCGAAACGCCCCAAGCTGGGATTTCAACTAGTCCGCACTCACCCGCCACCGCTGCCGCCGCCGTCATAGCACAGCCTGAAAATGGTCAGGAACAGGTTCACGATAGAAAAGCGGCGCTTTTCAGTCATGTCGACAATCCTGACCCCAAGCTCATGGAACATGCTTTACGCGCAGAGAGGATGTCTGTCCACAGTTATTCCTACTCTGCTCGTTTGTCGGAGAGCACAGCCAAGCAAATTCCACGCGGAATAGATAGTCTAGATCGGCCTAATGTACTAAGGGATCACCCATCTAAATATTCCATAGATGATTCAGTCCACTTCAAGGAAGCGACTCCTCCAGCGAATCTACTCCCGATACCCAGAGCTGCGCCGGCTATTTTGAGGGAGAACCGCCGTGTCACCCCTATAGATCACTGGCAAGATGTTCGTCATCTGATTTTCGACGTCCCTTCACAACCAAATCCGGCTAGAAAAGGACAGCTCGAGCTCTTCAGCTATGTACCAGGCGATGCTATTATCATCCACCCCAAGAATTTTCCTGCAGACGTGCAGGCGTTAATTGATCTTATGGGTTGGCAAGATGTTGCCGATCTACCCTTCGAGCATCGAGCAAGGGATCAGGATCAGCTCTATGCTGAACCCAAGAACTGTTACCCACTCCCCAACTCTACGTTACGACAGCTACTAATACATAATTATGATATTACTGCCATCCCGAAACGCATATTCTTCTCGGATATCGCGTTCTATACAGACGATCCCACACATCGAGAACGATTGCGAGAATTCGCGAACCCTAGTTTATCCGACGAGTTCTACGATTATACCTCACGACCTCGGCGATCCATTCTTGAAGTCCTACAAGACTTCCCGTCCGTTAAAATCCCCTACCAACATGTACCCTCTATTTTCCCCGTCATGCGAGGTCGAGAATATAGTGCAGCGAGCGGTGGTATGCTCCTAAGAGACGAAGAGAACGCACAAATCACGCGGGTTGAACTCCTAGTAGCATTAGTTAAGTACAAGACAGTGTTACGAAAGACTCGACAAGGGCTCTGCTCTCGCTATCTAGCATCCCTAACTCCGGGCACCATCATCCACATTACCCATAGAGAATACGATACCTTGGAGGCGAACTTTTGCCGCCGACCTTTATTAGCTATCGCGCCTGGTACCGGCGTTGCGCCCATACGAGCCCACGCGTGGGATCGCTACGACGAACCGCGGGCCGGCGACGCTCTGTTATTCTTCGGTGGCCGAAATCAAGACGCCGACTTCTACTTCCGTAACGAGTGGGAGAGACTCGGGATCAAGGTCCTCACGGCTTTCTCTCGGGACCAGGATCAGAAGATCTATGTTCAAGACAGAATCCGCGAGAACGCATCACTAGTATGCGAATTTATTCATAAGGGTGCGGTAATTTGCATATGCGGAAGCTCAGGCAAGATGCCGGAGGCCGTGAGGTTGGCGTTGTACGATGCTATGGTAATGGGACGTTTGGCCCCGGATCGAGAGTCGGCGAAGAAGCTTCTACACGCGAACAATCCGATTTGGGAGGAAGTTTGGTGATTGGTGATAAAAGGGGTGTTCCGGTGGTCATATCATCACTTACATAAGACTGTAACGTTAACCAGGCATAGTACTCGCATTCGAGCTTCGGTTGAGCTAGGCCAGATATGTAATGACTAATTTTCAGTGTTACTGAGCTCGTTTGCACCGAGGTGAATTGTTTAATATAGATATCGGGTAGATTTGCTAAGCGGTTTTGGTCTGTCATAGGCTCATTCATCGGGCAAAGAACTCTCGAAATGATACGAGCATAGGGGCTGAAGTAGGAGGACTACAAGATACGAAGCTACTTCGTAAGTGCTACCCATAATATCTAATAGACTATTAGCATAGCTCTTGCGTACCCATGGCCTAGCTATCTGACCTTTTAACACCATCCTCCCTTGCTACAATTACAAGCCGTCGTTTGTGGGTAGAAATATGGTTGTGACCAAGATAGCAACCAAATGAAGTCTACCATCACAACGGCCTACACCAAGACGCCGACGGGATCCAAAGAAAATTATATGTTATCCTATGACAAATTCGTCCTTCTTCTTTAGTCTTGTAAGATATGTCATGCCAGAAAGTTGATAATATTCCAACATAACCCTCCCAAGGTCCCGGTATAATTGAATGATGCCTGATCAACAGGAACTACCGCCTTCAGGGGCGATTGATTTGCTTTGCGAGCCTTGGGGGTTAAGCGCTTTCGCCTCTCAGGTAATATATGCTTCCATACTTTTATTGTTGATCTCATGAGCTATGGTGCGAGATTTTCATGCCCAATAGTGAATTTCCCTACCCTCTAGCGATCTGCGTACTCCTACTATCAATATATAGCATTCCCTTGGAGCGTGGCCGGTGTACCACCGACACGATTGATCGACACGTTCTCCTATCACCGGTGGACGGCACACATTTATAGGGCCGAAGGAGGTCTCCACAATGCCGTGAGTTGATCGACAACTCCAATATGTAATGTCAGCACGGCATCGGTTATCTAATCTCGGTGGCGAATATATATATTAACGGTGTGCCATCCCCCCAAGGGGTCTTTTATCCAAGCGTTGTTGTAACAGAAAACAAATACCGGAGATGTGGATGCTGCTCCTTCGCTTGGTTTCTACGACCCTTCAACCGGCATAGGGATAAGAGGGTGTGAAGATACTTAAATACGTCGCCGCTTTACGTGCTTCACATGTTGTTTATAGTTATGAAACATTTATGGTACGATTGTATGAATTTATTTGATATTTCCAAGCCTTTGATAATACGCTTCAATTTTTCCTACCTAGAAATGAAGTGTATTGATAAGTTAGGGCAAAAAATATTGAAAATTAGAGGAAGTAAGCCGGAAAATAGAATGGTAGATCTCGGCTTTGCGGGTAGTGTATCTTAGGACGATTCCCTTGCGCCGCCAAGGTGTAGTATCCGACAATCTGGGGGGATGATGATCATCAACTCAGTAGCAAGAGGACCAGCCACCTAAACATCATGCGAAGAAGACTAAATCATGTAAACCTAGCATTTTAGTTCAAAACACACATGTATTTTCAAAACAAACCAGCATCGGAGAACGTAACGGCGATAGCATCCCAATAACCCTAGTCCCGATGCACCGGACGGGCAGCAGGGTTAAATCGAGGAAGCAACGCCGAGTCCTCGGTCCCGACGCCGAACGCGCCAATCTACCACAACTGACGTAGAACGTCCGATGCACACACCTCATAAGTGCCGGGTCAGTGTTGCCGAAAACGGGAATCTGCGACGGGGATTCGACCCGTAACAATACAAGGCCCTGACGCGGGGGTTGGAAACTCTCCGAGCGGCACTTGTAACAATCCCAGCCTCTTTTTTCATTATGCAACGCGGCAGTGCTCCGATCTATACTAACTAGTTTGGTGTTTTACTCCCGGATCGACGACTAGGCGGATATACTGTAAGTGATTTCTCTCCGATGAGCCGCAGTTAGTTTGTAAGCATAGTGCTTTTGTGTATAGGTACCTAGGTACCTAAAGCGCATAGGTAGGTAACGCCGCTGGGAGGATTCGCTGGCCCAGTCGCAAGGCGAGGACCCCGCGAGTTCGCCCAGTTGAGGTCGCAGTCGCAGGATTTGACTTATGTTTCAAGAAGCAATGTAAGTAAGCGGAGTAGACCGAAAAAAAAAAAGGGAACGGTGGCAAGTCACAACAGGGGGAAGATACAGAGACGCAGGGAGAACTTCTCTTTTCGGTGAAGCTATCTTTTTCTAAGTACCTATTTTTTCGCCTTATCGTCGTATTCCTCCTAGCTGACGATGCGGCTCCAACATGCATATGTAGATCACCTGGACAGGCAGGTTAATAGGTACCCAGGCAAGTAATTAATGGTACAAGGTCCCCATACTGCTCAATTCAATTCAGTTCAGTTTAGTTCCGCTGTATTCTGACCTTCCCTTGAATCCTTTGGCCCTCATAGAACCAACGATAACCTTTGTACTTATTCCCCGGGTATCATAACGTCGTCAGCTGAACGATTGATTTTTGTCGGTACTGTTTCCCCCCTTCCCCTATCCTGTATCTCCTTTCGGCCCCCTGGCCTTCCCTTGCCCTGCGCCGTGTAACCGAAACCGACCCCTAGGACGTGTACCTACGTGTATACTTCGAGTATGCGCGTGTAAAGGCTTAAGCGATAGGCGATAAATAATAACACAGAGAATAATAAAAGTATTTGTTTCTTATAACCAGAAAATCATCTGCCCCAAGCACCCGACGCCAATCCAGAAGAGGCTTTGATCCGGCCGTGGTACCGATCCACCCTTATTCTCCGGCGACCCCGTGGCTGATGGGATCGTCATCGCAGCGTTGTTGCCGTTTCCATTACTGCTCCCGCCATGGCCTGGCATGAGTGTAGTCGTAGACGCGTAAGGCGAACCTAGCGTCCACGTCGACATTCCAACGCCACCTGGCCCAATGGTCAGCGTGTGACCATCTATCACCGTCGTGACTTCGGTCTCAGCGCCGCGACCAACGTGGAATGTCATTCCACTGATCTCCACTGCTGTAAGCCCCATTTGTGTAACAGTCGCTCCGCCCGCTATAATATACTTGGTTACACTGGGGCCTGCTGTGGTGCCTCCTATGGTTTGGCCGTGAACAATGACGCCGGATGGTCCAATCAAAACTGTTTCTCCGTCGATAACTGTTGTAGTCGTGCCACTAGGATCAGAGCCAGAGCCAGGGCCATATGTGATGGTGGTCCCCTCGATCACGACCTTATCCGATCCAATTGCCGTGATAAGCTCCCCTCCTAGCACCGCCGTCTGCGTTGGGGCTATTCCGGGTCCTGCTGCGACATGTAGAGTCTGACTAGGGAATACAATCCCTGCGGGACCGATCGTAATCGTCTGTCCCTGAATCACCGCCACCGTTGGCGTGGGCTCGATAGTGAAGACCGTGCCGTCTATTGTCGCAATAGATGGCCCGTAAACAACCCCTAACCCTCCGATTGAGGTTGTTATTGGCGCAGGTGTTGGCCCGAGCATGCCCCCTACGTCGGAAGGGGGGCGGTTCACAATAGCGCCTGCACCTATTACCTGAGTTGGGTCAATAACAAATGTATCGCCTCCTACGATAACGGTGGATGTCTCCTGCGTCGGGCCATCGGTAAATGTTGCGTCGCCGACTATAACTTCGCCAGGCTGAACTACCACAGTTACTGGAGATCTGCCTCCGCCTCCGGCATTGTTACCTGTCGGAACTGGAGACGACTTAGCCGAGTCGATATTTGTCGGGCGCATACCGTATTCTGGCGTGACTACGCTACCGCTGTTTGCCGCTGTATCATGGTTCATCGGCCCAGAAGGAGCTCCGCCATAACCTGGAGGAGGCTCGGTCGGGAATACCACGGCAGGATTCTTGTCTGTCGTAGTGAGGGTGACTGTTGTTGGAGCGGCAAGGTCACCCGTGCTCGTATGAATGAGTGAGCAATCCCCACCCGAACCATCGCAAAAGGTAATTGTGAACCGACCCGTTGCAGTCGGATTAGGAGTACATGGAATTGGCGTGGTTATAGATGGATAAGGGGGTGTATAGTCGATTGGGTCCCCTGTCCACGTAATCGTCGATGTATGAACGATAGAATAGGACGTAACTACAATCGGACCGCTTGGCTGAGCCGGGCACTCGCTCGGTGTAGAAGTGACAGTCAAGCTCGAGCTGGTAACCGTTGGCGGGAGCAGAGACACTGGCGGTGTCGACAATGACGAGGCACTAGAGCTGATATTCCAACCCCATGATTTGGACGTCACATTGAGACTGATCGGCGGCGGTATAGGGGACGAGGTCTCATCATCCGTGCTGGAAACTGAGCTCGAGCTACTGGTGGTCGAGGAAGTAAGGGTACTAGAAGAGCCTCTTGTCGGCGTCGAGGTAGGCAATACAAGTGTCGGCCTCGCAATTGTGGTAATAGTACCCAAATTATTTATAGTCCACCCCGTTTCGAATTTTGAAGGGGTGTTGTCTTTAGACGGCGCCACGACGAGAGACACGTCATTAATAAGGGGAGAAGTTGTATTTGAAACGGAATCTATTGGATTCTCATACGTCTCTGAGCTCGTCGCTGACAGGCTAGGAGCTAATACGTCTAATGTGCTGGTGATCACCGCGGTCACCGAATCGTTACGGCTTGGTACCCTTTTGTCGAATCGATCAGGGCTATACTCTACTATATAGTCAGCACTGGGAGCGCTTGAGACGGAATGTTGACAAAGTACTAGCAAGCTTCAACTAACCGGCTCTGGCCAGATCCAGGCCATGACTTGTGGGCACCACGACATAGAGTAGTGCTAAGATGACAACGAGCATTGCGCGCCCGGGACGAATACGAACGTTCGTCCTATCTCTCACCCGGTGCTTAAACCGGCGTGTTTACTTCGAGAAGAAACCAACTTCTCGATTCTACATGTGGAGGGAAACCGAAACAGCTTTATTAGAATGCACATCACGTGTAATATAAAAGCGAGACGAGGACGAGACGCTGCAATATCCCCCACACTCCTTGGCAACGAACACGCGGCCGAGCCGCGACTTTTATATGAAGCGCCATAGACCGGAAGTGGCACAAGTCTAGGCGAGGTAAGATCTGTCGGTAAGTGGCTCGCAAATACCGTAAAGAGTTGGAACGTGAACACGGGACGTTAAGGGTGACTTGTCGTAAGAAGAAGAAATTGATTTGCGCCCGTTTTTGGTCTAAGAGGTGGGCCGATTCATTTGGGATGCCGCCTAATAAGGGGAAAAATGCATATCCCCGGAAAGGAAAACCCCCATACCATATAGGTAACTACTTCGTATAGAGCTCTCGGGTGAGCTTGTATTGCACCTATTACCGAGCATTCATACGTAGAGTCGTATAATCGTATAATCCTCGAATCGAGAAGACGACCCCTTTACGTTTTGCAATTCACTTTTGCCCTTTTGCCATTGCTATTGAACGGTCCAATTCTTTCAACTCCCTGGTTGAGAATTTTTGAACTGGAGGGTGAAGAACAACCGAGGGGTAATTCTCCTGGATGCGGAGATTTGCATGTTTGAATAGGCAAGGTGGTGGAAAGGAAGCATCGAAATGACGATCAATTAAATTTGCCGGATGAAGCCCAGATTGTGGTTTGTCAACGTTAGTACCGACCGCCAGGAACTGCCTACATATCAATGTATGTAGAGGCAAACACCGTATGAGTAGCACTTTATTTCGAACTTGCTTACGCCGACATTAAACCGTGAATCCGAGGTGCTCACTTAAGCTAGCTGGCTGGGTATTTGTTTGGACTACCGGTAATATCTGATGATTTGCATGTTGTGGTCATGGGCCTTGATGTGACCGGAATATCCGGATACTAGCGATAGTTATCCTCGATTTTGATGACGTTAACTTGCAAACGAGATTGCAATGAAATCATTTGAAAAATTCTGCCATTTCGAATAAGGCTGGCCGTGTAGCCTTGTAAGATGCTGGTCGGTTGGCTTTGGAAATCTTAACAGTCGTTGTTATGATCATTACTTAGTAGGCCGTAGTAAGAACCAGGGAGGTTTATAGCAGACCCTGGCACTAACACCGTAAGAAGTGAGGTGATAGGTACCTTAGGTAGGCACGCGAAAAAGACTGGCCAGCCAAGAGATCCTGCCCAAACATTACTATGGGCGGGCATTCGAGTTAGAATCCTGAGGACATCCTCGTATTCAAATTACTGCTGACAACTTGCACATGTTGGACGGAATAAAAGCAATCGGGTTTAAGAAATAGAAATATGATAATAATTTGTCTCTTTGCCTGTGGATACCGTTGTCTTGGAATCAATTCATGGGAGTAGATTCTAGAAGACAAATGCGACGATCTGGAAGTGCTGAGACAGTGACTGGAGGCGCTGAATAGTAGAAGTTTAGGTAGGTGGTAGAAAGCAATGCGACTGCTAGATTCCAGTTTGGGACGGGATGTTTCTAGCTAGCTCCTACCTGTATGCATATCTCGGATGGGTAACTCCGGCGGGACCTCTCCCTTCTATCCAATCAGGTCATAGTTTGGACTTGGATCATGCGGTAGGTAAACCTTAGCCCGTCTTTTCTTTCCGTCTTTACTTTTGCGGTCTAGAAGGGAAGGGCGACAGGGCAAAACAGGGAGAGGCAGGAAGGACCGTAGTGGGTAGAACCTCGCCGTTCCGGGGGATTATTCATCATAAATGACCCACTGATCTCAAACATGCCCTGTAAAATTGTAAAATTCCCTTGACTCCTCCTAAAACTTTCAAGGTTATCATATCCATTCTCATACCCTTAAATCCTCATATTCTCACCAACTTACCAACCTTATCGTTCATCTAGTATGCGTATTTAATACTGAGCGGGATGATGGCAATTGAATGGCACGAGCGAAATTAAGTAAAAAGGATTTTACCACTCTAATGTACGCGTACACGTCGGCTCGATCGCCCTTTATTACTGGACCTTCAAGGTTGTCGGCAGAAAAGGCGACGCTGTGTTATTTATCCAGCCCTGTCTAATTTACCAGCTCCTAACCTCTTTGGGTCTGTGCCCAGCTTTTGTAGCAATGATCATCAGATACCTCAACCTGGTAGCTGCTTGCCCAGTCTTGCTCCGTACTGATTGCACTAGTTAGGGGATCGAGACGTAGGACTACCGAGGGCCCGAGCTTGTCGAGCATGGGGTCCCCCATATAACAACCTTAGTCTGTGGGTCAATGATATTAGACATTACGCTACATCGTATGCGCGCTACCAAGTCCAGAAAGAGGTACATGGCCTTACATGCCTACATGCCACATACAACACCGGAGCAAGCTGCAGCTTGTATGTAGGTGTCGTCACGGCGAAAAAGTCCCAGGCCTCCTTAATCAGTTCAACACACCGTCCTGTCCGTCCCATTCAGCTGGAGTTCCGATAGGTGGCCACCGGAAGCTAATTCTGGTGCCATAAGTAAAAGCAGGTCTGGGGAAAACTAGGCCGACAAGCCACGCGAGAACGATGAGGTAACGAAGACCCCGAAGCTGACATCCAATGTGCTTGGCTTCTCGTCTATCACCCACTTCTCCGCCTCCCTCCTGCATAGCCAACTTGCCAGACACTACATTACATAGTACATGCACATCACAGACGAAAATTAACAATACTTACACGTCTACCATTGCCATTTCACCACTAGATGTATCTACAAAAATCAATACTATCAGCCCAGAAGAGATTTTTTTTTTTCCCCTCTCCTTTGATATAATCTCTTTTTGTCAGGACCTTGTTTTGGTATTGAAATTACCAACATAATAACACATATTATGCATTTCAGGTCCAGTGAGAGCTCCATGTTCCAGATTCCATGCAGATAGCGTGGATGTACCCCTGATGGACACTCTGACATCTCCACTCAAGACTGTGCTGACTTGCATTTTAGCCACAAGGTAAACCACCCCTGACACTCCATGTCTTGTACCTAGGTAGGTACAATACTAGGTAGTAGATAGCACGCTCCGTCGATCTACATACGCTGGGCGTGGGCATTGATACGGGATGGCATGGGCCATGGGGCATGGCAAGCATGGCATTGGGCAGTGCACGTAAAACCCGTTCATTAGCTGTGCCCCGGCAGATCCCGCTACTGACGGAACATTCGCCTTGACTAGATGGTTTTTGTCCACCTACCCTTTTTTTCTCCCTTCTTCCAACTTAGAGCGAAATTGGTTCGATACCGGTATTGCGTGTCCAATCGATCCAAGGTACCGACATAGAGACATGAGAACGACTGCAATCACACTGATTCGCGTCAATTTTCGAGTTTGATGGATTTGGGTCAAAATTACTTGGACGTCTCTACGAGCCTCATGAAGTTTTGGAAGGAAAAAGGCTGGTGACCTTGCGCGCCTCCTATACCACCAGCGGGTTGATGCGATAGCCGGACAATGTTGACATACTTTCTCGCAACGATCGTCGGGACGCTCTTCGTGCCCGATCTAGTCAGTGCCGACGCCATCAACGCTTTATGGATCGAACCATCTTTACAATGGCATGTTTGCCCGATATCGACTTACGATAGACGAGGTACTAATTGTGACGTAGGTACGGTATTGATGGTAATTGGTCATCTATTGGTCTCTTCGTAGGCGAACCGGCTCAGGAGATCAATGTTACTATAAGCACGAGTTTGGCCGAGATATGGGTCATTGAGACGGGTGGTTGCGGACCAAGTGAGTAGTTTAGATCGGGCAGCACAAACAAGTTGTCGGCTTTGAACAAATATCTGACGTATCCTAACTAGATGGCCGTTGTGTCGATGCTCGCGGGGGTGTTTATAACACCAGCGCGTCGCATAGTTGGTCGCCGCTCGGTGCTTGGCAGCTTGGTCTAGACTATCTTGGGCTGGGGGGTAATGGCGACTATGCGATGGAAACAGTCGTCGTATACGACAGCGTACTTCGTTGGCAAACCTCTTTCAATAAGCAACTTGTTGCTGGCGTCAATGAAACCGGTTACTATACTGGATTCTTCGGTTTAGGCATAACTCCCGGTCGCTTTAACAATGTTGTCGCGCAGAGTCCCATATCTGAATTAGTTGAGCAGTCAGGCACCATTCCAAGTCACAGCTATGGCTATACAGCTGGGGCATACTACGGTAGGGATTAAATGAAATCGGTTATAAGTACGCTGGCTGACTGTAACTAGGTGGTTCACGAGGCACCCCATTATCGCTGACTCTAGGTGGTTATGATGCTAGCCGTTTCGAACCCCACGATACCGACTTTAGCCTTAATGCAACTACGCGACAGCCAGAAGTACTTCTGAGAGCTATCACCGCCTCCGTCTCCGATGCTAGCAAAGCACCAACAACATGGCCAGAGTCATCGACCTCGCTATCATATTTCAACGAATCAGTGACCGCCTTGCTTGACAGTACAACGCCCTATCTTTGGCTTCCTGAAACCATATGTGACCGGTTTGCGGCTAGTCTAAACCTCACATGGAATGAAACATTTGGACTATACCTGTTTCCCGATAACGACAATCTAGAGCGATACCGCTCGTCTCCCGACCTCTCGCTCACCTTCACATTATCTAGCCCGGACAACCGTGACGATTTTGGCCAGCCTCTTAACGTCCCTGGAGTTGTGAATATCACTATCTCCGCCAACGCATTTATCCAGAGTCTCCGCTACCCGTTTATGAACTTGATCGAATATGGCGCGTCAGCGGTGCCATATTTCCCTCTAAGGCGGACTAATGACAGTGGTCGGGTTGTCATTGGAAGATCCTTTTTCCAGGAGGCATATTTAATTACAAATTATGAAACGAGTAGTTTCTCAATCCACAAGGCTAAGTTCCCTGACAACCCGCTAAGAGATACGTCTATCAAAACCATAGCATTCTCCGATAAGAGCCCCTATCCTGGTCCACCGCCTCAACCTGGTGATGGAGGGGGTCTCAGTCAATCCCAAACCATAGGCATAGCTATTGGAGTTTGCTTCATTTGCATAATCGGCATTGTGGTTATTATCCTCTTACGCCGAAGGAAGAGGAAACAAAGGCAGCAAGCTGAGGAGAATTCCGATGAGACTTTCAAAGATAAGGCCTCCACGATCTGCTCGTCACCGCCTTCGACCCCCGTATCTCGTATTGTCTCAAGGATGTCGAAGAGGTGTGGGATGAGGAAGTCTATCAAAGGGGGTATCCCGGAAGAGCCTGAAGAGCCTGATATACATAGGGATATGAAGATATATGAATTCGCTGCGGATCAAAGCCACGAACGCTATGAATTGCCAGGACCGGACCCTGTTGAATTGGACGGCACCATGACGAAGAAAGCCATGAATATCGGAAACGAAGAAGCTTATAAAACGGCTGACTACCACTTTGCGAAGTATCAATTGGATCAGCAGAAACGAGGGTTAGTGCCCGAGTATAACCCTCGCGCGGTGGAAGCACCGACCCACACATATGATGATGATATCGGCCCAACGGAACATATTCCGTATAGGTCATCGCGCCATATGGTCGAGGATCCGTCGCCAACATCGAACCAGACGTACGAGAATTCGAGCAACAATATGCCTTCGCCATTAAGTTCCCAGAGCGATTGGACCAACAGAATGCCGGAGGGCTACTCTCCTATGGGATTTGTCCCTACTCAAACTCTTTCACATTCGACTTCGAACCCGAACTTTACATATACGCCGTCATCGCCGTCATCGTTGAGCAGTCCCGAAACGGCCTCATTCACTCGTTCCGCTTCGACTGCTGGATATATGTCATCACATTCCTCTCAGCCTATACCGCCTCGCGCTTCGTTTCAAAGAGCACCTATTGATGCATCCCGGGTGGTCTGTTTAGGGCCTTTACCGGACAATGTATCACTACCCAACCAACCTTCGCAGCAACCGATACCCGGATATCTCAACATCGATGGCCAAATGGTCGCCTACCCCCCTATGCCTCCCATCCCGCAAGACGAGGAAAATCGGCGCATGTCCCGGCGTGTATCTACGGCTGACACGCTAGGCAGCAACTATACCGTCGAGGAAGAGGCACGCATGGCCGCAGTACGTGATGCGACACATACATTCGGCCGACTAGACGGTGCTGATCTCATTCACATACCGCAACCAGCATTAAAACGATTTAGCTGGGAGGAGCAATAACATGTATACCATACAACATCTACTCAAAACCCTCTACCTTTTTGATACCCCAGGGGAGGCCTTGCGCTTTTGTCTCTTTTCCCTTGTTTTACTCAACCAATTTTGCTTGACGCCATTTTCCTTTTTTTTTTTTTTTGTCTATTCTTTTTTTATATACCAGCAATGGAGTTTAGCGGTGTGGGATTTTTGTTTACATATCAGTTGGACGCATACCTCGCCTAAATGATTATGAAGGGCACGAGAGTGTGTTGGATGGGAGGATATGTGGGTTGTATTGTGCGTTCTCGCGTGCATCAGAACGGCGTTCGAATCGGTGGTGGAAATTTCTCAATTTCGAGTGCGTTTTGCTTCATTGATCAGATAGGATGCGGAGGCGGTGCTTGGAAGTACGGGTTGTAGCTGATAATGCACGAGCCGGATGAGAGTAAGATTGGTTGGATGGTGGATGGGTGGATAACCGAAGTATCTATAGGCTTTAGGCTGGGTACGAAGGGGTTATAAGAATTGCTATGTCGACGCTTTGAGAAGATGTTTTGAACATCAATTGTGCGCGGCGTTAGGTGTAGATAAATGGCTATGCCTAGATATCTAGGTGATCGAGCTACACAATAGGAAAAAATAGAGACCATTCTCTGAAATAACTTGGAGCTACTTGATTGACGTTGACGTTTTAGTGATTATGAGTTATATTTAGGTACACTTAGGCTTGATATGTAGCCCTATATGTGTTAATAGGGCTTAAATTTATAGGGCTATTAGGGGGTCCTAGCAGCCTGGGTATCTACCTAGGTAGAAGCGGAACACAGATTTAGTTCATTGTTGTCGCCCAGGACCCTTCAGAAGGTACATTAACTGAGGGTAGATATTAATTGTTAAGTAAAGGTTCACTACTAAGCCCATCAGTGTCCCCTATTTTCCCACTCTTTACTGCAGGTTAAGCCTGAAGGCTCAACCCACTAGTCCCCCTATAGCTTCACCCATATAGGCGAGTATTGCGGGGTATATAGCGGACATTATAGGGAGCATTATAGGGAGCGTGGCGTACCATATTTAGGGATTGCTCAACTACCAATACAGCCTACACGCAACCTTTGCGGCGCTTATAGCTTATGATACAGCACATTAGCTCACTAAAAAGCCCAATTCTTCAAATGGAACTCGAAATTTAGTACTAATCTTCCATTAAACACACCGCGAAAACAAACCAACATATTAAGCCCCGAAACAGCGGGCGAGAAGAGAACCAGCAACAAACCATTATCTACTTAACTCAACTTCACAACTTCCCCTGGAGAAAAAAAAGTGTTGCTACTTTAGATAGCCTTCCCCTTGCCTTTTCCGAGACCACTTCCACCAAGCGTAGGAAACTCCTGATCCGCATCCACATCTTCTAGAGCAGCCATGCTTGCCTTTCTGCTCTCTTCTTCTGCCAGACTAAGTTGCAGCGCAAACTCCAAATCATCGTCTGCGACGGATTTAGAACCAGTCGCAACCGATTTCGGTGGTGACTCAGCTCGCTTGACAATAGGCGTATGACTTGATGAAGGTGAGCTAGTGTCAGATCTCTTGCTCTTCTTCTCCTTGATCGTAATCGGAATATCATACTCTCCAGATCCGCTAGCTCCCGGTGATCCACCCGCGTCGTTACCACTTTCGAGAAGGGACAGGCGAATAGCGGCCTGAATCTGAAGTTCATAGTCGCTCTCATCTGCTGCCTCATTCGGCGCACTCGAACTAGTCGCAAGAGGGCTCGGCCCGGTCACACTAGGATCGGGAGTAACCGTACTACCAGAACTACAGGTAGTATCGAAGTCCGCAGCAGAACCAGTGTCGCTAGCGCTAGTCCGACGCTGTTCATCAACTAGGAAAGATTCCTGAGATATCATCTCAGCGTAGCGAATCGCTTCCTCTTCCGTCAGTTCACCCAAACCAACTCCGAAACGAGAACGAAGGCGAGCTTGTTCTCGTGCTTTGTGCTGCTGTTCATTGCGAAGTTCTTCAGCTTCATCATCAATATAGCCCTGAACACCACCGCCGTGACGTCTACTAGAGCGTCGGCCGTGAATCTCAGAGTGACGTGATCGGCGCTTACGACCCGTCGCATGATCCGAAGAGCTGTAGGACCAGTAACGCACTAAAGTTCCAAAGGACACTATTCCATGGAGGACAGTCGGGTCAGGGTCTAAATAGATAGCTCCGACCGCCGGGTTGTATATGTTTGGGATAGGCACATGACGAGGCAGTCGATTCGGAGGGCGCGAGTTAATTGTGCGAATTGGGTCCAAAGTAGACGCAAGAGGATCCCAAGCCTGAACAAGTCCATCGCTTCCACCATGAACAAGATAAAGGGCCGAGAGAGCCAAGCTTGAAATTCGTGGGGATTCTGTTTGAATAACTCGGATGGGGTACACTTCATCATTAGTGTGGGGTTCCCGCATGTTCCAGAGCACAACCTTCCCCTTACTCGTGCCAATTCCAAATAGTCTCGCTCGCCTGCCGGGAATATCTGATGGCATCTGATTTGTTGGAGTTGAACCAACGGAAGCCGAATTAACTGCATTCTTCAGAGGATCCTCAAAAGACGTGACAAGAGCAAGCTGGGAGGCGTCTACGCCGATTGTAGTTATCTGCGAGTGATTGAATTCTTTCGAGTGGAAGATCGTCTGATACCAGTCGTCCAGGACAGTCTTCGCAGGGGTGGTCACATTAGGTGAGGATATCTTTCCTGAAGTCGATAGTACCTGCTTCAGTAACGGTGAACTAGAAGAATTCGGCGAAGCTGATCTGGTACTACTGCCACCAAATATGGAGGGAGCCGGAGTAGGTGGGGTCACCTCCACTGGGATCTCTTCGCTGGGAACAGCTTCAGTGGAGGATTCACTCTGGTCCGTAACAGTTCGACGTAATCGTCTAATAGCCGGAGTGTAATACTCGTCTCCGCATTCAATGATAAATATGCTTTCGCCAGCTCCATTTTCGTCATCACTCGCGAAATCCACTTCTAGTTTCCGGCACATATTCCACCCATAACATACCTTGCGGAAGCGGGCCGGTTGATAGCGGAGGAACTTTTCTATTTCGCGAGCCTCCGCACACATCTGCACCTTCGTCAGGCCCATGCTGTTAGACGGGGACCTTGGAGAATAAGCACCGCGGACTGCATTCTTGCCTGAATTGTCCGGACGCGCTCGGCGTCGCGTGGACTCCACTAGTTGCCAACAAGTTGTGCGACCAGTATGCCATGCGAGTTTAACACTGTCATCGGTCTTCGACTTGATAGCGGGTGCAGTGGGTGGTTGGGTTAAGTAGTATACTTCGCCCAATGCATTCAGAGCGACTGCCCACACACGCCCAAGCGCCTTACGCTTTTGGCTGTAGTTGTCGTCAATCTTGAGCGCGATAATGGGGACTCCTGGGCTGAGTACCCAACGCGCGCTCATCTCACCTGCGGGGTATCGCATGCTAGTAGGGTCGTAACCAAGCGCGTATGTGGTGACAACACCCAATGAAGATCCGGTCATCATTCCCACTAAAGACTGGGTCAAAGAGGGGACAGTATTTGACTTGGCAATCCAAACGGAACAGATGCCTTCTGAGAGCTCAGGGATCTTCGGGATGTCAGGATAAGCCTCAATAAGTCCTTTTTCTTGACCCAGATACTTGCCCCGATATTCACTTATGGAACGGTAGAAGACACGGCCACCAGGAAATCCTTCTCCGCCAAGAAACCCAAATGCTTGGCTAACGTCCATGACATTGGGAACAGCTGCAGGTCCTTCGCCTTCACCATAAGGCATAAGTTGCGGTACAACTTCGCTAAGCTGAGCAAAGTTAAAGGGACTATCCAAGCCCCATTTCTCGACCTTACCACTAGTAGGGTCGCTGGTACTAGCGATTCCCATATCCGCGGCCCCATGGATCGCTCGGGGCGGCTTCTTCCCATTGGATTTGAAAACGGCATGGATATTGGTGACTGGGGATGGGAGCTTAGTGTTATAGGTCAAGACTGCGCTAGCCTTCTTGCCGGATTGGCTGGATCGAGAAGAGGATCCGATACCTCCGGAGGTCGTTCCTGGCTTGCCCCTAGCAAGACTACGAAGGAGTCGAGTCCTTAGAAGATATTCGCTGCGCCAAGAAGCATGTGGCGTTAGGCGCGTGAAAAAGCGCACTTCCGAGCGCACAAATTCCGAATCCTCTTCGTCCCACACTCCGGTCTTGTGTTTACCATTGGTGATTAATGCACTATGCCCAGGGAAGTATCGTTGGAAGGCCATGCGCCATGCGTGAGATGAAGTGACCAGAGAGTAGAATCGTTTCGATACCAATGCGACAGAGGCGTGCGAGTCGGGATGCAAGTGGGACAAAATGTGCGTCAGAATTTCTGCGAGATAATTAATTAGCATTCGAAAAAATTATGGACGGTAAATATTCAGAAATAACATACCATTAGGGAAATCTGAAAGTTGAACACCATCGGAACGCGCGCCGGCGCGTTTAATGACCTTGAATCCCATGGCTTGTCTGGGGATTGCGGGTGTCAATGCATTTTCATATTCCGAAATTCTTTGTCCTGGAGTAAAAGCTTGCGTCGCGTTTAATTTTTCATTGGTGTTGCTCAATCCGCGCAGTCGTTCCTGGAGGGAAACTGCATCAATGCCCTCCCCAGCGACGCAGTTGCTGGTGTCACCCCGCTCTGAGCTTGACGACCTGCCATCGGACAACTGCTGCGGTTGCTGCAGAGAGTAGTGGGTTGGGCCACTTTGACCATGGTGCTGAAGGCCATGTTGATGGAGGGATTTAGGGGATTGAGAAGTGCTGTCCTGTTGAATCTGTGTTGATACTTCGGGAAGCTCTTGTTGCATAAAGTAGTATAAGAGAAACTAGGGGGTAATAATCTTATGACTGTGCGATAGAAGATGGCACAGTCAATATTTGGTACTATGGGAATATGGCGAAAGAGAGAAAAGACGCGAATGAAGTTGGCGATGTTGTCATCAATGTTGGTTGGAGATGGGAGAAATTGAGGAGAAAAAAATTCGGCAGAGCGATGATGACCGGCGACGTTACCCGTTAATCTCCTATCCTAGCAGCCTAGCAAGCCTGGAAGGTACCCCCCAACTTCGTAATTACAGCGCGCTTTACGCCAACCAACCCCGAGGATCTACCGGCACACGTGTAGTATAACTGTCTGCTACACCTAAAGTATCGCATTGCAGGTACCTTATCTATCATCCAGTATAAGAGGCTATTCACAACATGAAAAATAACACCTATAATCACACTCATCATTACAACTTCTACAACACTCTGTACAGCCGAAACATCCGGACGATATTTTACATTCAACTTCAACTTCTAGATACCATTTTAATGTTTGTTCCAACCATCAAGTTACATCAAGGGGTCATGACTGACTCAGGAAGAAACCCTCATCCTTGTATAACAAAGCAAACAGGTGATATTTATCCTCCTTCTAGAACTAGCAGATTTCAAAGGATGAGGCGAGTAAGGGACATCTCCATGATAACGCCCAATATTAGCGTATTATCTGTCGAAGCCGACGTTTGTCTAGCGCAGTACTAAAACAAACGTCAATATACACCTGACAGTCTAACAGTTTAGACGATGGCGATGTGTACGACGTTCCACTTGAGGCGACATTGCTTGAGAATGGGGCAATGAGGGGAAACAATTGCATCTGAGCTAGGTTGAGCAACCCTCGCTTGAATGAGAGCTCCCCTAAACATCAAATGAAACAACTCACATTGCAAGCATTCAGCATGGCAAGGGAATATATGTAAAAAATAATAGAAATAATACAGTACTACACGAAGGTTAAGCATACGTAGGTCGTTCAAAAGAACTTTTTAATAATTTGTTTTCGTCTATTCGTGGTATATATCAACCATTACACACAATGACTCTAGAGGACCGCTCCCGAAAGTAGACAAAACGAACCGCCGTGTTTCTAGAAAAATCGACGATCTCCCTTCGACCAAATTCGAACCAGACGTTCATATTCGGAACAGGCATCAGTCATAAATGTACAATTCCCCGGTCGGTCGTTACGCCGCCGGTCCTCTAGAGTCCATCTTTTTCAGCAACTCCCCTCCTTTCCTCCCCCTTTCAAAGCCTCTACTCCAAGCCGGCATAGAAATCACCTCGCAACGCTTCCTCCTACTCCCCTTCGAGTACAAGTAAACGCATTAGATTAAAAGTACCTGGTCATCAGATCCACGCCAGCAAAAGGTGGGCGTAAAGATCTCTCATCGATGCCGAGGATTCGTAACTATTTTTTCGGCGGTAGATTTTCAGAAAATAGATCCCATTGATAAAAAAACCAGCCGTCTTAGAATGTAAATCACAAGAAAACCTGACGTGAAATGCTCACAAGAGGTCGCAAATCCTTAGGCAGGCCGCCCACAGTGGCTTCTGTACGAAACAGGCTATGCCTTCTGGATGGGTATCGAACTATAACTAAAATGAAACGGATGTGACGTGCAGGTCGTATACGTTCGCTCAGTTCCAGCCAAGAGAGTTCTCAGCCGCAACTGGCGCCGAAATGGTGGCGGTACGTGCCGAGTTGTTCATCCCACTCCTTCCACTACCTTGGCTGTCGCGAGTGTTTCCTCCAGCTCCGCCGTAACCACCGGGGCTGGTTGCGGTGAAATCTCGACTTAATAACGCGCCACCCATCAGAGCCGGGCTTCCTGTCTGTCGCATTTCCGAGGGGGAAGTGACAGAGCTGCTTCTTTGGTGTCTCTGCTTCTTGCGCTTGTAGCGGCGGGCAATGATAAACATCGCAGCACCGTAAGCACCAGCAACACTAGCAGCTCCAACAGCAATACCGGCAGTCATTCCTTGTTGCGCGCTCGTGGTCTTCTCACCAGGGCCCTGGGTATCAAAGGGATCGTTGTTGGGAGAAGAGGAATCAGAAGGATCCGCTCCGCTACCTCCAGCACTATCCGGAGCACCATCCAACGTATCACCTGGCATAATTCCAATCGCTGGGTTGATCTCATTGGTCAGGTTACGTACCAACGAGTTCGGGTTGTTGTATAGCGCGGTAGTCGGGTATCCGATATCATCAGCAAGCTTAGAAATACCCTCTGTGGGATAGTATACCATTGCTTGCGAGGTGATGTAACCATAGCGAGCGATAGTGTTGTATGGCTTGATGCTGTACATAACAACTCTGCTGGTATCGTAGCCACCACCGTGAGCAAGACCTTGAGGAAGCAGGTAGAACATCTGGGAGGCAGCAAGAGGCTCGTCCACAAGGTGTTGGTAGTTCTCGCCGTAGAGGAAAGAAATTTGAATGAGGGTCGTGCCCTCGGGCTGCTCGGGAGCGTCTGTCCATGGAGTAATCGCCTGCGGTAGGGTTGTGGGGATAGCCGTAGCAGTAGTCTGCTGAGAAGAGGTTTGAGTGTTAGAAGGTTGAACGATAATCGTAGTCGGTAGCCAGGACTCCGAGTTTGTGATTGTACCAACGATAGGAACACTGGTAACGGCGGGCGCCGAGGTAGACGAAGAAGTAGACGTAAGTAGAACACTAGTCGAGAATGGCGTTGATAGAGTGCTCGTCGGTTCAACAGTCGACGTCGGCTCGGCACTTGTCTGAGAGGGAGTCGTCACATTTTGAGGAACTGTGAAGATGCTCGATGACTCAGTAGTAGGAAGTTGAGTCGGCGGAAGAGTGCTGTTAATTGGGACTGTTGGCGAGGTGATTGTTGGGAGACTAGTAGAATCGGTTGTCGCTGTGGTGTTGCTGGGAACAGCGGTAGGCGTTGTCAAGGGCAGGCTAGTGCTGTAAGATCCGGTCGGAAGAACTGTGCTCGACTCCGTAGAGTTGCCGATTGTAAGGGGAACCGATGTTGGGATCGTGAGAGAAGACGAGCCCGTACCCAAAATAGGCGGCAAGCTGATAATAGGCGTATCCGTGCTAGAGGAAGAAGCAGAGCCAGTGCTGGAGGCCGTCGGGGCGGTACCAGGGAACGACGTGGTGGGATCGATAATTGGCAACAGTCCGCTATCCGTGCTAGTTTCACTAGAAGTAGCTGCACCTGATTCCGTAGAGTTCGCTGACGCAGTCGGCAGAATGGCACTAGTAACACCACCAACCAGACTCGTCACGCCGCCGAGAAGTCCGCCATCCGAGCTTGTGGAGGTCGGAGTGACAACACCTGTAGGAGCAATAACAATACCAGATGATGATGAAGGGATTGTCGTAGTAGGGTCGCTCGTGGATTCGTTAAGGGAAACACTCGTCGAGTCACCAGTTGTCAAAGCCGTCGTCGAAACGCCAGGAGCGGTAGTGGATACAGACGATTCTGTGGCAGAAGCCGTCTTGTTGGCGATAACGGAAGTTGAATCTGATGACGCAGGAGGTAATAACGTTGGAACATCCAGACTGAGGGTTGGTAAAGAGATCAGCGGCGGAGATCCCGTTCCTCCTGTGGAGCCAGCATGACTGCTTGACTCCGTTGTTCCCTTCGATTCAGACCCAGAAGATTTAGTCGTCGATGGCGCTTTAGTAGGGGTAGCACCACGAGTAGTCGCAGGGGTCGATGTTGTGCTTCCTGTTGTCGAATCGCTTCCATCGAAAGTTCCTCCTAGAAGACTAGACAGAAGATCAGATATCGTATCCTTCTTTGTTGACGAGTGCGATGTCGAATCTGCCAAATCACTATTCGTGCTTTGCGAGGCCGAGCTCGTGATGGTGTGATTAGTGTACTGCCTCTTGACGTGCCTAGGGAAGTAGATCTTTGGTCTGTTCTCAGGCTCGGCGGTAGATAACGACGCGACGGCCAGCACGGCGGCCAACACCAGCGAACTGGTATGCATGGTGAATCAAATTAGGTGGGTTTAAACTCGTTACTGACGGGTTGTCCGTAAATTGGCGATCGTAATCGAGAATGTTCGAGTATCGACGACTGCGTAAGATCGTGACTTTTGACGCGAGACGTCAGTCTCTTCACGGATTCGCGTAGATAGCTTTGGCTTGGAAGCCTAGCCCACTTACTGTGTCAGGATAAATTGGAACGAATGTACTTGACAAGATATGTCAACGAGTGGATGCTACAGGACAATACAGTGTTAGTGTTTCCGATCATCTGTCCCATAGACAATACGAGGAAGAAGCGCATGAACGATCCACGGTAGATCCCCTAATCGAAGCACAGAAACTCCGCTCCATCTTTCCCACCTCTTCGATAACCGGTAACCAGCGCTCGGCATTGGATTGCGTCCCAACTCACCTTGTATACAAGCAAAATAGTATTTGGTCTATGATGATAGCAGTGATGTTTTTGTTATATAAAAGAGCGGCGCGACGAATAAATCGTCAGCTTAAATGCAAAATAAATAATCAATAGATTCGATGTATGGGCGTTCACGACGTTATCGCACGGGCGATTCCTTCTCAGCGATGCATTGGTCTCGACGGGGTTAGCTGTCGACTTTCAGGCCTCGACTCCGAAGGGAATGGATGACCGGCGCCGAGGAGGAGGAGGGAATTGTCGTCGAAAGGTGCACCTTACGTGGTCGGCGAAGGGGAGAAGTGAGCGAAAGACGGAAGGGTAAGGCGGAGGGCGAAGAGGTCGGGCAGGTCGAAGGGGGTAAATGAGAAACAGCAAGAGGAAACGTGCGAGAGGGAAAGTGTGGAAGAGGAGTCGGGGGCTCAGGTGTGCCAAGACACTAAAAGCCAGGGGTGCCTCGTTATTGATCAGTCTGTTCATTGATCAGGGGAGACGGACAAGGGGGTGGTTTAAAGGAAGGGGGAGTGGGTGGGGTGCGATGGGTGCGATGGCTAATTACGTGAGACCAATACAGAAGTTACCTAGCGCTAGTGGAGAGTTAATTATTGCACTCCCTTCTTTAGGAAATGCCTTGGGAACCAGGGCCAACTTTTTTTTTTTGGCCTTTCCTTATTCCTAATTCCAACCTTGAACAACACTTTAACCAAAGGACACAACACTATACACAACCTTGTTCTTGTTTAAGGCGACTTTCTTTTGTGTCTTCATTAAACAATGCTGTTGCTATAATTTACTAGCACTTCACATTCATGAGAAAGGCGGGGGTGGGGGGAGGGATAGACAACAGAAGGGAGGTTGAATGGAATGTCAAAGAGGTGTTGCTTGTGGCCTGATTGACCTATAATCTATTGATTTTGCTTTAGATACTATAAACACAAACATTCTCTATCAATCTATACTACCTAGATCGATATGGCCCCTTTTTACCCCTCTCGATTGGTCTACCTTTCGTCAGGATTCATCCCCATATCCTATTTAGTGTTGTGCGACGAATACGATGGCGATGTTTAATGCCTATGCCTCGTGCGCAGCGGGTATATTCTAATTCTCGCTTTTCAACTCCCCGGCTTCCAAAGTTAGTTTAGGCGTAGGAAAATCCCCAATTTGCACGCATGCTAAATAATTTCGAGGCTGCATAAAAACATCCGTACCAACGTGCATGCGGACGGGCCAATGTAATAGAGAATAAAAGCACTATAAAATATGTACCCTGAGATTCCCGTCCTGCCTGCACAATGCACATTGATACAGTACATCATGTATATCGTAGGCATATTGGCGTGATGGAGGGGCGGCAGGGTCTGCAAGAACTGGGGGGAGGCGTCTACGATAAAGTACATGTAGTCCGACGATGAAATACTTTGAAAGTGGCCCTATCGGCCCGCAAAATAGGGAGTGACCATTGCTAGCAGAACAGGTCAAGAAAGTTAGTGACGCGTAATTAGATCAGGTTCTTCATGCGTCCAAACCACACCCCGGCAAATTAATGCACTAGCGATTGGACCGGCTGTCCTAGAAATAGAGACCTAAGCTCCACTCAATTGGCTCCCGTCCTGCTGCGCCCTATTTTGTTACCTTTGGTACCCTGGTTAAGGTACCTCTTAGGCAATATGCTAATTTCCTTGGACTCTTGCAGCAACTCTTTTTCTCTTTTTACGCCATTGCACCATCTTGATTTTAGGTGGAGGTCCAAATTTCTCCAGCTTCAAGGCCACACTACCAGTCCACAATGCGTTTCTCTGCTGCTGCTGCTGCTCATCATCGGGCAGACAAACATGGTCGCCACCTGCATCCGAACGGGGATATACGTTGTTTGATGCCAATGGTGTTAACACAATCAGATCAAATAACGTCAGTTTCGAAACAATAGTCATCAATAAGAAGCTTTCGCCACTAGAGGGCTAGTCGCAGTAAGTCGGCGATGAACCGTTTCATCCGATTGGAAACATGCCAGTAGCAGCTGGGAATTGAGGTATCAGTATACCCTCCTTGCTTAAGTAGCAGATAGACGTTTCCTTTTACATACACCGTTTAAAGAATACATAAGTCTGTGTAGGGTTGATCCCGCCGACACGTCAAACTCTTTTGTTTGGATGATTAAGGATTCTATCTACATTAGGTAGGTGATGAAGATGAGCTGAAATACATGTAGCTTAAACCTATTAGCGTGAGACCGAGTATCTGGTTTGAGTTAAGGCTGGCAGAACTTAAAAGAGTCAAAAAAGCAGGATCAAACCTTGTGGAAAGTCAATTGATGTTTCGGATTGTGCTGCGAGCGCGGCATTTCTCTCCTTCCCCATCCCATTCCATTTTATCCCGTCCCATCTTAAATGTCCCTCCCCAATGCTGACACGTTTTCCCCTGTATCAACTGCTTCAAATCGGAAGCATGGTCAGATTCATATCTCTCCCCTGCAACTAAAACAGGGCAGGATATATGATACAAATCGTGGAAAAGATCGTGGAAAAGATGCCATCCAGTCAGACAAATATGTATGCTGTATGCAAGCAATGGGACCCGATAGAGAACAAGGCTCAACCGACAATGCACGACTCCCTATTCTGCTATTCCCATATGGCCGCGAAGGATGAAATACCTCGGTACCTATTTGGAAGCTCTCTATCCTATCTATGACCGAGTTAGAAGGTCGGTTATCTAACAACCGACTAGGTACTTGACTCAACGAATACCCATGTTCAAATTCCGACCTAGCCCACGGTTTACCGAAAATCAGAACACGAGAATCGACTGTTTTTAGTACATTACACTAACTGGTTGACATCCGTGAGCAGTGGATCTTTGACAAGCGGCGCGAATCTTCGGAAACACTCTCGCACAAATTGTGGATAATCAGATCTCTTTACGATTCAATCCACAGTCAAGCCATACGCTATATTAGGTAATTAGTTCCTATGCCAATATTTCATTTTAAAATGAAGATAGAAGCATATCGGGAAAAGGAAGAAACGACATATCATGTATTGATGATACAGAAACTCCCAGCCGTGTATTTCGCATGCCACACCATCAGCAAATAAGTAAGTATGTGCTATGTCAGCTGCACCAGATTTGGAAGCTCAACCTGTTCTCGCCCAACCACAGTATGCATATATTGCATGATTCAATACCTACTTAATGTACCCAGGTATGTATTCGCGTGGCGTACGAGCACTCAAGCATGGCTTATTATTCAATTTTCCCGAGAGTGCAGTATCCGTAAGTGTACCTGCATCTTTACACGCCACGCTGTCCCCGAGTTCTCGTGGCTCCCTAAATCCTTCAAGAAAAAGGAATAGAAGAAAAAAAAGGAAAGGGAAGAAAATTATTTCGTTGTGTTTCCATGGGCTGCAAATGATTTGCAAGATTGTCGGAACCACGTTCCTGACTATCGAAAAAGCCCGGTGAAGATCGAACAAGTAACCTGACATAGCTTGTTCTACTTCTTGCTTATCATTTCTTACTATAACACCTACGATGGCGATCTGCCGTGTCTAGACTATGGATGTTTAACGTATGTGCGCACAAAGCTACGAGATCCTCGCAAGCTTGTAGACGATCGACAAAAACGCCATACAAAATGTCTCTTATTCCTCGTTTTTTCTCGTGGGTGTGTTTTGTTTTGCTTTCCGAAATACGCAGGCCACGATACCTATCCTAATTATCCTTCGCGTCATCCCGTTTCTATATCAAGCAACTGTAGTAAGATGAAATCGTCTAAATCTGTTAACATTACTACCTACCTAGGTAACTTCCAGGTAAGGGTCGTATCGGTTTGTTAGTATTAATTCCCACAAACATCCTTTCTCATCACTCGCTTCAGCTACGTAGTAGCATCATCGTGGTAAGAAGAGCTATTTGAGCTTCATAGCTCGCGTGGGTATGTTGGTACTGTATCCAAGGTAATAAGGCGAAAAGGCGCACCGGACTCTCCCTCACTGCGTTAGTTTGCTGCACCTCTTACATTAGTACAACTTTGGTTCCTGACTAAACCGGATCGTAATCTTACGCTTACATGGACGTGGAAACTGGGCGCATGCAAGAGTCAGCCCCGAGCATACAGAACATACAGAATATTGAACGCCTAGTCCGGCCGGAGTGAACACTTGCATTTCACCTAGGTCGCCGACAATCTTAACAATCTTCCTAGGTAGCAATCACGGACTTTGATCACAACTGTCTAGGTAACCAACTGCTCGGTGGTACCAATTGTCTCTGAACCCTTACCTAATCTCATTTCTCTTATGTCGGCATACCGAATCGTCACATCGCCCCCATCATTCCATCAGCTAGGACCCCCTCAGCTGACAACCAGATGCTACTTTGAAAAGAAGAGAAGAGAAAGAAAAAAATCGGAAATGAACGTATTCCTATAGGAGGTCAGTCTCATCGTTGCTACGCGCCGTTAGGCGTTAGGACGCAAGCGCGTAACCACCCACCAGAAGCATTAACAGCTAAAAGTAGCCACCAAATCCTTCGCTAGAGAAGTAGTGCTACGGCACAGCCCCTAAAGAAAAAAAATTTAAGTTGATAGCTCATAACAAGCTTGGGGGCCAGCTGCCCGCCAAGGACTATTTAACAACCGCTCCAGTCCGTAAGTGAGCTGGCATTATTATGAGCCAAGACGGCATACGAAGACTCATTTACCTAACGGTCTGTCATACCTAGGCACACCTCGCTTGCACCAACATCCACCGCCGGCAATTATGGTAATCACATTTATTAACAGCCGTCCCAATTTCGGGATAAGTCGCGACAGCGTGGGCTTGATACTACAGGAACCAACACATTCGTATGCTTCTAAGTAATAATAAAAGGGGTAATAGATAGGCAAACTCAAAGTAGACTTCAATTGAGCAAGAAATGCACATACTCTACAAGCCATTGAGATCCAAAACGCCGCGGGCTAGGTAGATCGAAAGCGAGTAGTAAGCCCGTATGTCTCCTGCGTTTATATTCCCCGTTTGGACATTGCGCACGCCGTGATTATGTGTGTTATCGACTTTTTGAGGCACCTGAAACATCGTCCGATCCGTTCGTTGTCATATATGGCTCTTGCCGGACCCGAAGATGCAGATGGATCTCTGGCTGACAATACCTTATATGCATGGGGTAGGATTTGGTACTCCTACGTTGTTTGGCGGAATATTGATTCCCGTGGCTCTGTCGTAGGTAAGTTATTTAGGTACTTATCTACTTATCTTCTAGGTAGGTATTTAGGTGGTTTGGGTACCTTGGGCATCTAAATAGTTGTTGTGGTTTGTGAGGCAGATGCTATAATCTAAATATTGAATCTCTATAACTACTTTGTAAACGCCGTAAGGTATGCAAGATAAAATAAGTACATAGGAGCGACTATTTACGAACCTCTAGTCTATTCGTATCAACTCCAACATCGCTATGCTAGTAAGTTTGGCTTGGAGGGGGGGAAGGTGACGATGTTTCTTTCGTCCGCCCCTTGACTCAATCACATAAAAGACCTGAAAGATCTACCTTGACGGTTAGAATCAAAATCAAAGATAGGCGCTCTATACGAGAAATTTCTTCGCAAGTCGTATTGCCTCATATGTCATCCCGTTACGACGCAAGCAGCAGGACACTCGTCATGGTGGGCTTGAGTGAATATGCACTATCCATAGTTTCCCATAGGACTCAAGTCGCGCCGTGGTACGGTCTATCTGGGTACCATAGGGCTTAGATTCATGATGAAAGAATTTTGAAATGACTTCACCTTTCTGCCTGAAAATTAACAGGATGGTGTGGATGTCGATCTCATCGGTCCCGTTACTAGATCCGTATCTAGATATGCGAGAAGGAACAATGGCTGATCTGGGAATAAGACATGCTAATGCGAGCCACACCCACAAGACAACTTCCCGTGTTGGTCTCGCGACAATACAACGCCCCAGGCTTCACCGGTGCTATTGATTCTTGGTTATGTGCGACTAACGCGGAATAATCAGCCACTGCTGTCCTGATCGGCGAGTTTGTGGTGTGTAGAGTCTACTCTTGATCCCCTCTGTTGGGACCGAGTAAGAATTTTTGAACGGCAGTAGCGCTTGTTGCGAAATTCCGATTGCATTCCAATAAATAATGGAAGTGGTGTGGCTAAAACCCAAAATATAGTGGAAATAAGGAGTTCCTCTGTCGCGATATATATGTGGATGTTGATGCCACCTCCACATCTGCTACCCTTCCTCCTAATAATACCCTACACAGCCCTCAGCCGTTAGTCTCAACAGCTCTCACCGGTCTCTGGTGATACCTATGCGATATTCTCGAGGTATCTGCGTTTACCATCGCCCCGGGAAACCTCCATCCTGGTTGGAACGTATCTAGGTAATCTAGCGCCTCGGGCCGAACCTATGACCTACTCTAGCATGTAGTCCTCCAAGTTTGCAAATGCTTCATGTGATATTTCATCATTAGAGATAGGACCATAGGTACGTATTTAGAAACTGCTAGAATGCTTAACTGGCGTTGCTATTACCAATAGGAGAAGGCTTATGGAAGCTAACTCTGCTATAGGCACAGCAATTTGGGTGGTAGGCATGTGGAATAGCTTCGTCGATACTCGCAAAGGTGGAATTTTATTCAGGTATGGTCGTAAACTCAGTATGGACTCCCAACATGTTAACCATAACTCCTCAATTCTATCACTACTTGCTGTTCACAATCTCCTGTCTTGGAGTCTGTCGTATTGTAGTTTAGGGTGTTTAATGACATAATTCGGACACACACTAACTACCTGATCACTAGATCATCGTATCTTGCATGTATGCTTTGGGGCACAGGGTATAGCGTGCTTCGTGGTCACCTTTCTTTTGGATGATGTTTTCTGGATGGCGTCACTCAAGTTTCGGTCAGGACCCCTATGACGTGTGCCTTGCACTTTTGAGGCGGTAAACAAGGAGTCCTTCGAGGGAGTTGTGATATGTTACAAGCGCAAGCCCGGTTTTCGGATGAGGCCCCGGGCAGATCGTCAATCTGAGAAGCGTGAACCAAGATAGTTTTCTGCGGTTTTGAGGCTATCCGATGTCAAGTCAACCATTTTTACACATTCCTCTTTCAATCTACCATGCAGGTTTCGACCGGGCTTCTGAGCTTGCATGAAGCATGGATTTCGGGGCCTATGTCAGATACTAATCAATTTCTCAATGGGAAGTCTATCCCGTCATCCGGTGTGATGGGTAAAGCGAGCCATCTATTCCGGCTGACTAGGTTGTTTTGACCCGAGTTCCTTTGAGGATCGTGGCCGGTGCAAAGCGGGAAGCAAACCTGCTGTTCCGACCAATCATTATCAAAATCGGACTCCTCGCCGGTCGACCCGCCAGCTTGCTTTTCAAACTATATGTAGGTTGACCAAGTTGGGTTTTCAAAATGGTTGAAGATATATCACTTTGCCTATGACATCATTCGTTAGCATCCCTAGACTGCTGCGGCTGCACTCGAAAACCAAACCCCCCTGGCTCTAAATCTCGCACTTAGTGGGGGGAGGGGCATCGAAATTTCGAGCGTTGTTGACGACCTCTGGGTCTACGATGCGGGTTCCGTATCGTCCACATACTCCCCTGGCGTTGGATGCGTTGTCTTACATGCCCTATAACCGAGACCTACTGGTTTCGACGGCACGGCATGAGGCTAGAGCCGCTTCATCCCGGCCGTGTCTAAGATTTCGCTTAGCTGCATTGGGTCGAGCGATAAACGGGACGGGTCTAGTGCAGCTACCCTGATCTCTCCTGATGTCTCTTCCCCTCCTCAGGAAGGGGAAGACTTCACCGTCCAAGCAAACACGTTGCTGACGGCTTGATGCATACGACTAAGATAGGTGGCGTAATATTGAGAAGGTCTGTCGGGATATGAGAGGGTAGGTAGGTTGCTGTCACATATCTGCGAGAGCATGATTACTCTTATTCTATGCATTTGTTGTCCAATGAGTTTTTACAGGTAGCACTCGGTGCACGGCCTTAAGTGAAGAACATGAGTTTGGTGATGTCAGAAACCCATCGTCTAACCATTGGGCGTTGGAGGTGTAACTTGACCAGTGACGTAACTGTTATGAGGACCTTTTTTTGGCGATCATTCTAGTGGCGCCCTTTTTTTTTACTGTGCGTTGTTGGTCTGGTGATAGATGATCGTGGTCGGTTGCTCGCGGTGCGCTTTTTGCCCTCCTGCCTTGGTCCTCTCAATCGGCGCCTCGTGGAATTGCGGGATGGTAGCACGAGAAAATATGTCAGACAGATTGAGATGTGACAGATTCTATATCCCTTGCAGCTTTCGCCTCACCTTATTCGCTGCCCCAGCCATGGGTCGCGGATCGGCATTTGCTATCATGAGAGAACGGGCGGGACACTTTCCGTCGCCGACACCAAGGTCCTAGCAATTTAGAGGCGGTCAAGCTGGCATTATGCGCGAAATAGATACGGTATACACCTGGCAATATGTATACCATCCACGCCTTGGATGAGTAGGTGGGCGAAGTAGATGAATAGAAGGAGGGATGGGATGGAAATGGAGTTGCGTATCGCGTTGCGACTGCTGTCACTTCGTCAGACGTTTGCGTCAGTCATGTGTATGGAACATGCAGGGCCCTCTCGGGGTATTCATTCGCAGGAGGTCCCCCCGCGTAGATCTTGGTAGCCTTCCTTGCGGGCCATACTAGATCCTATGCCGTATTGTACATAGCACATGGGCGAGAGGTCCAATCACACTAAGAGATATCGCAAACATATCCGAAAGCGTGTTGGGAAACGCCATTACGGCTGGGGTGTGTTCTGCAGATCGCCCGCCTTCCCACCGCCTTGTATTGGTAGACCGGGTGAGTCGGTAGCTGAAGACTGACGTCTAGTTGCATTCATGCGACAAGAGTTAAGACGAAAAAGGACCCTTACTATGCCCAATTTTTCAAGCCTTGATTTCCCGAGAGATGCCTAGTGGGTTAGATTGGCTTTAGACCCTTATCTTGATAGTATGTAGCAGGCCGAGGCCGTAGGTGCATAAATATGCCAGATGGAGGTGGAGGTGGAGGTGATCGAGAAAGGAGTAGCGGCATTTGGAGCTTCAGCTTTGCCGTGCTTAGGCGGCACATAATCTACCTACCTACCTACCTAGGTAGGCAGTAAAAGAGGTAAAAGAGGGCAAAGCTAGAGCGGCTGCTGAAGCATAGTGACACAAGAGGCTGCAGGTAAAGTTATCAGCTGAACCAGTATAAGTTAGAATCATGACATTTCCAAGCGCCAGACCAGGTATGTGCGCCCGTCTATGTGTGCCTGGTCTATTTGCTCGTTTATTTGAAATTGCGGGAAAAAAAAAGAGGCGTCGGTATCGCAACGTCAGAGCTTCAAGGGGGGGGGAGGAAGCAATAGGCAATGCAGCTAATTCGACACTCAACTCTCTCAACTTTCGACGCCGCAATCGGCTCTACACCGAAGAGCCATCTACGGTAGATATGTCCGAAACACCGCATACTGTACGGTCTGACGGTCGCATCACACAGCCCTGGTTACGAGGTGCATCAGTATCGCCAAATACGGCCATAAGAAGAGACGATTTGGGAATCTCGACGGGGTTGTAGGGGCCGTAAGGAAAGATAGAGGAACGTGCTGACATGTAATGTATGTACAGTAGGCATGTAGGGAAAATGTATGTAGAAGACGAGAGAAAAAAAAGGTGGGAGGAATGCAAGTAGCTACAAGGATCTATCGTAAGCGATCGGCCCAACCAACCCCACGGATAGCCCCGCACCGAACTCCAAGATCTTCAAACGTTCTTTCCTTGCAAGTCTATTTTAGGTGTTATCGTGTGGTGTTTCGTGGGCAGCCGAGGCAGCCGTTGCAGGTGCTCTCGAGGTTGCTCATGGTTGCTCATGCCCCTGCGCTTTCTTCGTTGTCTGTTTCGCGGGCCTTCCATGCATGTTGCTGCTACTGTTGAAGAAAAAATGCGGAAGCTATGATACAGGTGCGTAATATACCTAATACACCGAATGCACCTGATTAGCCTAGCTAACCCACCTGTCTGCGTCGGTACCGAGCGAGTACCTATTCTATTGTAAGACTGTTTTGACTCTTCCGAATTGTTATGTTATGTATGTAGGTGGGTTCAATCAATTGATGCTGGGTAGTAACGAGATTGTCTACCTAGTATTAACTCGGCAGGCAAGTTTAAGTAGTAGATACATATGTAGACCAGATGTAGGCATCTAGATAGATACCTTAGGTAGAGGCCTAAACATCTACATCAATATCTCATACGTATTGGAATGAACATTAATATCCAATTGTCTACATACATTTGTATAAGAGGAATATAGACATTCATATGCCTAGGTAGGTTATGTAGATTGTGTAGATTATTCCCTATATTGAAGATGGGATGCCATATGCATGTCCCCGTACGTAAAAAAGCGCATCATATAAGGTAGGGCTTGACATATAGGATTAGGTACTTAACGTGCGTGTATAAGTTACAAGGTTGGAAACGTCTGTCCAGTGGGCGACCACTCATTAATTATCCCTATAGTATGGGAATATGTACCTAGAGCTTGTTAGGTCTTCGGGTTGCCCGGTAGGTTTAGGTACATGAAGGCAATGTATGAAGACGGAAAGTGCTTCGTCATGTTGATTGACGTAAGGTTCCATTGTATGTACATGTAGGTAGCAAATGTATCAATTGTACGTTGTGCATGCGCATAATGTATGTAGGTGTAGGTGTATGTACATATGTATGTATGTACTTCGGTGACATCTACATGTACGTTGATGTATTCCTTATGGGTAGGTACTTAGGTACATATGACCTCTAAGATGGATCATTTTGTTCGAATGTTTCTTTTTGTTGCGTGCTCCTCGGAATGAATTTGTCGAAACAGGTCCTGACAAACTCAGCCTTCGGGAAACCTTATTCGCTCGTGCATTCGGGTGTTCCTGCCTGTCATACGTGTGGTAGATCGGGTACCTGGCAATTGGCACCGCACCGCACCTCCCCCTCCATGACCCATTGACCCATAATCTCACTTAGTAGCCTAGGTATAATCCACCAACCCACCTTACCAACGTCTCTATGCATCCTATGCATCTTTATGTATGTGTGTCTGTGGTCCTATGCACCTCCCCTATAGTTTTCCTCTACGAAGAACCTAGAAAGAACGGTCTTGGAAAGGGGACCTACAGACCTACACTAACGGATATATACGTATTTTGGGAAGGGTCTAGGGTAACAATGTGATACACTAGCTTAGGTATCTACGCGTACCCAGGATCACAAGGTACATTATATTTGCGCCCTATTAAGGTACCTGTTATGGGGCCTATTACGTGCTTCATCCATGAAGTTCAGCACTCAAACTACACGCGCGCACCACACAACGCACATACCTTACATTTTCGTTTTCGTTTCGTTTTCCCCTTTCCCCTTTTCGACTTGGACTATTTAAGGTTCGCTGCTTTCCTCTCTCATTCTTCCGGATCTTCTAGCTTGAAGTAGTTCAACTCATACACACATACAAGTTAACAAACTGTGGTCTACCTACCTACTCTTTTCCAACTAAGGTGAGCTGATTGTCCATTCCGTCATCATCTTATAAAGTCATCTAGAAAGGAGATGGTACCTTTGCATATCTACTTCTCCGCAGTCATGAAAGACACTAAAATAGCTAACCCACTACGATAATCTGTCGCCCCATCGACTTGTTTTGCTAACTGCCCTAAGCCTCAATTTAGGTACTTATCTACTCGACGGAAAAGAAAAAGGAGAGGAAAATATTTAAATTTCATCTTCATCTTCCTCTTTTCCCCCGACTCTCACAAATTCTACTATCACCACTACATACACTTTCACAATCTATCATCAATCACCATGGGTGTTACCAAGACTGTAATTCAGGAGGGCACCGGTGCTCAGCCTACTGCTCGTCAGACCGTTACCATTGAGTACACCGGCTGGCTGAAGGACACTTCCAAGCCCAACAACAAGGGGAACCAGTAAGTCCATAAAAACACCCCATCACCTAAAAAAAATCGAGTGCTAGTTTGCCATTGACGTCGGGTAATAGCTTGGGATTTATATAATGTGTAAGCTAACCAATGAATGAAAAAGGTTCGACTCTTCGGTTGGCCGAGGTGACTTTGTCACGCAAATTGGCGTCGGTCAGGTCATCAAGGGTAAAGTCCCGGTGATATCCGTTCAAATACTTACTAAATACTAACATTTACCCCTTTGATAGGTTGGGATGAGGGTGTACTTACCATGAAGGTTGGGGAGAAGGCCACCCTTGATATCACCAGGTACGAACGAAATCATTTCTAGATACTGGGGGTTCAAGCTAACTTGTGTCATTCTAGTGACTACGGTTATGGTGCCAGGTAAGCTATTCTGATTCTTTCGCCGATGTTGATCTATATACAGCGATGGCAGAACCCTCCGTGCTGTGAAATATATTTAATGTCTACTCGGGCTCCATACCAATTGGCTTCATCTTTCAAGAGTGGTAGAACTGACAATTCATTTAGGGGATTCACCGGACACATTCCTCCCAACGCTGACCTCATCTTGTGAGTGCCATCCCTACCTAGATGCGCTAAAAACCTTCAAGTTCTCGGTCTCACTAATCCCTTATCTCGTAGCGATGTCCACCTGAAGAAGGTCCAGTAAATTACCATGCAATAAGGTAACGGAACGGAGTTCTAGTCTATATAAGTTCGGAAACGGATACAGGGCAGGAGGTTCTCTCGCTTCGGTCTTTTTGTTTCCGCTACATGTGGCATGGGTTAGGGCGGCTTCTACGTGAGAGGCGAGAATCAGACAATCGTTAACCACTGAAACTCATTTCCTCGTTTGTGTTCTACAGCCGTGACACCGTGCCAGCTGTCTGGGACTTGCAGTTGGGCTAAAGCGCTTTGCTATCTCGTAAATGTAGCTGCAACGCACCGATGATCCTCTACCCTTACGAACCCTTCCGCCGAAAATCTGTACTAGCCTAAATCGAGGCTACCTGCCGAATCTATGTTTCACCACAGACTTTGGTTACGATGAAATTGCGAGCTTGTGACCGCATATAGCATGTTGTACGAGGAGAACACGTATCAGCAATATTTGGCGTGATAGGCGCGCCATCCTAGTGTCGGTAACTAATGCTAATTCCATTTCCTCGTGGGTACTCTGTGTCCTGACTATTCACTGTGTAATGCACACGTTGAAAGATAGTTATGAGGTATTTGGCGTTCGGATTATGAAGTCATATGTGTATCTAGCCACGTGGGTACAATATATAAATCGAGCCTCGCTTAGATACTTTACAGCACCGCGAAGTTGATCTGCTAGTTACACAGTCTGAGACATCTCTGTCGATAGATCTACTTACGAAGATGCGATCGCCCGATGTTGGTCGCCGTTGTGACACTGTGGTCGCTTCTAGCCGCTTCCATCTTGTATCGAGCAGATCTAGGAAAGTTTAGGCGTCTCTTCTCCATAACCCCCTGCGCTTGTAGCGCGACCAATTTCTAGGGGTAGGAGGTTCCTTGTAGAGTTGATGAAGGATTAGGAGGAGACAATGGACTTCGAGGATTGTTTCTCATTTGATAAAGTATTTCCCCTACTGCCTTTTCTCCTATTGCTTTCTCGCGTCCCCCCCTCCTACCTCTAAAAACAATTAAAGACAAACGATAATCTTTCAATTGAGATCAGAAAAAACAGCCCCGCTCAAGGCGCTGAAGGAGAGAGTATATTCCCCAGTATGCAATGGTTCACCAAGGAGCTCCTGGACAAGGCATTGTTATATCCGTTTTCTTTCATAATGTCCCTACAAGGATGCCGTACCTAGGTATTTAATAGCTAAACAGGTATCTAAGTTCAATTTTGAGGATAACGTCTAGCAAATTCTTCGTAAGGACATAAGAAATACAACATACTAATCGTATAAGACTAAGAGGTCATTTTTAACACTTATTAATACGATTTGATAACCCGCTTCAATATCAGCTCTGCAAGATTAATACTGATTCAAACAGAAGACGTCGATATGGCCTGGAAAAAGACCTACTGGGAGCGAGCTCAAGAGCCTGGCCTGCCAGCCGAAACTGTAGCAGCATTATTAAAAGTTCATCAAGTTCAACAAGTTTTCGACAATGACCCAAGATTTCAATTCGAAGAAATAGTGGGAATAGGCGGCTACGGTATTGCATGTAGGGTGCTGCGGAGACCTTTCATGATGGGAACTCATGAGGTGAAAAACATAAGATTTATCGTAAAGCAGTCTTTCGAGGGGTACGGAAAGCCAGAAGCCCTCCAATATGAAATCCAATTATTACAGGTAAGAAAACGTTCCTATATTCCCCCACCTTCCCTGATTCCTAGAGATCGTGCGGTGTCTATCTATTCTAAGTCGACGCTTCGCATTGCCTTTGGAGACGGATGAGAGTCACGTAAAGTCTTAAGGGCGTGAATTGATCTATTGGGAAATCTTCGATACTGACGTGGGATCTTTACATCACCAGAGATTAGCAGGAGCACCACATATCATGCAACTCTTCGCAATTCGGGACAACCCACTCCTTCGGGCCGGCATCGGGCCAGTTCTCATAGTGGAGAACCTCCGGGGCGGGACACTCAATCGATTCTTGAAGCAATTAGACGAACTGCAAATAGAGTTGCCGAATAGAGTCTTGTGGGCGATACTGTTATGCCGTAAGTTAACCAATTGCCACTGTGGGTCGCTATATACTAAGACGCCGTTACGATTTCTCGTTTTCCATTCAGAAATGTCGGCAGCTCCTAGGAATAGAGGGGAAATATATGCTGTAGCTAACAAGATGCCATTCCAATAGTTGTTCGTGCCATCGCGGCGATGGCATGGCCCGATACCATGCCGAAGGAGACAGCACATCCGAGTGTACCGAAGACGCAACTTGCTCACTTCGATATGAATCCTAAAAATAGTACGTAGTATTGCCTCCCCTCTTAAGATACTCCGCCTTCTCGGGGCAATGTCACTTTCTCCTATTGCAAGTAGGGCATAAGCTGACTGCCTTTTGGTGTATACACATGACTGACAAGAACCATTGTAGTTATGTTTGGCGAGTTTGACCCAATTAATCATCGAAAATTCCCAATAGTAAAGTTGATAGATTTTGGGATTACCCACGAACATCCCCCAATGGGGAATCCGTAAGTACCTAAGACAGCTCAATCCGAGGCAGACCACTGACGTAAAGAAATAGGCCTGTTGAGGACCCTGGAGTTAGACGGAATTTATTTGACATCGGTAGGGTATGTTAATATATCTCCTTTTTGTGCTTTCATGACATCCGAGCTTAGTGGCTTGATGATGATCCTGTCGAATCCCTTTCACCCTCTTTCCGACACTAGTCCTGCGTGATAGATTCAAAGGTTAAAAGAAGCTAATACCTACGGAATTGGTAGATGATGCATCTCCTAATAACAGGTCAAGAACCTGGGAGGGAGAGTGAGAACATGGAGGTTCACGCCCAAGGAGTTCACCTATGGCTAGATTCGTATGCGACCGGCCTTCCACCGTCACAACCAGCAGGGATGAATTCTCTAGACCCAGATTTAAGGGATTCCGTTGTATACTGCTTAGCAGCCAACCCTCACCAACGGCCTCTGCTCGAAAGTTTCCTTCCATTCGTTGCTGAACAGGTTGAAACGAGAACAGCCGAGGTTTACAAAGACTTCCCTAATGCGGCATATGAAGAGGACCAGGCCATCGTCGAACTTGTCGATATGACGATTCTGGTTCCTGAAGAACCTGTCGAAATCTTGTAGTAGCCTGATATCTTCGAGAAAAATTAGGGCGAGGAATGATGTTGATAATTCGTTACAGGGGACGTCCTGTTGTTGACAAATCTTTTGTGTATTTCAAACCTTCTACATTAACGGCATTTAATATCACCGTCAGAACCATCTAAATATCTATCTACTTTTGTGTCATAAAATTTTCTCAATCGTAGGATGATGTTTATGTTTTGGTATCGAGGAACTTTTCCAGGTCCTCAAATTCCCCGCTGTGCTTCATCATGTCATAGAATTGCCCCCTAGCCTCGTATAGCTCCTTCGGGCTTCCAACTCTATGCTTTTGTTAGTGGCGGATTTTATGATTCAAGGACAGCTACTTGGGAATACGTACTCTTGAACCGAGCCTGCGCTCATAACCACGACTCGATCGTAGTCAATGATCGTTTTTAATCGGTGGGCGATAGTGACTAGTGTCCTATCCCTACCATGTTCGTTCAATTCCTTTCTAAGGACCTCCTGGATCCCTTGATCGGTCTCGTAGTCCATCTATAGCATAGTGTAAGTAATTATCATAGTTATGGGGGTATATGAAGTGGAATATTGACGTACACTTGCGGTCGCTTCGTCTAGTAGCATCAACTTGCTTTTGCGCACCAAAGCCCTGCAGAGCGAGAGTACTTGCCGTTGACCGTGTGAAAAATTCTCCCCTTTAGGCTTTACTGGTGTTGAAAGGGTGATGCCAATGTCGTTCGGCGGCTCGTCTATGTTGGTGCCGTTCACCCCATTGTTTTGCGCATGTTCTTCATTTTGATGGTACTGGAATGAAGCGATCCCGCTACAGTACTGAAGCGCCTTTTCTAACGTTTCTGTGGGGACTGTGCCTGTTGGGTCTAAATTCGATTTAACATCTCCATTGAATAGCACGGCCTCTTGTGGGATGATGGTAAGCGCTTCTCGGAGTTTCTTGCGTGGAAATTTCGTGATGTCTACACCGTCGAAAAGTATTTGACCCGAGACGATATTAGTAAACCGTAGCAGAGATAGGACCAGCTGCGATATTTACTAGTTAGTACGCGATTTGTATATGGATCTAAAGCGTTAAACTTACAGTACTCTTCCCAGAACCAGTTCTCCCAACGACAGCGACTCTTTCGCCAGCCGCAAATTTGAGATTGATGTTCTTCAAGATTTCGGGTCCATCTAGATCGTACTTAATAGTCACGTTGCGGAACTCGACTTCACCACTCGTGGGCCAATTCTCAGGCATGGCAGATTCGGGATCGTCAGAGTACTCGCCGACACTCTTGTATTCTTCCGGTTTCTCTTCTGGCTCGACATTGGCATATTCCCGGACTCGATGGAACTAAGGATAATTTTAGTAATCAATTTGTCAAGGTGCATTTCGAAGCTGAACTCACGCTCTGTAGTTCAATCTCGAGTTCGTTTCCTGCCCTCACGAAAAATATGATGAGGGTACTAAGTGTCTAGTTGAATTATTAACAATTGTTTGCTCCTAAAACTCCAACATGATATGCCTTACTGTTGCATTTGTTAACGAAAATCCCACCAGACCAGCTGCTACGAGACCTGCTTTCGATATTGCGATTGCCCCCGCAGAGAGTGTAACCAGTGTAGTCACCATGTCAACCTTAAGCGCAACCCATCGGTTCAGGTTGAATTGGGCTTCGCTTGCTTTCTCAAATACTCGTAGCTTTTCCGCTAATTGATTACCGAAGATCTGCGGCATGTTTGCGCGGGCGCGAATTATGGGTAGACCAGCTAGACTATCGGCGAATTGGGCGAACAGAGGCGATTGCGACGAGGATACGAGACGCTTCACAGCCACTGAAACCCTTGTGTACATTTCTCCGGCGAGGATTCCAACGACACAGCAAGCGGCGGCGGGTATCATAAAGACGGGCATCACTGAGCTGACAGCTAGAATCTGGAAGCAGAGTCGTACGAGCATCTCGAGAGTCATTCGGAGCACTGAAATATCTAACGTTAGATATTAGAAGGTGGGAAATAGACATATGTGCGACTTACTGCTGACTAGCATCGAGTCGATGGAGTCCATGTCATTGGAAAATCGGTTGACGACCCGACCAATTGGCGTGGTCTTGTACCAAGAGAGGGGGACGCTCAATACAGCCTTGATGAATGTAGTGTGTAGCGATCGCGCTGCAAACCAACCACCGCTCTCGTATGCGATATACGCCAAACCGCTAAGGAAGACATCCCCAAGACTCCATAGCGCGTATATACCAAGATAGAACCCAATATCGTACGCATCGTCTTTATCGTAAGCGTCAACCCAAACAGCGACCCACAATCCGGTTCCGACCATCGATGCTGTGGATAGAATGGTCATAGCAATAGCAGCCATCGCGTAAATTGGATTACCGAAGAGTCGCATGTATTGAATGACTTACAGAATAAGTCGTTAGCATATTGGCATCCGTAAGGATAAGTTATTAATTGGGTTACTCACACTGCAAGCGGGTACTCGAACCAGTTCTGAGGGCTTCTTGGCTGACCTCGTCCTGGCGTTTATCTTCAACATTTTTGGCGTCACCGTCAGAACTCTTACCATTGGTAGTAATGCCATTAGAATGAGGCGCGGTCCCTTCCGCAGCTGCATCAACGTTGCCTTCGTCAATAAGTTCTTCATTCAGCGTAACTGATTTCCGGACAACGCCAAGGTTCTGCTGGATGTCTTTGATTAAACCATTCTCTAACATTATAGTAAGGTCGGCCTGGGGGGCAATCCATGGCAATTGGGTGACGAGAACAACTGTCCTCCCTTTCACTATATTAAATAGAGTTAGAAAAATTGGATCATGAAAGCTGAATTTCGCATAGGCCGAATGTGCACTCACGTAGGTCTCCGCAAAAAGCTTCTTCCCATAACAACGCCGAAGTCTTGGCATCTAAGGCGGAAAATACGTCGTCGAGTAGAATGAGAGGGGCCTTCGAGTAGAGAGCCCGTGCAAGAGCAACTCGAGACTTCTGACCGCCAGATAACGAGGCTCCATTCTCGCCGACTTCAGTCTCATCTCGTTCCGGAAACTCATCGAAATCAATTGGTAGACCACAAGCGTTAATAACTCGGTCATATCGAACCGGCTCGAAAGGACTGTTGAATAAAATATTCTCACGGATGGTTTCGTTCTGTAGCCAGGGGCTTTGAGAGGCGTAGGCGATATCCTTGGGGCATGTGATTGAACCACCTTCGATGATGGTCTCGCCAAGAATTGACATAAGAAGCGTTGTTTTCCCGCTTCCACTTTGACCTGTCACTACGTTCAGCCCACCCTCAACGAACTCGATGGATATGTCCTTTAACGCAAATGCAGCCTTCTTGTGGCGCCTGAAAGTCGCTTCATTTATATGGAGTTTGCCAGCCGGATGAGAAGGTAAGGGCGTAGTGTTATCGAAATAACGATCTAGACGTTTTATAGAGACACCTGCGGCGGTGAAACTCCGCGACATGTTCGATGCCATTGCAAGGTTTCGTCGCAACGTTCTAACCAGTGTTATCGCTGTAAATGCGACGTCCGCCGTAAGCGGTTCTTTGCGCACGAGCACCTGTAAAGTGAATATGAGAATTAGCGACAGATTTGGAATTGCCTCTGTGACCGAATTGAGTGAAACAAAACTAGATTCTGTCGATTAGTAGTCGCATTTATCGAGGCGCTTAAAACAACATCACCTACAGCACATTCAAGGCCCATAGCCTCCTTTGCTCGCTGAATCTAATCTCGTTGACTCGCTTGATGATAGCTTCTTCCCAAGAGAAGTATTTGATAGCTCTGATTGCGGCAAGGTACTCCGAGATGACCGATATTCGTGAGTCTTGAATCCGTTTGATATCTCGTTGTATGCCCACCATACGCCGGCCGATTAGGACAGGGAGCGGTGTTAATAGCACCATGGTAACAATGCCGACCAGAGCTGACCAGCCCAACAACTTATACAATCCAATAAGTGACATGGCCGTTCCGACTGATATACCGCAAACAACTTGAACAATTTCTCGACCTCTCGCAATGGCGTATATATCAGCACCCATTAGGTTTGCCAGGCGTCCCGTTGATGTAGTATTCTGCTGATTCTTTTCCTTTTCTTTCCCCGTGGAAGCAATTTCGGCGAATACATCATCGTCTAATTCCATGGACCCCATCGCTTTATAGTATAATTCCTGGGTCAACGCAGCTCTAATACGCACGACCAAACGGGTCGATGTGAATATGTATTGTTCAGCGCACACGGCACGCGACAATGGCCCAATGAAGAGGAGTACAAGCCAAATCCAAGGCCGATAGAGGGAGTCAGAGGGGGCGGATAAGTAACCAAGCAACTTGTACATAGCGAACGGAGCTATCATTTCGAGGATGAAAGACGATGCAATGAAACATGCCATAGTGATAAGCTCCTTACGTAGAAAACATGCCAACGTCCAGAATGTAGAGTTTCCTCTTCGTCGCGCCTCCTGGATCCTGGAAAGCAGGATTAATGGCTCATCGTACCACGGGAGTTTTGGTAGCGCATCGAGAGATACTTCTCGACGCATACCCCTCAATACGAGAGGAGTGAGCCATTCGTAAGTTACGTAATACTCCAACCAGCTGCAGGTTTCTTCAAGTGACGGCTCTCGACTTGGTATGTTTTCGGAGATGCCGAGATCCAAAGATGGCGGTATCCATTCCCTTCGCGTAACAAAAGCTACGAAGACAGCGGCACCTAGGGTTGACATACCACATATCACCATCGCACTCAACTTTTTGCTATAATTCGTATCGACATATGGGAGAAGCTCCCCTATAAGAATGACGATTAGAGAAATAGTAAGAGAGAAGTTCACATGGTGTAAGGCGATGTGTCTCCATTCGAGATCGTTTATGAGCCGTAGGAGACCAAGGATGAAGGCATAAGCTAATACAGCTACATTGGTCCATCTGCCATTATCCTGGGTCGTCGCAACGACGAAGAAAGCCAAAGAGGCGGCGCGTAGAAGTTGACTGCATAATTCAAATGGTAATGATATTTTTTGAGCGTTGCCTTCAGGTTTTAATACCTTAGAGTAAGGTCGGTGAAGTAAATGTTTGACAATGATTAGAAAAGAAAGAACAATTATTGTGAGTTGTAGATAGCCAGCTCTGGCAAACTGGGAGAGGTCATGAACCCATTGAAGCCTGGAGATACTATAACTCCGGGTCAATTACGTACGAGGCGCCAATATATTGAAAGAGGATGCAATCGTACCTGGCAATATTGTGAGTGTGCTTGAATGTATGAAGTGTTTGAGAGCGGATAGGAACAAAGTCCCAACCGTATCCCCTAAAGCCAAGTTGATCCATGATTTCTCATGGCATAGGCCGAATTGGGGTAAAGGTGAGTTCGCTATAGTCAATAAATTGAGATGTCAAGAATAGCAACCTGTCGTTCGGTTAATTTCGCGTTCCGGGATAACATAACAGCCACAATCAGCGGAAGTAGTCTAGAATAGACGGACCTTTCGCCAAGAGGGGAGAGACAACATTAATAATTGCCTGAAGCTATTCTGACGTTTACTTTTGGTAAGGCCTTGGTGGACTACCTACATTGACAACTTATACATAGGAATTGCCCCCATATGGTTACTCACATTACCTACCTGGTACCCCTGAGGGAAGCTGGTCTGGAGGAGGCAGGTAGAGAACGAAATTTCAATTCCCGCAGCTGACTGACTGACTCACTCTTCACTAACTTATCTTATCTCATACCTGTCATGTATGCAGTGTGCTCTACACAGTATACGGCGCGGGCGCACGTACGCCGGATGTAGTATTAGTGCTGTTAGGTTAGTGAAGAAGTCGACGGTAATCTTTCCTAATTTGCTCCATCTAGATTCGGACCCGAGCTTATTAATACGAGATCCATCTCCATTGAGGCTACAAGATTCGAGATTATTATGTCTTGGCAATGGACGACTTGTTTTCGAGGACATAAAGGTATGTGACTCATTCTGTTCAACATTCATATGAAATTAGCACATGCCCTAGTCTGTATGGTATTTCGCTTACAGCCACCTGAATAGTCGGGTAATTCAGCTTGCATGTCGGTGAGTAAATCAGGCAGCAACCAGTAACTTCATACTGTATGATCACGCCATTTTCGCCCTACTACATCAAATGTGATTGAATTTAGGGTCGTGTTTTTCGAGTTGACACAAGTTTATGGTATAATTCGTTTGACCGATGGGGTATGAGCACGCACCTATCTAACCTAGGACAACTGCTCTAACTATAGTTTACTTGGTCATTATTAACCTGCTGGACAGCTGAAGAGATTCGTAGGTCGAGAATAAAGTCGCACTCGACTAAACTAGATCCTACTTCATCTATGATTAGCGCTATTGGGAGCGAGGATCTCTTCATGGAAAACGCCTATATCGTAGTATCCGGACAACCGTTTCTGATGAAGAAGGCCATCATTAATGACTACTCTTGGTCGACGCCGTCGTGGACTGGAGCGCAATCGATTTATGTACCCTGCGACCGAACGCCCTTCCCATACGTTCAGTCCGTCGAGTGGCGTAATGCGTTCCCTTAAGGCACCTAAGTACCAGCCTGAGCGTTCTCTCGCTGCTATATTCTTATATTTTTGCCGGGCCTGCATCTTATAGCTGGCATCTAATAGCCTTTATGGAGGAAATGGTGCGAGAAACCGGGGATGACTCAATCAAGGTCTTCATTCATTTGTTAAGTTTTCTCCTTGCCTTCGACTCCATATCGATATAACACTCCAAAGCCATATTCTTTCACCTCCCCTGCTTATGAATGGGGCCGAAATCATATGATGATGCATCTCTTAAAAGGTACCAAACGGGCGAATAAATGGAATGAATGTCTGCAAATAGAGGTTCCAGTGCTGTAAAGACAGAGAAAGCCCTATAAGTATAGGCGCACGGACCACAATTGGTGCTGGAGAGCTCTAAGCTTGGCGGGGTACGCTAGGCCCGCTTTAAGATACCTAGTACCTAGCTGCCTAGGTACGCGAATTAAGGCGTGGCACGGTTTTAGGTGGTATCAATGGTCGGCGTACATCATTTTTCGCCTTCCGACATTAGAAACAAGACTCATTAAAAAAATAAAGAATCGTCATCAACAAAGCGACTCATCGACACGACGACATGCATATATGACTCTACGATATACAAATTATATTGAACTGAATAATATCTAGGCGATATGAAATACAAATAATCCCTTGAACCATCGCTTGTTTCTACCCGTTGGAACTTGCGCCCAATTTCTATGACCCCGGCTCGCTCCAATCCAACCAAACAATCTCCATCACCATTATCGTCGCGTCTCGCTAGTGTCCGACACTATGGACGACTTCGCTGAGCTCGAGCTCCTATCGCTCGTGTCCAAGGTCACATCTGAGCTCCAAAATCATTTAGGAATATCCGATAAGACCTTGGCAGAATTCATCATCTCTAAACGACTAGAATGCCCCAATCTCTCCGAGTTCAAAAGTCGATTAGCTGATATGGGGGGAGCAAGTTGGCCCGAGAGTTTATTCGAGAGTATCGACCGTCTGGTGCGAACTATGCATCCCAAGTTTAAGGGTTTGAAAGAGGTAGCAGAAGAGGAACCCCAGCAAACAAGATCGCTCGAAGAAAAAGAAACATTGTTCAAGGGTCTAAGCATCCCCGACAAGAATATCAGTGGCGGAGATGTGGATGATATTGATGACACACTGGCACTTTTGGAAGGGCTCGAGGGCAAAGCTAGAGATGCGCGACCGGAAAGATCGTCTAGAAAGCGATCTCGTAGTCCGGAAAGAGAAGATGGCACAGATTTAAGGCATAGAAAGAAAGACAGGTACCGGTCCAGGGATCGCGGAGCTCGAGATTACGACGATGACGACAACTACCGAAACGGTCGTAAAGAACACAGAAGTCGACGAGACGAGCGCGACGAGCATCGATCACATCGTAATGGACAGAAAGAAAGGAGGCGAAAATATGACGGCGAGGATGACGATAACCGTATGTTCCGAAGTGCACCCGAACCCGAAGTAGACGATATGCCTATATTATACAAAGTTTACGAGGGTCATGTCACTGGCATCAGAGATTTTGGAGCATTTGTCAACTTGCACGGTATTAAAGGCAAGGTGGACGGAATGGTGCATATATCCAATCTAGCCCAAGGACAGAGAGTCAATCACCCTTCCGATCTCCTCTCAAGGGGCCAAGATGTCAAGATAAAAATCATCAAGATTGAGCCGAATCGGATAGGGCTTTCGTTAAAGGACGTCGACCAGGAGACTGGTATGGACCTTGCACCACAGGCTAGAATACAATCAGGGGCAAATATGGAGAGTCTTGGGAGTCGAAATGGTGTCATGCCTCGCGGTGATGACAATCTTGCTTCGCTCTCAAGTTATACCGGTCCTGCGCGACCGCATAAGAAAAGGATGACATCACCAGAACGATGGGAAATTCGACAGCTTATCGCATCGGGAGTTGCTAAAGCTTCGGATTATCCCGATTTGGAAGAAGACTACAATGCTACATTGAGAGGAGAAGGTGAGATGGAATTAGAAGAGGAAGTCGATATCGAAGTGAGAGAGGAGGAACCCCCTTTCCTCACTGGCCAAACAAAGCAATCGCTCGAACTTTCGCCGATTAGAGTTGTAAAGGCCCCTGACGGATCACTTAATCGTGCAGCCATGTCTGGAACATCCTTAGCAAAGGAAAGGAAAGAACTACGCCAACAAGAGGCAGAAGCTGCGCAGGAAGAATCAAAGGTGGATCTTGCCTCACAATGGCACGACCCAATGGCGAACCCGGACAGTAGAAAGTTCGCTAGCGATTTACGAACTGCCAAAACAACTGCCCCCAAACCTGAATCTGTCCCTGAATGGAAACAAGCCGTCGCACCTAAAGATCAATCATTCGGCAAACGAACAACTATGTCAATTAAACAACAAAGGGAGTCCCTCCCTGTCTTCGCCTTTAGGGGTCAGCTTATCAAAGCTGTTCAAGAGAACCAAATCTTAATCGTTGTTGGCGAGACTGGTTCCGGCAAAACCACCCAACTTACACAGTACCTCGCTGAGGCCGGCTTCGCCAATGAGCGAATGATAGGTTGCACGCAGCCGCGACGAGTGGCTGCTATGTCTGTTGCGAAGCGTGTTGCCGAAGAAGTCGGCTGTCAGCTGGCCCAGGAGGTTGGCTACACCATTCGTTTCGAAGATTGTACCAGTCCAGCAACCCGTATCAAGTACATGACTGATGGTATGCTGGAGCGTGAAATCTTACTTGATCCTGACTTGCAGCGATATCAGGTCATCATGCTGGATGAGGCTCACGAAAGAACTATTGCCACCGATGTTCTCTTCGCGCTCTTGAAAAAGACAGTGAAACAACGACCTGACCTTAAAATCATTGTTACATCAGCTACCTTGGATGCCGACAAATTCTCTGCATATTTTAACGAATGTCCTATCTTTACTATACCTGGACGTACTTTCCCTGTGGAAATCCTCTATAGCAGGGAACCTGAATCCGATTATCTTGACGCTGCTTTGGGGACTGTCATGCAAATCCACCTTACAGAGCCCCCTGGAGATATCTTGGTTTTCCTTACAGGTTCAGAAGAAATCGACACCGCGGCCGAAATCTTATACGAACGAATGAAGGCTCTAGGGCCAGGTGTTCCCGAATTGATCATTCTACCGGTGTATTCAGCACTGCCCAGTGAGATGCAGAGTAGAATCTTCGATCCTGCACCTCCCGGTAGTAGAAAAGTCGTTATCGCCACCAATATCGCTGAAACTTCTATCACTATCGACCACATTTACTATGTTGTAGACCCCGGTTTCGTGAAGCAGAACGCCTACGACCCTAAGCTTGGAATGGACTCCTTGGTTGTTACACCTATTTCACAAGCGCAGGCAAATCAACGAGCTGGGCGTGCCGGAAGGACTGGTCCTGGCAAGTGTTTTAGGTTGTATACAGAAGCTGCATTTCAATCTGAAATGCTTCCGACAACTATACCGGAAATTCAACGTCAGAATCTGGCAACTACGATTCTCATGCTGAAGGCTATGGGTATAAACGATCTTCTCCATTTCGACTTCATGGATCCGCCACCTACTAATACTATGTTAACTGCCTTGGAAGAATTATATGCTCTCTCGGCCCTTGATGACGAGGGCCTGCTAACTCGTCTTGGCCGAAAAATGGCCGACTTCCCAATGGAACCTGCTCTAGCCAAGGTTCTAATCGGTGCGGTTGATGCGGGCTGTTCTGAAGAGATGCTTAGTATTATTGCGATGTTGAACCTTCAAAACATCTTCTACCGACCAAAGGAGAAGCAGACGCAAGCTGATCAGAAGAAAGCTAAGTTTCACGATCCGCATGGAGATCACCTCACTCTCCTCAATGTTTATAACGCTTGGAAGAACAGCGGTTACTCGGCGCCTTGGTGTTTTGAAAATTTCATTCAAGCACGTTCGATGAAGCGCGCGAAAGATGTTCGCGACCAACTCGTCAAGATTATGCAGCGCTATCGCCATCCTGTTACATCATGCGGCCGTGATACCCAGAAAGTCAGACAAGCTCTTTGCTCGGGTTTCTTCCGCAACTCAGCGAGAAAGGACCCGCAAGAGGGATACAAAACATTAGTTGAAGGCACGCCAGTCTATCTTCATCCCAGTTCAGCACTATTCGGAAAACAGGCCGAGTGGGTGATCTACCACACGCTGGTACTCACCACTAAAGAGTACATGCACTGCACGACCAGCATCGAACCAAAATGGCTCGTGTCAGCTGCCCCAACGGTCTTCAAGGTTGCGCCCACCGATAAGTTGAGCAAGCGCAAGAAGGCGGAGAGGATACAGCCGCTGTATAACAAGTACGCTGCAGAGGACGACTGGCGCTTAAGCGCCCAGCGCAAGGTTGGACGATCGGGTGGCGGTGGTGGTACTTGGGGTTAAAAATAGAGAGGCTCAGTGCATTATAGGTGCTTACCTAGGTACCTATTGAGAGAAGTGAGTAACCAGTCTGTAGGGCGGATTTGATCGTGCGCGTGGCTTTAGATACATGTTGATATCCGAATATTTTAGCACCTAGTAGGGCGCTTAGGGCAGCTTCAGTGCGTTCATCGCGCGATGCATTAACACTCAGGCCGTGTTTTAACGGTGCTTAACGCTAAGAAGTAAGCAGATATTATCAGAATATTACAACCATTCATAACTTATTCTTCAGACATTCCACGAACTCAAGTAGAACTTTGTTTCGTACATTACTAATACACTGTCTGTGTACATCTCACTTAATCATTTATTTATAATTTGACTCCTAAGCAGGCTTTAAAATAGTTGGCGCTTTATGTATGTTATTACAGTCGAGATACCCTATTGACCTCAGTTCCAAGCCATTATAACCTAGCACGTAGCAACACCTACCTAGAAACCTAGGTATTCACCGCGCTTGACTTAGAAGGAAGCTTCTTATGTCTTTAACTACCTATGCAACGACGTTCTAAGGCTAGAAACGATGACTCGACTTGTGAGTTTACTAGAATTCACATGGATTCGCTTGTCGGCCATGGCGACGTACCTCCCATCGACGTTCACGAAGGACAAAAAGCCCGCAGGCACAGGCTCCTCACTAAAGCTCGAGTTACCCCAAACATGTTTCCTTACAGCGTCCTTACCCCCTGCCAATTCTCATTTCAACTCTTGTATCTAGCTATCTCTCAACTATCCCTAGTCACGCGAGTATAACTCGACAAATTCGCATGTGATCGGTCCTACTAGAGGGATACAATAGTTCCTCTACAATCAAAAAGGACGATAATAACAATCTCAAATCTTTCGATAGTAATAAGGACGTCCGGCCCGTCGATGTCTCGGCACCGGACTCAGCACTTTACGATTCCGCGAGAGTGGAAAACAATCGAGTTCATATAGAATACGGGGTCACTGGTAAATTAACGTGCGGGCTGCAGGCGTCCGCATACGAACGCACGAACGCACACATACCTACAGCTAAGCTAAGCTAAGCAATTTTCGAGTAACGCACGCTGACGTTGTTGTATGTCGGCACCTGGACGCCCGTCATATATATAAATGTGTGGTATATAGTGTATATAGTGCCTTTATATTGTAAGCACAGGTAGATTATATATATTAGACCCGAGCTCGTGCGAGGATTGGGGAAGTGTGCCGGACAACGACATTCTTTTCATTTCGAAAGGGAGGAGGAATAATGTATTGGCGGTAGTAGGGAGGGTATGGATATAGATTACTTACCTACCGTGCGTATGTAAGGGTTAACGTTCCATCGAACCAACTAACAAATATAGCATATTACCATGACAATGAAGCTGGTTGTTCAGTCCCAATCCGGCGATACGGCCACGGCGTTTCATTTAGAGCGACGGGCTACCGAAGAAAGACATGCCGCGGCGATAGTGATGGTGGTGGGTGGTGATTGACTCAGTAACGGTAACCCGTGGTCGCGAGTGATATGGAGAATGGGTAATGGGTAATGAATGAATGGCAATGGAATGCGGGTGGGGTTGAAGTTGGTTCGTTGTCTTAGGTTAGCTCGTCGTGGTCGTGGTTGTTCGGTCGGCTGTCGCGCATATCATACGCTGCTGCTACCTACGACATACGACACACATACATTAGCTGGCTACATTAGCTACACTACACCACCCAAGACCAAGACACACTACCCAGAACTACCCGAGCAACTAAGAACTACCTACATTACATATGCAGTAGTATGTATGCAGGCACGGGACTTGCGATATTAGAACGTGGAGAACATTCAGTGGAAATCTTCCACTTCCAATCTCCATTGTCCATTTTCTATTTCCCATCTCCTATCTCCTTTGGCGCGAAATAAATAAATAAAAATAGGAGACAGGGAATTAGAGTAAGGGGCGTCTGTCTGTTCGTTCGTTTGTTGGGAATTAGAGAAGCATAGCCATTCTATTTTACCCTTTAAAAAATACCATATTTCGTACGTGCATGCAAAATAAAACCGCCTCCTTACCCAATTTTTCCCGAAATACAGGAATAAATTACTGTTGATCTTTTAAAGCCCTTCAAACTCCGCCTACTGTAGGGGGGAGAGGGGTCCTGTTACCCTGTCTGCCCCCCCAAAAAACCTGCCAACGAGGTGTTTTTCTTTTTCTTGGCTATAGGTAAATGACGTCGATCCCTTCACTTCAACCGGTAGAAAACAAATTCCAAGAATGATGACGATCACCATTGCCCTTGGGGACCACGGGACAACCGTAATCGACCAAAATAGGCAAACATTACCTTAATCTAAGAACCACGTACCAGCAACAGCCTGCATCGTTGCAGCCCTGTCTCTAAGGAGGAAATGACTATCGCCGGGGCTAAACCTGTCACTGCCTGCATTTACAACATTTACTGCAGCACCTTGAGATCGGTATTTGGGATCTTGGGGTAACGAATATCTTTACTTTATTGATTACTACTATGAAAGCACCCTATTTGATACTGCGGTGCGCAGGTGACTAATGAATGGTATCCAATATCCCGTGCCAATTATCCTGAACGCCAATTCGCCTATAACCAAAACCATGAAGCGGTGTGATCAAGCTACTGCTGCCGCCGCCACCAGAACGTCCAGGGCAGAGCTTTGTGTGCCTGCTGTTGCGTTCGTGTAGGGTCCTTCCCAGGTGCCGCCAAGTTGGTTCTGGGCGTTGCGGTTCTTGGCCCAGATCGTATCCGCGTTCGTCAGAAGGAAGTTCTTGATAGGGTCTAGAGGAGCTGCTTTTTGCAAGTAGTGTAGGTTGCGCATGAAGATCCCCTTGAACTGCGAACCATCGCTTCCACAGTTTGGCTCACAGCCCTCGTAAAGAATACCATCCTTGGATAGCTTGGTGATCGCAGCCGAAGCAATGGTCTGAGCCTCGGTAAGCAGTGACTTGTCACCCGTGGCTTGGGAGAGCTCCACTAATCCGCCCAGAATGACTCCCTGGTTGTAAGTCCAGGTCTGCATGCCGTTGTTTTTGCAATCGTCAGTGAGACCGTCATTGATTAGGTTATCCTTGTTGATCAGACCGCTGTTCTTGAACCAGTTCCATTGGGCTTTGGCCGTATCCAAGAAGTAATCCTTTCGCGAGGGAATCCGGTTTGCGAGCGAGGCTGCGACGCTAAGATAGAGCTCGTTTGCGATAGCATTGGTGTATGGCGTAACCTTGCTCCAGAAAATTCCACCACATGTGGAGTTGCCCTTTTTCATATCCTCGAAAATATCGACGGCGGCTTGGAGGTACTGTTGATCCCCAATGCCCTTGACACCAACATCGTGGCTGTGGATCATGGCTAAGGCCCACCAACCTTCGTCATCGTAATAATCGTTGAGGAAGTTATCGAATCCCCTCTTAACAATTTCTGATCTTTTCGTTTTCGAAACTCTGACGTATGATGAAACAGGAAGTCCTTGAGCCGACAATATCTTGGTTGCTTGCACTGGCGTCTTCTGTGCTTGGTCATACTGTGGCGCATTCGATATTAGCACTGTAATGTTTTTTTTCCTACATGCGCGCATAATCCTAGGGGCGTATTCTCTGAATCCCATTGTCCAATTTGGGGATTCGCTAGTCCTCAACAAATCTTTGGGCAATATTACAAACGTCTTAATGGAGGGTAGGAAAGGTAACAGTCAAATTTCGGGTTTACTCACGGTGTTTTGGATGATCTCCGGGATCATTAGGCTGTCAGAAGCGGATGGGTCCAAAAGCGCAAAATCGGCCAACACTGTTAAACAGTTGGCGCTATTCCACCAGCCAGTGGTGTCCCAGAGACCAGTCTCGCGATTGTACCATTGTTGAAGAGTATTGAGCGCGTCGACTGTGTGAGAAGCGTATGTCGCAGAGTCTGCGCGACTGGTAATATGACTAGACATTAAGAAAACAGCCCTGGAGGCCAGGGAGCCAATGACGGAAGAGGAAACCATGGCGAACACAGAACTGTAAGGGGTAGAGAATAGAAACAGAACAGGATATTTTCCGTTGGTAAACAGAAGTTTTCCAGAAACTTACTGGTGACGGGCAAGGGGGAAATATATAAAAATATAAAATAGAAGAGAAGAAAAACGAATTGCCACCTGATTCAGTGGAATGTTGGTAGGTTGGCCATCCACTCGATCTCAATGACAGTATATTAAGGGAGATGAACGAGGATGGAGTACCTTGTCCCAAAACAGACTGCAGCGGGCACACTACGGCGGACTCACATGAGCCCGCCACAGATGGATTCAAGCAAGTACATTACCAAAAGAGTTATAACACAACTTTCCAGACATGGGTCGTCTCGCGACCCGTGGATCCTGTAGATCAGGTTGACTGGCAGTAGCGTGTGCGTCTGTGTGTGTAATAGAGTGTATGCGTGTGTAAGTGAGTGTGTAAGGCTGGTGCTGGTAAAACTAGGACTAGGACCAGGACCAAGCGAGAATTACAGTGAGTGAGTGGACTTGGCTGCTTGGATGGGATGAAGATGGGCGACTGTGCGAGCCGAGCCAGCGGGCTTCAAGTTTCCCTGGACCCTCGATCAGAGCAGATCGCGGCACTTGATGATTGGCGACGGGCTGGCCACGGTAGAGATTAACAATCGAGGAAAGGGATGAACAGGCTGGGCTAAAAATGCCGGGTTAAACTGATGCCAAAGGAATTAAGATCTCCGATAGGGTTGTGGTGTGTTTCAGAACAGGGCATGATTCTCATGCTGGACCCGCGTTGCATCAGGAAATCTTTAGGCGGAGCTTTGTCAACAGCGCTGCATGTGTCGGAGTACACACACACGATAATAAATCCCGGGATCCGTAGCCTGTTCTGCGCGTTCCACTTGGTTCTAGCTTAGATCTTGCCGAGCTCTGCTTCGAGAAGATCATCTTTGACAAATCCATTTTCGAAGAATACCATGCGCGATCACAAGAATGCTGCAAGTAACCCCGTGGTCAGGTAGCTCGACAGACCGCCTTAACCGCCCTACCAGAATCCTGACGAGTTGGTTGACGGGATTGTTGCAATTGTTCCCAAAAAAAAGTTGTTGAGTAAGGGAAGGAAAAAGATTAGTGGCACGTCCCGCCGGCGTCAGATGAAACAAGCTGCGTTTATTAAGGTACCAATCTAATGTACCTGAGTTATGCTAGATAAGGACCTGTTACTACCTGGAGATAAGAAGGATAAGAAGGATAAGGGGGAATAACCTTTATCCAGTATTCTAGGCTTTCTGGTAGCAGGTACATAAACTAGTACATAAGCTAGCGTTGCGACGTAGGAAACCTTCCCTTTTCAGGCCTTGCACTGCCGCTGTATAGTGCTATATAGTGCAATTAGCGTTGTGCATGTAGCGCATGCAGTGCAGAAACTATTCAATTGTATGTACCCACAGTAGCACACTCGAGTAACACGATACAATAGTCATTGTACCTAATGCACAACATTGAATAGTATGGGCAAGTGCTCTAGGGCTAGCTCAAAAGAAAGTTAGCGCTATTCACGGGTGTGACATGTGCGATAGCGGGTCGGGTATTACCTAAACTCCATATTATGATTCTCATTTAAGTTTGCTGTTGCTTCCGGGTCTCCGCACCCGCTTCCCGTCTAACTACACTCCGAGCCACATGCTTTCCTGTAGCTTCCTGTACGATGACGAAGGTCGTGATAATGATGCGTATATACGTATATGAACGTATGTGCGTGCGCTTTGCGACAGCATGCACTATGCAAGCGCATACATAGCGAGTCATGAGTTCTGATTAAATCCTAAATTGTAACCATCTCCGGTCGTCCTTTTTTCAAATTTTTTTCATGTCCGAGCAATAAGGCCGTATGCCTGTCGAAAGGGCACCCAACTGATTAAACACTATACGGATCCAGCTGACTGGAAATGAGCCGACCATGGCGGGACGACATGGAGGAATATGGTTACACTCCGCAAGAACTAGTTGATATCATCTGAACCACGATGCTTGGCGTAACCTATGAAGTTCTCTCTCTGTGGATCACCTGTCACTGAGAATCAGTCGCACCAAACGATCCCAAGTGATCGACAGACACATCTTTCAGCTCTTCTCAGCGGGGCCCCGTTGGGAATCTCACCTCGTCGTTGCAACTCATTGTCACTTGGTAGTTTTCAACTTACACACAAGTCTTCATCAATAGAAGCCTTGTCAACTTTAAGACGATTTCTATCTACGTGACTCAGTGGGGAATTCATCTCATCTTTTTCTACTACCAGCTCTTTCGCTTGGTCTTTTACCGAATACCGAATGCCCTTGACATCTCCCCAATTCAATTCTCCGCAGTTATATGCCGTTAAAAGAGCCTCTATCATTTTAATATTAGACCTCACCCCACAAACTCCCCCGCATCCACGTCTCCCCTAGTCTAGTGGGCGGAAGAATTGCCTGAAGATGGAGTAGGAGCATCTCCAACCGCTATGGCTTATTCACTAGCCTGGGAGATTCGCTTTAAGACAATTCCGAAGATCGACAATATAAACAAGCTGACTTATTAAAGATTGTTTACAAGGTAGGCTAATATGCTTCCTGTATCACGCGTCCAAATCTTGCAGTTGAGTCAAGATGTTGTCCAGGGCTATCTCTAACGCATGTCTCATTTTCCTATCTTTCTCTAGGTGTGCTTACGCGAAAGTGGTTGCAAGTGAGAATGGTACCCAGCTTATTATTCAGAATGACCGGTTGTACACACGTGTCGACAAGGCCTCTGGGGCGATGGATGCTGTGGTGTTGGATGGCCAAAACCTCTTGGGCACACGATCAGGATCTACCGGCATATTCAATTTAGATTGTTATTGGTAAGTAACGCCATGCAACTTGTTGTAAAGTAACGTAACGTGCTAAGCCACGGTGAAGCACCCCGAAAGGTTTTTGGACACCGGGATCGACCCAGCCAACTTACGAGTTGTATTCCGGGACGGATACCACCGGAACAAGCTTTGCTGGCATCCGAATGTCCGACACTTACACCCCTACCGGCCAGGTTCTCGAGCAGTATTGGTTCCTCAGAGATGGGGAAACTGGTCTGCATGTGTTCTCACGTATCGCGTACTACAACGAGACTACCCCATTCCTGCGCAACCTCCAAGAGTTCCGGACTTTATTCCGACCCAACTCGGACATATGGACACACCTTGCAACTAATGGCGTACAATATGCGCCGCTGCCCGGTAAAGAGGCCAAGAAGAACGAAGTTGTGGTACAAGGTGAGTGATTATTGAAATCTACGTCGGACACTTCCATCAGCCATAGGCTCGGGAGAAAAAATGTTTCGGGAACTCCGAGACAGAGCTTATCGGCCTTTATTTCACGCGGAGTTGCCCTACTCGGAAAATACTGACAAGCGTTGTAGATGCTACTTGGTACATGGGCAACACGCCCGACGACCCCTATGTCCAACAGGAGGCCGACTACTTCACCAAGTACACATTCCAGGATACATGGAGAAACCACGATGCCCATGGGATGTAAGTCGAAGTTCTGCTGAGTAAATAAGTTAGGTCCTAACATGATCCACTAGGTACGCCGATGGATCTCAAATAGCGGATAATTCAACATTTGGGGCTGTATGTACCACTACTGATTCCTTAGATGCTTCGCTAGTTTTGGCCGGAGTTCAAAAATGATTGCTGTGATCTAACTTTTCCGGCCGTAGTGGATGGTCATGAATACGAAAGAGACCTATTTCGGCGGCCCATTGCATTCCGATCTTATCGTCGATGGAATTGTCTATGATTACATGGGTAAGTGGTGATCAACCCTTACAGGAACGGCCAGGTAGCTAATCTCAATTTTAGTCTCGAACCACCATGGAGATCAGACGGTAAATTAAAATTCACTATCTAAGTCTTTAGAAATGCTGACGATGTCCAAGCCAAATATCACCAATGGATTTGACCGCACATTCGGACCAGTGGGTGAAATCCATCATAATCACATTAAAACTCCTCACTAACCAAACTAGCAATTCTTCTATTTTAATCACTTTCCTGCCGGAACTGATCTCCAGGTTCTCCGAGAGGATGCCGTACAATTTGCAAATCCGGAATGGAACGTCGAGTTCTACGATTCTATCGCAAAATACGTGCCCAACTATGTTACTAGCGAACAGCGAAGTACGTGGAAGCTGCAGGTAGATCTACCTAAGAATGCCAAAAAGCCCATTGCTGTTCTATCGCAAAATGGCGTGGATTTCCAAGATAACGTGTTCGACACCAAAGCTTACCAATACTGGGTTGAAATCGATGAGAGTGGATACGCTAGTATTCCACGGGTAAAAGAGGGCACTTATCGTCTCACCATCTATGCTGACGGAATATTTGGCCAGTACATCCAGGATGATGTTGAAGTGAGTACCGGAAAGGTAGAAACGACACAAGTGAAGTGGGTCGAGGAAAGCCAAGGAGATGAGATCTTCCGTATAGGCACTCCCGACAAAAGTAGCGGTGAATATAGACACGGCTATGAAGTTGACCCGACGCATCCACGTCATCCTGAACAGTATAGGATATACTGGGCTGTGTACGACTTCCCCGACGAGTTCCCCGATGGTGTCACATTCAAAGTTGGCGAGAGTGATGTCGGAAAGGACTTGAACTACGTCCACTGGAGCACATTCGGGGGCTACGCCAACTACCTCCGCCCCGAGGCCTATTATGGTGGCGGGAATGTTAATAACTGGACTATCATCTTCGATTTAGAAAAATCGCAATTCTATCAGAAGCAACAGGCCACCTTTACCGTTCAACTAGCTGGAGCCAAGAACGCCGCGGGCAACACGGATGTCTTCAATGCATCCGAGCCCCACGCGAACCTCGCATACACGGTCAATGTCAACGGGAAAGACCTTGAGCCATGGATCATTCCGTAAGTATACTCCCAGGCGTTGAATTCGTATTTCCAGATATGGCTGACGGTCGAGTAGGTGGTACCAGAGCAGCTCATGTGCAGTGCGATCCGCAGTAATCTGCTATAACATCGCCAACAAATTTGTCTTCGACCCGTCACTACTCAAAGAGGGTGAGAATAAAATTGTTCTCAGCTTACCGTTCAACGCGACCGACTACGAAAGCGCGGTGTTACCTGGATCCGTCTATGTCCAATATGACGCATTAAGGCTCGAGGTCAGCTCAGCGAAGAGATGTGGTCGCAAGAGAGCCACGTAAAATATACTAATTAAAGCTTTCATAACAAAAATTAAGTTAATAGCCTACCAGTATTTAATCGAAAGTACCTTATATTCTCACTACCTACCAGTGTACATGCTATTAAGACCCTTTTTGCTGTAAGTACAGTGCCCTGAATGGTTAAGTGAGAATAACTCACTCGTATCTTCGTAAAGTATACCAAGAAGATACTTTGGGCTACAAATCACTTTTAAATCTATGGCATGGACCACGAATACGCAATAATGTGGGTGTCAGCACGAGAATGTCGTTAAACCATTGATACACGCAGAAAAAAAGGGGGATTCTTCCCATCGTCATACCGACTAAGCAATTCAGTCACATCTCTGAACTTGCAAAAGATACATCTCGGGTAAGATAATAACTTATTAACTACTTCTAGCAGTGAGACGGGTTCTCAAGGCCAAAATCATATTATCACCATTGCTGATCCCATTCAGACTGGTGCGGAAAATCTATATAGATGCCCCCTAAACCCCTAAAGACTTTGGGTGGGTGTGTATATTGACTTGCAGCTCGTAAAGATCGGACCGTCATCATGGAAATTCAGGAACGGCTAGATTGGTTCCATTTGTTCGGTCCTGCCGCTACGACCCGGTAATTCCCAACCGCTGTGCTGATGGACCGGGTTACCGGTCCACCCCACGCTGTACAAATCCACCTTATTGGAGTGTGCACAATAATCAAGGGAGAATGGGGAAGTCCCGTATGGTTGGAACCTCCATGTTGGAAGGTGGGGGGACTGAACTGGAGGGTATCGTCTGGGTTCACGTGGAGGATTGCACATCTTGCATATCCAATAGACATCTAACGTGAGATGTAAAGGGCTGAAACGGGTCAAAGATAGATTAAGGTAAGTTTTCAATGTATCTCCTTATTCGCCAGTGATGAAAATGCTTATATTAACTACTCCCTTACATATCCCTTATGTACGTATCTCACTAGTCGATACACGTTCGTATGGGTCTCGCCAATGCCAGAAGGCCCAAAGTTGAATGCAATACGATGACATCTCTATAGGATCGAGAACAGAATTATCTATCGTAAATAGATCGGGTTACGCAAAATCTCAAGCGAGTCAACTATAGTTACTACCCCCCTTAACTGATCACGTCTATTACCACCACCCCCTATTAATTCAGCCCAACGTCTGGAAATTGGCTCAATGGAACAATTCGTGTGGCCGAGTGGCCCGTATAATCATAAAACTAACCAATTACACGAAATTAATGTCTATAATATCGCATTATTTGACAAGTTACGATATTTTCCAGCACCAACAGACCCATGTCGTCACCTTGGAATAGCCAATAAGAATCTAGCCAAGAATTAGCATATAGAATCTATGGGAAATGCTATATACTTATTTTTATTTTGCTGACTATGTTGATTAGGTTTCAAAAGGTTTTGCCAAGTAGTCCCGTAGAACAAAGACGATGACTATTTGACATCATAACATCAACAACCAACAATTGCACAATTCGAGAGGACAAAGGACATTAATAGAAATGAAGACGCACACTCTACAACATAAATCGTACTAAATGAGGGCCTATTGTCGAAATCAGATATGCTGCATGCCTCGCTAAACCACTGAAGTATCTAGCATTTAGTCTACCCCTAAACTACACATACACGTGCAATTTTCTCATCAGCGAATGCCTCCTACCAAGACACCTTATAATGTACATATAAATTTCGAGCAATTCTGATAAATATGGCGTAGTCTCCGCCCACGTATTATGTTGCATCGAAGAAACGCAGCTCCGTTTCGGACCGCTGATCACCGTCATTAGTTGGTATCGGTTCGCGGTTGCTCACGGGCTCGGCGCTTTTTCGCGCAACCCGATCCCATCCCCTTTCCATCTTAGATGGGGCTACCAACAGGATTTCGTAGCCTAGCCCCGCCGCATGCAAGCATCGAGCCGACTAACGGATCAGATTTCGTGATTATAAATAATAAAAAGGCTTTTATATGAGGCTCTGCACTCCCCGCATGTCATCGATGAAACTATACGAACGTCTTGTCTAACTTCAGACTTATGAGTCGCTACGTAGCTCGACAACTCACCGCATAATTAGAAAGGTCATATTACTTAATAATACTTAGAATAACTGGGTACGTCATCAAGACACTATTTGGAAGATATTGTATGCTAATTCAGCTTAGTGTTTATTCATACGAAGGTATTTTAACTAGAGAGGAATCTAGTTGGTCTAAAATAGAGGAACTTAACCAAGAACCAAAGCTCTAATACTTAAACCACCACCTATCAACACCCGAATCGCAAAAATGGCCCCAAAGAAGATGAAGATTACAGATGTAAGTCCCCGCTAGAATGAGAACTTGCATTCCATATATACTCATAATTACAAAGTTATACATTTACCCCATCAAGTCTCTATGCCCGCTCTCCGTGCGCAAAACGCGGCTTCGTCGGGAGGGATTACAGTATGACCGTCGCTTCATGTTGCTCAAGGTCCTTCCTGATGGGGGGTACAAGAACATCCAGACAGTCTACTTCCCCGAGTGCACCCTATTTGACCAGACCATTCAAGGTGACGGAGAAGGCGGCCTTGATGTTGTCGTCACCTACCGTATCCCAGAGAAACCGCTAGTTAACCCGCCGCCCCCAGAGCAGAGTACTGCACGTATGTGTTACCCTTTACTGATTCTGCCTAACATATTTGGTATTCCCGTTTCAGATCCGAGTCACTCATGAATCTTCCCTGAAGGAGTAATCACTAAAATCGCTAATACCCACATAGTGCGCGTACCCCTCAACCCCACCTTCGACGGCCTCGACACCGTTGATATCGAGCTATTCGGTAGCCCCACGTTCGCGTACCGCATGGGCGACTCATATGATGCCTGGTTCTCATCGTGTCTAGGGTATCCCGCCGTACTCGTATACATCGGCGAGAATCGACGCCCAGTACTAGCACACTCACCACCTACACCCGCGCCTCTATCACAGAGCAACTCCTGGCTCTCGTCCATCACATCATACATACCATACTGGTCGCGGGCCGCCCAACCAGATGCCAAAGAAACCAATGATGGCGGTCTCGCCTTCAACGAAGCCGCGCCCTTCCTCGTAACATCCAAAGCCTCACTGCGCGAGGTCAGCACCCGCCTCCCTTCAGATCAACCCATGAACATGATAAAATTCCGACCGAACATTGTCGTAGACGAAGTTTCCGACGACGACACCAATGACAACGATAGCGACTACTACAGCATCGACGAAGAACCATCAGAAGAACAAGGCGAAGCAAAAGGGGAAGAAAACGCCCTCAAAGCCTACGATGAAGACCACTGGGCCGAACTGCGCATCCGGCGACGCCACCGCCTAGCTCTAACTGCAAACTGCGCGCGCTGCGCCTCCATCAACATCGACTACAGCACGGGCCGGCCCGGTACCAACGAGTCGGGCTCCGTGCTAAAGAAACTGATGAAAGACCGTCGCGTGGACACGGGAAACAAATGGTCGCCTATTTTCGGGCGGTACGCTTTCCTGCTCCCCCCTACTTCCCCGCCGCCAGAGCATAGTGGGGATGAAGGGGAAGATGGAGATGGGGAGGACTGGGTAGCTGACGTCGCTGTGGGGGACGAAGTCGAGGTTACGAAACGCAACACCGAGCGAGACGTATGGGCGTGGCCGAAATGAGTCCGTCCGTCTGTCTGTCGTCCGCTTGCTTGTCTGTCCATCTGCCCACTTTCCTCCATATTCCGCCGTCATAAGGCCGCGGGCGCGCGATCGCGCATGGAGATTTCGAAACCCCCATCTAGCGGTGAGCACATATCGCAAGCATGAATTAGCAAGCTTGGCTTGTCTTATGTGTACGCACGACCGACCGACCGAGAAAAATTCTTCGAATGGCGCCAACAATGCCTCACTATCGTCGCCAAGAAGAAACGAGTAACAAGTACAAGAAACAACAAGCACCTGGGTCCTTAATCAAGCAAAGAAAGCTACATTCGGACGCTTCGGACAGAATACTAGTGCCACCTGTCACTCGGATAGCAGGGCAGGGCTTACGTACGATGGTACCGTCGGATCGCGATCGAGTTACATCCGGCCGGCCCAAACATTGTCTCGGGCAAGATAGCCCGTTGGGATAGATCCCCGGAGCGACTAGCGAAAACCAAAAAACCGAGGTGAGGTGAGATAAGATGATGCGAGGCGAGACGAGGCGAGGAATCAAAGCACTCAAGAGAAATTAAAAAAAAAAAAAAAAGGGGGGGTGGTATGTATGTAGTATTATTAGATGGGGGTTTTAGTCGCACGTTGTATATATTGGGAAATAGAACTACATGGTGGCTAGCTGGCTCCTCGCAGGGGAGCCACAAATGAGAAATACCAGGTTTAATGAAGAATCGTATGTACGTCATGCATGCATATATCATGATGGTGGCATGGGAATGGGTAAGGTACACACCTACTTTGGGTATGGAAGGACGACAATTTCCCATATCTTGGCCCATCAGGGCTGGGGACGGGCTGTGCTCCCGCAACGTCGGCTGCCGTGTACAAACGACATGTGAACGCGGCCCTCCACAACAGCCCAATGGATGCTCCCCGACGTTCCAGAAGCCGACGGGACCTTGCAGAAGTGCCGCGTGTGCGAAAACGCGTGTCTCCACGTTGCACAGCGTTTGTGGGTAGCCCTGCCTAACCTCAGCTTCCCCCGTTGGGCCGCACGCAGCAGCCTCAACTTTGACTTCATCCTAGCCTGACCTGACCGACCATTTCCAACCATCGATCACAGAATCAAACGCCTAGCTGAGTGAATGAATACCTATTGCAACGTGGCATTAAGTCTTCGGTGTTTTGGGCACATCTCTGAAACCAACCAAACATTTTTTTTCTATTTGGGAGTAATAAACATGATTGAGGCATTGATTGTACTTGCGTACTGGTTTTCTTTCTCGCAATAATTTCCTTTTTTGTTTTCCCTCCCCGCGCCGGAAAAAAAGCACCTCCTAACAAGGGGAGATGGAATAAGAGACCAAACAAGGTAGTAGTGGGCTCATTCCTATACTGTACTGTCATGAGGGACGTTCCTTGCACTTACCGTGTCCTCATTTTGGGTGAGATGAAAACAGTGAAACCAGATCCATTGTAAACACAAGACAACCTTCGCCAGGGCCCCCAAAAATCCTGCGCTCATCAAGAGCTTTTTTCTCTTTCGCCTCGTGTATTTGTCAATCAGCTTGCCTCGTTGTACATTCCGGGGAAAAAAGGAAAAAACAATTCTATGAGCTGAAGACGCCCCTCCAAAACTGGCAATGCATTGTCATTGCACGCCCCAGAACTCCGAGAAGGATCCGTACCTAGGTACATAGAAACGGGAAAAAATAGGCGACTTCGATGCTCCAGTGGGTGGGCAGCTGGATTCTCTCGCGCGCAAATACATTGTCTATTGGGGTACATGAAGAAAATCGTAATCATAAAAGTCGCCAAACAGGGTTGAGAAGTACCGCGTACAGCCTGTGACAACGGTGTAACATCATGTCGGAAAGTGATCTATCTCATCGGGATCTGAATAGATTGGACCGGGATGCATTTGTGGCTCGTCGAGTGGCTGAAGGAGCAGGGAAATGGAATGTGAAAATGCCATTGGAAAGACAACGGTCCAGACCAATAAGACAATGTTATGGCTGCGTGGCCACGACCTGCAGCATCTTAGCGCTGTCGACCAGGGGGACCCCCGCGCCCAACTTCCGGATTATCGATGGACAATTGCGTGTTTCGAGAAACTTTTTTTTTCTGTCGGGGGGTCGAAAATTTATTTAATTTTTTGTTTTTCCGTGTCGTAAATCCTGAACCGTAACACCGGATGAAAAGGATCCCTCCAATCGAAATAGGTGAAGCTTGGCACCGGCAGAGCCGATACTATGGATTTAGGACTGAAGTGGACATCTTGTCAGCTCCTTGCTCATCTTCTGTCAGATTTTTTTTTCCATATAAGATGATGACATATGAGACGTGACAGATAGAGTTACCCTCGCCTTACCTTAAACGAATGGCCCAAATAGCAACAGCGCAGCCCCGGTCCGGGTCCCCCGGTGGCTAGACATTGTGAACGCAAGCTCGGCACGTGTGGATCTTGCAGTATCTACACTCAAAAATCCACCAGTGCGGTCCAGAGTGGCACAAGTTGCAAGTCCATTGGATGAGTGTGCTGTCTGACTTGAGCATCTTGAAGGAGTGTGCGCAATTGTTTCCTACAGCCATGGTGAAAGTTCTAATCAAGGATGTACTTTTAAAAAGGCCTTTTGGGTACCGAGATGACAGGGTGCCAGACTACTGCCAGTGGTGGTGGAAGATTGCTTAGTCTGTCCTAGATACGAGTCAGCCATACATCCAGCGAATAGGCCATTGAGTCGTGGAGCACTTACTTAGAGGATCAAGGAAGGAATGAGTTGACTGGCAGAGAGCACTATGATGTGAGTGTTGTTGGATATATCTCTTGAAGTGTGTGGCCCGTAGAGAAATAAGGTAAGAGGATGTGAAAGAAGAAGAAAGTCGAGAGAGGAAAGCTCGAGATATAGTGAGAAGGTAGGTCCTTTTAAATAATCCTTAGGTTACAGGTCGATGAGCGGTGACCCTGAGGTCCAACAAAACCACTGGGTATCAAGGTTGTCTTTGATGTTGTTTGCCAAATTGTGGGCTTGGAAACGGGAGGAAGACCTGTTAAGAACAGGATATCTGTTTGTAGTGCAGGGCTGGTGAGGAAGTTCTGGTAGAGGTAGCCGAGGCGAGACGGGAGACCGTTTTGTAGCAGAAGTGAAAACGGAACAATGAGCGGTGGAAAACTGGGAAGGGGGAAGAAAAAAAAAAGTGATGTGTAACTATTCATTCGCCAGGACGTCGTTACAAGAGCAAAGTGTACGAGGGAGAGCCTCAAGTATGTAGGTAGTAGTATGTGCTTAAGTTAACCCTTAACCCTGGACGACCTATGACGATGGTCGAAATGGTCGGCACTGCTCCCGCCAGGTCCATACTAGGAAATTCGGCATGGGGAACACTGCCAAAGCGAGGTAACGGGTATTAGTTAGGGCAGTCAGGGTAGTTTGGGTAGTTGGGAATGGAAACGGGACTTGATCTGGCTTTGAGGTGATTGACATGAAGGAGTTTGAGTGGAACTCTACTGGCATGGTCGTCCGAGATTTTTCTATGACCGGGGATAGAGTTCAAGTAGTGGGTTCTTATTTTATTTTATTTTTTTAAAGGGAAAGAAGCGATTGTTTTTCTGCGCGACAAGGGCCTTTGATGGGGTTTTTGACTTACACCTTCTTCTGTCACTTTCCAATTAACCTTAATACCTAGTTTTTTTTTTTCCTTCCCACTGAGCCACATGTACCTAGGTACTTACCTACTTCTAGGTAGGCGTTCCAGGGCCACCCTACCACCTACCTTACCTTACCTTACATACCTTGTACATATATACCTTCCCTACCTACATCATACCATACGTACATATATGTGTACATGTATACTTGTACATTCGAAAGTAATAATATACTCATACATGTATATAAAACCCGTTCTCTTGGGCAGGTACCCCGTATTGCGTATTTCATGCCTGCTTTAGGTAGGTTAGAGGTAACTGCCTGAACGGGGACCGTGTCAGACTTTTTTTTTTTTTTTTTTTTTTCCAGAGGGTCGGGCTTGAAACTTCCTCTGCAAGTCCAGCGAGCTAAATCGTGGGTAAGGAAGGAAGTACTTTACATTTGTACTCAATTACGGATATGTATGCCTATATGCATATACCTATACTTATTTATGTATAACCAAAGTACATACATATACCTACTTAGACCAGGGCTATTTCAAAAGACTAGGAGGTACATCATAGTGCGTGGTCGCTGGCAACGAACTCCCACACACTTACACATCTACCTAATGAAGGCATACATCATACCTCCTACATCTCATGTACCTATCTCCTCCTCAACATACCTAACATCGACATGTAAGAAAGACTCGGATTATTATTAAAAGATACCTACATTATGTAGGCGTGTACGAAAGAGAAGCCTTAAAATTATTTTTAGTCTAGTCTGGTCTAATAGGAAAATAATTTAAAAAACAAAGCAATAGGATTTCAAAGCGATGGACGAATTAGAAAATAAAAATGAGGGCCTGGGCACTGACATGTGCATGGGGGTATGACACGACATGGAACGACAACGGCCTTCTTGGAGATTATTATGGATTTTCAATCTTCATCAATTAATATCTACTCACCTTTTACCTTTTCTCTTCCTTGTTTTTGACCCTCTTTCTTCATATGGATATTATTGCTATTACTACTACTATGCTGTTGCCTCTTTGGCGTGATGCTGGTTACTGCTTTCGTCTGACTACTTGCAGAACCAAGACCGGTCTGCCGTACGATCATTGATGGAAGTAATATGTTGAACTAATGTACCTTTACATCCGAATGGCTTTTTTCTTTTATATACATCCTTGGGGGTATAAGCTCCCAAGGTCAAGGTCTAGGATTGGACAAGGTAAAGCGTACGGAGGTACACAGAGGATTCCTAGTTGGCGGTACGTTTATCAGTGAGGACCAGTCACAATCTGAAGCTAGCGGACGGCACGTAGACGTAAACGTATTGGCTTTTATCCTTCACCGGTCGGCCCTCGCCGCCTACCCCTACCCTACCTTATCCTACAGAAATTGCCGAATCGGTAACTAGAAAGCTCCTTACCGGTGGCCATGTCTCGCCTTGAGTGTACCTCGCGTAAAAGTGCTCATATATATATCTTTTGAGCCTAGAAACGATGTAGAATCTCAACCAAAGCTTGCATTTCTCTGGTTTCCTGTTTTCGATCGGAGACAATATAGTTCCGCAGGACGTAGTAATAGGGTCGGGGGTGGTTCTCAAGGGAACGGTGGAATACATAATGTGGGAATTGGAAATGGAAAATGGGATATATGGAAACATGTGGTTCAGGAACCATTCGCACGCAGAGGCACAACATTCGAGCAGAGCCGGAGTAGGGTCAAGTCTGGCGCGGTTCGCAATGACCGGCGCGGTTTGCCAAGGACGATTATCCATAAGTTACCACAACAGAATTCCTGAACCGGCGCTGCCAATTATTGGCTGCTCGAGAGAGGCATTTCATCACTCCGTTATAAAATATACCTCTAAACCCACGCAGCGTTGTCCTGCGAACGGGTCCGGGGGTCGCATCGCCCACGGGTATAGATGATAGATGTATCCGCAGGTACAGCATGTTAAGGTCGTCTTCCAAGGCAACATCCCGACGTGCTACATAGAGGCGTATCAGTGCCAGCCATTGTAGATATGTGTGTGTGCGTGCAAGATCTGACTGCGACGTAGAAGTCCATTATACGTGGACATACCCGGCCTGCCGTCTCTGTGACACCTTCGGAGTTACGATGAGTCGGTATTTCAGACTAGGGGTGGGATGCTAGGTATGCTAGGCTAGGGGGGTTTAGGCGGATGAGCATCATCAGCATCATCAGCATCATCGTCATTATCATCATCATCATCATCAGCATCATACAAGCGGGATTTTATTCAAGATGGAAATTTAGTCATAACAAGGCTTGAAGAATCCAGAGGTCTTGGTTTGATGTTATGCGCAAGTTAGGTACGTGTAACACAGAAAACAATAAGACCCTGGGCTTATTTTTATAGCTGACTAAATTAAAAATGACATCCGGTGTGAGATTTCTTACATATTGCGGTGTTTTATTCTGTAAGAGGTAACAAATTTAATGGACCCCACCATCTTCATCCGGGAATGATCATGTGAATATGTATAATGTATAATATACAGCTCACACTTTACACATACATATCCGTATTTGTATATATGTGCTTTAAGTATACGACATCACCATCGCGACCAACTTCCTTTTGACGGAATGAGTAGGTAGCTACCTAGGTACCCACCTCGGTATATGAATTGTCGGTCGACGCATCGTAAGTACTTAAGCGATATAGCGATAAGGTCGATGACTGGCAATTAGACCCTGCTAGGTTGACAAACTGTACGACCGCGGATATCCAAGGCTCTCTGATACATACATACATACATAAACAATGTACCTTTCTGGTAACTAAAGTGAAAGCCGGGAGGGAGCGCGGGGTGATTGACGTCCGTATTCCTCACTATAATCAGGTACCTAGGTAGATTCTTAAAACTCACTAAAATTCACTATCTCCTGCCTAAGGCAGGTACCTACTTGTCAAATATCTGGCTAATGTAGGCAAGTACCGCGCGTGCGCGCATCCGATGTATCGCATACATTAGGTATATTCTACACAACATTATATTTAAGAGACTTATGTAGGTACTTACCAATGTAAGATGCAAGTGCACATAACCTACATACATACATGTACATATGCTACGTACACTTCACCTCAATAATTTAGGTAAGTTAGCTGTATACCCACGCAAGGCACATATAATACACCTGCTTCATTCTTCATACATAATCGCATGTAATACGTGCATATTCTAGGCACGGAAGTAGGTAGGGTAGCATGACGGCGGCTGACGAGCCGCCAGGTGTCAATGATATAAGGTACCTACCGAGGACACGCAATTCTAGGCTGGAACGTCGAGCAGCTAGCAGCTACCTAAAATCCTTCATTTCTTCCTTCCCCTGCGTTTACGTTTACGTTTTTTTCTATTATTCCATTTTTCTTTCTCTTTTCGCATTGGGTACCTTGTGCCTGGCGTAATCTAGATGCAGCACGGCAGCGGCAGGAGCAATAGCAACAGTAACAGCAGCAGTCGGACCCGCGAGGGTACATTACCCGCAACTACTTTCTATTTTGAGCCTCCTGCACGCCTGCTGAATAGCGTGTTTCTCTTTCCCTTATCCCCCTATTTCCCCCTAAACCTTGATTTGTCTAGGTACCTATCGTAGTTTCCTTTCTGTCTAGAGCCCTAAAGCCAAATCAAGGAAGACGTTTAGCCGAGCTGGTTAGCCCACTGCCACTGCCTGGGTATCGTCTGGGTCACCACTTTTCATCAATTTTTCTCTCCTCCCGTGCTGACTCTTCAGGGTCAAGATATCGTGTCATTCTCGTATTATACGCGATACACTACACAAATACCTACATGCATATTTATCTACATACCTAGGTAAGCAAGCCAAGCTGCACCGCCTACTATCCAATATCCTTTATCTTTTTTTTTATTCTATGTACATGATAACAAAACTCTCTCATGGGCGTGTCGGTAGATAGAAATTCTTCCCCCTCGCCAGGCTAAACTTCATTCACCCCCCTCTGCCCCTTTATCGGAGCACATTTACTAATAACCTGAACGCCTCTCGGAAGATGCGAGTGGCTTGCATAGATACGGAGTAGGTACCTGAAGTACCTATTTACTTATTGCACCTATTCCACTTTTACAATGCTGAGACGGCAAATAAGG